GGATGAGCAGAGATATCTCTACGTCTCTGACTACGTAAAACATGAAGTAAGACGATATAAACTGGGTGAGAAGAATAGCACTCTCGTAGCTGGTAAAAATGGCCAAGGTGTGGGTCTCAATCAACTCAACAAGCCGGCATTTCTCTTTTCCGACTGACAACAGAATGTCTACGTGTCAGACAACGAGAATCATCGTGTAATGAAATGAACTAAAGGTGAAAAAGAAGGTATTGTGGTCGCTGGAGGTCAAGAAACACGGAATGCTCTGACACAATTGTCTTCTCCTAATGGAATCTTCGTTGATACGTTGGGTACACTCTATGTAGCGGACACGTTGAATGATCGTTTAATGCGTTGGACTCAAGGAGACAAGAAGCAAGGCACTGTAGTTGTGGGTGGAAATGGTTAAGGAGCAGGAGTGAATCTGTTTAGCTTCCCTTGTGGTTTGTCTTTCGGTCGACATCCCGGGTGAATGAATCCTATGACGGATCCTATCACCCAACAGAATCCGATGGGATTCCGGATTCAGGATTGACTGTCGGTTCCGACGGAAAAAAAACATTTTCTTAATTAGAGGTGAATATGCATATTTTCTCATAAGAACACTAGGGTCATACGTTCATGTCGGATTCCGTTAATTTCCAACACTGGATCCTATGGAATTCCTACACCAAGGATCCGACTGTACGTCCTGATCCCGGAATCCTATAGGATTTCGTTGGTTTTATTGGAACCCATGGATATTTGGTATATTCACGGTCTGACCCTTGTCGAAATCCGATAGAATCCTAGTCTCGGAATGACTCTCCTGGGATGGTAATCTCTATGTCGTCGATCAGTATAATCATGGTGCTCAACGATTTTCTATCGAATAAGACTTCTGAATTGTTTTTTCTTTGTTCGTTTCTTTTTATATACTTTGAAATAAATGAACCAAAAGAAAGAAATTTTCTTTTACTTCCTCTTTTGCTTCAAAGAAAAGTCGTAGAGAGCCGAGGCTCTTCGCGTACAGACATAGAACTAATGTGTATAGAACATACAACAGATAGAATTATATAGCGGCTTGTACGTGCTACGGGCACCAAAGTAGGCGTGGCCAGTTTCACGCCGATGCATGAAAGGCTTTCTTCCCCTGTAGTACGTATAATATATATATATATATATATATAAGAATACTTACTTCTTTTATATAACTAAAATAGAAAACAGAAATAAATAACTTATTAACTAAAACGAAAATTTAAAAAAATGATTATCATATAAAAATAAATAAATGAAGCAAAAAGCAGAGACAATGAAAAAAATGAGTTCAAAACTAAAACTATACTTACCTGTTATTGATAATGATCAATATGAATAGAAGCTAAAATAGAAAGAAAAATTATATACATAATATAATAATGGAAGAAGAATAAAATGGGGGATGATACTTTACGTTGAAAATTGTAACTATTTATAGTCATTTTTAGTGAATCGAAATAGACAATTGATATTAGCTATCAATTTGTACTTTGGATTGATTAACGACCCAGGTCGAACAGACACGGTCGTAAACGACCGTATAGGGAGAAATACGACCACATACAGAGACAAAAAACGATCGTTTACGATTCCTGTATATTGACCCCGTATACGATCTCCGTATTGCTCCGTATTGCTCCGTATACAACACGGTGATATACGATTGTAATACTGAGCCATGTATTACGGTCAAATACGATCGTATACGGGGACAAACGGAGCGTATACGACCGTTTACGATCGTATATGAACTCAGTAAACCTCGACTTGGGAATGTGACAGTGTTACAATTAGTAGTCACCTTCGAGATGAATCAATTATGTCATACAGAAAACAATATAACATATTAGCGTAGCCTACTAATCGATCGTTTGTGTTTCATCTGCAGCTGTGCAGAATGAAAGAATCATAAACCTATTTATATTCACTTGTTTCATTATGTGAACTTCTTTGTACTGCCCAAGGTAACCTATTTCTTTTTTATGATTTAAATCAAGAAATAATCTAATGAATTCTTTTCTTAATAGAAACAAAAATGTCTTTTGGAAACAACATCAATTATCAACTAAAAAAAGCTTATTTATTGTTAAGGTAATTTTTTTTATTAATATCTTTTATTTAAATCTTTCACATTTACGTTAGATGCTGTAAAATATTTCGCCCATAGAATTTGCTTAAAGATTTTTAATATTATTTTCGATTTCAACGACAAATATTAAAAGTAACAGAATGTAGATTAATCACCTTATATAATCCTTAATAAAAATTCTACTAATTTCCATTACCCAGGAGGATCATTCTGGCCGTCTGAAACACCATCGGAAACGGCCTGAAATAGCTATAAAATGACATAAAACGACCTTAATTGTCACGCTATTTCGCCGTAATCAGTCAGCTCGTTTTAAAGGCCTTTTTTTACTAGAAAACGGCCATCGCTTTTAATACTATTCTCTTCGTTTTCCGGGCTGACGGAAAACGGCGCCGTTTTTCAACGTTTTTCTGCTGTTTCAGGCCGTTTACGGATCGTTTTCTTCCACCTGGGTAAGCATTGTTTTCTTCCATGAAAAATAGCTCTTCTTAATCAACATCTGTGATTATAGTGAATAATTATTAGTACGTGTATTATGTTTTTCTACGGAAGAACTTGTTCCTAATGAAGAAATCTTAAATCTAAATAATATATCCACCATTTTTAAAATAAACGAATAAATGAAGTTCACGAACGTCTCTTTTTTTTAATTATGCTGAATTTTATTCGTGACATGCATACATTTTTTTGTGATTTTTGCACAATTTTTGCGGACGCTCACGAAACAAGCCAACAGATAGGACTACTATAACAAACAGAGAAAGAATGACAAGGAAGAGAAAACGAATAGAACGAAAATCGAAATCGAAGCAGTGATGGCGCGGTTGGCGTGCATTGCTGTTCTTCCTTTTGTTTATTCTTCCGATACCGTCTATCTTGACTCCGAAGACACCGAGCCGGGGGAAGGAATCGAACCATCCCCTATCTGACTAAGAACCAGATGCATAGAACCACTACGCCATCCCCGGCTTTCACGAACGTCTTGCTGAATAAGGTATTCATACAAAATAAATAATTGAAATATATCGTGTGACGAACATAGAAAGTGTCGCCTATATCCGTCGGCATGATGGTGTATTGTGTCATCTGCACATCTCTAGTCGTGCATTTCCTTTACTTACATTCCCTTATATACGCGAGAGTGATCACGCTTGGACGGATATAGACAAAGAGGGAACGGTCACGCAATAGAACAAGGAGAGTTCATCAGGTCAATGCACAGACATAGGATACAGCGAAGAGGATAAAGTACATAAAGTGAGCCGTCACGGTAAATACCGTTACATATCGTACAATCGAATTAAGCGCCGGCATTGAAGAATATCTGAATGATATTAAAAAGAATAATCATAAAACTATTATAAGGAACAATCTATATGGTCTGGTTGTTAGATAATGTCTTCGTGTTGATTGATGAAGATGAGGAAAAATATTTGATTATCAAGGATCTTCTTTGATGATTATGATGCATTGTTGAGTGATATATACCCATGTTGGAAAAACCGGAGTAAAATTGACGGTTTACCGCGGTTTTACCGCTCCGGTTACCGGCTCCCATCAACACAAATTTACCGCGGTAAACCGGGGGTTTCGGGAAACACCGCGGTTTACCGCCGGTATTTTTCGATTAACCGGTTCGCTGAGCGTTTATAAAAAATTGTTGCTAAAAGTCATTGATCGGGCTATTTTAGGCATCTTTTTATCCTATATGACCCACGGAAAAAAAATTTCGAAAAAATCGCGGTCAACCGCGGGATTTTATTGTTATCGCGGTTCTCCCACGATGCACCGCGGTGTCCTAGAAAAAACGCGGTTTTGTACACCGCGTTTCAAAGAGAACGCGGTGATCATGTGTGTCAACGTGGTAGTGTAAGTCGCGTCTTCATGAAACGTGCTGAGAAGATTCTGCTTATGATATTCAACGCATTCTGTGCTTGAAATTTTGAGTGCCTCGGCGACCTTTGATTAGGTTCGGGGTATATCTTCATAAATGTGATTTGAAGTCTTGTCCACACTGAAAAGATTTTTCAAGAGAAACCACGGTATCGTAAACCGCGTTGAACTCGATTGTAACCGCGTCGGGGTATCATAAACTGGCAGTATTGTTTTTGCACATATTCGTACGATGTTACTGCAACAATGTGTAAGAACAGAAAGGATATCGTGCGCACTTTACTATCTGTAACGTATTACAAAATTTAATATGAACTTCGTCGCTGCAACGCGACTTTGAAGTATTGAAACTTATAGTTCACTACACTACCCACGAAGGGTAACTCACCTGAGCATACCGAAGTGATCAGGTCACCTCTAAAAATGCGGTATTCTGAAACCGCGATTATCACCGACTTTTCTGCGTTTTTTAAAACCGCGTCTGATCGTGTCTTGGGAATTCGCGTACTGACGCGCTCAAAAAACCGGGGTAGTCAGACCGTTTATTCAATTTAAAAAAACGCGGTTTTCAGCGGTTTTTTTAGAGACGCCTAAAAGGTCTGACTCCCGCGTTTTCCAAATAACACTTGAAACCGCGGTTTTCAATGCCGCGGTTTACCGCGTTTTTTTAGTGAAATTTTTTCCGTGGGGATGACGGTAAAAAAAGGGTACCGGAAAAACTAGCGGTTAACCGCGGTATTACCGCTCCGGTTACCGGCTCTCGTTTCATACAAATTTACCGCTTTTCTAAAATTACCGCGGTTTACCGCAAAAATTGAAGCGGTATTCGCGACATGGGTAGTTGGGTATTTTACTGGATTTTGAATTCAAATGATCTTTTTATTAACCTAAGTAAGTAAAATTAAATATTTAACATGATCAAAAAGAAAATTTGACAATAATTTGTATTTTTGGATGTATTTCATTTGAATATACAATCATTCTATAACAGAGAACATCATATCCAAAGACGAAATCTTGATTTTTCAATAGAAAAATGTGCGTCCGAAAAACGTTTTTGAACCATCAATCGGTAAGATTCGAGTTTTTCGTCATTGATTTCGCCATGAATATCTAGATAAACCAATTGTTTCAATTGTTCGACTAATTCACAAAGATCTTCTTCAAAACGGGTTGCATGCTGATCTGAACGACAAGAATTTGTTTTTGTTTTATAAATTTATGCTTTTTACGTACTTATTGATTCAGTTGTTTTTAAATATTTTAACCATCGTCGAGCTAAAATTCCACTCCGTCTATAAAAATGTGGCCTAACTTTCAAGAAGAAAATATAAATATAAATATAAAACCAAATGAATTTCTACTATAAATAATATTCCAAATGATAACTATTTCTGTCTTTTTTTTATTAAATCTTTCGCTTTAAAATCAGTTTAGTTTCGTATTGTCTCAAGTTAAACGAACTTAAAAGTCACATATTTTATTTTTATTAAAAAAAGCATTTAACGATGAATCTTGTTACATATAAATGCAACGTCGACCGATATTTTCAAATAAAAAGTCGATTCATTTTTTCGATTTTTATATTTTTAACAAGAGTTAGATAGAAGAACAATTCTCATTTTTTTTCGAAAATTTATGATCAAGATCTCAATTATAATAGAAAGGATTGACGAATTGTATACAAGACATCAAAATTTTTAAATGACACATGGTTTCACTTTTGACTAATATCAGGAGATTGTCCAGAGAATTTTTCTCCATTCAAACTTTCCACTGTATTATAGAAATAACAGCTTAAATAAAAATTAATTTTTTATGTGAACGATACTTACTGGATGACCAAGGAAAATCATCTCGTTTCCAAAGACACAATGTTTGTAAATAAGGCATATATTTACTAAGAAACGGTACAAGATTTTTTCCAAGAAGAACTGTTTCATTTTCGCCATAAGTACAACTAGGAACACAAAATTCCAGATATCGTACGTTAATTAATGCGTTCTCTTCTAATTCATCGAATGCCTAAAGATAAAAATAAAAATCAGTTAAATATTTCATTTTCAATTATTACCATTGACTCATCAAAATACTAAATCTCGAATAATGTAATGCGTATAAAACGAGTGTTAAAGGTTTTGTTCATCGATAGAGACTATACAATAAATTTCGGGTATGAGATATGGATAACGGCTTTCCTGATTCGTATATTCAGACACAAACCTATACCCGTTAAAACGATCAGTAGTTGATGATCTTTTACATCATATATGACTCCATTAGTTTCCGGCCCCAAAAAAGAGGCTAAAGGATGTTTTTTTCGTCCTCGTCCTGTCTTTGATTATTATACTCAATGCAAATAGGTTTTAATTCAATAATATATAGGAAATACAGTAGTTATTTTGAACTCAGAATTAATGTGACAGTCAAATCGATTCTTACATATTGAATAATATGTAGAAGCCATTCAAATTGTTCGATTCGAAGATAACTGAGTTGAACAGGCATTGAAATGAGAGGTGCAAGTATTTTTGCGCGTTCTTTATTTTGATCGTCGCACGAACCATTAGATCCTGAAAAAATATTTTTATTCAATGTTTTTATCTTAAAAATAAATTCTATTTAATGACAGAGATACTTCATTTCGATTTTATATCCAATGATATAAAAAAAAATGCTCTGTTGTTCTGAGGTATGATCATTTTTCAACTGATATGGTAAGAATAATTTTTCGGTGAGAGTTGTTCTAATTGAAATGTGAGATGAAAACGGTGGACATTTGGTTTATAAATAACTTAAAACGCATTGATTTTCATCATCCGAAAGAGTAGATAAAAATACATCGAATCATATAATACATGTTTTTCTGACTAAATCTTTTAGTTTTCAATCGACCTTTTCGAAAACAAATTAATTCCGTGAGATATTCATAGCATATTTTTAGTTGTTAATAGATGCATTCAAACCCTTAATTAAAGATCTACAAAACTGCTCATCTTTTCGAAGTTATAGATATTCTAGACGGGCGCTCAAATTGATTTTTCCAACAATATATATGAAAAAAGAAACAATTTTTTTTCGAAGGCTTCCCCAATTAATAGATCAATCGATAGCATGTTTTAGAAAGAAGTTCTTAGACCCTGGTAGAGTTTTTGTAGTAGTGCATTTTTTATGACTAATATTTAAGAGAAATCGTTTTTTAGATTTCTTGAAATTCCCAGTCTCACAGATCATTTCGTATTCCAAATTCTCTCGAATATCATCTACTAATCATGATAAAGATCACTTAAATATTGTGTACCACAATTCTTGTGGTTTTTTAAATCTCGCTATTTCGAAAAATCGATAGCTATGCTTCGCATCGGTATGTTGCAAACAGTCTAACATAAGATAATTGCTGCAATATAAAGAGTTTGAATTTGAAATTTTTTGCGAGATCTTTACTCTGCATAAAAAATTATTGTGAAAAGCAAAAATAATATCGAAAATGGGATACGATCTGTGTATAAAAAAATCTCTCTACAGAATAGAAGCATTGAAATGAATGAAATTATCATTTTCAATATGTGAGAATACCTTTTGAGTATTCCTGTTCCATATTAAAAATAATATTTACCGAATCCACGAGAAAAATATAATCCAAAATCGAATCTTGTCACGTATCGCAAGTGAATATCTGTTAGTTTATGTTGTTCCATTTTGAATGGTACTATTGAATTGTCACAATATGTTTGAGAACCTAACACAAGATAAACAATTGTTTTAATTAGAATTTTAATAATTTCGTTATGTTTTTAACTTTTCACAATATAAAATATTTACCCATATCAAATTTAATACATGAAACATTTGGAAATAATTCATTGAGTCGTTCGAGATATAAATGAACTTTTTCATGAAAATTTGCTTCAATATATTTGAGATTTGGCCAAAAAAATATATCCGAATAAGAACTAGAAGAAATAAATATTTTTTTTGAAAAGAAAATAATTTCTTACATTAAATCAGGAAAATATTCTGATAGATTATTGATACAAGACGGTGAAGACGAAAGATGCTGATAAAATTTAATTGGATCAAATAAACATTTAACATTTGTCCATTGACGTTCAATGAAAAAAGGATGAATTTTAAATGAATTAATTGTTCTTTCAGTATAATTTGATAAGAATTTACATATAGAAATAATATAAAAATTGAAATGAATTAAATTATTTATTGTATCGCTCATTAAATATTTTCTTATAAAATTCGCATCAACAATTGACTCATTTATTATTGGACTTTTCTTGCAAACTCCATTTATTCTAAGACGAATTTTCATTTTTTCAACATTACTCAAATTGTTAAAAAACCATTTTAAATAATTTAATTGACGATCATAATTAACTCCACACTTTAGAATAAAATATTTTAATCTTTTTACGTCAAATTTCTAAAACAAAAAAAAAATAAAAGTTCAAATTGAATTCGAGACAAAACAAACGCATCAATATTGAAAACAGATATTTCTCATTCTGTATTTTTTCTCACAAAAACCTCATAGTAATTTTACTTTATTAACAGGCATTGTATCCGATTCTTCAAATGGTCCAATGGTTAAATCCCACAACTTATTTCTGTTCCACGATTCCCGAAGATAAACTGATAATCGTTCAAGATTGGGCACATGTTCAATAAGATGTTCAATAAGACATGCATAATGTAGACGAATGTCTACATAACGAAGAGTCATACAACAATATTGAATTTTAATTGTGTTTGAAATTGCAGAGGACGATAAACATTGGTGAATATTCAAATAAGAATGATCGCGGGGAATATCAAGCCGAAGACTAATTAATTGACATTTTTCAGAAAATATTTCATTTAAAAGATCTTTGAACATCAGCAATCGCTTTTTTACTATATTAGAAAACAAATATTCGACTCCGAGAGATATGATTTTAAATATAATGAATTACCTTGACTAGAAACCATAATATAAGGTTTATCTTCAAGACGAAATACTTTAAAAATATCTTCATCTAAGATTAATGTAAGTTCCTTTAATCGATATTGAATAAGTAAAGACAAATTTTCAATTAATAATTCGGATAAATAAATTTGATTAAGAACAAATGATTCAAGATTAGGATAATTATGAATATTTTCATTCTGATTAAAAAAATCATAGCTATTTGAATTTGATCCATCAAAATGAATATGTCGAATAGAATTAATCAGAGATGAACAATTGGAAATTAATGGAAATAGTTTTGTTAAAAATATTTTATAAGATAAATTGGTTTGACCAATAATAATTCCAGTTTGATTCATTGAAAAAGTTGAACAAACAAGAGAATTAAATCGTTCATTTAATGACCAAAACGATGTTAATATTTCGTTCCATGATAAATGAGAAAATATATTAAAAAATATTTCATTTGGTAATATTTCTAATCTACTAATCATTTTATCTAAAAAGATTAATTGAAACTCTTTCTACACCGAAATTTTCTTAAACTCTCGACAACTGACTAATAAACAATCATTTCTTTAAATTTCATTGAATTTTCATTTACAAAACAAAAATAGGAAATTCTCAGCTTTGCAATTAATATTTATCGATTTATTTCTTCTAGGAGAAACTTTTGAAATCTATTAGACTCGAAAATGATTCACTTGTGAATTCTTTTTATTTACAAACTCACGTTATCATCGCATGAATATTGTTTAAATATATCAATGGTTGAACTTTTTAATCTATTGCAACTTCAATAAATGAATATGCATTTCGTTATAGAACGTTCAATTTTTATGTAACACAAAAGAAAAATTGCTTCTTTTTTTCTCTATTCCTTTCAAATAAACCAATTTGACTGAAACATTTGTACTCGACGGATGCGATCAATCGTCGAGCGAATGCTTTTTTTTTCTCATTGAATGTTAGGTGTCAAACAAACTAGAAAAAGGATAAAACTGAATTAAACAACGTAATTGGTGATTAATTCAGATTAACATCATCTTTTTAAGACGAATTAACTAAAGGAATTTGCTTTGCTCTTGCGACGTAGAAATACCAAACGCATTCCTATGCTTTGTAGCAACCTGATTGTGAGACATAAATAGGATAGAATAATAGAAGATATATAAAGAATCATTTTGTTTTAATTAAAAGAACTTAAACAGCAAATTGGCTTCTGCTGAGACATTCAAGATGAAACACATGTATGTGCTTCATTTATTGTTAAAACCACTGACTTTTATCTTAATGAAAATAATATCGATCAGAAACATAAGAAAAAGTATACAATAAGGCACTTGAAATCGGTTCCTTGAAAAATTTCTATGAACTTGTTCTGTGATTATTCTCATTGAATAAATTAAAAAACTGCAATGTACTAATACGTAATGAAATTACGACTTGGAAAATAGTTTTACTTAAGATTGGTATTTGAGCCAGCTGTAATCTTCTTTTGTTTCTTCATTATTTACTATTTATTAAATTACATCATCACCATTAATCAATATGGATTTCTCAAAATTATGGCTTTATTTCTACTTAATTTTTTTTTAAATTTATGCAGCAAAGCTGTGATCCTAGAAAGATCCTTCCAGCACCGGGAATAGAGTTTATTTCTACTTAGTTACCAACTGTAAGCATATATTACTATTAGCAATACTTAAATAAACTTCTTGTTATTGCTTTTTTAAAGCTTTTTATTTTTCGAATATAGCTCTTCTTCTTTTTTCTACATTTTGCTGATATTTTCTTGTTCTTCTTGTTCTTTTAGAGTTTGTTCTTAAGCAACTTTGTACTTCTCTGGATCATCAATAAATAGAATAACATCATCATTTAAACTTTTAATTTTTATTAAAATTAATTTAAAATGTTCTTCGTATTCATCTCGATTATTTGAAACATCGAAAATGTTTTGTTGGTTTTCAAGATTCAATCTTTAATATAAATTTCATTAATCAATGCTCTTATATTTATTGGAAATATAGTATTTCAATAATCTATGAGGAACATTTTGCATAACAATACAACCGTGCTATTAAAGCTACTTTTCCAACATACTACTCACTGTAACACATAAATTCTATCTATTTTCAAACAATGCCTCTAAATATTTCGACACTTGATCAGTTGAGTAAAATTGTTCGAGTTATTTTCTCTTCTCTCGTTCTGTCTGCCCATGTTTAAATGTATACACGCTCATTATTTTATAAGAATAAATAAAAATACCAATAGCATGTATAATATATACTCAAAATTAAAAAAGCCAAATGCTAGTGGTACTTCACATCGTATTAAGTGTAATAAACATTTTTGGAAGACTTTGTTGTTTTGCAATAGGAATTTTCTCACTCAGCTTATGTAGAATTTTATGAAGCGGAGACATATTTAAGACAAAAAAATTTCAAAACAAGTTCAGTATGGCACAAGGTAGCATTATCTTATAGCTTTATTATTTTGCTTATGGGAAAAATCATCGAAACAACTCAGTCGAGCATTTTATGACGCATCTTTTGAAAAAGAAATCAAGATATTACCATTTTATTAAATCGACATATATGTAAACAAATGTCTGCGAAACAGTTTTATAATATGGAAAGCAACATTATCGTGTGTGTCTTAAAGATTGGCTTGTTGGATTAGTCTATTTTTTGACTTAGGAGCATCTAGTATAAGAAATCACATACACGGCGAAAGAGACAATAGATAGCTCTTGACTGAGAGACGGGTGAGCAATATTCGTTCCGTTTGAAAGAATTGTGGTAATCAGTTTCTGTTCGATTCAGAAGAACTGGACGACTCAACTAGTTTAATACCTCAGTCAAGAACTAATTAGTGTCCATCTTGATGTATGTAGACTCTAACTGCATCTTCTTACGAACGTCCTCTTTTTTTTTTTATAACAGAGGCTCGATATATTTTATTTCAATGGCTATTTCGTGTATATAACTCGAAGTGGCGTATTTGGATTATCTTAACCAATGACGCATCACATTCATTCTGTTGTTTTCCAACAATATATATAGGTGGACAACAACAAAATAAATGTGATGCGTCATCGTACAGTAAAAACATCATATTTTCATATTCTTTAATGAATCAGATACAAATTGTTTTTCCGCTTGTATTATTGTTGTTTATTTGTTATTCATCTTTTTTTTACTTGAAAAATAAGATGTAAACATTCTTTCAATTTTAGATTATACGAAACTTTACATTGTGCACTTGGATTAAATTTTCATTAGAAACACTGTCTCTATCATATATACCTACTAAACCACAATAATGGACGATTTCGGAAGGTAGATAGAAAAATAAAATATTCATTTTATTTTAATTCAATTATTTTAATTAAAGTCATGTAAACTGTATTGTTATGAAAAATTTACCAAAAGATTACACTGAAGTATTTTCTTGTATTTGTGTAAATGAAAGTTATTTTTATATTTATTGATTTTGTAGAGTCAACTTGAAAAACTTTTTTCAAAATTTGGCCGTATTGTATCGAGTAGAATTTTGTCGACTAATTCAAATTCTGAAGGTGGTTGTGGACAAGTTTTTTATTTTTAATTATTTAAAAGTTAATTGGCTAATTAATTTTTTTATTGAACATTTTAGTTCTATTAATTATGCTGAACCAGAAAGTTGTACTAATGCTGTTGAAAATATGAACAATTACGTTATTGGCCAATTAACTTTATATGTTAATCATTCATCAGTAAATATTTGTATTTATGTTTATTATTTTGAACAATATTTTTTTTAGACACAAACGACTAATATTTCTTCTCTACCACAAAATGAATGGTGAGTAATAAACTTATTTTTAGATGAAAATTTTTTTGTTTCAATTTAATTATAATAGTCGTTTTAATGATGAATCAAATATCGAAAAGAATAGTACATCATTACCTAATAGTCAAAATCGATTTTCTAGTTTTCAATTAGCTAACTATTATGGAATAGTACAAATGTTGAACAACAACATAATAAAATTCCATTTCAAAATAGTAAAAATAGAGTTTGTTATATTTATTTAACAAAACAAATTATTGTTTAGAAATAAACATAAATATTCGTGAACATGATTCATTTATAACAAATAAAAATTATTCTGTTTATTTATCAAATCTTGAACTACCAAATATAATATTTGCAGCAACATTAGATGATTATATTAATACAACATTACTTCTAACAAAAATGAATAATCATGAACAACTTGCAAAGGTTCAAGCGAAGTTTTATCAATCAAAGTGAAGAAAAATAGTCTAGATAAACAAAAGGAAATTTATTTTATTTTTGTTTTTGAAGTATATTAATTGTTGGACAGTTTTGTGCTGCACTTTTTAATGGAGATTGATATCGAGCACGTATACTAAAAATTGATGAAAATCGTGTTCAAGTTCAATATATTGATTGGTAAAATTTATTTTCTTCTTTTTCTTTATTCTACATATGAAATTTTATATTAGGGGAAATATTAGGTGGTGTGATTCAATTCTTGACATTCGGCCATTGCTGAATGAGTAAGTATTTAGTTTTCGTTTGGTTTTGGTAACAGGAGGAAAAGTTAAGAGTGAAAGTCTCTCAAAGCTAGAGAGAAAATGTTCTTTGCAATAGCTCTCTCTTTTACAATAAAAAGTTTTTTTCAATTGGAACTCTTAAGTGTCTCGCTATCAGTTTGAACACTATATATATATTGTTCCCTATTTTTCATCTTGATGCGTTTGTTCAAAAAATCAGAACAGTGAGAACACGTTTATTTTTTCTACACAAAATAGTTCACATCAATAATTTCAAAAGCAATGTTTTCTCAAAAAAGTGTCTTGTATTTTGTCTATTTTTCATTGTCACTATGGTCCTCAAGGAGAAAACGTCGGATTTCATATTTTTAGGATTCCCACTGTACTATAAGTATCCGATAGTTTTATGTCCTAGACTTCCATTTCCTTTTCGAAGATGCGTATGAAATCTCCAAGTGGGAGTGTCGGCTTAGCATTTGCACTGTATTATTTTATGCTATTTTCAATGCTATTGCATTAGAGTTAAAAAAAATATTTGAATACTTTTGTATTCGTATTGAATTAGTAGTAGCATTAAAATATCATTATTTGATACTAATACTGATCTTCCACCCTTATCTCCAAAGCTCCATTCCGTGTGTGAGAGCTTTAATTCACAAGAGCTGAGCTAAATCATTAGTTCTTTTCATACAAATTATCTTATGCTTTCCTAGGTTTACCTCGGAAGTGTATGGGAAGGACCTCTAAGAAAATTAATAAGGCACGTTTTGTTTGTATGAAAAACTAAAAGAACTACTGATTAATTATAGATCGAACTAATTGATTTTCTTAATAGATTAAACAATACATTTGTTTATTACGAAAATCCTATTTCATATTAGTTAAATCAAGATTAATAAACTTTATAAGCGAGCAGCTTACAATAATTCATTTCTTTTGGTCAGAGATAAAGCTAAAAAAGAATTGAATAAGAGTGACTCTAACTTTATATCCTTTTGACTCATCATCCTTTCTTTCTATCTTCGGATAATCTTGTATAAGTATTCTTTATACCATTCATATGGTAAGATGACATAACATAAAAATGATACACATCATTGATACATTTGTATTGCTCATTATTCGACTCGTTTATATATATCTACAGCTCCAAAAACAAAGAGATCCGCAATATTTAGTTCATACGGAGAAAGTAAATCATATTTTAGACTTTATCAATCAGTCGATGACCCAATGTATCTACTTTACCAGAAAAAATATTGAGAACATTTATTTTATTAGATCTTACTAATCAAAGTAATCTTTCTGAATCTCTCTTTTTTTTAAATTCTTATCAATTATCGAGTGTCCCCATGTCCCCTGTTCAAAAACAATTCAAAGCTTTTGATTGATTGGAGAACAATTTAGTATATTTTTAAATCAAATTTTATTAATCATTCAGCGTTGCCATTTCCACCAAATACTAATAAAAATGATAATCTATACAATGGAAGAAAAACTTAGAAGTCAGTCGCTGATATGTATTTCATGTCATCAGGAAAGTGTTCATGAAACTACTGTATATTCTGAGTCCGAAAAGTACGTCATACTGATATGTAACGAACATTGTTGGTTATTTATGTATTCAAAAATAGGACATCCCTCAAATATTCGAATAGCTCTTTAGTTGAAACATGCTCTCTAGACGTATGCTTCTAGTAGACCCTTAGATATTAAGGTGGATCATTTTACAATACACTGTTCGGGGTCTATTTATTATATTTAAAAGGTCTTAACAATCGAATCATAGTTTTGGCCTTGATCTAATTGCGTGCCTTTCAATGTATTCTATTTTACACTGTGACCAGATTCTTTTTTTTTCTTTGAAACTGATTAATATTCTCTTTTAGACTAAGCTATTGTCTGTTTAAAAAGTTGATCTATTTTCTCTTTGCAATTGATTTATTTTCGATGAACTATTAATTCAAAACTGTTAACTAATCATAGAGAAAAGTTTCATAGAGAAAGCTATAATATGATTAAAAACTATTTAGAGTGGGCAGAGTGCAAAATCTCCTAACTTGCTCTCCCTAATTGTTGTGACGTGTAGAGTAACCGTCCGATAGTTTAGTTGAATTGCGAATTGATCTTCATCTTTCGCCTAGAATTAAAATTTAACTTTTCACTAATAAACAATTATCTCATTTAGATATTACAAAGATCCTGTTTTATGTATTAAATGTGTTTTGGATGGCGTACCAATCGAGATGAAACCATCTGATGAACAAAAAAAAAATCTATTCTTGAAATACTTGGTAAATTAGTTTAACAAAACTATTCGACGGAAGAATGTATTTGATATTTTAGTTTTTGATGTTAAACTTGAAATGATTGTATTACGTATTGAAAATGGTCTTCCATATGTACAACTTAATTTAGGAGAACGAAACTTAAATGCTGAAATACGTGCAATATTACCACAACCATCAGTGTCAACTACAACAACAGTAAATAAATCATACTAAAAAATAAAAAATGTCTTCCTTTTTAAATAGATCCTACAAAAATTGGATGATGAACAAGTTAATTTTAATTCAAATAAACCTGAAATGAATATATTTGAAACTCACTCTGTACAATTAACAAGAGTCGATGCTGATTCAGAATGCTTTCATGTTGTATCAATGCGTGATAATCTTCCAACAATCATGAGTGCACTTAACGATTGGGATGTTGAAAAACAACCGTTAATTATCGAACCAAAACCAAATATGCTTATTTGTCCACAATATCAAGGTAATGATCTTTGGTATCGAGAATGAATCAAAAGTGTTGCTAGAACCAACGTCTCTGCCCTTTTCTCCATCAGATATTATTAATTAAAACCAAACATATATTGATAAAAAAATATTTTCATCCATAAAATAATAGAAATCAATCATGCAATATGCATTGAGAAATAGTTTTAGTTCGAAATTAAATCAATGTTTTGTCTATTAGCAAATAAAAATAAATATACTTTTATTATTTCTTTAGATACCACTGAAGAAAAAAGACTACGAAAGTCACCTGAAAAAGATGAATCATCAATATCGCATCAATGTACGTGTATGTTACACAGCAAAAGAAAATTCTACACTTTCTATTCATGTTTTAGCTCATCCGTCGGAAAATTTCCATGCTGAAGTTAAATTTATGGATGAAAGAATCAGTTACACAACGATCGGATCAGATGGAATATCATCGTGCACGTTTTTATTAGTGATTGGTCGTATCGATGATAATGAATTTGCGTTCCTATCGCATTATCCTGAACCATATGAACCACCATTTACACCAATAACAGTCCTGGTGGATCTCATTGATAAATTATCGGAACGTATGACAGAAGCGATTGGCAAATGTCCACCACCAAACATGACAAAAAAAAAACAAAATCGATGAATTTAAATTTACTAATATGAAGATATTAGTTGGTGGTGCAGCTATGGAAAATGAAGATTTAGTTCGGGATGGTTTCAGCTTATTAAACCACAACAATAACAACAACGAACATCTGTTCACCGATCTATCTTCCAGATTAATTTATCAACAATTAAAATCAAATGCCATAATTTTAAAGCCGATTACATTTACTCTAAATGATAGTGATGAAAGTAGAGGTATGTACAAATACATCTTTCTCGATAACTATAAACGATGACAAAAACTATAATTCATCTAAACGAAATTAAATCGCTTAGGTAGTATTATGTTCTCCGAGTATCATAAGATGATTTATTTAAAGTAATCAAAATAAAATATACTCTTCCCAGGGCAGAGACGGCGCGAAGTAATAAAATTATAGGGGGGTTACTTGAAAACGGGAGGTTTTTTTTCAAAAATCGGAGGAAATCAATAAAAATCTCTTCTATTTTCTTCAAATCGGAGTAAAATTGAAACAAAAATTTTCAAAAATTTTATTTAAATTATATTAAAATTCTGAAAATTAAAATTTTATTTAAAATTAAATTAACTTTTCGCGAAGTTAAATTTAAATAAAATAAACTGTAAATTGATACCCCTACAGCTGAATGAGAGAATGATAATCATCGATTTCACTTTTCGTCTCGCTCGATTTGTCGTGTATATTTGAAATGTCTCACGTTTTATGCACACAGTAAATAGATATTATTTGCAAAAAAAAGATCTCTATTAGCAGTTCAGCTTGACTTTGAAATCAATCACGTTTTTTTTTGATTTTATTCGTCTCTTACCTTGATAAACTGTCTTCTGTTTTTTTTCGTTTGATTACCCCAACAGTGTCAATAGTGCTCGGTTGAAACAAATATGCTGTCACTTGTGCGCAAACATTTTGCATTAAACCGCAAGAGGAAGAAAAAAAAAGAACACTAATATACACGTCTTACTTTTCTTTTACAAGAGAAGAGAATTTTATTTTGAAAGAAACAAACGCAACTTAAAATTAGCCAACAGCATAGCAGAGAAAAATAAATCTTTATTCTTTGAATGACTTGCTTGTTATACTGACTATCTATAGAATATAGGCAAATTTCTTTAAGACTTTGAAGAACTACTTTTTGGTGTACATATATGCATGTTACAATTTAGAAATAGAATGAATGTCAAGGATTTACAAATGACCTTGAGAGGATGCTCATCGCATAATGTATATAATAGGATTAGTTTTTCGAATACTATTTATATACATATATCCTTTTTTTATTTTGCAAAAATTTCTCATAAGTTCATAAATCAATAAAATAATCGATTATGAGGGTTTGGTGCCCAAGCGAGCAAAAAAATGGTGAGGACGGGCTACATGACTAGTCCGATTGTCCGTCCAGACTAATTTTTAGGTCAGAAAAACAATAAAAAATAAAAGACCATAGGTGAAATCGAACACAGACCGACATTATTAAATAACTGACGGGCGTCCAGACGCTAGAATATCATACAGGGATAGACTTAGGTCTGCTAATAGAGTCTAAACTACAAGATGACTTCCGCCTGTTTAACTGAAAATGAAGAATAAGTTAAAATTGAACTATTCTGACTAGTCAGAAACGACTCAAATACTCATTGGGAACTCTGAAACTGTTCCACAGGAAAATAAAACTTGCAATATTTATCACATGATGAGGGTTGCCAGCTGTTCAGGTCCCAAATGGGGTGCACGTCGGGTACAACTCAATTGTGAATGGGGTACATTCGTGAGGTACGTAGCTTACATCTTTCCCACTGGTCATCAGCGGCGGAAATTAATTTCGAAAACTATACTTTCAATCTGGAAAGAGCATACTCAGTTTTTCTTTTACTATAAAGCCTAGGTTTCAACTTAAAATCTTTATTTTCTTACAAATATGTTCACAATAAAATTTCATTGTGACATACATCTATTCAATCCAATCATAAGAAAAAGATGTTTACTCAAAGCGAACCTTCTTGATTTATATATACAATAATTGGTGCACGCTTTTTTCGAAACTGTATTTTTATTTAATTTTGGCTCACATTATCAGTTGCAGTTGTGTCTGAGCAGAAGAAAAAAAACCTTTACATTTCATAGCAGTATTAAATCTGATTTTCGATTCAGCAGCTATCGTTTCATTTACCATTGAATTGCGACTGTCTGTTCATGCGCGTCTCATATCACTAAAAACGCCTTCGACAAATGCATTCGAGCATATAATTGACTGCACATAAGAAACAACTTTGTGCATTTCAAATGAATGCTTCACATCTTTCTCAATACGAGTAAATGTCGGATAAAGAGACAGAATTTTCTGAATCTCAACCAAAATATGGATGATAATGGTCTTAAGATTGAAAAATGTAGATGGAGTACAAAATTCATACCCCAGAGGTACAAAAGGGCTCAAATTGGGTACACCTGGCAACCCTGCGCATGATAGGCATGTCGATCTACGTATTTAACAATTCACTACGCATATTTAATAGATTGTAATTTCTTAATTTATGCAGTAATATATTTATAGAAAATTTACATTCATTTCGTTGAAATCATTTATTCTGTTACATTAAATTTAAATATATATTTGGATAGAAAGAAAATTATTTCTACGTTAATTTACAATAATTAAATGAAAATTTAATCAGAAATTCCAGATACCATTGAAAATATTTGTTTCTATTTTAATCTAAATAATTTTACGATTTATTTTTATACTAAAAATTATTTCTACGTTAAGATTAATCAATTCTGATTAATAGTGACCAAAAAATATCACTAAAATGGGCCTAAATAATTATTTTTATACGGAATTATTTTTATGACAGGCTAAAAAATTTGAAAGTATATGGAATAATATTCATGATGAGTATTTATATCTAGAAGTATGTTTCTCGATGGTATGGTTCAATCACCTGAACACTAGGTAAGTGACAGCATGGTATGTGTATTCGAATCTAATAGCTCCGCTTAAATATTTCAAAAGGGACTCGTCTGAACTCAACCATAGTTCCTAATATGCGGTGCCACAGATTCTCTGATATATTTTATTTGTATCGCTTTTTGACGCCCGTCAAGGTGGTAAAACATAAGCGAGATAAATATGAGTTTTATGTTGTAAATGAACAGAAATTTTACAATTACAAAAGCGAACTAAATTTTTAATATGAGAACGAATAATGCGAACAAAACATTTCATTAGTGTTCGATGATTGCATCCGAGAGTGCGATGAATAATTAATTTATTATTTGACGTCACTCCTGGTTGCCATGTTCAATTGTCTTGCATCTAATGTGACGATCAGTTCATTATTTCTTGCTGTTCCCTGATTTATTGGACGCACTTGATTTGACAATTTAGCAATATATTTTGAAATAAACTCATATATTATTTGTCGAAATCCACGGACAGATATGTACAATAAGAATATATTTATCGCGTTTCTTGTATACATTAATGTGCTTGAGGCGAGCAACACCGTGCCCGTATAAGCATGTCCCATAATCTGATCCTTGAGTGCAAATAACGTACGCCAAATACATAAGTAATAGTATAACTGAAGTACGACGCTTATGTTGAGCACTTCTTAATGATTGATCATTTATTGTTGTTTGTTTAATAATCAACTTTTTTATTGTAAGAAGTGTACACATCATTATAATACCAAATGGTAAAAAAGACATGATCACAAGATGAATCTGTATAAAAAGAAAATGAATATTTATTTTAATCATAATTAGTTGAATACTTACCCATACATATGAAGTCATATAGAAATTACAAAGTTCAATATTCAAAGAACAATAGCAGGGTATTCCATTTTGTACTGTTCCTGTGCTATTATTGTAGCTCGAATATTCAAAACTTAATGCGAATAAAATCATCAGAATAATAATGCAACATATGGCCGAGCTATTTCTTTTTTATAACATCTACTTCTTAGTAAACAAGCTCAACAAAAGTAAGAAACATGGCCGAGGTATGTAAAGTATAAAAGGCAAAAAGTTGACTTAATTTGCACATCAATAATGACTCACCCCATATGGTTTATTGATCATAAGTAAATACATCTACTGCACGACTTAAATTCCATTGATAAAGTGAAATAACATCCATTGTGCATAGAAAAATTAAGTAGATATTGGTCGATGTTTGCCGACTTTCTCTATTGAGTAAAACCAGAGATGGGCAAGTCAAGTCATTTTTTGACTTGACTTGGAACTTTTAAGAAACGACACGACTTGACTTGTGACTTGACTATACAAAAAAGTCAAGCCAAGCCAAGTCAAAAAATGCATAACCATAAAGGAGTTTTAGTCACCTCAAAACAACCCATGCCCACGCCCTCACGTTGAAAATCATAAATACTGTTGGTATCAAATGAGCTTTTTAGTTGTAGAGTGGAGAAATGGGTGAGTTGTACAAGAGCTTCTAAATTGTTCGGCAGTATTCCTCTTTCATTTATTAGTAATAGTACTTCGTCTTTAACAATGATAAAGATAGGATTTTTTAGAAAACAAATAATATTAATAACTTACTATAACTTGAGAGACATTGAAGTGCGTGGATAAATGAAGTTGGTATTTTCGCTTTTCAAATAAAGAGATACACAATGTTTCCATACCAGACCATAGAGATCTAAGTGCTATAGGTAAATTATTCGATATATCTTTCTCTGCTTCACTAGTATTGAATAGTAGATCGATCAGATCGATTGTACGAAACACAGTATTGTTAGAAAATACATATGGAAGAGAGAACAGATGTACAAGACGAAATACTCGATGATAATTTGCGCACACTCGTATACACCCCAAAGGTCCATTGAGTCAAAAAGGTGTACGAAAAGCTTGAATGAAATCAGACAATATTTCATTGCTTGATGATTCTATGAACTGCAGCTGGATACCAAAATGGAGTGATCGCAAATGAGATAATCCACTGCAAAGAGTAGCAAGACGATAACTATCGGAACATATATCAAGTTCGCCATTACAATAATGAGTTAAAAACAAAGAAAACTCTTCTAACGTATTACCGAACTTATCGACTAATTGCTTAAGACAATTGCAATTGGGTCCCGCAATCTTAAAATTACCTCAAGAAAATTCACATGAATGAAACGATATTTAAAATATGGATATTTTTACCTTAAATGAAGCACACGCAGTTTTTTCGGATAATCTAATTTTGTTGGCAGATCTTCATCATTAGTTTTCATTGAATAAATAACGTCGGTAATATATACATCTTGAAATAAAAAAAATACACATTTAGTTCTTTATACTGATCTCAAAGTAGATGAAGATGTATAACATTTTGTTTCTTACCTAAATATTCAAGTTGTGAAAGATAATGAAGAAGTACGTGAAGTGTAGTTAAGTTGAGAACTCTAATTGTGATGGAGATGAGAGAACGATGAGGAACGTAGGCATTCATAATTGTATGTTCATATTTAAGTTCAAAACCTTCTTCACTAGTTGATAATGATTGGAAAACAACGAGAGAAACAAGCTGAGGAAATATCGGTTCTATAGACTTGCTATATGTCATTAAGATACGGAAGATATCTTTCGATGAATTATTACCTGATATTCCTGACCTAGCAAAATGACTTGCAACAACTGATTTTCGTATTTCATCTGCAAACATATCCGTTTGAGAGCATCGATAACGATTACCTATTTTAAGAGCAGTTAAGCCAAGACGCCATTCCATCATAGTCGGTACTTGACGACAAAAGAATCGACACGCTGATAATGAACAATGACGTACATCCAATTGTTTGTAAAGTCCGTGAAATTCGATCAGCAACCAATTGAAACGAGTATTAAGTTTCGAGAGACTGTAAATGACATCTGCAGATGTTAATTGATCCCAGACAAGCACAAAGGATCACTTCATTCGACATGAGTTCAAGTTGTAGCATCGTAAAGAAAAATAAAGATTAAACTTTTATATGATTGAATAATATTGTTGTCGATATATCTATGTAAGTTTAACACACGTGAGTAAGTGACTTTTTATGAACGGAACAAGTTTTTTTGTCCCATCCGTATAAATAAACAAAACAATGTCAATCAACTGTGACAGCTCATACAGAAGGAGTGCAGCGTCATCTTGAATTGGTGGTCACAAAAAAAATATATACACAACTTATTTTTAATGTTGAGGGTGTGTGGGTTGTTGATTGGAGAAACAACCACCCTCAAGATTACAGTCAAAAACAGTTAGCTACTTTCAAAATGATAGTGAGTGTTTGGCGAGGATATGGTTCTCATTAGATTCTTATGTCGAACTCCGACTCAGGACTACGCTTAAGCCGAAATCATAAAAATAATTTTTTTTGTGAGTCGGGATAATTGTGACGAACTTTTTTGTAAGTCACGGACCAAGTTATATCATTAAAGCAATTAATATCAAAGAAACATTAAACATATTAAATTAGACCTTCCTTTTCTTTTTTGTTGGTACAAAAGAATAACACAGAATATTTAGTTAACAAAGAAGTGACGTAAGACCATGCATAACTTTCTCTCACTCTACCAGTTATAACTAATCAATTTCTTGCATCGTTCACTTTATCGTTCGTGTTTAGACTCGATAAGAAGAAACTTTTGACAAAAAACATTTTTTCTTCTAAGGATTCTGATGTTTTATTAATGTAACTATGTAAGATCTTCAATTCACTTTCGGACTATGGCAATTCTCATTTTTTTAAATATTGTTATTGTTGTGCTCCTCTTATTATCTCTTATAAACTTAATCTTTTCTATTTCTTAACAAGCCTATGTACTGACAACACTCCAAGAGGTCAAAAGAATTTCAATTCTGTAGTATTTGAGATATAATAATATGATGTATAAACTTTAAACAATCAGAGAATGATGGAACCATGTTGATAGTTGATTTTTGGATGCGTTTTGAATAATATCCTTTTCTTTATCATGGTAGAATGAAATGATTTATCGGAGGAGATACTATGGGAATTCGAGGGTGTGAGTGTTGCTTTCGCCCACAAACTCATCATCAATTAATTGCCAATGCACGGATCGCAGTTGTTAGTACCATCGACAAAAAGACGGGCAGTTTGATATTCATGCTAGATCAACTGTATTTCAGTGCATTATCTTGATTGATATTGAAGAATCGTTTATTTTCCAGCGCTAGCCATTTCATTTTTTCTTTCGTTCTACTTATACGAATATTTAATATGAAGTTTTCTGCTCTGATAATACATCAATTCTGTAGAGTCAAAACAACTTGGACGTTCACGATTTCCATTAAAAAACTGCTGCATTTTTTACTAGATCGATTGCTGAAAAGTAAAAGTTGAAACTAGTGGATTGAATTTGTCTTTTCGTTAAGAGGTATAAATCGATCTGTTTCACATTGATTTAGACACACTACTATCTACCACTCTCAATATTGAAACATCTATCTTGGACGGTTGGCGCTTGGCTGTTTGTTGAATTTTATTAGAATCATATAGAGTTATTACCATATAATTAGATCTTTAAGCAAGATCGCAATATATGCCATGGCAGCTTGGCACACGCCCGCAAATATATTCAAAAACAATGAAGATTTATATATACTTAAAGAATCATAGAAAATGAAGAAAAGTTCAAAAGAGACAGAACCAGCAACACCGGAGTGTGCAGCTACATGTATCTAGATTATCTGTGAATAAGAAACAGTAATAGTATCGAATTATTTTCTTAGCGTATTTCTTTGAGTTTTAACCTGTTGCTGTATTGTGCTGATGTTGATTAATATGTACAGGCGAATAGTCGCGCTCAAAATTTTCATCAACATGTGGACGATTCTGTTTGATTATATTCATCGAATTATTGGATACTTTCTCTTTAGCTATTTTTATTTGTCGATTCTTACTATTGAGATCCAAAGCTCGGTCACCAATATTCCGACGTACATTTACAAATTCTGCATTAGCACGGTTGATGTTTTCATCGATACTAGCTTTCAGATCGGTTTGTTGTTGAATACGTTGTGATTTTTTTTCATGTTTACTTTTAATGCCGTCATATGTTCGTTGTTTATCATTTAAATTCTTTTGGCAGCGGTTAAGCTCAGTTTGTTTGCTGCGGATATCATTTTCAGATTCATGCAATCGGCGCTCAGCATCTGATTTAACTAGCTCCTGTTGTTGTATCTCTCGATTAAGACTGACCATTTTTCTTTCAATACCGTTTATTTGTTGTCGATTTTGAGTTAATTGCGCTTTAACACTATCTAGTTGTTGTTGTTTTTCTAACCGTTCCTGTTTTTTCGATGATAATTTGTTTTCTCGATGTCCCAGTTGTGATTCATAATTTGACATTTGAACTTCTTTACCATCTAGCACTTGATGTTTACTTCGTAGCTCATCGTTTAAACGCTTCAATTCCGATTCACATCGTCGTTGTTCCTGTTCAAGGCTTTCTGATTGATTCTCTAGTTTTGATAATTCCTTCTCTGCATTCGATTTTTCTTGTTGTGCTCTTCGCATTTTTTTCTCTTCTTCTCGTTTGTCGGCGTCTAATTCTTGAATTGATTTATTGCACATCTTAATATTCTCTTCGATATTTTGAGCTTCATTCTGTGCTTTCATCATTTGTTGATTTTTCTCACGTAAATCTGTTTCTTGTTTTTTCAGATTTTCTTGTTTTGTTTTTAATTCATCCGTTTTTGTTTTTTGTTCATTTTGAGCGTTAGTTAGTTCATTTTTTGTTTGTGTTCTTTTTTGTTCATTTTCTGTTTCTTTCTGACCAAAATCTTTCAATTCCTTTTCTACTTGATTCTGTTTATTAGTCAATGTAGTCTTTTGGTCTTCCGACTTTTTTACTTCGGTTTTTAATTTATCAATTTGACGATTTTGCTTTTCAAGATTTTGCTTCTCGTTTGCCAACGTTTTTTCTTTTGCTTTCAATTCCGTTTCAACCTTTTTACATTCTTTTCGTAAATCGTCGAGTTTTTTTCCAGTGACTTCTATAGTATTATTTTGCTGTTCAATTTTCTGTTTTGTTTGTTGAACTTTGTCTTTTTGTTGTTTGAGTTGATCGTTTTTAGTCTGCAATGCTTGTCGTGCATTTGTGAGTTCGCTATTTGCTTGAGTTCGGTTATTTTCTGCAATTCTACGCTTTTCAGTACATGCTTTTAGTGTTGTCTTACACGTTGTTAAAGTTGTTTTATTTTTAGTTACTCTCGATTTGCATGTCGCCAAATGAGCCTTTGCTGCAGCTACAGTTGCTGGTACAACAACACTGGCAGCTGTGGCTGCAGCTAATTCTGCCTCAGCAATTAATAGTTCCGCTTCAGCTTCAGCTAATGCAGTCTGTGCCATTTGTACGTCGATTTTAGCTTGTGCCTCTGCAGCTTTAGCAGCCTGCTCTTCTAATTTACATTGTCTGAGCTTTGCTTCAGCTGTGCGTACCACTTGTTCTTGATTTCTAACTTCTTGTTCAGCTTGACTTTGTTTCGTTTCTTCGGTTTTTAGTTCTTTTTCATATTCATTCAGTGTATTCTTTTCCTTTTCTAGTTGTTCTTCGCAATCGCTTCGCTCCTTTGTCAATTTGTTTAGTTGCCCAGTCAAATCTTTAATTTCTCTATCCAGAGTGTTTATTCGATTTTCGGTTGTTTTTTTCTCACTTTCAACTTTTGCCAAGTCATTTTTCTCCCGTTGAAGTTGTTCATCGACCTTCTTTAAGTCATTTTTCAATGAGTTGAGTTCGCTTTCTTTTTCTTTAATTTTGCTCCTAAAAAAGACATGACAAAAATCGTATGATCTATTTGGAAAAAGCTGTTAGCGCAATCCCTTTGGGATTAAAAGTGTGAAACACGTTGAAACTTCTTTTCTGGAATTCGTCTATTACTGTCACTGGTGGTCTGTGGAGCTTCTCTATTACGGTCTGTATTATGATGTATGGACTCTCTAGAAACCATCACAGACCGTGATAGAGAATTCGAAAACCATCACAGACTGTTACCGAGAATTGAGAAATTATCACAGACCGTTACAGAGAAATTAATTAATAATTAATTAATTAACCAATTAACTGATTAATTAATTTCTCTGTAACGGTCTGTGGGGGCGAGAGGCAAATTTCTACCCTATATACTTCAACACTCCTTTCAGATCGTGTTTCACAAAAGCAGCGAGAAAGGACGCTCCACTACGAAAATAAAACTTCAGATAATGTAACCAAAACATTCACATGTTTTGATAAGAGTATTGAAATTCTTGTTTTTTATTTCACTTATTATCAAAACAAAATATCTAAAACTATTATATAAATTATGAAACTATTGACGTTGATTTATCTAAAAACCAATGATGACATCGATAATTACAGAAAACAATGAAAATAAGATTTAAAAAGGCGTGAAAAATAAAAGATTAGTACCTGTAAAAATCATACATTACATTTGTTTTGATCACCAGTATGTAAGTCCTTCTTACATATAGACTTTTGTGGTATTGGATACGGGCACAAAAAAAAGACTAGCAAGTATACTTTCGTTTGCATATTCGATGAGCTAGATCATTGTTAGCATGCCTTTTTTGTTGCAAAAAATTGTTTCAGTTAGGGATATGCGATGTTCTGATTTTCATAGGATTCATTTTGCAATAAATATAAATATTCATATGCTATATTATAAAAATACAATTTTTATGCCAATTACAAAATTTCGTCTGATTTGTTCAAAAGTATTTTATGTTGTAAAATGTGGGCTTGAAGAATCTACTTGCTCTTTTCTATTTTTTATGCGAAACTAATAAAATGTACGTGCATGTTTTTCAAAATAAAAATCATTGTTGGCACTGTGAGTCTTTTATTGTTCTTGCATTATTACACGTGCTTATATAAAAGAAAAGAGAAACCACCAAATCTGAAAAGTGTTTGATTGTTGTGTAATTACACTTCAGTCGAGTACTATGTGTCAGAAATTTTATTGTCATATGTCATTATTGTAAAATTATATTATCAATAGATGATACTGTATGATGAACTTTGATGTAATAAACTGTAAGAGTTCGTTTGTTTCTCTTTTATTTCTGTTTGTATATATGTCTCAAGAAAGCAACAGAAAAAAACGAAATTTTCTAGATATGAGTGACATCTAGACTCCGGCGTTCATCTTTTTTTCGTTCTGTTTTTTTGTAAGTCTCTATGTGAACCAATAGATTATCTTTCTGTTCTCTCATGTATCTAAAAGTGTAAACTAGGTAGGACTCTTGATCTTGCTATTTAGTCGCCGACAAATCCTAAATACAGATTATTTATGATAATTACGCTCTCGAACTTTTTACATTAACTAATGTAACTGCAATTTCAAGGTTATCGCTTCTTGCAAATAGTATATGACTCTATTCAAACTAGTACCACATTTTTTTATAATATATTATTTGATTTTGTGTTATTTTCTTCTAACTCCTCTACTCAGTTTGTTTTTGCATAAAATACATGTCTTTCGTCTTTTCTCTATGAATGTTTGCAGTTCGCTTTTTCTTTCTTTCACCAATAATTGAAATAGACGTTTATATCGTTAGAACACTTTTATACTCAAATTACTATGACCGTTTTGTGCTTTCGCTTTTATTTCGTTCATATTATCATTATTGTTGTACTTCAATAGGTGAAGTATGCAGATATGAGTTGATACTCAATCGTGAACTATTCTTTTCGTTCTTTCTTACTCCTTCTCTCGTTCCTCTTTCTTTTGCATATGCAAGACAGGTATTGTAAAAGAAAGATAGACGATGGTCTAGGTCAGGCATTCATGTATAATTGACAACACCAATGCAAAAACGTCCAAATGTCAGTTGCGCTCATGATAGATCTCTTGTATACACAAGGCCGCCAGTTAGAAGAGAGAGAAAAAAAGGAAGTTTACCAGTAGTTCTCTCTGTGATCAAGAATGAGAAAATGATGTCAGCTTATGTTGACTGCATTAGAAAGGAAGAAAAAATATTACTGCCTGCTTTTTCCCTGGCAGTTATCGTGCTTATTCGCTAGAGAGCTGCAAGTTATTGATGACAAATAACCACCCACACCCAGCTAAATGTAAATGGAACGGAATAAAAGAGATAGACAGGAAATGAGTCATGCTTTATTATTATTATTATTATTATGAATAATATAGAATGCAGTTGTCTATATATAGATGTGAATATATTGAATTTTGTTTTGCAGATCTCTATTTTATTCATCATGACAGCCGAACAGTTTCGAGACTGTTTCGTGGTAAGTTATTGCTCGTAGTATCTATTTTTGATTTCAATTAAAAATTTATAGGGCGAAAGAGGCTATGAAGCTTTAAAAAAACTAATGAAAAGTGGTAATGAACATTGTACAGACATTGCGAAATGTTGGCAAGAACGGTAAAAAAACTCCTAACAACCAGTAATCATATCGATTTCAAAACTCTGTTGTTTAGTTATGACCTTGAGATTGCTTATGCTAAAGGTCTTCGTAAGAACAGTGAAACATTTCAGAAGCTTTCAAGTCGAACAAAAGGGTAAAACTTGAAATAAAAAATAGCTTTTCGTTTAAAAAAACTAATATTATTGTTTTTTCTACTAACTATGCAGATCTTTAGTACAAGCATTTACAACTATCGCTACACAAATCAATATCGAAAGTGAAGCACATAATTCAATAGCTAATATATTACTTAATAAAATATCTATTCCAATGAAAAATCTTGCTGATACACAACTTAAAGCAAGAAAACCGGTAATTATAAAAATTACCTAAGAAAATTTTTGTTTGAGCTGTTTTCTTCTTAAGATTGAGGATGTACTAAATGGAAAATTTAAAGTCTGGAAAGATAAAAGAGAAACCGATACTAAAGTAAGCAAAATAAACATTCGCCATTTAAATAAAAACTTATTTATTATTTCAGTATCGTCAACGTCAATTTGATAATTGTAAAGAAATCGAAGGATTATATCTTAGAATGGACGAAATTCCAAAAACAACAAAAAATTCTGCTAAAGAAACTAGCAAGGTTAGTATAAGAAAAGAAAATGATCCTTTTTATTTTGTCCACCATATCTATTATCATATACAGGAAGTACATTTGGTCACCGCTTGTGTATCCTACGGTGGACATCGCGCATATACCTCTGAAAAGGTGTGAAGTGTGGATATGAGAATAATAATACTTGTTGTTGCACTTGTTTCTTTTTGTTTTAATCTTGAATTTGATTGCTGCTCAAACATAAGAATTTGTTAGTGATAACTAAGATCCCGTCTACAATAGATTTCACATTCTTGATGGTTAGCGGAGTTGTGGTATTGTCAGGAACATATATTTCTCCTGAGAAATGCTGATAATAAAACATTTTCAGCACGATTTGCCATATTAGATTGAGTTTTTAGGAAGTTTATGCCTTCTAGAAGAAAAGCTATAACCTCTTTGAAAAACACGTGATATAGTGTTTAGAGTAATTTTAAATTAAAATCAACAATTTTTTTTCTCTAGTGCAATTTTTCTATGGACTTTTTTATGATGCAGATAAGCTGAAAATAAGCAGTATGCATTGAATCTCACTTTCCATGACGGTGATGTAAACTATTCTTTACATTTGGAGCCATATGGAAACTATTTTGAGTTTAATGGTCGAAAAACATGTTAGGTACATTCGAAGGTTGACCCATTAGTCTGTTAAAATCATTTATTTCTATTCTGAAATAAACAATTTCGATATTGTTGTTACGAAAAAAATGCGTTTATTAATTTTGGGAATGCTTAAACAATGATTTTAATTAATATGAGCAATTTTTCCTTCTTGCTTGTATAAAAATTCAATTGATCAAAGAATATTATTCGTTCTTAACTATGTTTGACTGTTAACACTATACTTTTCTTAACGCTGCTAATGATTTTTTTGATTGATGAAATGGAATATTTACACTGATTACTATTTATTTCATTTTCATCTATAGTCAGCTGCTGTTCTCAGTGATAAAACTACGTTAAATGTAAGAATTTGAATTAGTACTAAATGCACTGACCTTTTTTTAAAATTAATTCATAATCGCTGCCAACTGCTTCTTTATTTTATTTGCAAAATCTAATTCATTAATTAATTTTTGTGCGAGATTTATTTCATTACTAATACATCGTCTGTTTTTTAAAAATAGATTGAAATGTCACTTCGAAAATTGGAACAGGAATTAGAGAAAAACGAAAAAAAATATCATGAATCAACTAAAGAGGTTGAGATAGCAAGACAAACATGTGACGCTGAAATGTGTAGAGTAAGTAGTTCCATTATTAGTTTTCTTTAGGTTGCCAAGAAGATAAATATACTTTAGAGTTGTGATCAAATGCAAACGATGGAACTTGATCGAATTAATGAAATGGAAAAATTCATTCAAACGTACACTAATTCTATACAAAAGCTTAGTGAAACGATGAATCAAGTAACTATTTAGGCTTTCAAATGAGTAGAACTTTCATCTCGAGAAGCAGTGGAGTTGAAAGCCTGCTGGCACATGTGAATCGCAGTTATTCTCACGAGATTTCATATTTGTTTTGAAATTAAAGAATAGGAAAAAGTCAATGTAAAATGTTTACGCATTACTAGGGATGGCACTTTAACTTTACTTTAAAAATTAAAGTTAAAGTGCCACTCCTACTCATTACACATAAATACAATAGAATCGGTTGTTTCAATTTTCGTGATGCAAACAAGTTAGTTTTTATTCCAGCAGAACAAAATTAAACCTAAATTGTTCATTAATTGTCATCAGAGCTCTGTTTTTATTGTTGTCAGTAATAGAAACACATTGAAATCAGTAGTGAGATTCTATATAACTAATATTTTCTTTTTAACAATAAGAAAATCAACGTTAAAATTTCTGCTTTGATGATTTTTATCTATTAAATGCATAATAACAATTCTTTTCTTTAAAAGATAACACAAGAGTTATTCTCTATCCGTATAACACCATCAGAAGATATTGTTACTGAAGGTAAATTAAATCTACAAACAACTGAAACTGAAATTCTACTATATGATATTTATGTATGTAAATGAATGTTTACTTTCTTCTTTAAAGAAAAAGACTTTCTCTTTATCAAGGCGGAGAACGAACCTAATACAATGAGTCAAGAGCGTCGAATATTGAGTCTTATGCATTGGATGCAAATGTTAAAACAAGATATTGAAATACAACGTCGATCAAAAGATGGTTTGTTTTCATGTTTTTTCCCTTTTAAGATTGATAATTTTCTCCTGCCTATGAGATAAGAAAAAAAGCACGTTCATCGTTTTTTGATTATAGTGAGTAGTGTCTTTCCATTAAAATCTCGTGAGGGAGAATCACCAGACGATGATCGAAGTTCATCAAGTGATGGAACGATGCGTTCTAGGCTCGCTCAATCACAAACAGGTACACATTAATGTTGTAATACCTTTTTCTATTGATGATCGTTGTTATGTGTATTAAAATCCGAAAATTATGTAAAAAATAAAATAATAACCCTGCTCGATTGTATTAGATATTGTGGTTCATGGTGAACAGCTTCGGGAAAGTTCATCGTCTTCATCGAATGATGATGATGGCGCTATGTGTCATCATAAAAAAAGAGAAAACCAAAAAAAAAAGGGTATCTTCTTCTTCGTTTTGGTATATATATATATATCATATATTTATTGCACCCATTCTATCAATGCTTGGGCACGATTGTTCGTCATATTTGTCTCTTGATGCTTGTTTTATTTAGATTTTTTTTCATACGAAATTATTTTATTTTCAAATTTTTCAAATCTAGGTATTGAAAACTTACAAGGATTTTGTAAACAAAATCAGAAGTTTTTAAGTAGTGTAAATCCGAGTGAAATATTTACTAATCGTGAAAGTGTAAGAGTGTTGCCATTAAATCTAATCAATCATATTTTGCTTTGTTTAAATTTAAGGTTCGTCTTCTGCAATGTCTCTATCAAGGAAGTTTATACAAAATGGAAGTACTTTATAATCAAATTAAGCATTTACCGGAACCACAATATGAACATTCACAACGTTTTGCCAAAAGTTATACAGATAAAGTTCGTACGAATTAAATCTATGATTGAAGATGAGAATTTGAACAAACTCTACTAGAGGAAAGTTTTCAGCAAAAATTATCACTCTCTATCAGGAAGTTTATGAGTTAAATCTAATAATAATCATACCATTAGTACAATCTTATGTTTTTCGTTACAAAATTCATTCTAAAATATTGAATCCTTTTCGATTTTGCAAAGATTGTAATGCTAATGAAGAATTTTCTTTCTAGGGTGTTCCAACAAGTTTTCTTCGAATTCCATTTCAACCACTAAGTCAAACTCCTGCGTCTGCTCCATCTGTTGTGAGCTGTCTTGCACGTTCAACGCCTGTCTTTGGCGCACCTCCAATGATGCAACAACCTGCACCACCGCCACCATATTCAGCTCATACTCAACCACCAATCGGCTGGGCAATCAATGATATTCCCAATGAGCATTCAGCACAAGGTAATAAGAGAACTAAATTGTTTTATTGATTCCATCAAATCTTTCTCAGATAGTTTTGATTAGTTCACCAATGAAAATGATCTATTCATTGTTATAGATTACAGAGTCTCTCCTAAACACCGTGTTTTTTCTGCTGAAAAACATTCTTGTAAGTTTCAAAGAGTCACAAGCATTTGCTTTAACAAAAACTCTTTTTATCATCAAAAGTTGATCATACTTTTCTTCTTCTTCTTCTTCTTTTATTTTGATCCATTAAGGTCTAAGGTAGTTTTCCAAATTTTGCTATTTAAAAGAAAACGAAACTCACATGCTATAATTGTATCTATTTATTGTATTTTATTCTCATAATAACACATTATTGCTTTTATTTTTACCAACAAACTCATTCAGGACCATATCCAAAGTGTAAGTTAAAATCAATGTGTCCTGATTCATGCATGTGTATGATCTGCTTTCATAAATATATTATTTGTGCCATGAAAGATATTTTCAACAATGAGATAATCCTTTTTTCTTTCTTGTTCGTGTATAGATAATCAATCCATGGCACCTACACTACCCTATCCAGTTCTTCCATCTGTAATGACAGCATCAGCTGACTCTGTTCGACAACAACAACCCACAGCTAAACATGTTAAAGTAATGCATGCCTATGATGCGAGACATGCCGATGAATTAACTATACGACCAGGTACGATCGTATTTTGTTTTTCTTTAAATTTAATTGGATGTACATTCTTTGTTAAGGTGATATTATTGTCTTAATGGAACGGCGTACTGACAATTGGTTTAGAGGTAATTTGGATGGAAATATTGGTTTATTTCCAGGCAATTTTGTACAAGAATTATAAATTTAACACTAGTCTTTAATTTTTAATATTTGTTATTTGATCTCAGTCTTTTATTTCTCTCATAATGCGGGTAGAACAGTGATGTTCAGCGAAAATTAAAAACAAACGGATCGTTGATGATTGAAAGTCATGAGCATAGTCATGCTTTTTTTCTCTTTGCCATCTTTATGTGTATGTGTATTTATATTTATTTTGTTTTTCTTCTTTGTATTTGCCTTGAATGTATTATGCATCTTGATATTGACTGTTGTATTAAGGAAACTAATTATCAAAAAGGAAATCTATCTTTATGAAATGAATTATTCTGTGAAAAAAATACGAACAAATCTTAAGAACAAAATCGACAACGTCATTCTTCTCATTCAGGATAAACGAATCAGACGCTTTGCTTTGAAGTTACATTGGATTTATTTTACATTGTATGCATTATTCTTCGACAGAATCTGATTAGTTATTTCATCGTGAAAATGGTTGGAGACTACTATCGTAGAGAAAAATAAATAGTTGGGCTTTCTTTTTTTCATTATCAAGTTGTTCGTAGTGCCTACAATGTTCTAGCTTTAATGTAAGAGCCAACATTACTTTTATGTATATTAACAAGCAGTAGAGACGATACATTCTCAATGCAGCCGACGAATGTCAGCTCCTCGGTACCGCCGACCTGAATGTGATCTTGTTGTTATTGGATTGTGCTGATGTTCTACTCTTGATGTATGGCAGTAACCGTAAAAAAAACTAAAATCCATTAAAACTATCGTTTATCGGCAACATCCTACACAATCGTACAGAGCTGCCAACTTTTCAAAATCGAACTACTCAAGAGCAGCTACTACAGTTTTGTACCATTAGGTCTATGAGACTAGTCTGCTATATTTATTTAAAAATAAAATATTCTACACAAACAAATTGCAAGTGAAGAATAATACTAACTATACGAGTTTCACTCGGATTCGATGTCTGTAAAGAGAGAGCACATTGTTCAGAAGCCGTCGTTCAATTGGTCTTAGTTTTGTTCGAATTTTGTTGTTGTTCTTTTTCTGCTATGCGTTTAATGTATTTGTCATGTAATGATGTGAACAAGAGCAAGGAAACCATGGAACCGATTAAACAACAAAACATATCACTCTGAGTATCCCATATATAACCTTGAGTACCAAGGAAAGCGTCTGCTGCTTCTCCAGTTGCTTCTGCTACTGCCCATTCAATTAATTCATATTCGGCCGAAAAACTTAATGTAATCGAGACACAAATGAATGCTAATAGCCACGGGCCAGCTTGAATGATTTTTCTTCGTATCAAAACTTCACGTACGATCAGTACTGGTATGAAGCCTTGCGCAAAGTGGCCAATCTTATCGTAGTTATTGCGTTGCATATGAAATATATCTCGAAGACGATTGAAAAATGGAACTTCAGCATAAGTGTAGTGGGCGCCAATCAAGAGAATAACACAATGAATAAATACAAGCAACTGTACAAGATTTGTAAATTGAAGCTTCGGCGAAACAAAAATCATCGTAAAAACACCGATCACTGCAGGAAGAATTTCTAAAAACCATACAAACGAATCGCGCGGTTGAATAGATGAACGCACTAGAATGATAGAGAATGCCAAGAGCAGAAGTACTGCAAGACGACGCGAAGCAGGTGGTAACATCTAGAAATACAGAATTTTTATGATTCTTTATCGTCGTATTCATAATGCTACGTTTTTTTCAGATTCGGGTTTTTGCTCTTGTTCATACATATTCTAATTGCAGGAAAAATCAGATGGTGACAAAATGATTTAAAATATTTTGCGCAAACGCATGAAAATGAGCAAGCCTATGAGCTAATTAGTATGAAAGAAATATGATAGTTATATCAAACAAAGCTAAATCGAATATGTACATGGGTATATTAATTTCGATGGATGAGAGTAGACAGGTTTTGAATTATGCTTGATAATAACTATAAATGAAGCAAGACACTAAAGAGGAGAGAAGACAGGGAGATTATTTGAGCAGCTAATTCATAAAAGAGAAAGAAACGAGAGAAAAATAAAACTTAGACGACACATCGAAAGTAACGAAAAAGTGAGTTTAATGTAAGATATATTCGAAATACACATCAATAGTAAGTTTAATCCAGTAGACGAAGCAAGAACTATATGATCTGTAACGCATTGCATAACTGTATTGACACTCACAGAAAGACGCAGAAATTCTAAGTTAAGCAAAGTCGCTGTTATCATGAACAATTCATTTTCTTTGTAATAAAAAAGATATTCAGACGAATAACAGCAACTATAAGATTTGTCTCTATGATTCTCATCATTAGAAATATTTTTGTAGATAGACTAATGATAGTAATACATTATATGGAATGTGAAGATACGAGATGTAGATGTGGAATATGGATGAGAACACAACCAAGTACTAAAGTTCATCTTAAGCTTTCGGAGCCTGGTTCAATGTAATAGATTAAAATTCTCTAGGCTCGAACATGATCGAAACTCAATATGTACTCACAATATCCTAAATAGAATGATCTTATCAATCTTCATAGTAGCTCGGAAAATGCGAGATGTTTCACTTGCTGTTTATCGAGATTTAGCAACGAGCATGCCCAAAGAATTCTTTCAGACTATTTCCTCATTGATCGATCAACCTAATAGGTTGTCACTATTGAAGTAGCAACTGTTTGAGAAAACCAGGTTATAGGCTGTAATCGATTTCACGTGTCTTTAGATCTTAACTGTAATTCTCTGGATAGGTTTTTGAGAATCTTCAAAATTCATATTTGCACGTTTTTTGTCTTTCATGATTTATCTACTACTTTTGGGATAAGCACTGTCGAAATGTTCTGAGTATATACAACAATACGTATTCGCGTTGGTAAGCTAAAGGAACTAATATTATGAGTTTGTAACTATTTCTACTAGACGACGAGCCGAAAAATTCGACTTCATGGATTAAAACTTGAACGAATTTTTTTCTGAAGGGAATCTCAGTATGTCTGCATACGCATTCGAACGAACGAACAACCAACTGGATACCATAGAACTAGCATTTTCTCGATATTGGGATCATTAAGACGATTAGAATCACGCTATTGCATTCTAATTCAACTTAACAAGTGAAACAGATATAATTATTATTATAACTTCTTGATATTGTTGCGAATTCTCCTTGCGAAGTCTCTATACTTTGGAGATTCCGTATTTCTCTGCATAATAGATGATAGATCAAATAATGACTTACACATAAATAAAAGTTGTTCACACATAAATAGGAATGAATTTTTTCATTTGATGTTACAGGTTTTATAAATCTATAGAGAAAGGTGTTGCATCTGATATTTGCAGAGTAGCACATGGAAAGAGAAAAAACTTCGCATATTTCTCTCACACAATGCATTAAAAACAGAAATAAAACAACAAGAGAGCAACGAGAAAAGCACAACAATGTTCGAGATCAAACACTGAATTGGCTAATTGCATAAACGACAACAACGAAGCAATGGGATCCTTTGGCAGCATAAAGACGAATAAGAATGAAGCTATTGCGACTTATAAGACAGCAAAAAACAAAAATAGTCTTCCTTATAAATAACTATTTGCAACGTAGACTGAAAAACACGTCAAAGATCAAAGATTTGTTTTAAACTCTCATAACTAAATATTGAAGCTATTTGAAAAAGCTAAAAGAAAGTTCCCTGTGCCAGTAACAGAAACATCTGAAGAGTATCAAGACAAATAAGATAGTAAAGTCAACATCTCCAACAAGAGAATGCCATGACATCTATTCGATTCTATAACTCTTATTTTATAGTGCGCCATGCGTTTAATAGTAGCTAAAAATTTTCAATCCACAATAACAAAAAACAATTTGATCAAGAGAGTGAAATGAATCATTTCTTTTTTTATTCGCAATCAACAACCAGTATTTGCTACTCGACAGTATTACTGTAGCTTCAAGCAAAGAAACAGAAATAACATTCTATTGAAAACTTGCTATTATCGTTGACGACAACATTCTTTCGTGTGCTCTGGTACATCGTAGTAACAGCAAACTTTAAAAAAAACAGGAGCGGTCAATAAAAAAAGCCACACCTAAAGATTTTTTTCGGCTTTTAGTCTTTTCTTAACCTGAAGAGGAAGGTTCTTGATGATTTTTAGATTAAGAGGGGCAATTCTATAGAAATTTATGAACTTACAGTGAAAAAGCTGTTCCATATAGCTTTTCCCCCAGTCTAAGAGATATTTCGTTTTCAACAAGATTCGTTGATATTTTTGTAAGATATTTTTGGATGAATATACATCTACTGCTGTACAGACGATGATGAGGAAAACGAAGATAATACTAATATTTGTATCTCACGTATGAGAAAAACATATTTATTTGGTGAGACACATGACACCATTACTATAATATATTTTCTCATGTAAATGTCATTTTTCAAAATTGATCTGATAATGCAATAGCAACGTTATCGATTGCTCTATGAAAGAACAAGCTCAGAATGATGTTGTGAGAGGGCGCCTGCGTCCAGAGAGATACGACCACTATCAAATGCGCAAGTACGAAAGACAGTACTGTTCGGGACAACTATCGAGGACTCTCTCAAAGTATTTTGCTGTTTAGTTATTCCTGTAAAACTTTCTGAACCGATCAGATGCACCACTCTATTGAGATCGACGCATGTGAAACTGAAAGATTGCCTCTTTTTTCCATCGCATAAAATGTAGATTTATTGAAAATTAAAAGTTTGTTCAAAGCGGAACAGGACACGAGCTGTCCAAAACTTGCAAGAAACTTCTCTATCTCCTACAGACAAGCTGAAAAGAAAAATAGTCTTACTTTTTCCTACAAAAATAGAAGTAAAAATGTGGCTGCAGACGCGCTTTATGCACGTGATAAAAACAAAACGTCTATGAAGATTGATGTATCATGTAGACACGTAAATATTTGAAGAAGCATTTCATACCTGTCATAATCAAGCTGAAAAGAAATATATTATTATCGTTCTATGTGAAGCATAAGAAAAGTATAATTATCGGTATAGCTCACATGCTTCATAATGCAAAATCAATACAATTAATGAATCAGTTTGCGCATGAAGCAATCAAACACACATTTAATAGGGCCTGTAATATCTTCAATGGTAAAACAGAAAATATAAAAATAATAGTGAACAAAATGAACATGACACGTTTCGTTCTAATTTGATTCGATGTCACTGTAACTACATAGTTCGATATTAATCATTCAGATGAAATAAACTATTCGAATACAAGAAGGTCACATCTTTCAACGCATGAAAAAATTTTCAAGACCTGTCGAAGATCAAGATGATGCAATTAGCAGCGAAACGAGTTATGAGAAGTCAGTAGCAGTGCATGCAGAAATATATTTCCACGTTCCAAGTGTATTTTCACTGACTTTACCCAATAATATAATCAAATATTTTGTAATAGAAATTATTGCTGCAAAACATTTTGTAGGAGGACATTATAAGCTACATAGATCGATTGTTTTGTGGAACTCACGTATATTTTTGAAGAAAATAGTAAGTGTAAGTTTAAGGGACAGAATTTTGCGGCTCCCCCTCCCCCTCCCCTTACAGACATGCTCACCATTACAGACATTAAAAGCTAATTATTAATTAGAATAAAAAATTTTAAAAATGAAGGAAAAACGAAAAAATAGGAAAATTGCGAAAGCAAAAAGGGCGCCAATCAAAATACAATAATCTTTTGAAAATGTAAAAATAAATGAGAGAGATTTTGCTGTGATGATTAATTATTTTGAAAAATCAGTAGTCTGAGAAATTTTTCATTTTATACATTTTTATTGGTTTATCGAGGCTTCAAGGAAATACGTGAGTTTCACATTTTAGCCCCAAAGGGGCAGCGCTGAATAGCTTTTTTCAATGTATTCGGCACAGATCCATTCTGGAAGTTGTGTTAAGAAAGATTTGTTTGTTGCATATCTATCAAATTAATTCTAGTAAAATACCTTTTTTAAATTTGCAAAAGGGCCCACTGTACAAGTACAGAAGATTTATAGATCCATTGTCATCATCAACTCTGTGAGTTACGCAAGATAATTTTTTGATCACAATTCTATTTATTCGATACAACTTTTTCTGACAGTAAATTAACTTGGTTATTGGTATGTTCTATTTTTTTCTCCGTCAACAGTTTTATTAAACTTGGTCAATAACTATAATGACACGATCAAGAATTACGCAAAGCTTCGACTGTTTTATATTTGTGAAGTAGTTTTACCTTCGTTTTGTTCCGGTCTAAATCAAATCAGATGATAAAAAAGCAATAATCGAAAAATTTATTAAAAATAAAATGCATTCAAAATTTCTTTTGCTCATAGGACAACTGGTGCTCGACATTGTCGAAAAACAAAAGAAATAGAGAAGACGCTGGTAAACAACCTTTTGAATCAAGATTCACAACTGATAAATTAGAGCAAACACTAGCCGCCGCAGTGGAAAATTTAAGATTTTTGGAGCCGTCGCCGCCGTCCCCTATCATTGATATTGTCAATTTTTATTTATATTTTCATTTTTTTAATGAATTTCGAAGTTTTTATTCATTTTTCATCTCAATATGATATATAGAGATGCACCAATTCCTACTACATGGTCTGATAGACGACATTTGTGCCTGACAAAGAACACAGTTTTCCGCTGATTCCATAGAGCGGTCAAGATCAATTTTTTCGCCTTCTTTGAAACCATAGTCGGAATTTATGAAAGATTTAAAAAAATACTTCGGATTTTACGTGGATTTTACATAAAATTAGAATTTTCAAATTTTATTGGGCCAAATGCTTTGAAATCTAACTCAATTTCAGACTGAAAGTTTGTATTAGACAAAATCTAGCGGCGGTTCCATGGGGTGGCTGAGGGGGATTAAGTTCCCTCAGGTAATTTTTAGCCGGCCATGAATCCCTCCCAGTGCAAAATCCTGGCTACGGCGTTAACAAAATCTAAGAATTGACTTGAAGAGCGCGTTCAAAACTGAACAGAAATAATATGAAAAAAGATGCTCGGCTGATAAGTGCGAATGACGAGCATGCTCTTTTTATACAGGGGGAAAAAACAATTCCTAGAATTTTTGATCTAATGTTTGCTTGTTTTCAGTATCGAGAGCTATCGACCGAGCATCTTTTTTCATATTATTTCTGTTCAATTTTGAATGCTTTCTTCAAATATATTCTTAAATCTTGCCTAGTACAAATGACAAGTCTGAAATTGAGTTGAATTTTGCATAATTTAAGCGCACAAAACTTGCAAATTCTAATTCTATGTAAAAATCCAGGTAAAATCCGAAGCCTTGTTAAAATCTTTCATAAATCCCGACTGCAGCTTCGGATGGAGCGAAAAAATCTAACCTTGACTAGTCTATGAAATAAGCGGATAACTGCATTCTTCATCAGGTAAAAATATCATCTGCGGACCATGTACTAGGAATTGGTGTATCCCTAATTTATTTAAATGTACTTTATTTATTATGTCAAGATGTAAAATAAAGTTGTTTCACATATTTGTTTGAAAATATTAACGATAAGATATTGCAATAGACAGACTGTTCTTGTTCACAAAACTAGTCCTTTTTTAACCTTCCAGGCGCCGCCGATGAGCACCTCGGCTAACACCTCTATCTGTGGTACATTTTCAACTCAATGGTGAATGATCTTTTTTTGTAAAATCGTGTGATACTATTTTTTCGCGTTTTGTAAGTCTTGTATATGAAATCCATGTGAAATAAATAATAGGTCATCGATGAAAAGAATTCTACTAAAAACATTATTAGAATAAAGCATCTGATCATAGCACCAAACGAACTTAATAGAAACCGCCGGTAACCGCCGGTTTTTTTGCGGTTTCGATCACATGGAATATCATTCATGAAATTAGGCAACTTACTGGCGCCATCTGTAACAGTCACCGGAAAACAAATAGTATTAAAAATAGATCTTTTGTCATATCCGGTAGTTCAAATTTTATCATTCACAAAAAGATAGTTCAATGTATTTGATGTTTACGTAGTGGAGATCTCTAGATGAAATGTTATTGGTCACAAACATTTGACCATATGAGTGTGTATGTTGGCAAGCATACATACATCATCTAGCGTATGCAATTGATGATGTTTTGATTCAATATTTTATTATATTATAGCAAGTTCTTTTAAATTTCAAAATGGGCGCACAATATTCTTCCTTAAACGATATTAAAACGAACGAATATATATCTCGTTTCATCAGTGAAGAAGCTATATCAGCAAAGGATCCATTTTGGAATCAATTTCTTTCTTTTAGTCAACAATCTCCATTCACACCGTAAGAAAAGTGCCATTGATATATCCAAAACAGTCGAAAAAGATAATTTCTATTTCTTCTAGAACATACTCAAAATTACTTGATGAGTCATGTTTAATACATCTCCAACAGTTTGTCTTGAATAATCCAAAAACCAAAAATTATGGAACATTAATTGAAGTATTTATTCGTTTCGCTAACATCATTCATGATGATTGTAAAAAGTATGCTTAAAAAAATACATTATTCTCAAGTGATATTTTATTCTATTTTTCAGTTATATTGTTATAAGTCAAACACATAATGCTTTATTTATTCTTCGTTTAATAACAAAACATCTTATTGAAATCGATTGTGAACAAAATCTTTATCCATATTTTTTACCACAAGATACTTCAACTGAACGCCCATCATTAATGACTGCATTTGTTGACACATTATTTCGTACTACAATCACTCAACCTGTTGAACCAGATTCATATAGTTTACATTTGGAAGTACTAAATACGTTACTTTCATTATTATCTATTCAAATGTGTGCGAAAGAAGATGTACTTATTAGTGCTGTCTATAGTATTTTTATGCATAGACTTGAGTATGTATATATTTTTATAAAAAATATTTTCGAACGAAAATTTGTCTAGTTCATTATTAATATCGGAATTTACACGAACTGTATTAGAACATTTTATCAAGCAAACTGAATGTCCATCATGGTTATCCGCTGATTCATTTGATAGATCAAAAAATGATAGTGGAAGTTTATTTAAAATTGGACAGAGTGTTGCAAGTAAGCTTAACGATATGCTTGTTTAGTTTTATAGCGTGTCTGTTGCAAATCATTCAATGGATTGTAGATATTGTTTTTCTTTACCATAAGAAAAGAGTTATAGTCATATGTAATAGACTAAAATAGGGGTGTTTGTGTGTAAGAATAAAATTAACGTGAACCTTGAAATATTATTTTCTTTACAACACGAGTAACTTTGCTTAGGGACTTTCGTAGAACAGTCGAAATGAAATATATATATATATATATATATATAGGCATAATGTCATCCATTTACGGAATACATAAAAACTCTAATATATCTGTCTCATGAGAGAACTCGTTTTTGATTGATGCGTTTTGAAGACAGACTGAGCACTAATGAACGATGGAATTACATTTTTATGATGTTCTTCTCGCTGAATGTCTTTCGGCGTGTTCAGCTTCTCTTGATCACATTTTAGCATAGCAAACGAATATTTATAGATTCTGACATGATTTTCCAGTACGAATTGCAAAGATAGTTTCTCTGATATTTCTGAGAAAGATTCCGACATTTACCTATAATGCAGTAAATTCTAGAGTGATTCATCGTTTTCAATATAAAAGCAATTATGAATGAATGTGAAAACACAGCTGGGGATATTAAGTGAATTTTGAAGAACATTTAACTGATTAGTCATTGGCAACTCTCACTTATTAATTATTAGATTCTTGTCTAAAACATAACTGAATCATCTTATACAAAAAAGCATCAACGTATGTTTTGATTTCGCTGTTGAAACTAAAATCTACACAGAATCTGGTCCAAGATTTTATTTTATTTTTATGTATAGGATAATGATCGGAGTTTTTTTTTCATCCCAAGTATTATCGATAAGGCTTCTACTATGTTCAATACAGTTTTACTAATGCCAATATTTTAAATAAACTACATTCGATAGACTAAAAGTTACTTCAACTTCGATTACGATTGTTTTTGAATATTCTCTAACGATCCAACTTCATATTTTTATAATATCCATCAATGAAATAAAGATCTAACTAATATCATTTATTCGAAGTCGGAAATGAGATTCACTCCTAATCATATTCCTTGATGAGATCTCGTTGATAATTAGTTTCAATTTGTGCTTCTTTTTTTCATTCAATAGGTAGTTTTTGGTCAGTAGTCACTCTTGGTATGGGTTCATCAACAACACCAGCTGTTGCCGAAGCAACAGTAACACCAATCGATTCAAAAAATACTCTTCGTAATCATCATTTAGCAAATCAAAGTATTCATTTACTGTTGATTCTAAGTAATCATTTTACGAATGATCTACATCGAAATCCTTATCGATTAGCTCTATTACATTTCACTGATACACAAGGCAAGAACATCAAGTAGAAGAATAACCGCGTTTTAAATTGATTTCTATCATTTCTCTAGATACTCCAACAAATTTGCCGGATTCAGAACCATTACCATGGTTTTCTATTGATTATCATTCATTATATGATGTGCTTTGTCAAACAGTACATACAGATCAAAGTACAATATTACTTTATATGTTACTTCATCGGAATCAACATTTTAAAGCTTACGTTATATCAAGAACAAATATTGATCAAATTGTAAAGAATTTTTTCTTTTTATTAAATTATTCTAAATGTTCGTGTTTTTGTTTTTTCTCTCTCTTTCTCAAAAGGTACTACCAATTCTACGAGTTATCTATACAGCTACGGAACGAAATTCTCATCATGTTTATATGTCATTAATTATACTTTTGATCTTGTCCGAAGATGATTATTTTAATAGAACTGTTCATGATATTAAATTGAAGAAGCTTTCCTGGTAAATTAGATTCTATGAATGAGCTAAAGAGATTTTTAATATTTAAAACATACTATATACGCATAGATTAGTCTATCAGTTCTCACGGAAAAAAGAGAGAAAATCTCCAAAGATTCAATCGGTGTTTATTTGAGATGATTATTATTTGATTAGCCTCGATAAGTATTATCTATTTTCAAAGGTTGGAATTTTGCACTAGCACTCCGTCCATATAGAAGCCTCATACTTGCTAGAAACATATTTTGTTTGATTAATCATCATGAATAATCAAACGAAAAGCAATACGCACAGTTAGAAATATTCTCTGAATAGAATCGAAACTGAAAATAACCTATTGAAGTGTATATTTGACTATCGTCAAGTATGAGAATCGGCGCTTTTTCTAAATCCTTTGGCAAGATTTTCTTTTTAGTTGCATTACTGTAAATATATTTGCGAGATACGCATGTATTCACGACCAAAGTGACCCTCCGGTATATTTTAGCTATACTATTTTGATATTTGTAACTGAAATAAATGCAAGATATTTTCAAAGCTCATTATTAAAGAATAAATATGAAAAACAAATCCGGTGTTGCCATATGACAACATTTCCCCCTAGGGGGGTACGGCAATTTCCAAACAGCGGGCCGGAAAGGATTAAATTATATCAGGGGCGCGTAAAACGACTTGTTTTAAGTTTTGGGAAATAGATGAGATTTATCAATCTGCCTGTAGTTTAGTACCTTGATTCAAAAGGCTAAGATATATTTTTCTTCTTTTAAACTAGTGGAGACATGACAATCATTTCTTTGCTTTTCAACGAATCAATCAACTACTATATTCTATTGCAGGTATACCGAACGATCAATAAATGAAGTAACACTGGGTGGCTTACTAATCTCTATAGTTCTTCGTACAATCCAATTTAATATTGCACGTATGCGTGACAAATATCTTCATACAAATTGTCTTGCTACATTAGCAAATATGTCGTCACAATTTCAAAATCTACATACATATATAACACAAAGAATTATTTCCCTATTTAATTCTCTGTCACGTAAACATTCGAAAATCTTAGATGTTATACAGCAACAATCGAAACAAGACGACACGGAATCAGTTACAGTTCTAACAAATAATATTCAATCAGTAGCATCAAATGATGAAAGCTTCAATGAAAATATTCAAGATCTATCGATTATTGAAGATGTTATGAGAATGATTTTAGAGATCATCAATTCTTGTTTAACTCATACACTTCGATATAATGTTAATCTTATATATGCTTTACTTTACAATAGAGAGATATTTGATTATTACAGAACACATCCAAGTTTTCAAGATATTTTACAAAATATAGATACGGTAAGAAAATTTGTCTTGGTTCATCTGACAGTTTTTGTTTTTTAAATAATATTTTAAATTTAGGTCATTACATTTTTTGCTGAAAAAATTGACCAGCTAGAACAACGTTCAGCTGAATATATTAAAGAAACATTAGAAATTAATGTTAAACAATTTCCATTAGACCGGCTAAAAGTAATTTTATTACGATTTCGCTCTGGTAAATATTTCGTTTGATTTGTTTTTCAAGAAATTCCCAGACTTGAAATTTAAATATGTGGAAGAAGAACAACCAGAAGACTTTTTCGTTCCTTACATTTGGAGTTTAGGTATACAAATTTTTGTTTTATCTCTACATTTAAAGTGAATTCGTGTTTCTTTTTTAAATTTAGTTCATAAATCGTGCAATTTTCATTGGTCATCAGAATCAGCTCTCATGTTTTTACAACAACCGTCGGACTCTTAAGGATGAAAGTTTCTCTTTTTTAAGGATTTTTTTCTCTTATAACTGGGTACTGTGTATTTGCGCTTCCTTTTCTTTGGTTCTATTTCCAAATTGCATATGAAAAAATAATCATAATAAAAAGAAATTTTAGATTTTAAATAGAAGTATTTATTATGAATTACTCGGCAAATGATCCAGATGATTTGGTACGGAAAAAAATTGATTTGAATCATATTACAAATATGAGTAAGTTGATATGTTCGTTTTGTCTTGGTTTTAAAAATAAAACGATTAAGTTAAGAATGAAAGCAGCGAGTAAAACGTTTTTAAGTTTTAATAGATTGCATATAATGACCGCTTGAAAAAATCTTATAAATAGAATGTAGCACATTCTGCATGTCTATCATAATTATCTCTCGAGTGGATTGTTCTTATATGTACTGGTTTAAATATTTTCTTCTATCACAGATTTACTTGTAGGCGCACTAGAATTTATTTTAATCTTTCTCGACCAAGGTAAAGTTCGATTGAGCACACTCTTTGTCTTTTTATTTCTCATTAAATGCATTAAGATTTACAATAACTACGGTATTATAGACAAAATCATTGCATAAGCACTTCTAATAAAAATAACTCGAACTCTTCAGATATCGTTTATAATGAATTGAATTGTAAATTAAAAGTCATCAAGTGAAAAACATCACTGTAACTGGAATAGATTTAAAAATTGTAATTCAATTGATAGATTCCTCTCGTTTTTAGGTCATCAAATGCATGTGCCCGAAACAATTACAGTTGGTCCTAATCGATCAACTGCACCTCGTCTCTATCATGACGATGATCGATTACCTGTTCGTATGGAAGTACCAAACACTATTCGACTTGGTTAGAAAAACCGCTCTATGGTTTTCTGATGACTATTTCTCTTATTTTAGCGGGTCATACCGATATGGAAACGTCTCATGGTACGAATAATTCAACAAGCAATGATCAAAATCGTTTATCGGATTTAATTGCACAACAAAATACATTTCATTCATCAGATAATGATCCGTTAAGTGATGATGATTATACAACAATTGATAAGCCTGATCATAGTCAACCATATCAGCCAATCAAATTAGCTGAATCGTAAGATTTACTATTGAGCAAAACAAAATAATAGAAATTTTAACTGGTTTTTTAGATGGCATATGGAGTCATTTACAGAAATTGATGATAAACAAGTGTTAAATAAACTTCAATTACTTCACAATCGTATTACTCGTATTGAACGAACGTTGGCAAGACGAGATTTTCGTGATCGATTTGTTTATACGTTTATGATTGGTTATATACTTCTTCAAGCTTTATTTTCTGTTCGTCGTTCAATGCTTAACTAAAGATAAAAAGCAGCACCCCAACATATTTGATTTTCCATTTGTTTTCTTTGTTCTTTGTCATGTGTAAAAAAAATCTTATTTTTCTCGCTGTTGGCGCAGTAAAATTCTACGAAGCAAAACAAAAATTGACTTACATTCATTTCAGATTCTATCATCTCAAATGAGTATTTACATAAGAGAAGTAAATGACACTGCAATTTACGTTTCAATTCCTTTTCTTTGTGCTTAAAATTAGGATTTAACACGTAATGAAAAGATCCAGCAAGCAAGAAGAATTTTGAATGAAAATAAACATTCACTTGATGCATGGTCGATACTCATTCAGGATGCTCAAGTTTGTTATTTTTTTTATCAAATTGAATTAAAGAATTTCTATTTTGAAAAAATGTTTCAGGATAAGAAAATAGCAGAAACTCGTGAATTTTATGAATCTCTGGTGACACAGTTTCCAACATGTGGAAAATTTTGGAAACTCTATATTGAATCAGAAGTAAGTTTTGATTTATTTATTAGAGAAAGAAAAGCTAACAGATGGAATATTTTAGATGAAAGGACGAAACTACGAAAAAGTTGAAAAGGTATGTATTTTTGAAGTCGAGAAGATCTATACATCTTGATATTATCAGTTGTTAATAAGGCAATTAGTGATTTGCATAGTTATTGACAATTTTTCTTGTAGGACATAATTCAATCTCAAAATAAAAAGAAACAGTCTCTTTTTTCCTCATTCAAATACATGTGGTACGATGAAAAGCTACTTTATAGGCACTACTCAATAGTTAACTTCGACTCCTTTTTCTATCTCATTCTGTTCCCATAAAATAATATGCAAACCTTAGAAACATATTTTACAACAAGATGTGATAGATACGCTTTCCTGCTTTTACAACGCGTACTGCTCGGAAGATAAATATTTTCAGTCAAACGAATTTATAATTTCAAGAACTAGTGAACAATCGTAGATTTGATTTTCGTAATATTTATTCTGGATTAGGAAAGGAGGTTTCATTGTAAACAAGAGAGATGTCTGTAAATGAACAACAATAATAACGAAATTGGTTATAAGATAACTTTAGTGTGAATAAATGTTCGTAGCTGTTTAATAATACTCTGGAGGATGTTTCTATTAAGATAATAGTTTATGCGAAATTGCTTGTAACCATTGCAGTATTTTTAATTGTCTATTACATTTAGTTATTTCAACGATGTTTAATAAAAGTATTGAATATTGATCTATGGAAATGTTATTTAAATTATGTTCGTGATACTAAAGGCAAACTATCATCATTCAGGTTTGAATTGTTTTCTTGTTTATTTAGAACTTACATTTATTTTGAAACAAGAGTAGATCAGTAAACTTCAAGATACTGAACATCTGTGCTCGCTAAAATTGTTCCGTAGACAGTTTGGGATAAAACTATTCTTTTGATTTTGTAGAATAGATAAATAAAACACTTGACATTCACAATTTAGTTTTGAACTAGCAGTGCGTTTGGTCGCCGTAATAAATTGAGAAATACTCATAAATAGAAATTTCTTATGCAAACTACTATAAGCGCGTTATAAAAAAAAGTAGCATGTCCTTCGCTTGCTCTCGAGTATATTGTCAGTTGTGAGGATATTCTATATTTTATGGCTAAATGTCAATTTAGGAAAACAAGCATTTAAATGGAGGCATCAATCATCGAGAGTACACCTCAAAATTCTTAGTTGACCAATAACATCCAGAGACGAGGGGCAGTCAAGCAAATAGTGTTCGTACTTTTTTGCTAATAAAATAAATAAAAATTTTACTGACCAACTATTATGTTTACTCACAAATTTATTTAATTTTCAAGGTTTCTGAAAGGATAGATTTATATTTATATTACCTGTATATATTTGTTCAGAGAAAAAATGGTGCAAGCGTACGATTTTGCATTGGAAAAAATTGGAATGGATGTCTATTCATATACTATTTGGAATGATTATATTACTTTTCTTAAATCTGTGTAAGTATTTTTCAAATGAAAGCAAAATAAACATAAATTGATTTTTATTCGAATTCAAAATATAAATATTTCATCGAATCGAATGTGTTTTGTTTTGTAATTCATAGTGAAGCAGTTGGTTCATTTGATGAAAATAAAAAAATTACAGCCGTCCGAAAAGTCTATCAAAAGGGTATTATGACACCCATGACTAATGTGGAATTATTATGGAAAGATTATTGTACTTATGAAATGGTATGTTAATATTCTATAAATTAAAATCAACTATTTCAATTGAATGTTGTTATTAGGGTATTAATCAAACACTAGCTAAAAAAATTATTGAAGAACGTTCTCGTGAATTTTCAAATGTTAAACGTGTAACAAAAGAATTTGAAACATTAGCACGTGCTATCGATCGTAATATACCATGTGTGCCACCCTCAGCACCACAATCAGCTGATGAAATAAAACAAGTAACGGCATGGAGAAAATTTATTCTATGGGAACGATCGAATCCATTGAAAACTGAAGATGTATTACTTGTTGCTCGTCGAGTTGTTCTAGCTTATGAGCAATGTTTACTTTGTCTTGGTTATCATCCTGATCTTTGGTAGGTATTTTCTTTTGTTTTTGGAAAACTATGTGGCGATTTGCATTCAGTTGTTTGTTAGTGCTTTATCGTATCTTACGAGGAAAGGTCACAAAGTGTTTGTAACGATTTCTGATGTTATGGATATTGTTATGTTTGGCGTTGAGTGTAAATTTTATTTCAATATCAAAAATCGTACTCTCCTGTATTTCTCTCGTTCCTTATATACTATTTTCTAGCATTTAAAGACCTTGAGAAATACCGTAAATACAATAAAACAAGAAAGTGTAGTATAAGATAAGGTGTACGCATTGGTGCTATGCTAACGTGCTGATGGTGGGATAAATATTACAACGGTGATGTTGCATACTCCATCTGGTACTAAGCGCGAGCCAAGGACAAAATACCTAGTACTCTTGCGTAGTGAGAAAGAGAACTAGATAAGAGTATGGATGAGAAACTAGCAAGATGGTGCCCTTGAGGTTTATTTCATTCTAGGGTTTGCAACTTCTAGAATAGATCGTTACAGTGTTCAATCGCTTTTGCGTTGAAACTGCTTACATTATGTAGCTCCCAAGGAGTTATGAATACGCTGAAAATATTTTGGGCGGATAGCTTATTGTTACGAAAATAGACCATTTCTAAGGTATGGGTTTTAGTGAGAGCCTGGGCTCCCCCTCAGAAACATTAAAACAATTGATTTTTGAATTTCAACTTGAAACTTTACATAGAAAGACGCCCTAAGGAGGACAAGTTTTTGTGAACATTTCAGACCTTTCTACGTTTCCTATCACTAGACACAGTTATTGTGAAATTTTTTATTTTACATCTTTCAAATAAAGTGGCAGATTTTATGAGAAAAACAAATTCAATGACCAAAAACATTCATAAAACACTATTCTCGTTGAGCTCTGTTGTTATATAAAATTTCAAATCAAAATTCGAAAATCAATTTTTCTAATGTTCCTGAGGGGAAGTACGGCAATCAAAAACAATGCCATTAAAATGGTCTATTTTCTTAACAATAAGCTATCTGCCCAAAATATTTTCAGCGTATTCATAACTCCTTGGGAGCTACATAAAACATGCAGTTTCAACGAAAAAGCGATTGAACACTTGGTGGTCTTCCCTCGTTAGAGATAGGAATTTCATGCTAACTACTAACAGTAGCTATGTCAATGGCAGCTATCTGATGAATAAATTCGCACAGGATTTCGGTTATCGTATGTTTCATACTGTAAGACTTAACGAATCGGATCGATTAGCAGCAGCAATTTCTAGTTTAAACCAGTCACAGTCTTGAAAATCAAAACATTATGAAAGTAACAGATTATTACTTCATTTCATGGTAAAGAAATTGTCAATATATATATCAAACGACACGAAATTTAACTATTAATTCTATATTACGTTTTAACAAATCATTAAATCGATACAAAATTTGATTTAATTTTAACATTATAATCTATTCAGGTATGAAGCATGCGCATTCTTAGAACAAACATCACGTGAATATTCTGACAAGGGTGATGCTCATTTAACAAAGCGTTTTCTTGACGATGCAGCTATATTATATGAACGTTCAGTTCAAACATTTATGCGTTCCAATATGTTGATACATTTTGCCTATGCCGATTTTGAAGAACAACGCTTAAATGTTGATAAAGCTCGCTCTATCTATAATCGTTTATTAGATGTCAACGAAGCAAACCTAAAAGATCCAACATTGGCCTATATACAAGCCATGCGTTTTGAACGACGTACCGAAGGTATAAAAGCAGCACGTACATTATTTAAACGTGCACGTGAAGATACACGTACAAATCATCAAGTCTATGTTGCAGCTGCCTTAATGGAATATTATTGTTCGAAAGATAATAATATTGCATTTAATATATTTAATCTTGGCTTAAAAAAATACGGTCAAAATCTTGATTATATCTTAGCTTATATTGATTATATGACACATTTAAATGAAGATCATAATGCGCGCGTTTTATTTGAACGTATTTTATCGCCAAATAATTCAATTACGAAACAATCTCAACCAGCAATTTGGCATGAATTTCTTAGATTTGAATCTCAAGTAGGCGATCTACCGTCGATAAAGAAAGTTGAAAAACGACGGTTAGCTTTACATGTGGAATTAAATGAATTAGAAGGTCGAGAAACATTATTACTGGTTGATCGTTATAAATTTCTTAATTTATTACCATGTTCAAATGATGAACTTAAATTGCTTGGCTATAAAGATGTATCAAATATAAATCTATCGTCGACAAATACATCATTACTAACTAATGGTTCAGTTGTTAATGGTACAGCATTATTAGAACAAGCTGCCAAAGATCGACGAGCTATTTTACCTCGACCTGACATTAAACATTTAATGCCTTTTCGACCAACACGTAATCCACTACCTGGCAGTCATTCAACACCCGGTGGAGTTTTTCCATTGCCTGACACAGCACTTTATCTTGTTAAAGTTCTTCCGCCATCAAGAAATTTCGAAGTAAATAAATTTTTTCGAAGTCACAAAAAAGCAAACACTTTAATTCTTTGATTTATTTTTTAAATAGGGTCCATTTGTTATTATTGATGACTTAATGGAACGAGTTGCTCGTCTCAATATACCTGACAGTAAGTTTTTTTCCCATTCATATTCACTTTTCTTTAATAATTGCTACCTAAACTCTTCGATATATTTTTATTAGCTGAGAGAAAAACTTGCCTATATATAGACTACAGTATTCCCCTTGATCCTTTAGAAATATATCCAGCGGAAAATGAACTAAAACGAATGCGAGACAAATTCAGTATGCAAATAATATTAAATTGAATACAAATTGATTTACGTCCGGAAAAGAGGCGCCTATTGAATCCGAAGTGTTTATGAAATTTTTCATAGTGATATAACATTTAAGTCTGTGCGCATTTTCAGATTTCGATCCAGTACGTATCAGTGTTCAAGGTGAACTAATTCGTGATCTCGATTCATCAAATGCAAACAATAGTCAACAAAGTCGTAAAATGGGTCTTGCTGATAGTGACGATGAAGAACAACAACCTCAATTGAATGCGAGTGACCGTTCAACTATGGATATTTATCGACAACGACAACAAAAACGTGTTAAACTTACAAAAAACATTTCTACGGATCAAATAACAGCTCCGGTGGTTACTTAATGTCTGTTCTTTTTTTTTTCTGTGCTGTATTCTTCCTTTTTTTTGTTTCCATATCAAGTTCATGCTGAACCATTGTGTATGTAAATAAGAATTAATCACTGATCGAAAATACACTCGAATCAATGCATTAAAATATTTTCTTTTTCTTGTTTTATTCAACGAAACAATCTGGTAGAAATCAATTGTATTATTTTTCTGATGAGGAAATCGATGTCTAAGTGACAGAAGCGCCTGAGAGACGATACTTGTTATCTTAGTTAGTCCATTGAGAACAAACAAAATCTTAAATAAGTCATGTTCAAGTTGCTTTTTTCTCTCGATGTGCGACTATTTTTACTGAGCGTACAGTCAAGTGTTGAACATATCATCGAATATTTGTCGTTGCTATTTTGTCTATGGCGAAGCTATTTTTTATGTCAGATCGAAACAATCGTTGGAGCTGAAAGTTTCAGTCTGTAACATGAATTTTGAATATAGAAGCGTAGGAACGATAAATGATTTTGAAATTTCGCATAGAGACAAGCATTTATGAGAATAGTTACAAGCTCCATATTCAAAACTTGTTGTAGCTCATAAGATGCGCATAATTACAAATCAATTGATATAATTTCTCTATAAGCGTTGAAATTATTGAACAAAAATATTTTAAAAGGCGGTACCTTTATAATTTTCAACATCTGTATTAAGGAGCTAAAATTTGATCACAAATCAAACTATTTGAAAAAGTCCAACATCTAAAAAATTCACCCAAACATTAATTCAATTATGTACTTTGATAGCAAACGGGCGTCACTCGATTGCGTACACGGAATACCGCATTATAAAATGCCAATGTTATTCTTTTATGCTAAGATATCGTTTAATGACTCGTAACTTTCTTAGCGGCCAACTAAAAAATATCGTCCTGCCTTTTGAAACACACATCAAAGACAAAATAGAGTTTCGAGTAACAGAAAAGTTGACACAACTTTCAGTAATAGACAATCGCGTATACTTGCTATTTAGAAGTATCGAGGTAGCAAAAAAAACTCATTATTTATTCTACTGTCACTAGAACGTCAGTCGAAAGGTCATCCACTCTTCTAAATTAGAAAATGACGACATAATATAGTTATACCTTCATATGTAATGTGTGAGAACAGTTGGCATTCATAGATGGAAAAAAGAGTCGCAGTTTAACGAAGCAAAGCTGGCAACTTTCTCGAATCAATTCTCTTTCAGCTGAACTAAACTATGACTCGATAGAAATACAATTAGTTCTTTATTATTATGTTTCTATTTGTTCCAATTTGTAGATGTCTCGTCTAGAAGATCTTCCGGGCGAAATCCTCATGTTAATATTTGAATATATGGATGTTGAAGATGTTTGGACAATATTTTTTAATATGACTGTCAGATTTAATATACTTGTATTTGATTCTCGTTTGCGTTTAACAGTGAATACATCAAAACTTGGCAAATCTAAATTCGATGAATTTTGTTTATCATTAGCTGAGAGAAATTGCAATAATATTTATTCATTGACATTATCAAATAATTATTTTCGATATCCACAAATTCGTCAGTTTCTATTCAATACAAGTTTTATTTATTTTCAATCGTTATATTCATTAACTTTAATTGATATAAATTATGGTGAATTGATGAAAACAACAAAGCAAATAAAACAATTAACTAGTCTAAATCATTTGCATATCAATACACACGAAATATTTGATGATAAACAACTGATGGATGCAGCACAAGCACTATTGGATCAACCAAAAATACATGTTTTAGATATCAATTTTCATGAAGTAAATTAAATAGAATGCTGAATGAAAAGGAGATAGATTAGATTCACGCTTTGCTTCTGTTCAATTCTATTTTGAATTCTTGGTCTTGGGGAAATTTCAGTAATAGCTAGAAGAGAAGTGCACTCCTAGAATGAGAAGTATCTGCATGGTCAATGGCATGGTTCGGTCCCTTAAATTAGAATCCACGTATAGGGATGCTCGGGCTCATCAAGTTTGATATATTTCTATCTCTCATATTATTATTTTCGCCCTTCCATTTCTTAGAAACAAAGAAAGATATGACTATATGAACTAAAATCATTTAATATTTTACTGTACGAGAAAATTTACTCCGTAAACGAAAGTTAAATGAATGATATTTTTTCATTATTTTCTTATAGAAAATGCAATGGCATACAAACAAACTAATTTTATTATCTAACCTTGAAGTACTATCATTAAACTTCATAAGTATTGATCGATTATTCTCACTTTTACCCTATTGTCCAAAACTTCGTTCACTATCAATGACACTTGATTCTCGGAGTACTTCATCCGCGCCCAACGATGCGAGTGAACTATCAACAAAACCAATTCAAACATTTCCTCAAATACGCAATCTTCGATTTTGTCTTCGTTCATTTAATCTCCCGGTTCTTCAATGTTTATTAAATGCTCTACCGTCGATTACACTTTTGTCAATCGATACTCTCATATACAATGAAGAATATATACGTGCTCCGTTTTGGACATTATTATTACAGCAACGATTACCATTGTTAGAACGTATCAGATTAATTTTACGAGGATTTTTCACTTTACAACCAAATAAAGTTATCGTTCTATACCGACGAAATCTCATTGATGGTTATAAATGCGATCGATATTGGCTTGATCGAGCGCATAGAAAAATATTCGTTTGTTACGAAAACCCAACGTCCGTGGTGCTTCAAATTCGATAAATCTTTTTGTATGAAATTTTTAATGCTTTTTTAGCGCTGTAATTTTTCTTTGTATTAATAAGAACGAGAAATTATTTACTATAGAAGAATGACTTGATAAGGCATGAAGAGGTTCTTTCGTACGAGCGTTTAGAAATCAAAATTTAATCGGTACATAAAGCTAGCCGTCCGTAGAATATACTGAAGTTTCAGCCGGGAATAATATTCTAATGAGAGGATATTCAATTTTTAAAAACATGATAAGTTGCCATTGGTATATCAAATTTTCCTTGAAGTTTCAATTGATCGACTGAAGTTTTTAGGATATTTGATGGATTATTAGACGAAGCCTACCGATGAAATTATAAATCAAAAATAGAGTAGAAATTTCGTACCATGTCCTCCATCATAGGTCACATGCCTTATCAAGTCATTGTGTTGAATTAATGATAAGCTTAATCCTTAGCTATTCATTCGATCGATTATTTTTGCTTGTTTTTTTGCTTCTGTTATACTGATAGATATTCGAAGAGTAATGAGAATTTGATAGACAAGTATTATTTTGTTTGCCTTTTTAGATGTCTTCAGTATTATTTGATCTTATTCTTGTTTGGTCTTCCCAAGAATCTGATGCCGATTATTTGGAATTACAAAATTTGCTGAAGACTGAATTTCCTAATGAATTTCTTATTCATTCATTTACCACAACAAAACAAGCAATTGAACATGTTCAATCAATAAAAAAACCTTCTCGATTATCAATCGTAATTACAAAATTAGGTACCAATGAAGAAACATCAAGTAAACCATTAATTGAAGCCATTCGTTCACATGATAAACATACTTTCATTATACTTCACTCTTGTACAGCGTGTCGTGATCCGAATATTCGGTAAAATTTTCATTAGAATATTTATGAATGATTCTTTTTTAATCTTCTTTAAGATGGTCTTTTGCTTCTCTCGGTGTTAATATGATAACAGAAACTATCAAACCAATTCGTGATGTATTTCAACAATTAATTCCATTAGCTCAACCAAGTTCCAAATCAAAATATGCCTGTCTTTATTGTAAATGGCCATCATTTTCACTTGAACAACTTTGTATTCATGTTCCACTTTATCATACAAATGAACAAGAATTTTCTGTTAAATGTAATTTGTGTCAACGACCAACACATAATTATGCTGTACATTTACATGACGAACACAGCCCAGAACAACACCCACGATCAATAGCAGGACCGTTATATGCATTTTCTTTAGTTGTATGTCGACGCAAACGTGATAACTGTTTTCTTGTTGTTCAAGAATCCGGTTCGATGGGTTTTTGGTTACCTGGAGGTCGTGTTGAACTAGGAGAACAGCTTGACAAAGCAGCTGAACGTGAAACATTGGAAGAAGCAGGTGTTAAAATAAGATTGACTGGAGTATTAAAAATTGAATTCATACCACGAAGTGATTCGAATCGTCTTCGCATAATTTTCTTTGCGGAACCTGCTGATGAAAATGATTGCGAACCGAAAACTATACCTGATTATGAAAGGTTAGCTCATATTTTTTCATTGAAACTTAATGCTTGGTAAAATTTTCTGGTACAACTAGTTTCCTTTTCCTTCCGAACTGAAAATAATGCAAATAGGTTCCGGTACAAGCTTTTTACCGATCAATAATGTGACCTAGAGCTCATAAATGATGGATTAAATAGAACGTTAAATATAGAGCTCACGAAATTATATTTGATTTGAAGACGTACACGGAAAAAATAGGATTAATTTCTTACAGTTGTATGCAAAGCCGAGCATCGTGAATCTCCATGTAGATCATGTGTCTGTTTAGTATATCATACAGATTGTGTAAACAAATTCTGTTCCTAAAACTGAATTTGAACACAATGATCCTACAGCTAATGAATGCAAAACCATATCTATACTCTGTTTTACGCGAACAAAAAGTTCTTCTTATGAAAGTTTTTGTTTTTCATTTAAATTTAGTTACGGAGCTATGTGGTTAACATATGAACAAACAGTTCAATGTAGCACACAAGGTCAATTACGTGGTAATGAACCATTAAAATGGTTTAAATATATTGCACAAGATGGCATAATACATCCGTTAAGTATACTTTCAAAAAATGAACTATAAAGTACTTTTATTTTAATCAAGAAATATAAAAAAAGGAATATTATTTTTTATTTATATGTATCGTTTTGTATGAATTCCAAAATAATTTGAAAAAATTAATAATCAATTCATTTTTTATATCGCATTCTCTGTACAATACGTTCTGTTTGTGCCATACTCACTGCTTCATCTTCTCTTAAATCATAAGTCATTTCAGTAATAGGCGCTGCTGGCGCTGCTACTGGTGCAAAAGCTGGTGCTTCTTCTTCGCTGTTTGCATCATCACCGCCGGCACAATCGGTTTTAACTTTATCCATAAGGCCAGCCCCACGACGATACGATGCACGAGTAGCCATACGCGAATGATAAACTGGCTCGGGGACCGGTTCTGGTTTATATCGACTTCGTAATTCACTCATATCAACACATTTAGAATAGAGTTCTTTAGCTGCAGACGATGTTGCTCCACCTAGATTTTCCATTTGTTTAACTCGTAGATTCTTGGTTACTAACAAGCGGTTAACTCTTGCGGTTATTTCTTCTTCGTTAATGCCGTCAGCTTCAGCTTGTGCCATTTCTTTCTGTATATCTTCCTCTGCATCTTTCATAAGACGTTCTAAGGATATTTCTTCACGTACACCACCAATTATGACTTGAGCTAATAATTTTGCATTTACCATTGGAACATATTGCCCACCGGTTAAGTAAGCAAGAGTCATAAAAAAATCACGATAGGGTACTAAACATAGACAAATATTCCTAGAAAAACAAGTTCTAAGTCTCCTTGCAATTTAGTCTTTATGTAATTATTCAATCAAGTGTAAAAGTCCAAAACAAAGAATTATATTCAATAACGATTGATTGAACTTTCATTGTTTATTTCGTGATAGATGTTTTTATTAAAATTTTCACAAATCTAAACTCAATCTACAGATACAAATCGACGTCGAAACTATTAATTACTGACTTCACAAGAAATATATCCTATTCTTAGTCAAAATTTTCTTTAAATATTTATAAAACTTCATCGTTAGGACTTTGTCTCTAAGATTCATTCGTAACTATAAAATGAATTTCCACAGGAGAATACATATTTTCTTTGATTACATTTACTGAAGATACTATAACTATCTAAGGATAACTATAATGCGACGTTGCGCATGATAATAGTAGTTAATTAGATTGTAAGTAAAATGAACTAACCGATAGGTGGTTCAACTCCGACACAGTAAAGCGTGATTTGTTTTTCAGCCATGTCTCGCACTGTTTTTATAGGATCAATACCAGACGGATCTCCATCAGGAAAACCATCACCACAATTAGGGTCGAGTCCATGCGGAGGTGCATCTGAAATGAGTACACAAATTTTGGTTGCCTCAGGACGCCATGATAATTTTAGAACACCATGTAATGCATCTGCTACAGCTTCAGGTGTATCACCACCTCCCGATGCTTCACATTGCTCGAGCCAACCTTTCATTTCTTTAACACTACCTGTGAAGTCATGTACACGAATAACGAATGTATTTTCCTATAAGCATAAATCAATAAATAGACGTTAGAGAAAAAACCTTGAGAAATAAACTTGTGGAGGATGATCTCGGTATTCGACAAGCGCTAAATGAATATCACTTTTTTCACTTGTTACAATTTCTTCCACAATGGCACGAATATTTTGTGTTGCACTTTCAATATAACTTCCCATTGAACCAGTGCAATCCATAGCAAATGCTAAATCTGAATTAATTTGAGTAGGAAGAAGAAAAAAACCAACATCTATATAATTATTTTATTTAATTCGAATAAAATTACCGAGAATACTCGAATCATGTTTGGCTAATTGAGGTTGTGCAGGCTTTTCTACATGTAATGCAGCGGCCATTTTGTCTATTGAGCGTGCGTTAAATCTACAAAAAAAAAGAAATTTGACTGCGCTCGTTTGTGCTTTACTACCGTCGTCTATTTCTATATATGCCTGATGCAAACTACGTACATATTTATTTTTCACCTTTGTGGAGCAGTAGAAAGGAGAAAAAGAAAAATATTTTTTAACGGCATCTTCGCTATGGGTATGGATGATTCATCGGTTATGTCCTTCAACAGAGAAAAGCTACCGTTTCACCTACGATGAAAATTAAATACTATAATCAAATCTATTCTAGAAAAGTAATCTATTAAATCTAGTCATGGCAACAACACGTGAACGTTATCTTCAGTGGAAAAATCGTTTATTATTACCACAATTACCAATCGAGATATGGTCTCATGTTTTTTCATATCTTGAAATCTCTGATTTATTATCACTACGTCTTGTTTCACGATTATTCTATTCCTGTGCTAATCGACATACGCCGTTTTGGTTATCGGTGATATTTGATATTGATCAATGTCCTAATTATTTAATTCAGACAAATCTATTAAATAATGTTCGTTCATCGAATGTGAATTTATTTACGAAATCGAATCTTTACTCTCATTGCAATATTTATTTAAAAAGCCAACCATTAATAAGTTCAAGGAATAAACGACGTAAACGACGTTTACTATTGTCTCAACAAAATGATGATGAATCAAAAAAACAATTACATTTACGTTGTTCATCAGTTCATTTTGAGTCGCTTCGATCATTTGATCAATTACAACTTGAGTGTCTATTAACAAAGCGTGTACGCCATTTAGAAGTATCATACGAATGTCTGCCAACGGAACCATCGCTTAATTTTCTATTAAAAATCGAACGATTAAGATATTTAAAACTTATATTTATGCATAATATTAATGAACTTGATTCATTTTCTACAATGATAATTAATACAATGCATGATATTATTATTTTACTATTCAAATTAAAAAGGTATACAATAAAACAATGTTTATTTTTAGAGCCATGAATTTCACAATAAGAGATTATTGGTGTTCAGAATTATCGGAATATAGAATATGTTTCATATAAGAAAGAACAGATCGATCGGAACTATAACTAGAGAATAATTTTGATTGAATAATAAACATCAATTTTATAAGAGAAATTGGTAGTGTATGAATGATTAGAATTATTTTTATATTGAAAATAAGAAATTTCTATCGATGAATCATCTGATTACTTTGGCTTATTTATCAGTTGTTGAAGAAAATTCAAAGATTTTTGATTTTTCAATTTACGTCTAAAATTTAGTTAAATATGCACTCGTGAACAAACTAGATTTTTTTATTGTGTTATTCACAACGTCTAGTCATGAGATGTTAAAAAAACGTACGACTGTTTCAATCACTTTTTCGAACAACTACTATTCATAACATACAATTGATTTTATGCAAAACAATTTTTACACACAAGCTATTCACGACGTATACAATGTAAGATTGTCAAAGCAATGCCAACCAAGAGTATTAGATTTCTATGGTAGACTATGTCTCTATTCTAGTGATATGCAAAACCAGTACCGGGGACTTTCGTACTGTTGGATACAGATGAGGTAGATCAATGTGTACTGCAAAAACTGAGTCGATTTATATATGTTGTAAATAGTTCTAAAAAAAAAAAGTTTTTTTTTGAAAAAATCCCTGTGCCCCCCCCCCCCCGGGGGGGGGGGGGGGGGGGGGGGGGGCGGGTTGGGGGGGGGGGGTGAANCTTTTTTTTTAGTTAATTGACACTATCCCTGTACTCCCCCTCAGGGATGGTCTGGTCAAAAATGACAATTTTTTCGATAACTCACCCATTTCTTGACGGATCCTTCTCATCTTCGAACTCGACTGAGATATTAATGAGATCATTATCTGTACAAAATTTCATGGCAATTGGATGAGGCTTTCAAAGGTTATCGTGTTAACGGGCGGACGGACACACTGACCAAATGTAGTGTACTCACTTTTTTTGAGTACACAAAATACGAGTATTGAAAAATCATTTAAAATATGAAATAAAGAAATTTTTGCAGCAATTTTCTCTAAACAACCACGGACAGTCAACTAGCTAGAATCGGAACCGAAAAGTGGTCCCCTATATCTCTATTCTGTTCTAATATAACTATTGACGAAGTGTGTAAAAATAACAAGATTTTTTAAGTGGAATTTAATTTTGTATTAATAATGAACCCCAAAAATATTATATTTGTTGAACACTCATGTATGTTTTCAAGTCACCTATACAACAAAGTTTAGTTTTTTATTGAAAATTTTCTTTTACTTTAAGATAGTAAAATGTTTCCATTACAGCGTGCTTTATTAATCAATGGATTCACCCTTTTTGGTTTATGTTTTGTTAGTTTTCTCGGTGATTGCTTGTGTTTTGGACGACCTTTTTCAATTTATTCACCCTCCAATACATACGTTCGTGCTTTGACTGATAATCTCACTCATGGATTAGTTAGTGTATTTGCCACAAGTTTTCTATTTGGTTGGACTCGACGGTCACTATTAATCATAGCTTTAATAGCGGGTTCTTTTGTTGATATCGATCATTTTATTGAAGTACGTTCATTATCGTTATATCGTGCATTACATGATCAACCACGAGATCGACCATTTCTTCATAATAGTCTGCTTTTGTTAATAATTACTTTCATCGTTTATACGATTGAACTTTTTCTATGGCGATCTCAAAATACTTTTTATTCGATTGTATTTTTTCTTGGTTGGTCAACACATCATCTAAGAGATGCTCAAAGGCGTGGTTTAACTTTATCACCATTGGGACAAACTTCGCCTATTGATCATTATCTACCGATTATATGTATTTCATTAATAGCTATGAAATTAGTTCACTTATTTGTATTTAATACTCAACCAGCATCTTATGTAAATGTGTCTATTGTTTAAAACAATATTTGAATAAATATCTAAGAATGATGTGAAAACATTTTATTGAATTTAGTTTTTCTATATTCCGATTATTCTCGAAAACATGATCTAATCGAGTTTTATAGTATGACTAGTTGGAATGTTTAAAAGGACGAAGTGTTGAAATGAATATTAATCGATTTTTCAGGAGCGAAAACTTTGATTTGTATATTAATATAAAATCAGCTGACGAGAGAACCTCCCCAAGTGGTGCCGACCATTCGGGTTCATATTGCGCTCATAGCTAGGGCCCAGTGAGACTAGAAAAGACCTAGAAGATTTCGTGCCATTAGGCCTTTCTCTCACAGTTATGACCGTTCTACTGAATTTTCGACCCTGGACAAGTAATTTATAGAAAAACTGAAAATTTTCCTAACAACCATAGGTCTCATCGATGTTGGAAGGCTCCAAAAGTTTCAGTAAAAACGGATGTATCATTCTGGAGATATTGCATATTAATGAAAACGGTCATTTTTTCAGTTCGAAATTCCTTCATTCAGGTTTTCTATAAATTACTTGTCCAAGGTCGAAAATTCAGTAGAACGGTCATAATTTTGAGAGAAACACCTAATGGCACGAAATCTTCTACGCTTTTTCTAGTCTCACTGGGTCCTACTTATGAGCGCAATATGAAGCCGAATGGTCGACGCCACTTGGAGAGGTTCCCTCGTGAGCTTTTCTTTCCAGCTCGTTTAAATGAAAAATCTTAAACGATGAAAATTTTGAAGTACAATAGTGTAATTAATATTTTAATACTTATATATTTATCAAAAAAATGCAGGATGTATCTCGATACGTTCCTCATTGTGACTTTCAAATTAACTACAACAATATGTCAATGCATATATTTTATTGAGTTTGATCAGTCTTACCAGTTTAAGTAAACATTCATTAGATTAATCTTCGATCAAAGATCAAAATCGAAGTGTAAAATTGTCGAAGGAAACTATTTAATACAAATATAAATATTGGTCAATCTAACTGTCAATAGGCGAATAATTTATTTCCGTTCTTAATCCGCTTTATATATATCTGTATGAACAATTCAATCCGATGTTCTAATCACTACTATCTTGAATCTAAATAGTTGATGAGAAATCATCTTTACATTTTTTGTTAATTTACAAAAAAACTTCAAACGATCATAATTCGTATACTTAGATTTTATTTAAAATCTTAATAAAGTCAGTCTCGAATTCTATTATAAACAAACAAAAATAATTCTCTTATGGAGATATACACGATTGTTTATTGTTACAGGTTGAAATCGTTGATACTTCACAATTTGAATGTCATTCAAGCCTTTCCAGATAATGGTACGCATTGAGAAATAAATTCAAATAGATTGATAGATATATTCTCACTATTTTAGTATATTTTATTGAACATCTAAGATCCATATGGTTGGAAGACTGTATTAATGTTCATTTTCTTCTCGGTGCTATTGATACGCGATCTATAAAGGTATTCTAAATTGAATTCTAAATTTGAAAAAAAGTCTCTTATTCATGTTTTATTCAAGAATGTTATAGTACGTCGTTCAACATGCGACCGTACTATATTAACAACATTTATTGATCGACTAGATACTCTTCATTATTTAGATTTGTCTTCCTTACAAAGTAAAATAGTCTATTGAAATAATCTTCAAGTTGATTTTCTTTTATCTGCTTATCAGTTAATAGATCAACGAACTACAATAATGAACAATTGAATCTTCCATCTAAATTAAAAGCATGCAGTTTAAATAGTACACTACTACAATTTTGTTCGTTTATGCCTCATATATCTTTACGTTCACTTGAATTAATTGATATCAATATTGATTTACTATCAATCATTCTTAAAATGTTGCAATCATTAAAAACATTGTGTCTGTTGTAAGTCTAGAAGTCCGCTCGCTTCTTCCGATGAAGAAATATAATTTTTACCTTACCAAGGATATTTACATGAAGAAATGGGCGTCACTTTCAGATGAAATCAAGCTGCCCTATGAATTTAAAAACACCAAGCCACCTGTTCTCAAACTCCTCTGAGTTTTTGCAGGATCTTGATAAAATATGACAAGAAAAAAAAGGCTTTTTTTATTTATCATATCAAAACGATTATTGAGTAGAGAAGTCAACAGTTGTCTATTAATGCAGATAGTTTAAATGATCGATTTATGAAATAATATCCTGCTCAATAAGGAGAGAACCAACCATTCGGACTTTCATTTGCTATGAAGACGACAAGAATATATTAGTCGCATGTAAAAACATTTAGGGTAGAACTCAGATTAAAATCGATTGGGAATCGATTATAATCAAAAATAATCCAAAAAACAAAATTTTTATCGATTATTCCTATTATTTTCGATTAAAAATTCATGAAAAAAATTGATTATAATCGATTTTCGTGCATGAAAAATGGCAAACTTTTAAAAGAAGTTTTTTCGCTTTGCATCGATTATAATCAATTTTTTTCATGAATTTTCAATCGAAAATAATAGGAATAATCGATGAAAATTTTGTTTTTTGGATTATTTTTGATTATAACCGATTCCCAATCGATTAAAGGTGTATGATTATAATCGATTTTCAATCATTTTTCAATCGATTTTAATCTGATTTCTACCCTAAATTTTTTTACATGGGCGTGACGCTAATCGATAGTTATGATATCTCGCCTGCGTGCATCTTTAAACCTGAGTTATATTTTTCAACGTACATTTAACTTTGAAAATTTGCTTCAAATATTAGAACTTACTTCTAAAGGCGAGCCCTTTTTGTCCTCGTCTAGTTTTGCCGAAGCCATTTCATAAACCTCATATTTCTCAGTTGTCTAAAATTTAACTTTCATTTAGTTTTACTACTAAAAATGTTTCATTATCTTCAATGGTCAACTATCTTCATCAATCACAATATTCTCAACTATGGATTCATTTTCATATATTATCACTGGAAGATTATGATGAGAAACAAACGTTACCATCGAATATTTTAATAATGCCCATAAAAAATTTTCTCACATGTTTTTGTTATCGAAATCGAATTAAATAAAATATAAGAATGTATATGTTTTTTTTATACAAGGTTTTTGCTCAATAATTACCTTCTTTGATTTTTTTTTAAAAATAAATAAACAAACAAACACGCACACGCGCACAAGGAAGAAGAGAAAGGAGCAAAAAGAAAACTGTTGAAACACCTTTTTTTGTTTGTTTGCTTTGTGTAGGTTTTGAAAAAGAAGAGAAAGAAAAGGGAAAGAAAGAGAAAACATCTATATGCCCATCGTCGGCTGTTGCACGACTAATTCATCAAGTACGAGATCAAAGTCTAGTGGACAATCAATGAATGGTAAAGCAATAAGACCCGATGGTTGATCAAGTTTATCAACCGTCGTCAATGATTTGGTTTTTGATTCGTATGGTACTTTTAATTCTTTAGTCCTTTCGCGTTCATAAACAAAAGCAAGTTGTTCAATAGGTACCAACAGTAGATTAGGTCTTGCTTCTAATTCTCGTGCATCATGTTCAGCTAATACACGTTGCCGATGAGCATCGACAAGCTCAGCAACTGAATTATATGACAAACACATTGTGGCTAGATCAGGTGATAATGGTGTTGACTGTTCTATATTAAATGATTCTATTTGTTGTTGTTGTTGTGATGACGGTGGTGGCGTTTTCGTTTCTTTTCTTCGACGTTTCTTTTTTGGAATCACAGGCATAGATGATGGTGGTTCTGGAATGTTTGTAGAAATAGGCCAAGATGTGCTGCTAGTGATAGACGAGGACGAGGTTGACGACGGAGAAACAGGTGAATCACCAGCACTACTACCATTTTCCCAATTATTATTTGGTGCTAACAATGTAGATGATGGACGCCGTACAAGTCCTGAACGTTTCGATGATGAACCGGTTGAATTGCTTGGAGATATTACATTTGGAAGGGTAGAAAATGTTAATTGTTTTTGATAATTAGCACTAGAATAAAAACAAGGCTCAGTTACAATTTTCTTTAAGTAAAAAAATATTCAAGTTTATTTTAAAAAATCCTATTGTCTATATATTTAGATCAATTAATATATTACATCATAGAATGTTGTACAAGTCAAATATTCTAAAATGTTTGTTTAAGTCGATCGATGTTTCATTTGATTAATATGTGAGCAATATTTCAAACAAAAGACGCCTGTAGACAATATGAATCGATAGATTTTATGTGACACAAAACACGCTCATCTTATTATTAACATAATATATAATGAAAACGTCCACATAGAATTTTTCACTATAGCCATATCTCACTCATATTCTATACATTTTTTTTAAATTGTTCAGCTCAATTAAATTTTTTTTCACTTATTATTCTAGAAAAGGACTATCCATGTAGCCGATCGTTGAATTATCGTGTAATTGTAGCCGTTATTTGCTATTATAATGCATTATAATGGCTACAATGATATGATAATTTAATGACCGGCTACATGAGTAATCACATTTGCTTTTTTTGTTTGTTCATAAATCAATACAAAGCGGGAAAGCACAGACTTCACTGCATCACATTAATTATTAACCATAAATAACCAATGTAGTCACGTAAAAACAGATGCTATAGTTTGCTTATTAAAGTTTATTAAATACGATCAATCAGTTTTTCTTCTACAGGAATCATTGAGTTCAACTCTATAATTTGGATGAAGAATAGAGCATATTATTATGTTTTCATCTATGACTTCAACATTTGTCTATGTATTTGTTTAGAAATGAGAGTTGAAAAAAAACGTGCTTTTGAACCTATAGACAATCATTGAAACTATGTGTTTTTATGAAGAATGAGAAAAGGATGATTTTTTTTCGATACTGCACATGATCTAACAATTACAAATAATCTACGTTTTTTCGCTCCTCATACGACTTTTGTCATCAAAATTGTATTTATGATTAATATTTCATGAAATCTATCGTTTCTTTAGTACATGTTGATAATCGAAATAAAAGCAAGATGATGGAGCCAGAAAAGGTATTTCAGGTCAAATTTGGAAATTTTAATAGAATTTTCCTATTGCAATGGGAAAGAAAATCTAGAATAGGCAATTACTTGACATTTGAATTATTTGAATCTCTTCCATGATGTAAAGCTGAATAATCAACTTTTCCTTTATCATTTAGACTTTCATCAATAATTTGATTTTGTAAAATAGCATTAACAGTTGGTGTTTGAGTTGAAAGAACATCAGGTTGATTCATTTGCATTTCCATGAGCAGTTGTTGAGTCGTTTTTAATCTTGGTAAACTCGCAGTTGATTCAATTAAACCTATTGGTGATAAAGGCGATGGGGATGATACTGGTGTTTCAATTTGAGCTTTTCGCCTTTTAGTCGATAAGCCATTGGTTTCAGAATCATTTTTACGTTTTATTTGTGTCATCGTATCATTATTACTATTTGTTGATATCGATGAATTTATCTTAACTTTAACTATTAAACGAGGTTTTTCTGATGGTGGTGATTTTGATTCATGAATTTCTCCGTTAGTCGTCGGAGTAGAAACTGATCGTGCTATTGGCGTTGATTGTTGTGGAATAGATAATGACGAAATATTACTATCGGTTTGTGGTGTATTGAGTAAACCTTGCCATGATCGTAGAAGTTTTTTAGCTCGTTGAGCAATTTCAATAATCGACGGAGAATTATCTCCTGCTTGTTTAGCACTTTTTTTCCGTGCATCGATTTTCTGACGAATGGTATTAATTTCTCGACCAAGACGAGTTGACTATATGAAAGAAAAAGATAAGTTTTTTTCTCATTTAAGTATGAAAAAAAAAACTAAACACAAACTTGTAATTCATCTTTGGATATTTGAATTTTTTCTAATTGAGAAATAATTTCCAAGACCATTTCTGGATTAGTAACCTAAAGAGAATATGTTCAATTTATTGAGAGAGAAAAAAAATCCACAAGCAACAGTTACATTATGATCAGCATCAACGGCGCTCAGTAAACTATTTTTGAGCGATTCAAGCGACGACGAATCACTTTGCATTGAATATTAATTTTATTCTTTTTTCTGTTCAAATAGTTTGATAAACAAAAAAAGTAAATGAAAAAAAAAGAAATGTCTAATATTTTCGTTTAACCATCGTAATTAATTTCTTGTAGCAGTAAATCATATACATATATTAATGTCCTTCATTCTTTTGTTTTTCTAGTATGTACATATTAAACACAGATCGATATGAATAGAAATAAATAAACAGCAACAAAAAATTAGTTTTAAGACAAGAGAAGATAATTAATCGATCTACAAATAAGAAACTAGACTATATACATGTTATGCGAAATTCAACTGAAATGAATCGCTCTGTTCTGTATTTATTCCTTCGCTTCGTTCGCCCTTAAATGGTTTAATCATTGGTTTAAAATGAATCACAAATCGGAAATGTCCGTTGAGTCTCTAAAACAACAATAATTTTCTATTGGTTATGTCTAATTTTGTAAAACCGGAAGAAGTTCAAAATATAGATGGCGCTACATGATGGGAGTTTGTTTCGTTTAAAAAATCGATTTAAAGAATGTTCTAAATCTGCACGTACTTGTTATCAAGTCTATTATGAAAATTGAACTCAGTAACACAGTAGACTTTCACGGCTGAGTTCTATTCTTTCATATAGAAAGTGTAAGGTCTTACTAAATTGAACTGTAAAAAAAAGCAGGACTATGAAATTTGCATTTTTGATTTTGACTTATGGATATTATGTCTATTGATTATAGGTAAGAAATAAAATGAATAGCCTCTTTGGTATTTATCCGTACACATATTTGTTAAACAGCATTTTGCTAAAATATTTCCTTTTAGTATATATTCACTACACGTTTTGTTGTACACATCTGTTTTATCTAAAACAGATCGTAAAGAAATGCTGATAACTATCTTCGTATAATAGGATAAATAATCGTATTGATTATTTCCAGAAGATAAGAAGTTTCATCATACTGGGTATATATCGAATATGTGCTATATAGAGTATTCGAAACCATACTCTAGCTATTTAGATTTCAGCAACAACCTCGAAGCATTTTAATGAGAACATTTAAAATCTTTTTATTAATACCACTCAATTGTTGTAGTGCTTTCGAACCCTTCTTCACTCATTTGCTTTGAAAACAGATTTGAATTTTAAAAAAAGAAACATTTTCTTTGTCTATAAACTAATTAATCATTTACTGACGAATACGATGACAACATGAAATGCTGAAAATCAGATCGAAGTCTAGTCTTATATATTCCACGACTAATTTTATTATCAAGTGTATGCACATTTTTCGGTCAAAAAATTAAAAAAAACAACATGTCAATACGAGAACTTTTAACAGCCATCAAGCCGAATTTCATCGTGAATTATTACTTTTTCTATCACGCTCACCAATAAAAGCATGTCCAATATACTAAGTAGCGAGAAAAATTTATGGAATGCTAATTTTAGTGATGTCATTTATAATTTATCGATTCGTGGAGTTAATTTGCAAGTGTACTTTATTGATGAGGCACCCTAAGAAAAAGAAATACCAAGATACAAAATTTCGTGAGTCATTTATTTGCTGTACTAAACTTGTCTTAAGTCACTATTATATCAGAATATTTCGATCTGAATCGAATATAAATTATCGCCACACCCTCATCAAATAAAAGAAAGATAACTGGTGTCAGTCAAATTGGAAGCTACTACCTAACGCATACTATTTTCATATTAATAGAGAAAATTTTTGCACAAAATTTCAGTGTGTCATATGACGATATTTTTGAGCGGCTTTAGACAATAAAAATAGATATTATTATCTCGACCAATATTATCGATTAATTTCTGCAGCATATTCATGACTAATGAAGGAATGTGTCAGACAAAAGTCGATTTTGTGCTTCGTCGATCATCACAAAGACTCGAAAGCATGATATAGTTACTATGTTGTGATATACACTACTGATCACACCGTTCGATACTTGTAGAACAATTTGCAGAAGTGCAGTGCTTTGAAACTTCACATCAATTTCACGAAAGATTGATCTTTCACGTGTAGCTCTGTTGATTGATTAAAATACGGACGTGTTGTATCGCTGTGCAGCCATGTAACTCATAGGGATGAAAGAGCTTACTTAATATTTGCCGAATACCTATTCCACGCGCTGTAAAAAAATCATTGGCTGTTGAAAATAATATTTAATTGCTTGAGTCAAACCGTATAATGGGATTCTTTCCTGTACAACTATTTCAAGAAAGTGCCTGAAAAACAGAACATATGGTCTGACTACACTGGCTTAATATTACAATTGGATATTGCAGTCTAAATTGTAACTTTGGGTGTCGGTCTTTTTTCCAAAAAATTGACTATTGGCTCTGGATAAAAGAACGGAATTGCAATATTTAGATGCCGGGGATATTTCGTCGATATACTTTCGAAACTTATTAAAAAAAACTGCCTAGTTTTTACTAGTATATATATATTGCAATATATCGGAATTCAGTGGTATAATAAATTTCCAACTACCAAGGTAAATAGAAAATTTATTTTTCTCTAATAACTATAGCAAATACTATTGAACTAATTGATGTAACCATTGTGATTGGTTGCTCAGACTGCTGCGCCATTGTAAGTTTGTTTTTCTCTACGTATCTGATACTAATCGATGCAATGAAATCAAGCAGAAAAACATGACATATCACTTCGTTTCTTAGTCACCGGCTGTAGTGCCCATTGAGTAATTGAAGGACTAGTTTTATTTTCACACATAGTTTCTAACAATCAAATTACTATACCCTTGTCCGATATCGAAAGGACGACACCAGCGAACAATGTTAGAAAATGATCAATTTTATGGTTATCATTACATCATACTTATCGAGTTATCTATATCAATTCTGTGGCTAACACATTTAAATGGTTATTTTTAATTAAATCTAGAGTTAAACACAAGTAAAAGTACTCAGTCAAATTTGACATATTATGCCAAACAAATTAAATCTCGACAATTTCTCTCTTTATTTGAATTTCCCGTTTGTAAATTTACTTGCCATACAGTTACGATAAAATGAATACATGTTGTTGTTTTTTTCAATAGGATAACAAGAAATGTGAGAATGCATTCTAACATGCTGATCATCTAGACAAATGAGTTCAGAATTAAAAAAATGTGTATTCTACTCAAAATCACAAATTCAAAACTTAATTATGGTCCTGATCGAAACTGATTGCTCATCGGAGAATCTAATTTATTTATGTCACATATTGACACTGGTCTCAAGATAACCTCTGAGTACAAATTGTAGTATTTCATGTAGATTATTTGTTTGTTAATTGAGAATATAATACTTATTTCTATTGAAGTTTGATCTACGCCTCAGCAGCTATGTAGAAAATAGGTTTTTTTGACTTTTTTCTTTTATCATATTCGACAAATATTTTTCAAAACGCATGCGTCATGCCGTGCTTAATTACTTGACGCATGCATTAAAAAAATAGGATGTTAAGGTGAATATATGGAGTTTATCGACATAAAATGTTTTTTATGTTAACCTAATTAATATAGTTTCGCTCGCTTTATGTCAGGCTAAATTTTGGCAAAAATGGCAATGAAATATTCTGATTCAATTTCGAACGAATAGATTTTATAATGTAAATAGATATTCTGAAACATAGCAGTGATAACGTTCGTATAAATAGCCCGAAGGCAATAGATTCCGTTCGTACGAAACAAATTTTATCATTGTATTCATTACATATCTAATTTAAAGTTTTAAAGTAAATAAAATATGTTTTACTTCGATGACTAAAGTCACTATTTTGGAATGATACAAACACGATCAATAGATCAGATTTTGTATACTATGTAAAGAAATTTATTGTTTTATCTGAGTCTATGTTTTTATTTGAGTTCAATCTTTTTTATCTTTATTAAAACGAACAAAATTTCGAAAACGTTTAGGATTTAAACCATAAACTTGTAAACGTTCATCGGACATATCAGTTAATACACGCTGTTCATCGGATAGATGTTTCTTTTTTCGTTTCTTGTTTTTCGTCGTCAACGTAAGTGATGATGACGGTGACGATAAATCTTTATGATTCAGTGATGCTTGAGGATTGAGTTTTTCTTCGTTTGTTGATGGACTATAAAGAAAAAAGGAAGGAAATAAAAATAGAACAAGAAAAAAGCAGAAAAAAAGTCCAAGTGAAGCCCTCTATTCGACAGTCACTCGAAAAACGTACGGCTATGACATATTTTTGAATAGACGTTCGTTAATAAGAAATAAAGACGGCAAGGCATATAGAAGTTAAGAAAGAAAAAAAAAACCTGTTACGTATATTTTTTCCTTTTCTGCAGGTGTTTACACCTGTACACATGCACCCTTCTTTTATTTTTTAAAATGAATGCACTGACGCTATTTGTATCATAACAGAAAAAAACATTTTTTCCACTGCAGCTAATCGAGCGAGCAATATATATATAATACGATGAACCGTAATCTTCAGTCTAAAATTAAAAGTATTGTAGCAGAAATTAATGAATCAGGTATATAAAATGATAGTTAATCCAATCGAAAAAATTCTTTACTGTTTTTATTTTCGTTAAAGAATCAACTTCTGATGATGACTACACACGACAACAATCCTGTGATTTATTGACGAATACAGTTGCAGTAATACCGCCATTCAATCAACAACGTTATGATACTAGACTACAAAGTCACAACAATAATTATTTATCAACAGAAAATACTTCTCAAGAATTTACAATGTTTCCTAATGCATCTACTCAAATTCAACGTAAACAGCGTGGCAACACTCTGAACTTCAATCGTGCACCTTCTCCTAATATTTTTGATAGACGAAATCAATTTCCACCTAAACCGATAGTAGCGTCCCAATCACGTTCATATGAAGATCTTTCAATACATTCACTGCGTAAAAAATTAACTAATGATAGTGGTACAGGTGAATCAATAATAATACCTGCAGATGCACCCTATTCAACACCTACGAGTTATGATATAGTGCGTGTATTCGGACAAAAAAATACCGTATTGATGCGAAATCGCTATGAATTTGATCAATCTAAAGTAGATCAATATGTAAACCGGAAAATTAAACACCCAAAACCACCAATCATCAAGCCCAAGAAGATCGCCGATAATCCCAATGGAAAAAAAGGAGTACTATCTGGCTTGCCGAAAAAATTCTCCAAATCTTCTCTCAATACTGAATTTCCATACTCTCCGATCGTTCGCCATCATTCATCGAGCGATCACACCAACGACTAATAAGCAATGGCAAACACAACTTATTCATGCTTCTGTTATTTATTTCAAGAACACATAGTCGTTTCAATGCTCAAATTCGGTGTCTAGTTTTCTTCGAAAAGAAACAAAGCCAACTAATTATAAAATGTAAAATAAAATTATTATTTTTTTTTTGTGAATTGCAATTAATAGTTGCGCATTTGCTGTTGTTTATTGATTTTTAATTTCTACTTCATATGATTTCTGAAAATTATATTCGTTCGTAGTTTAGTTGAGATTGAATCTCCTGCTTTCTGTTCAATTGTTTTTATTAAAAACGGCATGTAAAATTTAAACTTCTAGTTTACTAAAAAAAATCACTTTTATCAAATAAATTAATACTATTCCTAATCAATGCATTGAATGTTGATGTTCGTAGGAGGTAAAACAAAAACATTTTCCTATACCTTTCATCGTTATCATTTTTCTCTTGATAAACACTTGCTAATATTTTTCTTTTCTTCTCTGGGTTTTTAGCTTTATTTTTGTAAACATGATAATCTCGAAGTTCTTCATCTTTCGATCGATATTGTGACGTTTTTTTCAATGAACACCATGAATTAAGTTCTCGATCGTCAGCTGCAAGAATCTTAACAGAAAACAAACGATGCGCATTTGATTTTTTGAAATTTGATTTTTTTCTATCACTTCTTCAACACTTAAACCAAAATCATTCGGTTCAACTTGTCGATATTGAAATCTGACTGGCATGCCACCAACAAAATCTTCACAATCAAGCTTATAGTATTCATCAAAATATTGTTCGAAAGATTTTTCCTCTAGAAAAATAAAAAAAAGGAGGTATTGTATTGTTGAATTTTACTCATACTTGGATCAAATTTTGGTTTTGATTGAGAAATAGCTTGACTTAATTTGGATTTTTTCTTCGAGTTCTTTGTTCCTTGTTCTTCTTGATTACTTGATTGCACAGGTTTCGGTACGGCTTTTTCTTTGTCCTCTGTTTGATCCCAATTTTCCACTAAAATAAAAGCATAAGCTAACTTGAACAATCAAAATAAAATAAACGTTTCTACCTTGAAGCTCTTCATCGGATACTTCGGGTACGTCTTCTTCTTCAGCACCTTTTTGATAGTAGTCATCATTGAATATTTGCTATGAAACGAATGAAGTTTATAACAATAGAATGGATCATTATTCTTTTATTACCTGCATTCGACGATCGTATTCTTTGGGATCAAAATCTGCATCGAGATCATCAATATTAACTGGCAAATCTTCATCACCGGCAACAGTTTTTAAGCGTTTCATTTTATCGAAAATTTCTTTTTTCTTTAAATTTTTTAAACGTTTTATTTCTTCAAGCTTTTGTTTTCGTTCAAATTCTTTTCGTTGTTTTTTTTCTGCACGTTTCAATTTTCGTCGATCGTCTTTTCGACGAACGCTATCATCGATCGTTCGAGGATATCGTTTTAACTAAAAATTTTGAGTCGAGTAAAATAGAAAGCAAAGAATTATATTTACAAATTCAGTATCTGGTTCTTGAAAACGAAAATTAAACTTTCGTTCGAATTCTTCAGCTTTTTCAAATTCTTCATCGTCGTCATCATCATCAGCAACAACGACACCGGCGGCAGTCGGATTGACAATTTCATCATAGGATGGAATTCTAAACTAGATAAAATCAGTAACATGAAAATAAAAAACGATTATTCAGAGAGAAGTTTGATGTTACTTCGACTTTGCAATCCAAATTTCTTATGAATAGCAAAGATCCGAAAGAAATTTATACATGAGTCTGGAAACGGAAATATTTTACTAGAAGTTAACAAAAGTAGCGAAGATATATATGAGAGATGATCACTTCAAATAAGTAACAGCGAGGAAATTTTCTAATCGTTCCTAGATAAATAGATTTTGGTAATACTAGTAGAATTCACTGGAGCAATACTTTATTTTGTCTAAAAATGAATAAGAAATCCAGAATTCAGATATTTGTCGTAGTTCAACGAGTCTTAGTGAAGTTAGCTTTGTTGATGAACGAAGTTGCCTTCAATCAATATGTTTCGATCGATATCCGATTTCTCAAATATTGGGTATCAATCGAAGAATAAATGTATTCTGTCTGCAAATGTCTCGATTATTTTACTTTGTCTTAAGAATAAAAATTAAATCTTCACAGCGTGATTGAAAGTCGATATACATATATAACCGATCTTTAGCAAAAATATGTTAAATTCAATAGTAAGAAAAGTAACTGATCGAGTTTCATCTGTCTGATTACAAACGATTAGTTACCTAGTGTGATGAATCATTTTTTCCTGTTAGAATGTTCTGAGAAGGAATTTCAAAAATAAAATTGAAGTTAGAGAAAGACTTTTATTTCAAATCTTTAATTAAAACTTCCGAGATTTCAAGATAAGGCTAGTGATTTTACCTTGTCTCATCATCATCATCATCATCGTCGTCGTCCGCATGTTGTAAATGCATTTTATTTAGAATAAAATCACGTAAAAATCGATCACGTTCTGATAATGATGGGTCATTCCAATAGTCATGTAAATATTTCTGGAAAAAAAAACAATAAGAATAATTTATTTGTTAACAACTAATTAGTACCAGATCTGATTTAATAGATGAGTCAGTTATTTCATTTTTTTGACCTTTTAACCATTCAATATAATCTTGTTCTTCTTTAGTCTAAATAAATTATTGCATAAAAACACTGAGAAATTCTAGAAAATCTTTACTTTTTCTTCATCGGTTTTGAGTTTTCTTGTAAATAAATCATCGTCATCTGTTCCGGGAAGAATACTTTTAATACTAAATAAAAACAAATATTTCTCGAAATTCCATTGACATGATTCAACGGCCACGCGATAAAAAAAACTGTTTTATTTGAATGACAATCGGGCGAATTAGCTTTCGTCTCTCCTCTTACGAACACCGGTAAATTCGACCGGGTGTTGGGAAATGATTTTTATTCGTAAAAATTTATGACGGTAGTTCGTAGGCACCTATGTACCGGAGATCGTAATAGACAGCAGGAAGATCGTAATGTGTTTACTGGATGTTCGGAATAGAGTTTTTTTGCTATATTTAATGTAACACCACCTGAAGATCGTAATGAACACGGCCGGTTGTTCGGAAGGTAATTCTAAGGGTACTTAAATGTGGAGTCCGTAAAAGAATTTATAAGGATATTGTAATTGAAATAAAGACTTTCTATTCTTATAGGCAATAATATAATAGGTTGCATTTTTGATTACATCCATGATTATATAAGTAGACGATTATTCTTTCTTTACCTATACTCATTGTGCTATAGTCTCAGAAGTTGTTTCTAAGGATATAAGTTGATTAAAAACCAACAGTTGTCGAAAGCAATAACTGAGCAAGCTGCTCTTAGATCTTATTTACGTTCAAGTTCAATATTGAATCGTCTTAGAGTTAGACCCAACGATCATACTACTGCTGTTTCGTCTTCATCTTGCATATCATCAATTCAACCTGGTCTTACTGCTACAACATCGAAAAATAAACAAAAAACGTGTACATTCATCCAAGAATAAATAGAATGATGATGTACATTATCACTAGAGTCACACATGAATATGTATTTATTTTCTTTCAATAAAACTGGTATCTTGTAACAGAAAGTATTGAAGGAATAAGAAGAATAATAACTAATACTAGAGTTATTATAGTAAACAGAAGTGCAATCGTAATTGCTTGAATTCCTACGAACATCAGGACATTCTGATTACGATCGCCAGGAAAATTTTGATGTTCGTAAAGAGAAAAATTTACATGGAGTTCGGAATCAATTTTCAAAATAGCCTTTTCAATGGTTATATCCTATGAAAAAGCTATTGTCAGAATTGATTCCGAACACCCTGCATTTTTGTTCATGTCAGGAGATCGTAAACAAATTATTTTACGGGAGTTCGTAAAAAAAAAGAGGTGAAACGAAAGCTAATTTCCCCTGACAATCATATCTTCTTATTATTCTTTTGTTTTTCATAAAACAATCGAGAATAATGCTTCTTCAGTGAATGTAAATCTACCTCTTTTTAATTTCTTCTTGTTCTTCGATGATCGATTTCTTACCATTTGTTCTAAACAAGAAAGATTTACTTAAGATAATCATAATTTTCTATTTTAGAACTTACTGAATATGCTTATCATTATGATCATCATCTTTATGCATTGCTTCTGCAAAAGCATATTGAATTTCAGCATCTTTTAAGGTCATTTTTTTCTCTTTCTTCCTTTTATTCGTTTCATGACTATCATTTGCTGATGATGATTCCGGCGTGTTAAAAAATTGCGTATTCGAATCATAGATTTTTGGATCACGTTTTTTAAGAATTGAATAACAACGAAGAAATTCTTTTTCTACATCATCTGTCCAATCCTAGAAAAATCCATAAATTAGAGCAATAACTCAAATCGTTTTTTCCTCATACTTCAGCATTATCATCCTCAGATTCATCATCGGAACTATCTTCAATATCACTGCCATATCGAGCAATTACTAAAATCGCAAAATATAAAATGAATTTAAAATAAGGAAAATATTGGTCAGCTTTACATTTTTGTTTTTCTTCTTTTTCTCTCCAATTCTGGTATTTATTTGCATAGGATTTGTTTACTGTTAAAGTAACAGGATCATCATCATTATCGTCAAACATCTTATCCGGAAAAAAACGTTTTAAGAAAAAGTGATCAAATATCTTCGATTGGTTTAGATTTCACCATGTTTGTTGGTAATGTTCCTCTTCAGTGAGGGCCATCGAATGATGCCACTCGTATCTGGCATAGACTCATGGTTGGTTCAGTCTCGAGTTAAGGTTTTTCTTCAGTTGCTTTTAAAGCTCTTTAGCAGCAATGTTTCTAAAGAAATTTTAAACGACCATTTATTTTCCAGAAAAGAAATCCCACGGATGTTACTTGTGGGCAACAAATGCAATAGCAAGATGTCGCCAGAATCATCGCCTACATTTTAATTTTTGAAAAGAATCTATATTAGGAATGCTGTACATCAATCACGAGACTCAATTTAATAATAGCAGGAACTTTTAGAAATGAATTTCGTATTAAATCCATTAACCGCTTTTTCATTCGATAGTATTTTTGATGAATCATGTCGATGTGGTAGCACCAGGTGCTTTTGATGATTTCGAGATCGATTCAAGAATCGAAATTATGAAGATAGTAGTGCTGGAAAAATTCGGATAGAGAGAGAAAGAGACGAGTAATATTTTATTAAAAAAGTCTTTTTTTCAGGTGAATGTGCAGTTTGACCACACAATAACATCAAAATAGCGCATTGTACGCAATAATCACGGGAGCGAAGGTATGCTAACTTTACACGCAACTTGTTTTCGCAAAACGAAGTTATTTACTTGTCGAGAATGGGGTAGTTTTGCTTTGAAAAATGATTGAATATTTTTACTTATTTGAATCCCAACTTTTTGTTGTAGTGAATAGAATTTTTTTCCTCTTGTCGCTGTTTTAACATTAGTTTAGCTTTTTTTTCTGGATGATTGTTTACTCAGACATAGCGACAAATATCAATGCTTGTTGTTTGTTATTGTGTTAAAAATGTCGAAAACAATATAATTGACAGCTGATGTAAAAGAGATGATTTTTTGTGATCAATTATTTTAGATTAACCAAGAAATTTTATTTCAAGTATGACGCAGGTTTGCTAGTTCAAACTTTAAAACTAAAAAATTTAGACTTTATCTATATTTTAAGGCTGAAGTTGATGATACATTAAAACGTATACAAGAACATAAAGGTGTTCAAGGCTATTTAATTATAAATAGTGATGGTAAGCTTATGATTGAACAACTTGGAGAATGAAATTCGAGTTAACATATAATCGTTTTGTGTAAATAAATTCGAAAAAATCCTAATTAACGAGCTCCTATAGCACAGATATAATTGTCGCCATATCGATTTTTGTATAATTTAAGGGCATTCTAAGAGCTGCTGGTTAATAACAATTTTTTCTTCGGCGATTTGTCTCTTAGCTTTCACAATCTCTATTCCTCGAATGATCATCAAAATAGTAATAATCTGGAATAACATCTCACTAACGAGAATATCCTGTTTGTTAAAATAAAAAATGTTTGATTAGTTGTACAATTAGAAGCCGAAAAGAACCATACGGTATGTTCTGCCTACAGCTCAAAAGACCATATTTATTCTTTCAATCAGTCTCAAGGTTATTAAATGTTTTTTTTTCTCCACTCTCTATTGCCACTGATGATTGATAGCAGAATTAATGTTCTGGTTCTATTCCATGCACATCGTAGTTGACTGATTATGTATGTATCCTTTACATAGGCATTCCAATTCGCTCAAGTCTCGATGCATCTGTAACTCAGCAATATGCAGCATTAATTAAATCTTTATCTGATAAAGCTCGCTCAACTATTCGTGAAATGGATCCATCAAATGAGCTTTTATTTTTTCGTATGCGTACTAAAAAACATGAAATATTGGTTGCACCTGGTTCGTACCAAAAACATTCTATTTTTTTCTTGTTTTCTATATAAATATATCTCATTTTGCTTTTTAGACAAAGAATATACAATGATCGTTTTACAAGCAACAGATGCTTCATAAACTGTCTTTTTCTTTTATGTATGTCAATTTAATATCGTTCTGTCTTCAGAAATATTCAGAAAAAACAACTTGACAAAAATAATTGCATTTTCTCTTTCTCTCTCTCTCTCTCTCTCTCTCTCTATATATATATATATATATATATATACATATATCTTTTTACCTATTATAGATGAAGAAATGTCCTATATAGTTAAGCAACCATTGTATAACCGATTTTCACTTGATCGACAATGTCCTATGACTTCTTCATCTTATCACGGACCACCGTCGTTTAACTATCGACCTTTAGTATCTTCATCAAAACACTTCATGCCCGAGTCACCCACCGTCAAACAAAAGCTTTACATAACTTATAGTAAACCGTTAACACCAGTGATGAATCAGTGACAATAATATTCGCCTATATTTTTCCTTATTTTTATATATTATTATAAATAATAATAATAAAATGTTTACTTTTGAAAACTATAAATCATAAATATCGTGTGACTTCGTCATGACCCAATAAATGTAATTTTTATCATTTGTGGTTCTCCACCGGTGATATACTATACAATCGAAAAAGGAAAGAGAAAAAATGAGGGTATAGAAAAAAAAAAGAATAATGATCATTCAAGCGTGTGCTGAGTAATAATCATTATTGGTAAATAAGAGAAAACACATTGCTTTTTTACAGCCTTGATCAGCAAAAAAAAACACAGTAAACGTGAGAGAAGCGTTTAATCATGGTGATTACTATACAATCAAATCCCATTTATTATTCATTATCATCATGTTCATCAAACCCAAGCTCATCAGCACGAGAGGTTGTTCTTCATAGACGAGTCGATCGTGATGGTTTTGGAGTATACATTGGTGAAGATGTACCATCCGGTCTTTATGTAGTCACTGTAGAAAGTGGATCACCTGCAGCAGTCGCTAATATTCAACCAGGTGATCGCGTTCTAGCTATTGATGGGCAGTTAGTGTCTACGATGAAAAGTCCAAAAGACATGCTTATTCAAATTGCAAGTAATTCTCCAACTCTACGACTTACAATTCAATCAACAAATATGTTAGATGAACTTGATGTTCCACTACGAAATACTCACAGAGATAAAAAAAATGATAGTGGATCAAAGCGTTCATCAGTTCAAACAACTGATATGAATGCAGATCTTGAAGGGTAATTTTTGTACATTGAAAACCGAAGAAAAAAAAACTTTGTCGTTTGTTATTTAACTTAATTTAGTTATATTCGAACACTTTTTGCTAACGAAGACATTCAAATAATACCATCATTGAACAAAAATGAATTTATTATACAGAACAATTCAACTCCAAAATCATCTATGCAGCCCAATGTGCTTTCATCACGAAGTTCTCATTCAGAAAGTCATAAGCAACAACAACAACAACAACAACAACAACAACATCATCATCATCATCATCATCAACATCAACGGCATCATCATCAACATCGTGAAGCAAGACCGAAAATTCTTGTTACAAAAGAAACTCAAACATCAATAGATGAAGATGAAGATGAAAATATACAAGAACCACCACCAGTTTCACCAAATCGACCATATCCAAGTATGGGTACATCACATCGTCTATTACGAACACAACAAGTAGCTCAAAGTGATAATTCAACAGAAAGCCAAACTACACCACAAGGAATTTATTAAAATAAATTTTTTAAAACTTCTACGTAATATTTCTCTTTTCTGTTTAGTTGCTCCTGCTGCATCTAAACAATATATGGCTGATGTTGTTCGAGCTGCTGTGGTCGCTCAACGTAGACGTGAAGGTCAGTAATGAGTAGTTTCTGTCAACAGGCAAACTTTTTTTTCTTTTCAATAGCACAAAATCGTGAACCAGCTGTTGTTCCTCAACGAGTACCAACACCCCCGCCACATGTGGATCCTGTTGTTATTATTCCAGCTCCTACACCAGGAGAACTGCCAGTTTTACCACCACCATACTCAGTCCGAGACGCACTAGCGCCAGACGACAGTAATCGAGAAAGTGTTAATGAGGGTTCGTATAATGTTCGCGATGCTCAAGAAAATCGACAAGTACAGGTATCGGAACATGACGCTGGCAATATTCCACCATCAATAACTGGTACAGGTGTACATGTCGTTCATTTGCATAGTTCGCCAAATTTCGAAGGATTTGGTTTTTATTTACAATACAACAAAAGTTATTTTCTCATTAATAAAATTGAAGAAAGTAGTCCAGCTGAGCTTAGTGGTCTTCGTGCGAATGATGTTATACTTGCAATAAATCAAAGCTTAACAGACAAAATGCCTCATAGTGAATTCGTTACCATAGTTGGTGCCAATAGTACAATTGATTTTGTTGTTCAACCTATTGAAGATTATTTACGTTCTAATTTTCGACCGTCACAAAATAAACTGTTAGCGCCAACAACTTCAACAAAAGATAGTTCTGATGCTGGTCAACAAAAATTTAGTCTTTCAAAAACTATAAACAGACTAACCGGTCGTTAAATATATATTTGACTTCGCTTTTCGTTCTGTTTAGATATTGATCTTTTGAGATATTATGAAAATTAAAAATGTCAACGTACTTCATATTCATCAGTATTAGTACGCTTTTACAGTTAAACTACATACATGTTTGTTCATACTATGTTAACGAGAGAAGAAAAAAAGATTATTTGCTTTATTCAAAAAAAAAAAAAATTATGAAATATGAAGTACATTAAATCAAAAAATTTGCATACGAATACGTCAAATGTCTCTTAACTGAGAAGCATATCAATTACATTGAAATTTATTTTATATAAAAAGAATTATGAATAAATAAATAATGATTGATTTTCAAAACTAACCAAATCCATTTTCTGTCAACTTTAGCCGCTGGAATCTTAAAAAAACGCGACTGAAGTTTAATGTTGATGCAAAAACAAGATAGAAATTTTTTTCCCGTCGGATGATGATAGATACTATTCTTTCTTATACGTAATCTTGGCAAGATCCTATAGATTTAATGTACATAGATTATCGCTAATCTTCATTTAAGATAAGGTAGATGAGTACGATCTCGCAAAACAACTGTTGTCTTACAAGAACAATAAACGGCTTATTTATTCTTTGCACTTTTAGCACATCCAAGTTCAAGATGTACCAAAGAATAAGAATATATTCATAAGCAAAAAATAATAAGTATCGAAAAAATGGTAATTAAAAATGAAAATGATACACATTTTAAATATCGTCTACTATCTGGATAATGATCATGTTAAAAGAGCAAGAAAAACAATAATAGTCCTATGCAATGATAACAATCGAAGATCTTTGCCCTTTTTTCATGTAATTCGATATTGTACACAACACTTCGGTGTGACTTTTATTACCTCTAGGCATCAATATATTTACATGCATCAGTTCGAAGTAATTGTATTTCAAAATTTCTTTGTCACATTAAAATCAAAGAATAATGTTTTGTTTTTGTCCTCCGAATCGATTAAACTTATGCTGTCATCTGTTAGTAGCACATAAAAGCAAACATTTTTATAATAACTATTGCTATAGGTTATCAAGAATTCCCATAGGATAAATTCAGTCGTGCCAGGCAAATGCTAAATCGTGTAATCAGATGATCTATAGTACTTGTTTATGTCAATACAACTTACTTATCGATGCTACTTGATATTTTTCTATCATCATCATTATACTTACATAATCATATTCATACAGATTCTCTTTGACCGTATATATATATACGTATATGTGCATATCAAAGCAAACTTGAGTAATCATTAAATGAAAGATCATTTTTCAAAATAGATTATCGTACTGTTTGTTGACGTCGACCAAAACTTTACGCTCGAAAATATTGTTTTTGTTTACACATCTTTTTTTATGTATAAAACAAGAAAAAGAAAACGACAGATCCAGAAAAAAGAGAGAAAGAAACGGCAAGAAAGATAAAGTCTGTGTATATAAAAAGAAAGCAAAAAAAACCGAAAACCGTAGCCAATGTATGTAAATCGAACAATAAAAATGAACTGAAATGCACACATGCACACATTCGCTAGCTAGAAAAGAATGCATTTCCAAATAAAAAAAACATAATATATATTTATATTTATATATATATATATATATATATATATATTATTCAATATGTATATTTGTTGCTAAGATCTCTCCTGTTGATGTTGTTTGACAACCTTGAGATACATATCGGCCTGATTCATCAGCTTGTTCACGTAATGAGATTGTGTTTGTTCGTTGAATAACCTGTTGTAGATTACGTCGAAGAACTTCAGCATCAAGACCACCGGCCATTTTAGGCAATGGACATTGCTCTTCGTTAACTGGCGGTAAACCAACGCGGCTATGTCGATTAGAATTCGACGAATTAACAAGAGCTATAGGAGATAATTGTCCACCATTATTATCTGATGATTCATCAAATCCACTACTATTTAAATCGTTTCCTATTTGATAAATATTTAAATCGTGATCGATAGATGCAAATCCATTCGATGAATTTGTATAATTTTCAAACGATGGCGGTGATGTATAACCACCATTAGCCGATGTTATTGATGATAAATTATTTGTACTTGCTGAATGTACGATCGCTGGACGAGTATTTTGACGTGGCCAAGTTTTCAATGATTTCCATTTAGTAGAACCTATCAAGAGGAAAAAATTTATTGAAATTCTAAAGAAACAAAATGTCATATTTTTGCTAGATATTGAACATGTACTGTTTGACCCGTCATTTTTTTATTAATTAATAGAAACTCATGCTTCATCAAAAACCAACTTCAATTCTATTTTATTTAATGTAACTGTTATAAATATAGATGTAAGAAGTTGAAGGTTTTTTAGCTTCGGGTCTTGAGTAAACTACTCAAAAGCGACCACATTTAAAAACATACTTCAATCCTTTTTCATGATCTTACGCAATCTTTTATGACCTTATCAAGAGATTAAAAGGATGTCTTATGAAAAATCTCCTGTTTTGTTTGATGTAAAGGATCACGCAAAATCAACGGTTAAATCATCAATAAAAAGAGGATTTTTTCTTGAGGGTGTGGCAAGTAATCATATCTCTAATCATACGAATAGAACGACTAAATTTCTGATTTGAAATTGAATTCTATTGACAAAGCTTAAAAAAAGAATAAAACTACGAAACAAATGAAAATGTACCTTCTTTTGGACCAAGTATAGCTGTAAAATTCATAGAATCGCCGGGATTAAGAACACATGTTAGATCATTAAATGTTTCAAAATGACATGACTGTATATCGAAAAAAACTTGTTCATTATTATCCATATTCAATATGCCATATTTAGGAAAAATTCTTATGACAACTCCCGATGCGCTTATTGAATTCGATGATTGTTGAGATAATTGTAGTGATGATAATGATGATGCTTGAAGGCTATTCGTATTGTTATTATTATTATTATTATTATTATTATTGTTTATATTGTTATTCACGTCACTTTTATTTAATAAAACTCGTATAGCATCGGATTTCACGCTAACTGTTCCGTCTGTATGCAGTTGAAAAACAGCATTGTGTCGTTTAAAAAATGAGATTATATCATCACGTGCAAAACCAATAAATTGTATTAAATAATCTGGTGCGCGAGCTACTAAATTCGGTACACTTTGAAGTAAAACACGACCATTTTTATGTAATAAACGCATAACATAATGGACAGCTTTAACTTCGTTTGGTGTTAAACGTTGCATCGGAGGTCGACTGATAGAGGATGTTGATGATAGTAATATTGATGAATTGTTTACACTTGTTGGTGTACTTGGCATTGAATTGCCACCTAACATAGTTCGTGTACCCGATTTAAATGATGTAGAACGTGTTAACATTAAACTTGTTCCACTTGAACTTGTTGATGTTACACGACGTTTTGGCGGAGGTGATGGAGGTGGAAATGGAATTCCAGGTAGATCAGCTTTACCCTGAAAGAAACAAAACAAAAATGAAATGTTATTGAATTATAAAAAAATTCTTTTTTTTGTTCTACACTTACTTTAAGACCGCAAAAGTCATCGCGTACAGCAAAAATAGTTGGATAACGTGCAAGAAATACTTTAAATTCATTTTGTGGTCCAACATATTTTCTTACATCAGCGGATGCTTGCGATGCGTGTCCAGCAACACTTACAATTGGTAACCATTCTTCTTCACGTTTACTTAATTGTTTTTTGAAAAAATTTATTGCTTCTTGTTCGATTTCACGCATTGTTTTAGCATCCCATACTGTTTCATTGTTGATATTATTATTATTGTTATTAATTGATGTTGTCATTAGATCGTTTTCGCTCGCCTCATTACTCGAGACGGGTGATGCTGTTGGTTTTGGCCGACTATGATGAGTTTTTGATGATGAATTCAATGTGCGTACGGGTGTTGCACTATTCGCTGATACAGTATCGTTGTTTACAGTAAATAATGATGGATATCGCAGCAAGAATTGTTGCAATCCTTGCTCATTGCCACCAACAGCACGTAACATTTGTGGTGTAAATGTTCGATCAGCAAAGCTATCGTAAAGCTTCACAATAGGCATGGCTTGATTATTACGAATGAGCACATCGAGAATAAATAGAATGGCTTGATGAGCCACCTGATAAAACACAAAAAAAATAAACATGAAAATAGAAAAAAAAGAAAGAAACTTGCCGACGGCTCATCGATTGCTATTCCATGCGTCTTCTCGGCAGATGCCACAGGAGCCGGTATTGGCGTTGCCGTTGTCGTCGATAATAGAGGCGATGTAGTTGTATTTGGCGTCGTTGGCAATGAAGACATCTCCTCCTTCTGTAATAATAAAGACAAGATTCTATTGTCAAATATTCAATTGACAAGAACAAAATAAAATATGAACTCTATTCGAGCAAATAGACGAACTATAATCGAAAGACTTAAATTGGTCACGGATGAACGATGAAGTTTATCGTCTTTACATTTAATGACAATTGTTAATGTATATATATATATATTAATTAAAGAGCTCTCATATTTTAACCTTCGTTTTCTCTTTGCTTCTTTCATTCGTTCACATCTATCGAACGATAACAGAGAAGGATTACAATAACGATAAACCTCCACTATTTATGGTGGTGCGCGTGAGAAAACTACTACGAGAAGAAGATTAGTTGTACATATACACACACGCCTTTCTTTCTCTTCCTTTTCTGTTCGTATCGACTTGCGCTAGCAGCTACTTCTATGTAACACAGATATGTATATGTACAAGTATTTCCATGTGTATAAAAGAAAAGAGCGCTTCTTCGATTGACCAGAATGAGAAAATAAATGCATCACTGACGTTTTCTTTCATTAATCGATTATAGATGTGAACAAATATTTTTTATGATAGTGTGACAATATTTTATTTAAGTAATGGTAATTTACCTTTCTCTGTATTATGTATATATGTATGTATGATCAGACAAGAGATGTTGGGAGGATACTGTCGACAAGCTAGTAATTGTAAATCGCAATAATATAATAAAATACGTTGAAAAAGAAATTCGAATAAATAAGAAGCAATTATTGAAGTAATAAAATTTTGACGACAACGAAGAAGACGCAGTCAATATATATATATACGTAAGTGATCTGATTGCGAAGCAATATCGTAAGAGCTTCGCGTATGGCAGTGTCGCCGATAATGATGTTGGTCTATAAGTTGCTTCTTTCTTCTTTTCGCCTCAGCTTTTTTTGTGTGTGCTACGACTCTGAAAAGGAGAAAGGGAGACAGAAAAAAGAAAAGAAAAAATTGACAATATGATTTGTTCTCTCTTTTCTTTATGTATCTATCGTCGGCATTGTTTTTCTTCTCTCCAGTACGGTCAATCTCATATATAAAAAGAAGTGCAAATGTACAAATAACATACCAAACAACATATGTATATGTATATATTTATATTTATATTTATATATCTACCTAAAAATATATATATATGTATAAATGTGTGAGAAGAAAATTACTAATTATGTTTTTTTTTTAAATGGATCAATAAAAGAATTTAATTCGTACGATAGAAAGTACATACAATCAATTTCTTTTTCGTTGAGAACTACAGAAAAGGTATTTTTATTATAAAATCAATATGAAATAAATAAATAATTGGTATTATTATCGCAATCATTTTATGTGTTATAACGATTGACTGATTATCAAGAGAATCGTTGATTCCATTATGAATCATTTCTATATCGGTCAATCGATGAATCCGATAAATAAAAAAATGTTTAAGTTTAGATTAGAAATGAAAATATCTAAAATATAAAATCAAGCTTTGATAAATATTAAGAAGATTTTTTCCTTATTGTATGAAAATACAAGAAAACAAAACACCATGGATGTCGCTCTAGTACGGTTATATAGAATACTGTGTATCTGCGATATACACGCACTAATACAATATGAGAGTATACTTTTTATGAAAATCAATCATAGTATTCTTCATATGCAATTGACACATAATTATATTGTAGAATCTGAATAATATTCTCTCGAAGAAAACTTACGTCTTATATTTATTTATTTATTCTTCACAAGACACTTTTTCGTCGACCTTGCTTCTATTTTTCTTATCGACATTGATGACCTTCGATTTTATGCCATTAATAATTCAATAATTAATCTAGCATATTCTGTGCTCGCATTTTATCATTAGGTTTTTGTTTATTGATATTGAAGTATCGTTTCCTAGTAACTTTTGATCTCTATGGATCATATATCATAAAATTACGAATGTAACAAAAACGAAAAAGAAAGAAAAATCTAATGTAAATTCTCATCGATAAAGTATTTCATTTCATTGTTTCGTTAAACGTCGAAAGGCAGACATATTTTTAATACGTGAACTTATCAACTATTGAAAGTTATGTTTGTAAATGTTATCAATGCGTGCCAATCTATGAAAAAGTCTTTAGAAGAGAAGCGTAAATACAATTAGCATAACATCCAGAACATATGTTTACAGAGATCAATTGTCTAATGTTAAGACTCATTAAAGAAAACTCTAAGTTAAACATCTGATACAATAAATATCAATGTGGGAAAGGTTCTATCAGTTTTTCGAGAAGATAAATGATAGACTAGGCTATTGTATGTTTTATATAAGTCAGTCTACCTTAATTGTCTATTGAAAATCTAATTCTTGATGATCAATATTGTTTCTATAGAAATGTCATCAATTTTATTATCATACGAAAGTAATTTAAGTATATTTGGATGGATCTACATAGGAATAAAACGCCAAACAGCAGGAGATTTACACATTATCTTCTTTGTGTCTATATATTAGACTGCTGTGCTAAGAAGTGAATATGTATACAGTGTAAAGCCACTCTACTTTACATACGCATATGTGTATTTAACATTGTTAAACCATATGGTTAGAACTCTGCTTGCTCAGAGCTTTACATGATAGTGTTAGAAAGATCAAAATTTTCAATTCAATCAACTATTTTATTTGATATGAAAGTAAAGCAATGCTCAGATGAATAAGAGATATCTCATAGTTTAACGGAAAATTCAAAATTAAATAGAGTTTTATACTTATTAAACCTAATCGACGAATTGAATAGAAACAACGACAAAGATGAGAGAAATAAGATAATATCGATTTTAGACTACGATGCATTATGAGATGTAAGCATCTTATTAAATCTTTGACTTGATAGAAAAACGAATGAAATCAACCGTCAATTCTCTATTAATTGACAAACAAAATCAATAACATTGTTTTATTCGTTCGTTAGAAGTGATGTTGGCTTTTCTTCTTTCTTTACTTCGATCACTGAATTTTTTCTCTTTCTCTCTCCTGTTCTGTCGTTGCTGTTTACATTCATATCATCAACTCGTTGGCAGTGGCAGCAAATAAAAGAGAAAGTTTAATTCAAAAAAAAAAAGCAAAGCAAAACACAACACAACAAAGAATAGTGAGAACTCACCGTTTGTTCTCTTTTTCACCTTCCTTTTTCTTCCATTGTGTTCTGTAAATGATCTTATTGTCCACGTTGTTGTTACTACCATCATACACACAGACGTGCATCGATAGAAATTAAATTTTGAACGTAATATTTATAGAAAAAAACAAAATACAATGGTTGATCTACCATCTGTTAAACAATCGTATACTATGACAACGACGGGTGAACTTAAATCTCGAGCATTTAAGAGTAGTATGGGTGTTCTACCGTTTCGTCGTAGTGAATCTATACCGGAACTAAATCTGGTTCATCTACGTGGACGATCAGTCATGGCAACAGGAGTCGCTACTACTGAATTAGCAAGTAGTCGTGTTGGTACAAATACACCCGTTACCCCAAGACCACCATTAGCATTATCCGAATCTGTTCAAGCAAGTTTAAGCGATCGATACGAACCTCTACCGGCTATTTTACCAATGGTTGGCACAGCACATTCAGCGGCTCTTCTAGAAAGACGATCACAAAAGAAACCGACTGTTAATGTACCACCAGTAAAAAAACGAAAAGTGGAGATACTCATTGTTGAACCTGAAGTCATACAACGAAGTACACCAAGATCTGTAGTTGGTCGCATGGTTAATGAAGCACGATTATTAAGTCAACCTGGCGGTGATCGTCTAACACCACACAGTCGATTATCAAGTAAACAACAGTAAGAAGAAAATAAAAATATTGTCTTTTTCTTTCGTTTACAAAAAAAAACCAAATTCTATTGATTAGATCCTATGGTACATCATCGACGATGTCATCGACTCATCCACAACAAATTGTAATCACACCAAGTGATGATCCATCACGTGCGGCAGTTGAAAATTTAATAGCATCCATAAAATCGAAACAATTACAAGAAGCTCAACGGCAATCAGATCGTAAAATTCTTGATATTATACATCGTGTACTTGGAAGAACAATTGATCTGGTTTATGATGAAGATGAGAAAGAACAAATTCAACAAGAACATGAACAGAAACTGATTGTCGACGAAGAAAAACGAATCCCAATGATTCTTGAAGAAGAAGACATGAGTGTTCATTTACGTGTACCCGATGTTAGCCGAATGGATCTTGAAGTAGACGATGAAAAATATGAAGGCGAAGATGGAGAATACGAAGGTATAACTGACAAAGAGAGAACTTTAAGAACAAAGAAACAAACAGAAGATTATGAACAAATTGATATGTCACGAGATCCGCTCTATCGTCATATATTATTAGGAATAACAGATGAAGATCTATTAAATGTACGAGGTACTCAAATAAATGTACCAACATCACTCATTAGTAGAAATCGAGCGATACCCACTAAGCCAGCTAAACATGATGATAAAAGTGTTCATCATTTTTGTATTCAAATGACTAATGAAAGCGATATCCTATCAAAAGAACTTCGTGCTATAACTCAATTATATCATCAACGAGCTCGATACCGAAACAAACTGCCTACTTCTACAATTTATTATAAACACGGACAATTACCAAAACCTTTCATTAAAGAAACCATTGGAAATGAACGACACGAAGATGAACAAAATATGTAAGTCGATCTTCTTCTCGTTCAGTGTCTATAGAAGATCGGTACATCATAAAATAAAATCATTTTTTGAAAACGAAAACTTTTTTCGTATTATCAGCAATGAAAAATATGATGCCAGGTCTCTTTTGTGAAAATCTCATATTTTACTGTAAAAATTTGTAGAATCTAAAAAAACCAAAAAGAAGATGTCTTCACTTTGACTATCACGTGTTTGTAGCCCATGATTTACTTTGTCATATATCCCGTTATAGGATGGAGTCCTATAGATAAATTGCATGAGAATACTTGTACTTTTGTTTTAGTTCACGTTCAATTAAAACCAATGGTCCTTCAATTCCCTATGATGGGCTCGAGCCCGTGGAAACCGATCTTAATGTATGGCAACGTCGTGCTACTCAAATAGTTCAACCGAAAATTGAAGGCAATTCTGCTATTTCTCAAGACCCATATCTAATTCACTTGTGGACACCGGCACCACCGAAAATGTATATTCATCCACGTCGTGTAAAAGAACGTCTGTTTGTTGAATATACATCTAATCAAACGAAAGAATTCATTGATATGGACGATGACGACATGACTTTAATCGATGAACAAAAATCAGTTTTTACAAACTTTAGCGAGGTAGATCAAATGTTAGAAGTACCCTATGTTGTTCCAGTTATAAAACGATATAAATCATTGGAACGTTTACCATCGACAATCGATCATAGCGATGAATTTCGAATGAGTTCAAATATGATTCGATCAAGTCGTTCTTGCTCAAATTTAACATCAGAGTTAACGCTTCGTTTAGATACGAATTATGTATTTACGTTAGATGAAACAAAACATCAAATTGCAGCTCGAAAACATGTTAAACCTGAAACAATTACATCCAATACGGTTCCTTCAGATGAAACACACTTAGTATCGTCTCAAATCATCGAAGTAGCAGCTGTTAAAGAACAACAAGGTAAGACACAATCTTAAAGAGCTAGTCTTCAAAGATATCTTAGGAATATATTCATATCTGAAATCATTTAGGAACTATAGTTCTGCGTTGCATTTTCTGGAAAATTATAGAGAAGAATACATTTTTATTCTCATGAAAATCAAAATCATAGTTTTTCAAATAGAAATAAAATTTGTTTTTCTTTCTAGAATCCATTGTTGAAGAAAAAGTTGAGCAGTCATCGGGAGATTTTCAATATTTTCGTAAAACTCATCATGCAGTACATTATGAAGACGCTGTCGCTGATGGTCGCCAATTTATATCAACTGCTCGTATGCGAGCAACTCGTCGTTCTCGAAAAGATGTTCGTTTTTGGGAACGAATTGATGCTATTGTTGCTCTCGCTACAGCTCCACCACGTGATCCACCAATATCACGGCGCCAATCATTTCATGAAGCACATTTCTACGAACGAAATCATCCACATCTAATAAAAGAAAAATTTCGTAAACGTCGAACAAGTCTTGAAAAAGAAAAATTGAACTTTGACAAAAATATTAAAACAAAATATAAATATGAAGAAACACGTACTAAATTTGGTGGAAAACGTCTACTAAATGAATTCGAATGGACACGTGAAGTATGGTATATTTGGCTTGATGAATACATAGCTGAATTAGATAAAATTGAAATAATGAGACAAGAAAAAGAAGTCAAACAACAACAACAAATAGCTGCATCAACGCCTCTCGATGAACCGTCCACATTTGCAATAGATGACAGTGAACATGAAATCAGCGGAAGTCAAATAAAAAAAGTATCTACTAGTGTTCAACTTGAACCAATAATAAATCTTCAAGTGCCTCACAGCGAAGAACGTCGTCTAATTGAAGACGAACTATACCGTCTAACAAAATTAATCGATCGAGATCCACGTGATGTATTTAGTTTAACACGACGCGGTGGTTTACTACGTAAACTTGGATTATTTCACGATGCTCTCAATGATCTATCGTTAGCTGTTTATATTGAACCATCATTTATGGATGCATATTGGCAACGAGCACTTATCTATATGATATTCGAACATTATGATGATGCATTGGACTCGTTAAATATGTGTATAAAATTTAATAAAACTCATGCTGGCGCTTATAAATTACGTGGTGATATATATTCAATGAGGAATGATTTAGCTTTAGCCATTGCTAATTACTCACAAGCCATACGTCACAATTCAACAGACCATGAATCCTATTTTCAACGAGCACAAACGTATGAACGAAGAAATGAAATTCTTTTAGCTATGGACGATTATGTACAAGTAACTCAATTGAATCCGAAGAATATCGAAGCTTGGTATGTCAAGAAACTTTTGCATTGATTTTTTTCCAAAACAATTCTTTTTGCGTAGGTATAAACATGCTCTGTATTATTTCAATACGAATAATTATGATTATGCTGTTGGTGATTTTACTGAACTACTGAAACGTGAACCGGATCATGTAACAGCGCGTCTTTATCGTGGTCTTTCATATTTCTATCTTGAATATTATCAAAATGCTTTAGCTGATTTTTCTGCAACGCTGCATTATGATCCATCGAATTGGGCCGCTTACTATCATCGTGGTTGTCTTTTGCGTACATGTAATCCAGCCAAATCATTAAAAGATTTAAGTATATCATTATTAATCAATCCGGAATATGAAAATGTTGGCGCTTATCTTCATCGAGCTTTAATTTATTGCAAACAAAACCAATACGATGCAGCTATTGCTGATTATGAAGCTGTATTAGTGCTAGATCGTGAACATGCGCCAGCTCTATGTAATTTAGCTATTATTTACATGAGAACAAATGTTCAAAAAGCGTTACAATTATTTACGAGAGCTATCGAAGCTGAACCAACATATGTTCGAGCTTACTTTTGCCGTGCTTATTTCTATACTCAAATTAATAAATTACAACAGGCCTATTCAGATTATACGAAAAGTAAAAGATAGGCTTAAAATAAAAAATTTATATTTTATTCATTTGTTTTGTTTTGTTTAGTTTATCATATGTTTCCGGATCAAAATGGTGCTATGGTACTTCGAGGAAATATACTTCTTTTGATGGGAAAATTAGATTTGGCTTCATTCTGTGTTGAAGTAGCTGCTAAATTACAGTCATTAGCAGCTCCGGAAGAAGACGGATCGCCATCAGTATCATCTTCAATGAAAATGAGTGCATCAAGTCCTCAACAACAAGCTATTGTTCATTCATTTCTCGAACAATTCGATTATGCTCTATCGATTATCGAACGCGAATGTTTATTACGTCCAACACCTGCAAATTACCGTATGTTTGGTCGACTACGTACAAAAGCTAAACGATTCGATGAAGCACGAGCTGCATTTGAAAAATGCATACAAACATGTATAAGTAGTATATCAGATCAGTCAGTTGAGCTTCATGGTGCTTATCTAGACTTGAGTAAATGTCTTATACAACTTCAACGTTATCCGCAAGCTGTCGAACAATTAACAACACTTATAAAACTTCAACCACCGAATCAAAATGCAGAAGCTTATCTACAACGTGGCATTGCAAAAATGAGAATGTTTGGAAAATTTTCTACTCAGGAATTAACAAAATTATCATCGAATAGACGACCATTATTAGATATTAATAGAGCACTCGTAATCGAACCTAATAGTGCTGAAGCATATCTTGCACGAGCTGCATGGTAAATATCCTAGTAGCATAGAATTTATTATTCAGAAGATTCATAATAATATGAGATACCATGATTTAAGCAGTATTTTACAATTCCTGAGGTAGATATTTGTATAATTTATATCGGGTGAAACACGCTACAAGTTTTACTAGTTTCAGCCGATCGATTTCAATCATTTTTATTGAATCTTTGCTTTTGAAGTACTACATAAAAAGAAACATAGAAGGCTTTTAGGGACGAAAATCAAATGATTTGTCTATATAGTAATAGTTTCATCTGTACTACAACAATATATATATATACATATATATATAGATTAATGTTGAATCTATTTTAGGTATGCTCGTTGCGAACGTTATTCAAAAGGTGTACTAAATTGTAATGAAGCTATTCGTTTAAATCCAAAACTTGTTCGTGCTTATCTTTATCGTGGTTGTCTAAAATATTCTATTCGCCTTTATGATCATGCTATTAAAGATCTATCAATAGCATTAGATATTGATCCATCTTGTTCACATGCGTATTATAATCGCGCATTGTGTTACATTCGTCGAGGAAATCTGTCCTTGGCCTTGAAAGATTTTGCTATTGTTTTATGTCTTGCGTCGGCAATAAAAAATAGTAAAACTCAATTGCTTGAACTTGAAACTTACATCAATCGAGGCCTACTACAATATGAACATAAGGATTTTGAAAATGCATTAATCGATTTTGAGTATGCACTTGAAATAGTAACGGCATCGAATGATGAGAGACGAATTAATGTACTTAAACATAAATTAATATATACAATTGGACAATGTCATCATCGATTAGCACAATTCGATGAAGCCATTGAACGATTTAAATCATCTGAAATAGATTATCATGCGATGATAGATACGACTTATCGACATGATCTATGGATCGCTCAAGGCATTGTCTATATGGACATGGGTAATGATGAATCGAAATTGCAAGCAACAAAATTATTTGAATCTGTACTTCATGAAAATCCAATACATGAAACTGCACGACTTAACCTTGGCTATTGCTTTCGACAACGTGGCTATTATAAACGTGCTTGGATACAATTTTCAGCTCTTCTTCATTTCAATCCATCGAATGTGCGTGCACTTGAAGCGCGGGCTATTGTTTGTCTACAAATGAATCATCCGACCGAAGCATTTATTGATCTCAATCAAGCATTACGTTTTCAACCATCATCAGCTCAATTACTGACAAATCGTGGTGTCGTTCAACAATATTTAGGTGACAATAAAAATGCGATGTGTGATTATCGTGCAGCTATGCTTGCCGATCCGAATAATGCATTTGCACATTACAATGCTGGAAATGTACTTATGTTTCATGGGCAATTTCTGGAAGCTATTACTTTATTTGATCGAGTTTTGGAAATAAATCCAAGAGATGAAGCAGCATTAACGAATCGTGCTATTGCTAAAGTTGTTTTGAAACAGTACAGCGGTGCACGCAGTGATCTTGAGCATGCTTTAAGAATTTCACCGTTGAGTGCACATATTCATATCGATCTCGGACAATTATTATTGACAATGAATGAACCAATTGAAGCAGAGAAACATTTTACACGTGCTTTAGAAATTCGTCCATGTGATCCGGTTGTGTATAAATGGCGTGGTGATGCCCTATCGAAACAAGATGGACGACGACAAGATGCTTTGGATAACTATCGTGCCTGTGTTGAACTGAGTGATGCATTACAATTAGCACGAAAACATGGACTTATTAAAGCACCAACTAAAACTAGGCGAAGGCTGTGATAAACTCTTTCCTGATCCCACAATTTTTTTAGAGATTAATTATTTTTTTCTAAATTTTCACTATTTAAGAAATAATATTGAATTGTAACACTACATTTTTCTTTCTAAATATAAATACATGCGATATAAGTGAAGAAATATCGAATTTGACATGTGTCTAAGTTAATTTAATACTCATTCTGAGAGTCCGAGTGCTCGCATTTTTGAATATTAGACATTATGAACAAAATCTTAAAAAACATTTCTCATGAAATGATCAAGTTAGCATCATTGATCTTTATTTTTTTTGTGTCTCTTCTTAATGTAATCCATCGTCTTTTTATGTAGAAAACTAAAACAACAAAATTCCTGTTGATGTTGCACTTGATGAAAAGAGGAGACGAGAATTCATTGATTCTTATCTTAACCACAATTTGTAGATACGAGTTTATAACGATATTTCAGTTCATCAGCTGGCATACCAAAAATGTCGGCATAAATAAATCAAAGAGAAAGTAATGCGATTTTCTTTGAAGTCATTCAATTACGTTTTGCTACTCAACAACCTATGATCGACTATTTAGGTATATAAAAGCTATCACATCACAGAATCTACATTATAAAACAACGCATATGTATGAGGGCAGGTGGGAAATGGGCAAAGAGGTAAGATTATATACCTTAGACTGTGGATCAAGGTTCTTACGTTGTGTCAAGTAGATTGTTCCTGGGGTATGTGCATACTATGCTGTTCTATGATAGTAGTTTTCTCGTTGCCATAATCCATGTGCTTGTGGTGAAATACCCATTATCATGTATCCTCTCTTCGGAAAAAAATCAAGTCGTAGATTCACGATAAACGTGTAATTGTGAATGACGCCATTGTTTCGTTGGAAGATATATTCTGATTTTCTTAAGAGAACTTTTTATTATAGATATTATATTTCACTAGTTTTGTTGGTGGAAACTGTTAGAAAAACGTCATTAATAACGACGTATTTTTCGACGATATAAACAGCGTTGATCACTGGCAGATTAAAAACGAGAACGCATAATTGCAGCGGACAAAAATGCTCATTTCAAACGACGCAATGTTGCCGAGGTTGAAAATGAAATTCGTTCCTTTCTGCACAAGGACTTGCTCACTTACCTTCTAATTCCTGATTGCATCACATATTTCATCCTATCAAAAACGATCATTTCAGATAACATTCAACTGTAGCCCACTCTACAACACACGAGACCCAGATCGCCAGTGAAAATTATACTATAAAAAAAAACGAATGCAGATTGAAATCATCTCCACACTTGATAAAGATAACCATTTTTTTATATAAATTGCTCTTTGTACCAGAACTAATCTTTCACTTTCGTTTTAACTTCGACCGCCGACATTATGAACTCAAACAATCTGTCCACTAGATCTTTGTTTCATCCATATTTGCAATCAGTTTCTAAGATCTTGTTACTTGATCCCCCCCATACTATCCTCTACCTAATAAACATTTAAAAGATATATTCATTATAGACGCAAAAGCAAACATTAATTTCCGGACTTGTCGGATAAGTGCATTTTCCGGGACCATTCATTTTCTCATTGAGAGACTAGTAGATAGTAGAAGATTAGTACGTTCATTTATTTTAAATGCAAAACCAAACATTTCTCGTCCGTGTCGATAGACAGACACATTTTCCTGAAAGCATCGAATATTTATCTGATTGATTTTCACTGTTCCTGAAAGCAATGAGAAGGTAGTAGTCTATTGAAACGTTCACTCAACATAGGTAAAAAACAAAACACTCGTCTAACATGTTTTAACATGAATGCAATACTAGGAAATGTATTTTTTTTCTGTTGAGTATTATTGCCGATATTTCTCATTATTCAGGAAAGAAACCATAGTACTGTAAGACTAAAAATATTTCAATAGTATAGCTAAAAAGAACTTCTAGCGTGAACACCATTTTCTTGTATAGTCAAGTAACGTTACATAAGCATTAACCTCTATACACTTACGAATCCTAGCATTCGAATACAGTCGAAAGTTTTTTCACTATCAATATAAATACACTCGACACATTTTTCTGTAAAAGCTACCATAAAATGAGTTCGGCTCTTGGAATACTTCTTGCTTGTGTAGTTTTCTTCAGTAAGTCATGTCACATGTTTTAATCAACTGCAGTTCTACAAATCTCTATGCTCTAGTATCTCAACGTCCAATTTCTGCTATCAATTGCTATCGCTGTGCACAAGGAACAGATGGATGTGGTGCAAGTACCTTTAGCAAGACGGGTAGTGGCGTTTTTACTACGGCCGATTCAAGTGCAAATTATTGCACGGTAACTCGTTTCCGAACAGTTTCGTACCCTCTAAAGTTTTCTTCTTTTCAGAAAATAGCATATTCTAACAATGCCAATGCAGCTGTACGATCGTATGCCACGTCAGGTAGCTGCAATACGAGCAATACTTCAACTACTGCTGGTGTGACGCTCACCACTCTATGTTGCACCACCGATTTATGCAACGATACATCTACTCGAACATCAAATATCATCATCGCTATGACAGCTGCTGCAGTAGGTTTATTTCTCGTCAAATAAACATACATTCGATTTTCTTTTTGTAAATGACATGAATCTTTTCGATTTCTAATTATTAGTCCAGATTTATCCTTTTCACTATAGTTTTTCCCTTCTTTAGAGACAAAAATATATTTTTATCGATTTCGAACTGAATGCTTCTTGGAGTAAAGCGATCGACGTTAATTCGCATAGACATCTTCATTCACTGTCTACTAAACATTCTTTGAACTTAGCCTACGAAATTTTTTTTTGAATTACCGAGCAAATGTTGAAGTGAAATAAATGTAAACTACAAAGTGTCGCACATCTCAATCGTCACTATAATCGTAAACCTGAACAGTCGAAAATAATAGGAATTTATTCACTTGTTTTTACAATTTCTTCTCAAATTTGTCTGAAGAACAAGATATATAGAAGTGTTCAATTATTTTCTCACTATAAACAAGGTAGATTTTGACGTAATAGAGTCTATTGGTATGAGCCATAATCAGACATGGGCTCAGTGCGCGCTGCCTAGGCAAAGTTATCATGAGCTCTGACTGTGATCACATATCGTGTAGACTCTCATTAAAGTGAAGAAGAAATGGATGGGTGTAAACATACCCAAACCTTCACTCGCACACAAATGAAAACTTTATTTCGATCCAAAAAGAATCGTTGAATGGCACAACTTCAAAAATTGCTTTAGATTTTCTTACGGCAATCTTCCTTTGATAGAAATTATATTTCCGTACGTAAAAACTGATAAAAAATTCATTAGTATCGACACACGAACCGTACGGCATAAATCATATTGATCACAAATACATTAAAAATGAGAATGTCTAAATGTAACCAGTCACTGATTATGCGTAAGCATCGATCCAAAAATTATCCTGCTGACAAGTCGATACGGATTTCAATATATACATATATATATATATATATAATCTTAATTCAGTTGAGTATCGATCAATATCAAATAGATGACAGTTGGTTTTCTTTCTTTTTTTTGCGTCATATTTTCCTAACGATATATCAATCTATTGTATTCCAAATAAAATCAAATGTAAATATCAAAATATAACACTAGTATTTAAATCGTCTGCTGTATTCTAGGAAATGGGTCTTCTTTACTTAGTACAACCATCATATGTTTATAAGATATATAAGCTTTAAGACGATTTTGAGTAATTAGCGTAGCCAAAAGTGCAGCACATTCTAATTGATCACATGGTTCATCATTGTTACTCCATTGAATTGCACGTGTAAATGTTTCTATCGATATTTTATTCTCTTTGTTCATTAATAACCATACTTGTCGAAAAAGATTTCGCACAGCCAGTAAATATAATGTTTCAACATGAAGTAATAAACCTTTGGATAAAAAAAAATTCCGGTGAATTGTTTTTATACATCGGTCAAATGCATATAGTTGACCATGTTTAATAGCAATGAGTACATCGTAAAAAGCAGTCAGTTTGTATTTAGCAACAATGTGTAAAGCAGGCGTAAAACCAAATTGCATTTTAGATATACATAAATGCGTTAATATAGATGCTTTGTTTTTCTTCATAAACTTGGGACAACGTTGAAAAATTGGATCAAAACAGTCTGCCGCTTTTCGATAATCATCTTTGAATAGGGCAGATTTTCCTAAAAGAATAAGAAAATAAAACGTTACAAGATTAAAACATGCGAGAACGATTCAAATGAAAAAATTATGATCCTTCTATATTGAGATATTACTGCCTCAGAGCAATGGATCTAAAAAAGTGTTCGATATCATTCATTTTATAACTTACAAAATCCGAAGATCTTCTCTATTCAGGTTACTACTAATATTATTCATTTTTTCAATCGGAATTTTAGTCCTACAGCATAAGGACTCATCTTTTGCAGAACGAGTCCTGGAAGTCCAATTAGAGTATCGAGTAAGATCTGATACTCAATCGGAATTTGATGTATCAGACCTGATGGAAATCTATACATTTTGGATGTTGGAAAAAATTAGATTTTCCTAATTGCACTCAACAAAAAATAATGCTTCGCAGAAAATAAAAACATGAGTATCCAATTTTTCGACTGAAATTGTAAACACTTTAAGTCAAAAGTGTTTATAAATATAATGTGCAGATGGAACAAACAGTTCTTTTACCTTGGTGTACCATAGACTGACCTACTTATCTTCACTGTACTACTCTTCCCCAATGTATCTGAGCATAGACTTTATCGTCAAGACTAATGATGTTTCTTTAAAATGATGTTTAGCCAAATGGATATAAAATTTCGATCCACTGTGTACTTAACATCTCTCGATTGTTTTATACTAACCTAAAAAATAATCATATGTCATTTTTTGATCTTCTAATAGATAATGTCTATATTCTAATGATTGTTCGGCAAATGAGAGTAGTTGTTCTCCAAGTTCATAACGTTTGATTCTATGACATAATTTAAGTAATTGATTAAGTATTTGAATAGCTCCCCATTTTTTCGATAAACGCTGTTCTGTACAACGATCACTTGTGCACACACGAAATGCCTCTGTAAGTAATTCAATGGTTTTATTTACATGTGTTTCTGATGTTTGCCGACCATTAATTGTTAAATCAGCAATACGTTGCGATGGCGGACTTGTACTACCATCGATATCATTTGGTATATAGACGGTAAAATAATTTGTTATGAGACGAAGTTCAGTTAGAATAAGAATTAATATTGGTATATGCCAATTTTTATTTTTACTATCTTTAACAAGATCAAGTAATGCACGACATACTAGATATTGATATTGTACGATATCATTCAAGCGGCTTTTATACAATGATGTTTGGCAAATTTTAATATGATTTGTTAATATAATATTCCAACCTTGTACAACGCGACCATGTTTTTCAAATAAATCACTTGTATGTGGCGAGAAAAATTTTTCAATATGAACTTTATGTCGAATACTCAGTAGGCTACATAATGCTGAACTATTCATTGCAAATATAGCTTCATTGAACTCATCCAAATATTTTTGTAATTCATTTATTGCATTAGACATCTAGAAATATGTATTTTTGTTTTATTTACTCAAATGTACTTAACTTTTATTCACTTCTTCAAATATTTTTGTTTTTCAATTTGAAAAAAAAACAAACTTACATTATACACAATAGAGAGCTAGACTAAAGTAATAATACAAAAAGAAAAAATAAGTTTTTTATCTAACAAATTATTGAAAGAAGTTGATCACAGTTTGACATAATAATCAAAATAAATCTATGATCTCTAAATGAAAAGAAAAATAAACAAAGATTTAACGAATACTTGAAAGTCTATTCATATAAATCATCTTCTATTTCTATCGACTAGTTTATATCCGACTGATGTTACACGTCTCTGTTTGAAATGAAAAAGAAAACAATCATACATATGAAACTGAACGAGTACTGAACGATGGTGGACGCGGTGTTGTTGGTAATCGACCACGGCCAACTCCAGTTGCTAACATATTTCGACGAATATTTTCAAATTGAGAACTTCAAACATAACAAATAATGAAATTTCACATGAGCCAAAAGAAAAAAAGCAAAGGCTTACTCAAGACATGCATCTCCAACATGATTTGATTGACTCATCAGTCCACCAGCAGTATCTAATTGAAATAGAATAGTTGTTCGAACAACAAATCCAATATTCTCTTACAAGCACTGGTTCGTTTCGGTTCGTAGGATGCTATTGTTTGCGGCAGTTGTTTTGGTGATTCTGTAACTGGCCGTGATGACAATGCACCATCACGATCTAAATACGATGATTGAGGACGTGATGGATTCGTTGTACTTGGTACCGCCCTAATATAAATCATCAACCTATTTAAATTCTAAGAAATACAATCTGTTACGGTGTTACGGAATTTGACCACATTTCATTTTGTCTGTAGAAAATTAAAAAATACCATAACAAAAAGAAGCAAATAAAATAATATACCCATTAAGTTGTCGTAATTCGTCGTCATTAAATATTTGACCAGTATGTGCTTCTCGATCCCAATCTTCGCCGTTCATAACAACAGCCATTTGCCGATCATTACTATCGGATGAATGATCTTCCCAATCTAAAAGCAGGAATTAAATAATCAATGAATTATTTTTCTTTTAAAAGAATCAACGAATCTTACTAAAATCACTCATGCCGCGAGCAATAGCATCATGAACAGTTTGGCTATCTGGACAATTTGACATGTGCTTATACAATTCATTTGGTGTAATTAAATGTGTTGCATTGAACGAACATTTAACACGGCGAATATGTGGATTAGCCTTCATTTAGATGAGAACATATTAGTAAATAATTGTTCTATTCAAGTTTCTCTTTACTTTTGCACATCGCATTATATGATACTGAAAACGTTTCGCTAATACCTTATGATTAAGATCATATGGACAAAGCCTGAAAAATATGAACATTTATTGTCTTTTTTGAATGATATTTTCTACTTCTAAAATAATTCTCCTACCAATAATCATCAGGGTCACAATAGAGAGGCATGATTCAAAACAATATTAATATAAAATCTGAAAAAATTTTAAAAAAATTAAAAATTTTACATTATTACGTTGCAGGGTTATCGGGGCATTCAACTAAATGATCATAATATTTATTTGGTGCTATTTTATGTGCGCTGTTAAAAAGACACTGAAGTTTTTTTACGTTTGGATGATTCTATAAAATAAAGTTTGAAACAACATTGAAGATTACTTAAATCAAAGACAAACTGACTTGTGAACATCGAAGAAGATGATGCTTGAAATTACCCGAAAGTACTTTATGTGCTGAGTCATAGGGACAAGTTATATATTCACCTTCTTCGAATATTGATGTCGACATGTTCAATGGTCAGGAAAATTCGTTATGTTATTCTGATCGTTTTCGTTGCGGATGAGTCATTTGAAACGATTTGATTTTGTTAATGTGAATTTTCTATATTTGTTAACAAACGAAAAAATAAATTAAAATTTTCTTCATTTATTTCTACTTCTTAATTAAAAATAAAAAGTTTAATGAACGCCATCTGCTGTTGAATCATCATTGAGGCTTTGATTGACGAATTGAAAAGTATAGCGTAAGAGTATAGAGTATAGGAAAAGAAAGAAAGAAAGAAAGTAAAATTGTCATACATTGAAGTTTTTATAGAGTAGCTTGACTATATTATGTATAATACAAACTGGCCATTGCATCAGAATACATCGACATCAAATGGTTTGTTTTGTTTCCTATTTCTATATATCTATACTTTTTATTGATTGATATGTTTTTGTAGTCGACTGGGGTGCTTTGGCGGACTCCTGGATGCAACAACGGGAGCAACAAGCTCAATGGCAACAAGCACCACTGCCACCGCCACCACCGCCACCTCCACCACCTCCTCAATTTCTTCTTAGTGCTCCACCAATACCGCCTCCTGGTTTACCACCCATCGGAATGACATTTCCACCGTTACCACCAACACAACTTGGTATTGGTTCACACCATCACCAGCTACAGGTTGGTTCAAATACCACTCAGGAAAGTTTAACGATGACAAATATTGAAAGTAAGTCTTCAATTTGACTTTTCACAACTATGAAAAGAAAACACATGAAGACAAAGGATGTTAATTCAATGAAATTACTCTTTTTTTTTATTCATTTAAAATTGTTATCGAATCGATCTATATTTAATTTAATATTTAGATTCACATTGGAGGCCACCACCACCACCACATCAAATGATGATGCCTAGCGGACCTCAATGGAGACCTAATATGAATAATAATCAACCAATATTTCCTATGCAATCAGTGAGTAACAAGAATCTAAATTCGAAAATTAACTATTCTTTTCTAGGATATGGCTTCGCCTTTTGGTGGTCCTCAATTTTGGTTATCAAATAATACCGGTCAACAAGCAGTACCTCCACCTCCACCTGTACCGGCACCAGTTCCACCGCCAGTACCACCTCAACAATCACCAATTCCACCTACATTTTCTGCACCATCATTTCAACATCCACCAATCGATAAAAGAATCATGAATACAAGTTTTAACACGTCTATACCATCATTGATGGATCTTCCCTCTTATGGAAAAAATAATTCGACGCCTCCACCAATGCCAGTTCCTCCTGTACCTGTTTTACCTAGTATGTATTTGAATGTGATCCCTTACTATTAACAAAGTGCACACTCGACAAGTTCAAGCGAGCATTGCTAAAAGACAAGAATCGCATGAATCTGTAATCAATACTTTTGCATTGATAATGTTAACTGTAAAAATTGTGTAAAGCTTTGATCAATTATCAAGTAGCCATGGCTGATATGTTTTGATTGACTTTGTGGAAGATAGATAGTCCAAGAAATTTTGATCTTAATTTAATTGTAGTTGCACCCCCGGTAAAAATCGCCAATATTCCAAGTGGTGTCAATACGAATGCAAAGCGGCGAAAAATTCCCGCTTGGCTTCGCGAAGAATTAGGGAGACTTGAAAAAGAAAAAGAAAAAAAAATGCAAAATTCAAGTAATGATAATAATAGTTTTTCTTTAAATGAATCTTACTCTGTAAGTATTCTTTTTCTTGTAACAAAATACGTGTATCATTTGATTTATTTATATTTGATAAAGAAATTTGATGATGATAATCAAGACGATGAGGAGGATGAGACGAACGATGAAAAATTCAACGAATCGACAACACGATTCGATGATGATGACGATGAGGACGACGAGAATGGTGAAGATACAGAACAAAATGACGAGGAAGAACTACATTTAAAGCTGGTTTCTTCAACACCTATTGTCAATCGACGAAGTCGCTTTGTGGGTTATTGTGATTGGACATTTAATTCTAGAGCCATGTGTTTATTATCATCTTATTTTCTTCTAAAATTTCAAAGGATGATGACAAACCAACTGAACCACAACAGCAGCTAAATGTAAGCGCGATTTCGAGACGAACACATTCCCCACCACCATCAACGAATACGGCAACAACAACATTGATTGAGGATGATCAAATTGATAAAGAAGCACAATTGGTAAGAGATATTTCCTTCATTTTAATCCAAAATTCACTTTCCACTTCTCTCTAAGATGAACAAACTACGTCGTACATTGACAGAACTATTACTCGAAGTTACCAATGAAGAATTTGCAGCAATTGCTAAAGAAGTTTATTTGAGTTGCAAAGGTAAATAAGTTTCTGTTAATTGTATTTACGAACTAAATCTGTTTCATTTTATTTTAGCTGAATCATCGACACCTGTGATTCGTAAAGCTTCAGGACTTTCAAGTCTTATGCAAAGTAATCAAGAATCGATTTCTTGTATTCACTTAACATTTATAATTGCAGGCTTTTCTGGAAGCGATTCTGATGACGAAGAAACACATGGCCAGTCGATTGTGGATACAACTGTAAAGAACAAATCACCTATTCGAGCACCAGTAAAACAACCTAACGGTAATTTAGTTTTTTAGACCAGTAAAATTGAATTATATTGTTAATGGAGACTAGGTCGGAGATTCAAGATGTTTTGTGTTTGAACACGCGATTTTTATTAGCAAAGTTTTAGAATTATCATTCACGGTTGTAAATAAACACTTGATTACTAGCGTCATCAATCGGAAGAATTGCATTCTTGAAACGGATAATAGCCGAATTCTGAAAAATACTTAAGTTTTTGAGTATCGTGTGCGAAGAACAAAATCGACGAGTTTATCTAGAACTTTTTAAACAATCAACAGGTGCTTTTAGTAAGAAAAATAATGCAAACATCTAAATGATTTTTATAGGAGTGTGTGATAATTTTCCTTGTACCGAAAATAACTTGAATTGAAGAGCCCATTTGAAAACCGTTTTTTCAAATAAGAAAACTTTTGAATGCATAAACTTGATATACTTTACCGCGTAGATTGCATTTTGCATCTTCTATTGACTTGAAGAAAATTAGCGTGCAACAGCAATGAATCGATATAAATACTAATTAGAAAGAAATCTTTTAATGAAATGCAGCTAAAATCGGTCAGTCTTTAAAATTAAAAACTGTACCAGTTGAAATTTAAAATAGGACGAGTTATTTTGGTATCAGAATTTCCACTCCTACTAATTGAATCTAAAATAGATGTTATTTGTTCTTCTTTGAAAGTAAATATTAATTCATCAATTTCAAACTCAATCGACAAATTTTTTCTTTCTAATTCCCCGGATTGTTCTTCTCTCTAAGCATAGCAAAAAAAAACTGTAGTCTCCAGTAGATTCCTCGAAGATCATGTCAGGAAGTAATATTCATTATTCTTTCTAGTGCTATCAAAATCTACAAATAAAGCTTTCGATGATGATAGTAAATTGAATAAAAGTAAAGACAAGAAATCTACTCGAGAACGAAGTCCATCATCATCGTCTTCATCACATGACCATAAGAATAAAAAGCATCATCATAAAAAGCACCGTCGACGTTCATCATCATCATCGTCATCGCATTCTTCTCAATCACGTTTACAAAAGAAGAAAAAATCTTCTAATCACGATCATCATTCTGAACATAATAAATCGAGAAAGTATGATGATCGACGACGAAAACATTAAATCAATCTGTGTCCTTTGTGTGTACTTTCCTCTTTTTTTTTGTATGATATTATTAAACTGAAAAAAGAAACAATATTGCAAAACATTACATCACCCTTTTCTTTGTCTTATATAAATCTCCTTCTATATATTTCTTAAGATGATTACTATATCAATACTTTATCGTTTTCTAATAGCAATATTTCTGTGTTTTTTAAATGTAACGCAATGGCTTCATAGAATTATCATTCACTTTATAAGTCGAAATCCTTATACAATAACTGTCAATATTGATGTTAGTAGAAACGATCCATTGAACATAACCAATGGTCCAGTGGATAAAATACAGTTTAATAAACCGACACAAGTACTCGCTATGATTATTAATGAACGCATTCCTGACAGTGACCTGTGGAAATTTATTAGCAATTCAATAGTTTTTTTTCAAAAATTAAATATTGAACATTTGATCATTTATGATTATGAAGGTAATACAATCAAAGGAATATCTATTGCAAGAATAAATATTGACTTTTCGTTTTAAAGGTTATATCAAGGCGCGTGAAGCTTCGATTATGGACTATGTTCATACGTGTGATAAAAAAAGTATGTGAAATTTTTCTGATTAATATCAACTTTTAGATCGGCTTAATAATAGAACTAATCTTTAAGTCGCTGAATACCAGCTTGAAAATATAGATTAGAGTGTGAGTTCTGTTTTTTTTATCGATAACAGATGATAAAACAAAGAAAAGATGTTATCAATGTTTGTTGAAGCATAAAATCAACATTTCATGTCGATAGATCAGCAATGACTTGTTTCTCAAAAAGATTAATTTTTACAAGAGCCACTATCGAAACCGGAAACTAATCCTCAATCGCCTATGTGTAGTATGCAGCCGGTGGACCATAGATTCAGCGTTCTTCTTCTGTTACAAGCAGCTCTTCAAGAACGTTCGTACTTGTAATTTGAGTGTGTCAACAAAAGTGTGCTTCACAGTATTTGAGCCAAAGTACTAATTTTGATTGAAAGCTATTATTTCGTTAAGAAAATATCTAATATCAATCTCTCTATAGTCCGATGCCGTAATTTACTCCTTCCAGAATAAATAACTAAATAGTTCGCATTTAAGGTTAATAAAAAGATTTATGCAAAACTTTCATTCTAAGAATCAAATGCATAAATATTACACAAAAATAATGCGGAAACATCGGATTTGCATCCGATTGTTATGTGTAGTTCAAAAAGCAAAAATGTACATCCATTTTTTTCTATAAGGCATAGATCTCATTAAGATACATCTCTTCTCACTAAATTACAAGGAGAAAATACAAGCATGCTAAGTTAGCATGGACCACACTGTATGCAACTCGATCCAGTGATCACTGACTCTACTCTCAGAGTGATATAATATCTTTAGAGATCACAGAAATTGAGTTCAGATTCGTGTTCAGCTTCGAAAACTGAATAAGAACAGTTATTTTTGAATGGTTTTGTGTTTGTATCTAGCAGGATTACGATCGTAAGCAACCTCATGAATTTATAAGAGATATATGATAGATACAGGCATCAGTATTTTCATAATAAATCATCAATAGTAATAGCTATCGAGTTCAGGTTTTTACTTTTCGATAGTCCTTTTGACTAGCTACAAAACCAGGCATTTGAGAAACCCCCAAAATGCTGGTCATCTGAGGCATATCTAGGCAATTTTGTTTCTAGATGCAGTTTTTGTGTATTTTGAGAGCTTTTTCGGTGTGCCGTAGAAAGGTCGAAAGGAAAAATATCGAAAATTTGCACTAAGATGTTTTTATTCTTGAAATCATAATAGCGTCATAGCATAAATCATAGATAAATAAGAGTTATAAAGAAAAATACACATATCCAGTATTTACTAGTTGTTGTTGTTTTATTCAGTTTGAAAATATATTTATCTGATTCAAGGAAAGGTTGTCCTTTTTACGACTGAATAAATGAAATAACTGGAGTTGGTGGATGATTCTCACCAGATAAAAATGAACAAGCTGTAGTCATCATGATAGAGTTCTAATCGTTGTATACTATTTTACGCCAATTTTAGCTAGTTTTCATAAGATATTACTTATCAATAGTATCAATGGTTAACAGTGTCAAACCAATGGAATAATCAGATTAACAATAATGAACAATAAACTATTAGAACCTTCATTTAGTAGAGTCGTCGCTTTTTTCTATCTTTTCTGTTTTCGACATTTTTCCTTTCGGCCTTTCTACGGCCAACCCCTTTTCAGTCAATGTTTCGTTAGAAAACCACGATTTAGTTTAAAACTAATATCAGATTCAGAATCAGCGTTAAAAACTGAGTTGATTTATATATGTTGCGGATAATTCTGAGAAAAAAAGTTTTTTTTTTTAAATCCCTGTACTCCCCCTCAGGGATGGTCTGGTCAATAATGACAATTTTTTTAGATAACTCAACCATTTCTTGACGGATCCTTTTCATCTTCGAACTCGACTGAGACATTGATGAGGCGCTGAACTGTGTAGAAAATTTCATCATGATCTAACTCTCCTTTCGAAAGTTATCGTGTAAACGGACGGCCGGACACACTGACCGATTCTAGAGTGTACTCACTTTTTGAGTGCACTAAAAGAACATTCCTGAAATAAAATAATTTTCTATATTATATTTTCATTCTAGTTCAGTCGTCACAACTATTGCCAACTATACATTTTCTTTCACTAATTGATTGTAGTCAAACATTAACTAAAGTAGCCCAAACTGTTTGTCAACAAGTGATAGAAAATCAATTAAATTGTGATGCCATTCAAACGGATACAATCGATCGTTGTTATACAAGTAAAAAATTAAAATAAATTTTCTTCGGATTTATTTTTTGTTCGAATTCATTTATAGAATTATCAACTATTCCAGAAATCAATTTAGCCTTAATCATCGGACCAATCAAAAGTGCACTTGGATTACATCCATGGTTAACACGATTAACAGAATTCATGTAAAACCATGACCTTAGATTTTCATTTGCTTTGGATTAATTATGATCTTTGTTTTTATTTAGAATGATTGATTCATATAAACAAATGCAAACAACTAATTCCTATATTAACATTGTTCAACGTTACAATCAAATCGAACAAAGACAAGGCCGATAATAGTTCGTTTTTACATCACTAAATTGTCATCAAACATAATGATAAAATAAGCGGTAGTCTTAATTGATTTTTTTTGCCAATTCAATATGTTATATCTTGTTTTTGTGTCTTTTTATGATTGACTAAGGGTTATTGTTATACTTTGATTTTTTGATTTTTTTCTTGGGAATTCATATGACTCCATGAGCACGTGTTTTGTTATTCTGGAAAGGAAAAAGAAAAGAATATATAAAGCATAACATTTATCCATGACATTATTTATAGATGAATACTGATCTAACACATCCGGAACTTTTAACTATCGAACAACTACAAAATCATTTGAAAAAAGTAAAGAAAAAGCTATAGACAAAATAATATGGTTTCTACGAAAAACATTCAAAACTAATTTTTGTTTTTGAAAATATTTACATTAGCATATTGGATCTAATATAACAAATGATAAATATGAATTGATTCAATTGTTCTATAAATATATTGTACCATTACCACAAAGAAAATTTCGTGCAAATCGTTTGGGAACAATACTTACAAACAGTCAAAGGCAATGTCAAGGGAAAAAACGATCGTTATCCACTGATTTACAGTGAGTAGAAAGAAACGCTATTCGAATACGATATGATGCCTAGAGTGCATTGGCATAAAAAGTGATGATAGTATTGAATGCCCTAACATATGTTGCACGTACATATGTGCAAGATGGATCCGGTGCCGGCGGGAAACGGAGTCGGAACAACTTTTTTTCAAGTCTGACCGGAACCGGGACTAAACAGATGACTGATTCGGATTGTGTCTAGTCGATTGGAAGTAAAAGCAATATAAAAATCGGCTATTCTAACATGTTATCTTTTCTATGTGATGAATTAACACATTTATAGAGAAAAGCAAACATTGATTATTGTTTAAACCGAACAAAAGAAAAAGAAAAATCTGTATATTTCAAAGGGACATTGAGAAAGCGAGCGAATCGGAATTACCTCCAAAAGAGTCTTACGGTGAAAGACATGAATCGGATCGTGGTATTTATACCATAAAAATGCAAAAAACATCAAATAAGAATACAACTCCGATTAAAATAAAACGACCTGCAGCTCCTACGACAACGGTAAGCGCCGTTGAACTTTTCATTTTATGACTAACGTTTATTGATCGTATTTAGACCGATGATCATGAAATGAATAAACGCATCAAATTAGATGAAACAAATGCATGACGAATCGTCATGCAACTTCAATAATTCATCATGCCACTTGTTTTTTTTAGCATTTTGTCTTTAAAAAATATGTAAAAACTTATATATTAAACGATAGAAAATTGTTTCAAGACATTCTTCCCTAGTTATGCAACATTGGATGATTGTTTTTGTTTGTCTTCATGAAAGTATTGTGAAGTATTTCTACGTGCAATAAAAAACTGCCTTTTTTTTTGTTCAAAGAATTCTTGAGTTACATAAGAATACTCTTAAGAATCATATCAAACAAGCCTTAAAGCCTTCAAAGCATGCATTTGCCGATTAATACTAGTCGAATGCATAATCGAAATAAAGAAAATAAACTGTTCGATAACTAAGAAAACAGTTGACTTGAACAATGTACTTTGAGAGATTACGATTCACATTAGTTTCATTTACCTTTCATATCAAATTATGATCTAGGCGAAAGGATATAACACGATAAGACATTACCACGAACAAATATCAACTGCACAGAGACGCAGTGATCAAGTTGAAGAATTTCTATGAGAAGAATTAATTTGACCGAAGTTCTGTTCTTTTTCAATAGAAACTTTACTCATAAAAATTCAACTAGCTTTGAAATCCAACTCAAAACGTTTTTTGAAAGTTACTGTGCAAAATCCTAGTTGTACGGTCGTCTGCAAATGTTTCGACTAGTTATGAAAGTTATTTTAAACGTATATTATTGCCATTCAAAACACGAGATCAAGGAGAACAGACACTTTCATTGACGATTATAAAAACATCAAAATATATCATATCATTGTAACATGATCGCGTGACATTCAACTTTGTGATGTTGTTATTTATTATGAAAAGAGCTAGATTGTATGTTATACTGTCTCGCCGATTGAGACAGTCTTTCGATGCAATCAATAATTATAGTAGCTATTTTTACCTGTGCTCCTTCGTATACATAATGATTTAATAACTGTCATTCAACGATACGAGCTTTCGCGACGTATAATTTGAATGTGGTAAGATGATTTGTTTGTTGCAAATTTCATATCTCATTGGCCATATTTTGATCAAAATTAAAGATACTAGATGGGTTGAATGAATTTATTTCTCAGCTAAATACATGTGACTTTTCTCTCATTTTCAACCAGGCTTAATGATAATCACAATGAATAAGTACGCAGAGAGCAACAGAGAGAAAAAGCACATGTGCAATGAATGAACGTAGATTTGTCACCGATGATAACATTTATGCTTGAAGACTGTTGTGATCAATATCTAAGACATTTAGAAAATTCATCTGACTTTATCGAATCATATGACAATTTAATTGACGATTTGATGATAATAGATATAAATGATTTATTAATCGAAATTTCTTTCCTTTCAACTCGATATAGATCGTACAAATAAAATAGAATTTTAGTTTGTTAGATAAATAATATCGTGTTTATTCTTTTTGTTCGATTCTATATACAAAAAAAAACGCTCTTGTTATATAGGTCGATATGTGCTTGAGACCACTTGAACGACATTTGTGTATTATGACATATCAATTACGTATTATTGCTTTTTCTTCCGATTATCGAGTACTATTGGTATAATATTTGTTCAGTACAGTGCCGTTAAAACGATTTAAGAGCAATTTTTTATTTTTTATTTCATAGAATATTGATCCATATTTCACGTAATAAATTATGACGTGATAAATTAAAAGTTGGGACCGTTTTTTCTTGTGTGCAGATGGCATTAAAATCAAATTAGCTTATTTCATTCAGAGCAGCGACCAAGTAAGAAAATCAGCGCCATGAACGAATTAGCATTTCATGAATATTGAAAGATTATCAAGGGTAGGTATGGGTGGAGAACGCAAACTACTTAACGACTTCTTTTTTTTAATGTTTCTTATCATAAAAGAAATCTTTACCGATCTATATTTTTATTCGTAATTATAGCGGTAAGTCATCATGATTTATAGTTCATTAAGTTTGCTACCTGCTCATTAGGTATGCCAATGTTTGAATTAAACAAATATGTTCATGGTCACAGGTATAATTAGAGGTTCATATCTCTAATAAAAATGAAAGAGATGCTCTTCATCAAAAAAAAAAGAAAGAAAAATATCTCCACATATCAGACATATCTTGCGTTTTATGAATGACTGTTATTTCTTTTTTTTTTTTGTCAAAGTTCAAAGTACTGACATTCAATCATCTAATGAGGATGCATACTTCTCTCCATATCATCGATGATTATTCGCTATAATTGTTTTTTACATGCAAGGTTAGTATTCTCAAGTAATTCGCTTGTCAACATTTCTTCTTTATCCATTGATCAAATCGATATGATGCGCAAGTATTTATTTCAATGAGGAAGCAACTGAAAAGAAAAGAAAAAGGAGTAAAGGATCATTGAAATACAAACAATGAGAAGTGCTAACGCAAAAGAGGATTCATAAATATGAAGACCTTTGTTAAAGACACAATAAGAATATCGATCATTTTACATCAGGTAAAAACAATTGAGTACAAAAGTAGGTTTTGTTTCACCACGGTGTGTCGTTAAGTAAAGAACAGATGAAACTTTTCAAATGAACATTGAATAGAAAAAAGAGACAGGAAGACAGTAAAATGATATGTTACGTCAAACCAAGAGCAATAGGAACACCAATGCGCGCATGTATTCGATTTTTTTATGATTGTCCTCTGGTTGTGTAGACAGTAACAACATCGATGTCGGTGGACGACTATGCAATACTAGAGATAGACGAAGGCAAAAAGATCCGTTGCGAACAGTACAGACAGATGTCGAACGAGAGAAGAAAAAAAGAAGAAAGAGAACAAATAAGAACATATACCGATAGTTGAACCATTTTCTAGTGTCATTAGCGAGGTAGCCTTACCATACCTATACAAAATGATTCGGTTGATAATGTGACAGTATATATTTAAATACACACACACATATATATATATATATATATATTTGAGCATACGTGCATACATAAAACTCTATAATTCGAACTATGAAACCGAATGGAATATTCAAGCAGGCGTAAACAATTGTCAATCTATATTGAATACAACATTTCTCACTTTGTGTTCTTTTTTGTAGATAGAATCTTTGCAAAAAGCTGTTTTTGTCTATTCGACTAATGGCTTGTATTAATAGTTCATTATCTTCGATGATCTTTGTAACTGATTTTCCATCGTATGGTCTTATTGGCTCTGCTTCAATTGGCCTCATAGTCTTTCTTGCATATATGATTGCTTTCATACGAAATCATCATTCATCATCGTTGAATGCTTACATATATTTTTCACAATTATCACTTTTTCTATTACTACTTTCTCCAATAACATTTCTTTTTCGACCATCGGCTTCAACTAATATTGTATGTCCTACACAAACATTAGCGTTACAAATTTTACCCTTTTGCCTTCTACTTGGTTACAATGTGCATTTTGCTTACGAATGGTTAATGAAATTAGCAAACCCAATAAGAAAATCTTGTCTTGTTGCAATAAGTTCATTTTTAATTTTTTTTCTTGCTATACTAATTCAAACAGCTATTCTACTTGTTTGGTTTTATTACAACAGCTATCAAGAAAATAGCGAACCATGTTCCGATGAATGTCATCGGCCCTTATTTCTCTGTTCATTATCGTTTAATTTTACTCTTTTATTTCTTTATTCATTTCAATCAAGTATAAGATATCATATGAAAAATAGACAAAGCGATTTCATTTATCTACTATCAAGCCTTTTAGCATTAGGTGTTACTATTATTTGGATTTGTTTATATTTATTTATTCCATTAAAATTATCGTATACATTCTATATGAATACAAATTATATATTGGCTTATGGAACAATATTTTTTGTTTATGCATTCATTGGACCATTTCTTTACGAGCAACTATTTTATCATAGTCGAACAACAAATATAAATACGAAAGATCATTTAAATAATGTAAGTATTTGTTGCGATAACAAATCGAAAATATTTATGTTTTTCTTTTTGTGATAGATTAATAAAATGACATTTAAATGTCTGTCATTGACAAAAGAGCAACAACGGGCATTCATGGCTGCGTATGTTAAACGTAATTTGACAGTTTCATGTGAAAATCTCACAACGAAAATTGATTCTTCACTTCAACGAACGAATCAAACGCGCCATTCAACGTTAAGCGTTGAAAGTTTATGCCCGACATTAATCAGCACTGTTTCATACGAATCACCGCGACCAACATTATTAAACATAACAAAAAATGACGCATCAAATTGTGTAACAATACCAAATGGTTATTTAGTTCTATCGAATTCACCTAAAATGAGTTAAATCGAGATGAGACTATGATTGACCGGTGGATGCATTTTCGAATCATCATCATACATTCCAGAAATGAGATTAAATAGAAGCAAATGTTTTTCATTTGATCTCATTAGACTGATATATTTTCACAATAATATTTGTATATATATATATAGAAAATAAATTAATTACGAAAGAAAATATTATGTTGTTTATGTTAGACTATATTTGTTAAAAGAAAAACGATAATAATAATGATGATGATCGTTCAATAGGCCTTCAGCCGATTGAGAAGAAACTTTTAGTGAAAATGTCACGGGAGAAACGGCGGATTTTTGAGATTTTAAATCCGAACATCGAAAAGCACTAATGACGTCGTGTCGACCTGAAATTCTTCCCATATATAGGTTTCATTGTCCGTAGAAGATCCTAAAAGTTTCAACTCGAACAAATGGTTTCTTCTTAAAATATTGAATTTTCAAAAACAAAACTGGATTTTCTGACCGTGCCGTGGAAAGAGCGTTTCTTGCGCATTCATTGTCTTGAAAAGAACACATCCGTTTGCGCTGAAAATTTTAGAATATTCTAAAAATCTCGAATCCGCCTTTTCCCCCTTGGAAAATTTTGTCTAATGACTGTTTGAGTTCATATCGGATAAATTCAAAAAGTACTTGAAAATAATCTTTCTCATTAAATCTTTCTATCCCCCATCCCCACAAAATAGAAGCCCACTGGGCTTCTAATTTATTTGAAAAATGATGAGTATAAAGGTGGGCTTCTATTACGATCAGCTTTTTAACCTTGCCGAGCGATATTTATGCAAGTTTGAAAGCAACGATAAATAGAATTTCGTCAATTTCATGATTTTTTTAATTTATACTACTAATTATATGTTCCAATGTCCTCGAAATAGGCGCACTTCTAGTGATTTATCGCAATTTTTTTCGAAACGGTACACAAATTGCGATTTTCCCAGGAAAAGTCACAAATTTCAGGAATTTTATCGTGATTTAATAGTTCAATTAGTTGTGATAAAATCGTCAACTTTGTCGCAATGTCAAGAACATGAGGTGTTATTATAAAAATGTTTCAGAGCAATTTCGCAAAATTAAACTCTACGCGCTTCACAATTTTATTGCACAACAAAAATGCACAATATATACGAAAGAAATATATTGACGTATGCGAACACTTGCTTAAAAGAATTGACTATTAGTCACAAAGTGCTCTTTCTTCGTGTCTCTGTAAGAACATGTTTCGAATTAAGTGCCCACTGAAAAATGAAAGATTACGCTAGATTATAATCTCATGTTTGTGCTGCGAAATCAAAATTATAATAGATTGAAATCTTAAGCATCACCCACAACCTGATTCTTAACTAAAACTAATCTTCAAGATCGATTATTATTGTAGCTGAAATTTTATAGTTTTGATCAAAATCATATAAAATCAAAAATATATGATTTTAATCAAAGTTATACTTGATGTCGAAGATGATTTTCGATTGAAAATCAGATTGTGCTGGATTTTGAAAATTCTAATCGATTATAAGTTTGATTTTGATGCACTAAAATCGGATTAATAATCTAACTTAGTATAATCTCATATAGTCTAGCATTTTCCACTGAGTGAGCTTCTATTATATTGGAATAGTCACAAACTCAAGACTGGGCCTCTATTCCGTGTGTGTGCGTGGGGGGGGGGGTGTCAAGAGTCTTAAACAACTAATTTTCCACAACAACATCGATAAGAGAAATATATTAAAATAAAATAATAATAATAAATATTTAATAAACATGAAAGTTATTTTATCAGTCGAAAATCAGTTCGGCGAGTGCAGGTCAAATGATCTAATGTCTATTTTTCACCATATTGAGTAATTCGACTAAAATAAAGGGAATAGAATTTCAGGAAATAAAATCAATACTAGATCATTTTCCAATCGCTTACTTGGAACGGGAAAGATGATGGTTGAATTTTTCTCAGCTGAAATTTGTGTTAACGTTTGTAAATAACGTAATTGTAGAGCAATAGGCGATTCCGCAATAACATCGGCTGCTTCTTTCAGTTGTCTTGATGCTTTTTGTTCGCCTTCAGCAGCAATGACTTTAGCACGAGCTTCACGACTTGCTTCAGCTTCAGCGGCCATTGAGCGCTGCATGGATTGTGGTAAACGCACATCAGTACTAAATAAAGAGAAAGAGAGAGAGACAAAAATATAAACAACGACATCATAGAAACAATATCTCATTCATCATACATTTCCACACGTTCAATTTTAATGCCCCATGGTGAACTTCCTTCATCTAAGTGAACTTCCATCTGATTAGCTATTATTTCTCGTTCACTTAGAATTTCATGAAGATTTTTTGTACCAAGAATATTCCGTAACGTTGTTTGAGCTAACAATTCTGTTGCAGATTTAACATTAGTTACTTTGGTTACCGATGTGACCTAATCAAAAAAAAAAGACTATCTTATGTTTCCGTCGATAGATTAAAAAATCAAAAATTCCTACTGGGTCAACAATACGACTATAAATTACAGCGTCAACTGTAACTGTGACTGAATCGCGTGTCAAAATCTAATAGAATCGATAAAATATGAGATCTACGTGTGCACTATAGATGAAGATAGGTACCTCTTGAGGTGCAACATTGAATGTTGTTGTTCGTAAATCAACTTTGATAATTGAATCTACACAAGGTAGAATAAAAAATAGACCGGGACCTTTAGCACCGCCTAAATTACCATTCGCACTTTATTAAATTTGTTAGAAGTAACGCTAAAAAAGCAAACCTTGTCGATTTCGTCCAAGACGAAAAATCACAGCACGTTCATATTCTTGAACAACCTATAACGAATAATCTTCAGAATTCAATCTAAACTAATTCATTTTATGCAAACATTAATGCAATAGAATATTGTAATTGGAAATGCAAGAATCACAAGAATAAACGAACACACAACTAATACCCATCCGCACAGATCAACATCACCATCGTTTGGTTCCTCGGAATTATCTTTAATTGAATAAACATCTAATAAATTGAACATAAAATTTTAATGCGTCTATAACATACTAGGAATAGTTGTCGCCTGATCAGATGCCATTATGTCAGTTGGATGAATACGATCTTAAATAATTCAGATAAACTCTATGTTTTCTACATGCTATTTTAATTAAACCCACTTCCGTTATTCGACGCATGAACATCGTGTTTGAATGGCATCGCTGTTGTCATATTGTTGTTTGAACTATGTGATTTAGAAAATGAATAATTTCTCTCTTATATAAAATCGCAATATTGTGCTTCTATTAAAATTCTTTCTCGATTGACGCAAATCAGTATCCAGTAATAATGACGACTACGCGTCTAACAAAATCTGTTCAGTATAGTAATCGAATATAAACAAAAAAATAAATAAATTATAAAAAGGATTCTTTTATTTGTTTAAGCAATGTCGTACACAGGAATACGTCAGGTTAGCAACGTCCGAACAGCACAGCCTATTTTATTTCTTTTTCTCGTATTTAATTCAAAGAGAAAAATGCTTCAATTTACAATGAAAGAAAACTCACAGATAAAATTTGAATTACATTTGTCAAATAAAAAGAAATAGGAATGAAGAGGTTGTTTCACACAATATTGTCTTGCATTTATGTTGGGGCACTTTATTTATTAGGGAAAAAAATTAACGCCTTTCTTTTTTCTCAATATTAAAAGACAGAAATAAAACTCATTAAAATTCTATAGTATAGTTCTAGCGCCTATAGAAACCATACAAGAAATAGTGACGTCATCAACTATATAGATGTTTGTTTAAGCGAGAACAGAAAAGCCCTCGTAGCCTGGTTACTTTATGACATCGCTCTTTGGCATTGATGACAGTAATGAGAAAAGAAAAAGAATACGATTTAAAATACTCTTTTCTATCTCTAAAAATATTCTTAGTCGCAAGTAGTTATTTATACCGATAATATCACTTTTCCATGGAAAACAAATTTATTTCACCAAAATACAATGGACAACTTTATATTAATCAAGCACACGAACATGAGTCATCTTGATTCACATGTATATTATTATTCTAAATCAATCATTCATCCTAGTGTGAATTTTCAGAGAAAATTTCTCAGTTTTGATTTTGTCAAAAAAATCAATTTCAACTTCAGTAGATTTATTTTGTATGTTGCGAAGCACATTTCAACTGATTCATGTCGTTGACAGTATGAATAATATGAATTTAATAAGCTCAAATATGATGCAAGTTGATTTTCGAATAAATATGTTAACTATGTATTAGAGAAGAAACTATTCACTATCTTTCAGTACAATTGTGATATGCGTTAGTTGCATACAAATATTTAAGGTTCAACCCATTGAGAGAGAAAAAATAGTCATTTGCGTGCATGCTGCTAAAAATAACACTAATTTACGACTACTTAGTGAAAGTACATCAAAGGTCGCTGAAATAAGTCTTGATTTGCTTCAAGTAATATTTATTCTGTTTTCTGCATGTTCTTACAATAGAATGAGCTGACGTTTACCGTGTGTGTGTGTGTGTGTGTTAGACGCTTAGATTTTCTTTAAACTACAATTTGAACTTTTTGTCTTTAATATTCACACATGGGTAGAAGCAATGTAAATATGAGTTCATTTTTGTGCGTCATCCCTACATTCAGTTGTTTGTCTACGTGGTTCTAGCTGCTTTCCGAGATGATCGCAATAGGAAATATTGAATGACAGTTTTGATGAGTTGATTGGCCTTGAAGTTTAAGATGAAAAAATGACTCATATTTTTCCCATCGAAGCAATTGGGAAGATAATCAAGACAACAAAAAGGAAAGGAAACATATTTCAAACAGATAAATAAAACAGGTTCTCGATCAAGATAAAAAGAAATGTGCAAAATCGATAGAAACAAAAATGAAAGATGAAAACCAGATGAATCGACATTGACAGATATTTCGCTTTTATTATATTTAAAGAATCTCAATAATTAAACAAAACGATTAAAACACTAGATTTTGTTTAGATCTTCAGTCCAACGTTGAATCCCATGCGAAAATTCTTTTGACTCCGATGTTACTCGTATCGCTTTGAGTAAAAAGCGATGAAAGTTCAAATTTCAACGTGATTTAAATATCTAATATATATATACAATTGATTATTATATTTAAAACACGTGTATATATATTTAGTAGAAACTTACTTGAAGGAAATGAAGAACGATTGTAAGTAACCTTTATGAGTTATTTTCTCAAGGAATTTAAACCATGAGAAAAGTTATTGTTGACATTTTTTTTAAACTAGTGCAAGACAAAACTCATTCATTATAATTTACTGCCATCTTCTTAAGTAATCACTAGCGGATATTAAAATTAAAAAAAACACGGGTTTCTCAACAGAAAAGGAAATAGATTCCGAAGAAAAGCGTCTTTCTCTTCAATTCATATCATCGATGAATAAATTTTCAATGATTTACCTTTAACATATTATTCATGTGCCCTTTAGTTTGAATTACGCACTGGGTTTATGTGCAAAAATACTCGATTATTCCAGAGAAAAACACAAATCTCAGAATTTTTTTTTGTATTTATAACGAATCGAGGACGAAAAGTACTTTCATATGAATCTAAGCCAGTACAAAGTTTTGTCAGCCAATGATTATTCTTTTAAAGAGGCTCGAAGAGGAGTTTTACGTAAATATCATAAAAAATGCTGCCGATATAACGATTGAATATTTGATTCTGTCTGGCTTTCTGCTCTTACATTTATTCTTGGCGCATTCATCGGCGAAAAAAACGTAAACTATCGAAAATACTTTATAATGAATAACAAACATATTGACATATTTAACAGCATCAATAGATTCTATATTGTAGTGTAATGAAATCGATAGTATTAAACAAACAAGATATTAAATGACGCAAGAATTGAAAAAGGATACATATATCGAGTCCTATTTTGTGAATTTGCTCGCTGTTGATTAAGGCCTTTGATTATGTTTAACGTTTTACTAAGCTGAGAAGTTCGACTAAAAAACGAATTCAATAAAATTCAATCAAAAAATAAATAAAAAGTAACGAACTTGGAATTGGAAAGATGATGGTGGAATTTTTCTCAGCTGAAATTTGTGTTAACGTTTGTAAATAACGTAATTGTAGAGCAATAGGCGATTCCGCAATAACATCGGCTGCTTCTTTCAATTGTCTCGATGCTTTTTGTTCACCTTCAGCAGCAATGACTTTAGCACGAGCTTCACGACTTGCTTCAGCTTCAGCGGCCATTGAGCGTTGCATGGATTGTGGTAAACGAACATCTTTTCTAAAAACATAAAAACAAATCATTTTACCCCATAGAATATTTTCCATAATCATTACATTTCAACACGTTCAACTTTAACACCCCATGGATCAGTTCCTTCATCGAGATGACTTTGCATGCTGGCTGCGATCGCTTCACGATCAGTAAGAATTTCTTGAAGTGATTTTGTGCCAAGAATATTTCGTAATGATGTTTGTGCAAGTAATTGTGTTGCATATTGAGTGTTTTTAACATTTGTCACACTGATAACCTTGAAAACAAATTTTAATATGGAAGTTTTTTATGTGTCGATTGCTTTGTGTGGACGAGCTTACCGGATTGAAAACACGGCTGTAGACAACCGCATCTACTGATACAGTTACTGAATCACGTGTTAAAACCTAATAAATATTAGAATGAAAACCGTATTAACATGGAACAACTCTAAGACAAAGAAACTTACTTCCTGTGGTGGCACATTGAATGTTGCCGTTCTTAAATCAACTTTAATAATCGTATCAACACAGGGTAAAATAAAAAATAGACCCGGGCCCTTCGCACCGCCTAAACAAGAACACAACATAATAAACAATTTTTCTCGATATATGTAAATTAATCCAATGTATATTTTAATATCAAAAATCAAGCTGACAGAGATTAGATTACCAATAAATACTCATGTTTCAAGTTTTGTCTTATGCATTTTAATGTGAAACCGTTCACAGAATTTCTATTACAATTTTTAAGTTATTTTAGAATATTAAAACTGTTATCAATTATATGAATTATCTGCTGCTGTCTATTATAAGAACAGATCGTTCTTATTTACTCTAATGATAAAAGACATTTCTTGCGTGCTGTCTAATGACGTAAACTCGATACTACAGTAAGTAGGAGCGTAAGGATTTGTTTTCTTTTCTGACTCTCGCAATTCACTGCAGTGTTATTCGGTTAATGATCTCGAAGAGATTATCTATGCAAATTACGAGGATAAAAAGAATGCTACTGATTACTTTATGCCACTGAATAGCTTTCAGATTATTTATCATCATACCTGGTATAATACGACCGAGACGAAGAATAACAGCTCGTTCATATTCTTGAACAACCTAAAGAAAAAGTAGATTTTGAAAACTTATGTCAATCGTTGATTTAAAAGCCAACTTTGATGCAAAGACATAATGAAAATGGAACTGTCAGACCAACTAAGATATAAGATAGAATGACTAAGATCCATCCGCATGCGCCGATACCTTCATTCGGCGACTGTCTGGGATCATCTGAGACTAAATAAATGTCAAAATCAGCTAAAAAGATAAATGTAAATCATTCTACTACATCCAGTATTTGGCATTCGAACAGTTGTTGCAGCAGTTTGGAGAGTACCTCCTTTAAAAAGAAGACGATTTTTCTTATTGCGAAAATTCTTTAGAATGAAATTAGTTACTATCGCTGGCAAACGGACGTATTTCTTCTTTCAACGACGTTGCTGCCATATTTTCTTTTTTTTATGATAAAATTCTAGAATAAAAAATGCAGCATTTTTATAGTTGCAAAAAAAGAAAAACAAACGTCATATTTTTCTTTCCTTTTCTTACGAATAGAATATTTAGAAAGTTGCTGAGCTAATCATGGCCAAGTTACTGCATGCGAAAGTAAAATAAGGCAAGGTAAAGAACAAGAGAAAAAAATGAAAGAGAAGGAGAGAAGAATCTTATCGATGTCATTTTTATTCACATGTCTGACGTCATTCAAATAAATAACAAAAAAAAGATGATTGTGCATTTAAACATTTACACAAACATACACGTTTTCTAAAAATAAATTAATTATTCAACGACTAAGCATATCCAGAAAATATATGTCGTAGCATAGATTAAAATCCAGTTCAGATTAAAATAATTTTGATCTGAACTAGTTCAGTTTAAAATTTTCTTTGTTGAAATCGAAGTTATTTTAATCTGAAATAAATTTCAATCTGTCCTACAACATATATATATATATATACATCAAATATTATAAATATTATCTTCTTCTGACCGCGACCTCGAACAGACGAATTAAGTGAATGCATGTCGAATAGGCTACCGCACAGACAATGACTAGAAGAAAGAGAGAAGAAGGAAGGGAGAAAAACAGCTACTCTCTTCTCTATGCATATATGTGTGCATATATTCCGCAACTAGATATGCATCAACGTCGAAGTATATCAATCATCAGCAGTATATTTTAGTTTTCTGTATATTATCATTAAGCAGCTACTTTGATGTTTATTGAACACTGAATTGATTGAATACGTGCCTAAAAATACAATGAACAAGCGACTTTTCTTTATTCAAACGTCTTATAAAACATAAGCTACCTCGTATACTAAACAACAAAAAATGATATTTAGTGATGATAACATCGCTTCTTTATCATGTACTATTAAATGGAGATGACATTAAAAAAAGAAGATAGCGAAAATAAATAGAATAGCAATTTTATGATGATTCATCAGATAAAATATGCCAAAGTACAATGTTATATGGTCATAGGTTATCACTGAAGTTAAACACGTCACTTGGGAAGAAAAACTTGCTTTGTATCACGCAAGACTGATGCATATATATATCATTGGAAGATCGTGTATGAATATGTTTCATCTACCATACATCAAAATCAACTAATCGTGATGGCATCGGAACAAAGATAGGAAAAGAAATGTGACACTGTCACTTAATATAAGAAAAGTGAATTAAACAAGTTCCGACCGTATAAGAAAAAGCTTTATATTCTTCAAATCTACCATTGAAAAAATAGAAAGCTTGATCGTGAAAATTTATTAATTTTTTACGACTTTTCATATTAGCTGAAAGTCTTAGAAAGTAAAATTCATAAACAATATATTCGGCAACATTCCATTCAAGATCAAACAAAACGTTTGAGCTCTAACACAATATTAGATTAATAAAATATTTTATATGAAACTTACATTGTACAAGAAAGTATTACCACTTGTGTTTTTTCCTCGGTCGCCGAGAACTTACTATTCTCCTAGAAACGATTGGTTCATCATCATTGCTATGTTCTTGCTTAAAATCGTCTCTCTTTCATATTGTTTATGAAGAATTCGATCTGTATTCATTCATGCTACAATAATTATATGGCTGGAGTTCCAAATGGGATGAAACAACTCATCGTGCTCCACCCTTATCCATGTGATTCATCTGTAAACTATTCTACTCACGAAATTCTATACACGATTTTCTGATTTGCGCTAAAATAAAGCAAGAAAAACCCAGTTTAAACTACATCACTTATAACATAGAACCAATGTCTTTCCTAATTCAAGTTCATTAAATTGAGAAATGAACTTATTGCCTGATAAGTCATATTGCGCATCCGGCGATAATGTCTGCATTAGAAGCATTATCATGAAAATTTCTTTCATTATTTGATTCTGTCTTTTTGGCTTATCTTACATCGTACAATTTGCAATTCTATGGCCTATGAAACATATTATCATTCATTATTTAAAGTTAATGGCGAAAATCAATATGTAATATCGAATATGAATTATAATTCAACTCCTTATACGACATCTGTGGAACCAATGATGACTCCTTTGGACTCGAAAAAGAAAACGACACGTCGATCGAAACATATTCCACATCATTTACGACCTCAACATCTTGTAGAAAAACGCAATAGACGTGAACGAAAACGTGTCAAAGATGTGAATCAAGCGTTTGTAATACTTCAAGCACTTCTGCCATTGGATACATATAATAATAATAAGGAGAAATCGAACTCGACTCGTATATCAAAAGTTTACACACTGCGAAAAGCGATCGATTATATAGAAGCCCTTCAAAACATATTAAATGAAACGGATTAAGATATGAAAAACAACAAAGAGACGCTTTTTTTCTAGAATTCTATCGATCGTCACTTGTAATTTTATTTAAATGATTAATAATATCTTCACGAAGACTCGGTCCAATAGCATCACAAAATTCTTTAAATGATATACGTTGATCACCATCTTTATCAGAATAAATCATTGTTTTATCGACTACTTGCTGTAATTGTTCATCTAACAGATTATTACCGACCATCATTTTCAAGACATGAAACAGTTCAGCATTTGTTATATAGCCGTCTTTATCTAGAATAGAAATTGACGAAAGAATTTCATATACTCATATTTTAGATAAATACATTATTCTTCGAGAAACACTTGATTGATTTTAATACTCAACTGAGCATTTTGTTCTACTAGCTATATATTCTAGACATGATGATGATTGATAGAAATAATTTGTAGTTCGGCACAGTTAATTTAAAAGATCGATGGCTATATTTACCATGCGGCATTCTTATAGTCTAATATATTCTTTGATTTAGATTGTTCGAATAATATTGACTAATGTATTAATAAATATTCTGAGTGTTGTTCATACTTTTTCATCCGCTGTACTCGTGAGAATTATTTAAAAACGACAGTATTCATCCGAGGCTTTTTCTCTCAGATGACTCAGAAAATTTTTATTTCTCTAATGAACATTTTATGATTATCAACAATTATAATTTGTTCTTACCAATATCATAGATGTTAAAAGCAAATCGTAATTTATATTGTGTATCGCCTTTTGAAGCAAAACTATTCATACCTAATTGGAAACGTTAGAATAGATTGATAAAAACAATCTTCGATCAACACTAACCACGAATAAATTCAGTAAAATCAACCTATTCAAAAGTCAAGATCTCATAAATCTATATATGTTAATAAGAAACTCTATAGCAAAAAAGAAAAACAACCTCGCCATTTCCGTCACTATCAAATATATCAATAACGCGTTCAACCAATGGATTTGACGTCAGTTCGGGTATTTGCATAAATTCTTTAGCTGACAGTGCACCACTGTTGTCTTCATCAAGTTTGCCGAATTTTTGTAGCATTTTTTGAATTTCATTCGAATCTATTTGACTAATATCTTGACCCATTCACTGATATAAATGCTGATGATTATTTTTTTTTATTTAAGAAATTATACAATTACTAAATTTATACAGCGCCAAAGTCAAATTAAGAAAAGTAAAAACTTTGCGGACATTTTATGGTGGGTTTATTGTCATGATTACTGGTAATTATTGTATCGTGTACATATAACATCAACCATGATAAAAGACTGGTTAGCCTTGATAAATTGCCTCGCTTTCTTTTGTTACGAAAAGACGAGGCCTGACACACGGCTATAGAACAAAAAAGAGCGCTCGTTTTCTCTCTCTTCTTTTTTGCTATTTACATACGGTAAATGAATCCCTATATTTGAACTAGTTGGACTCACGTGAATTCAGCGTTCTCTCTCTCTGTTTACGCATGTAAGATGAGAAAAAAAAAGAAGGAAAAAAAATGTAATGCAGCGATGCATTGCAATTTTTCTTTTTTTTTCTTTATGCTAAATGCAACTATAAAAAAAAACGTTTCCTTCAGATTTTCACTGTAGCGGTAGACGATGAAGATTGTAATAATTGGTGGTGGACCATGTGGACTAGGAGCTGCTTGGCGTACTGAAGAAATTCGACGTCAAGGTTCATTTTTTTAATGAAATAAGGAAAGGCTATTAAAATTATTCTCTTTTGAAGGTAATACCAGTGTCGATTGGACAGTTGTCGAACAATCATTGGATGCTGGTGGTCTTGCTCGAACAGTTGTTGATGACAAAGGCTTTCTATGGGACATGGGTGGTCATGTGATATTTTCTCACTATGCTTATTTTAGTCGTTTACTTGATTACTTGTTGCCGAATGCTACAGATTGGAACAATAAAATTCGCGAAGCATGGGTATGGATGCGTGGTACATTCATTCCGTATCCATTACAACAAAATCTCCATCGTCTACCAAAACAGGAAATCATTGCCTGTATTGATGGTCTTCTCGAAAATGAACGTCGCCGTCAAACATTTTCAAAGCCTGTAACATTCGCTGATTGGATGGATCAATCATTTGGACGTGGTCTATGTGATGTTTTCATGCGTCCATACAATTTCAAAGTGTGGGCATACACCGCCGATAAGATGAACGTCGAATGGATGGGTGAACGCGTTGCAACAGTTAATGTATCACGTGTCGTACAGAATGTTATACTCGCCCAAGATGAAGTCGGTTGGGGACCTAATAATACATTTCGTTTTCCAATGAAAGGTGGCACTGGTGCAATATGGACTCGCTTAGCTCAAGTATTACCACAAGAAAAATTTCAATTTTCGAAGAAAGTGACCAAAATCGACGTTGTTAAAAAGATAATTACGTATAGTGATGGTTCGTCGGAATCCTATGATGCTATTGTTTCAACAATGCCAATGGATTGCTTATGTCAAGTTGTTGAAGGCACAACGAAAATTCCTCGCCATGATTTGCTTGAGAAAGCCAAGCAATTTCGTTATTCTTCAAGTCATATATTAGGCTTTGGACTTGACGGTCAACCACCAGAACATTTAGCAACAAAATGTTGGATGTACTTTCCGGAAGATGATTGTCCATTTTATCGTGCTACACTTTTTTCTAATTACTCGCCTTATCATGTACCGAAACCAGGCGAACAATGGTCACTTATGTGTGAAGTAGCCGAATCTCCTGACAAGCCTGTCGACATCGATAATATTATTGCTATTACAGAACAAGGTTTAAGAAATGCAAAATTAATTAATGATGATACAAAAATCCTATCACGCTTTCATATTCGATTGGAATATGGTTATCCAACGCCATTTTTTGGTCGGGATCAACTTTGTGGACCACTTTTTGAAGAGTTCGAAGCGCATAATATCTATTCGCGTGGTCGATTTGGTTCATGGAAATATGAAGTCTCAAATCAAGATCATTCCATGATGTTAGGTGTCGAAGCTATTGATCGAATTGTTTTTGGTACTGAAGAACTCACACTGAAATATCCAGATGTTGTTAATGCCAAACGTGACAACGTTGGCCGTGAACCTTCGCTTCCACCGAATCAAAATAGATAAATAACAATATTTTAGCTGAATTCCATTCGTCATGATTTACTCGATAACAATTCTTATTATAAAAACTAAATTTTTCCTTTAAGTTTATTTATTCAATAAATATACTATGAATAACAAGGATATTTGGAGGTCTTTCTAGCTAACACAATATCGCCATGTTCACCTATATTATCATTGAGACTTTTAATTCATGTTTCATTTAAGATAAAAAAAAAGAAAAGAAAAGAAAAAGCGAATTGTAATCTTTCACATGAAAATTTCATTTAACAAGCAAAATCTACATGATAAATCTCTATTAAGATAAAATTTTCTGAATCTGGCAAGCTGTGTCAGAGTTCAAGTAATCTTTAACAATATATATGCATAGCTGTTTCTTTTCTGGCGTTAGGATTATAATTTTCTTTTCACTGCTACTCGTTTATTACGAAACTATTGACCCTTCTATCATCAACAGTGATTATTCATTTGATGTAGTTTGAATATCGGAGGAGTACTGGCTCATTTATTTATAGTTCATAGTATTGATATTTTTATGTCGATCGAATAAAAGAAGATCGCAATCAACAGAGCGTCATTGTACTTGTTTCTGGAAATAACACGGAGAACAGTATTAATACATAAGCATATAGAGTTATATATATAGTTTAACGTTATTGATTGGCTCTTTTGCATTGGCTCCTGAACACTATTCTTGTTTTTTTTAAAGGTTAAATGAATTAAGAAACCAATCGGCTATAAATTAATAAAATCTTAAATCAACTTACTTCAAAGTTCTTCCTTTCTCAACAAGAAAATACTACATAGAACGCATACCTTTGAGGGGTATGTTCTGTGCGATTTTAACATTACTTCTTAAAATGATGTTTTTATTGGACTCATTTTTAAGTGTATCTTTCTGCTGACTAATGATATTTGCCATTAAAGATACATTTAGTATCAAACACATGCTGATTTATAGTAGTGAGAAGAAAACAAAATACTGAGTTATACATAGGACATTAGAAAAATTTGTTTGCTTCAGTGCACTTTACTTGAAGTAAACGTTCTAACTATCAGATAAAAAATGACCATCAGAGCCAAATGAACACATGTAAGCGAAACTGTTAGAATATTATGATATCATTGAATGACGCAATCTATGATGAATTTCATCGTACGAAATTTTATATTTTCATTTTCGATTCGTCAATGCAAATATGAATCAGTGTAGAACAAAAAAAAAAAAGATTGATGATACCTTTTAAATCTAAGAAGAAAACGAATTATTCTTTTCTTTTACGCACTACTGCATTTATTGTCAAAGCATGCCTACAACTCTACTTTGTTTATTATTCCTCGTTATTGACGATGAAGGTCTACCTTTATTTCTCTTCTGTTTCTTCTTATGTAATAGTTTCAAGCACGACGACAGAAAAATGCTGACGTTCTGTTACGAGTAGTCGACGAAAAAAAAAAGAAAAATCTAAAAAGAGACCAATGGGATATAAAAGGAGACACTCAGTTCGACATTTCATTAGCGTCCTTCTCAAAACTATTAACAACACATATCTAAAGCATCGGTGACAACTACAAAATTAGTAGCGAGAGAACGAAAAGAGGTCTTCGTCTTCTCAGTATGTCATGTTTTCCAAATCCAACGCACGGGTTAGTCGAAATCTTCTGATCAAAGTAGCTGATATTTAAAATAAAGCCAATTAACAGGATACGAACAACTTACTAATCTCCTACTTAGTGACACAAAGAATGCAAGTGGCAAAACGCCTACTGACAATAATGGTCTACTCATCAAAACCAAACAAGATGCAGCCGCTATTATGATCAGTAAAAGTCAGTTAAAAACGATCCCATTTATATTTTGTGTTACTAATCCTAAGGCGTCTGTCTCCTACTGTGATATCGCATTTCTGATAATTGTAACAATTCAACCAGATGCATGGATTGTTGCAGCCTTCGAGTGAAATACTCAAGCATGTCTTTCTTGTCACAGTATTCAATCATTCTTTCGTTCTTTCAGTGCATATTTTACAAATGCACTCGTGATTTTGTACTCGATACGCGCAGTATGTAGTTTGTCTTTACCCAGAGGATTCCGTATTTTTCTGTTGTAGCGTTTATAGTATTCCTTAAGGTAACTATGTATCAAGAAGCAGTATTTAAGGAGTGTGAGAAATACATTGTAGAGACGGCTTTTGATATTTAAATAAAGCTTATATTCAGCATCTATGAAATAAGCCTCCAATACATCAGAAATCGTCACAATAAAGCCAGTTTAAACTCAAGTTGTCTAATGAGTCAACTTTAAGAATCATCGACTACTTAGATTGTCTCTGACGCATTCTATTTCCATACCGTTCACATAGGATAGGATTGAGGAGAACTTTCTTCTAACGAACAGTTCTCTAAAAATGAACTACAAGGTGCTTTCTTCAACTCATATTGCTATTGCTACTTCTTACAACAACATCGGTATTGCGTATTCTGCGATGGGCGAATACTTGAAAGCACTTTCAATCCGCCGTAAAAGACTCACGAACAGTCGCAATAAACTTCCTTCGAAGTTCATCTTGATTTGACTACTTCTTACAGCAACATTGGCAGTGTGTTTTAAACAAAGGATGAATACTCGAAAGCACTTTCATCGGGAAGGAAAAGTTTTTCCAAACCTGCCCCTACAACAAGCGTTCTTCAGTGCATGCTGATTTGGCTACTTCCTATAACAACATCGGCATGGAATATTCCACGATGGGTGACTACTCGAAAGCACTTTTATTCTGTAGTAAAACTCTTTCCAAAAACAGTTGCAACAAGATTTCTTTACCTGAATTATGGTTTTACTAATTAATGATTGTATTATATATCGTACGATGTTTACCTCATCTTTATACGGACCATCTTCAAGCCATAAACAATATGAATATATTTTGACATACCAATGAGTTCTTTGAGTTTCTTGAGTTCATAGATTTTTAGAGTTATTTTTTTATCTACCTATGAGTTGAACTTCAGTTGATGTCTCAATAGATTAATAATTGTTTTTTGCTGGAATGTTTTTCTCTGTTAAATATTTGTCTGTCGTACTGTAAATTTTTAGTTTTTGATTTGTTGCTTGCAATAAAATAGTTTACTGTAACTCCTTTAAATATCGTTACTATTATGGGTATTTAACACTGTTTAAAAAATCAAGCCTATGCAACCATATTCAATATAATCATTCTGGAGACACAGTTTTCTTATTGAAGTTTCTCCAAGGCAATTTTATATTTAGGAATGTATTTCGACTCTTAAGAAATAATGATGTTTTTATCCTAGATTGATGTGTGCAGCTTGAAGAGAGTACATATCTTTCTGCTGGTGTTTTATTTGCGATCAAGTTCCAGTTTCAAATAAATCATACTACAGTGAGGATGTGGGTAATATTGACAACACTACCTGTACGAAAGTCTATAGACAAACACAAATCAAATAGTTATTCTCTGTTAGAATTGATCGAAGAGTTGATTTCTTTATAACCTTATCGATCATTCTTGTTGACAGGAGTTCAGTATTTTCAGCACGGATCATATTTTCCATTACAGAATAGTTCTTGAATGAATCTCAACGGTTACAGCACTCTCAAATATCAAAAAAAACAGAATCATCATGTTTCCATCATATATTCTGATGAACTGAAGTGGCACAGTAAGAAAATAATTTTTTTTTCTGGTATCGCATTTATCATTTTCAATGACATTTTTCAGCACAATTGTAGTAAGAAACGTGTTTGATGTTTTTCATAAGAATCGCCTGATATCGGCCTTCTGTTTATTAGATATAACAATGAAAACAGTCACTAGGTTACAACACAGAAGAAAAACAACAATCAATCATTGAGTGATAGACTCTGTTTGGCTTGTTTAATCATAGCATCGATCATGTCTGTATACTGTTTACGTTCGATCGCTTCAACTGTCGACTTATTGCCAGAAAAAATACACCGTATAAGGTTAGAAAAACTAATAACAGCTCTTGAGTGACCATATTTGTATACCAAATATCGCCATGCCAATTCAATGTACACATCTTGGATACGCAACACGGCTGTGATATTTTCAAGATTGATCGTCTCAGTATTGGTGTAGAATGTATAGTCAAATGTAGAAAAACCAATGATTGAAAGTCCGAGCTTGACAAATACAACGTCAGAATCAATTAAATCGCATGTAGCTTTACCAGCCTGCATTGCAGGCGAACCATAAACAGCCTCTGAAGCCGAATAGAAAACCGGATTGTCGAATAGTTTAATATGGGACAATATGAAACATACGCCGATACCTCCCAGATATTTTAGTCTCCCGTGAATCAAATGTGACCGATCATGCACACTTAATGCTTTAAAGTCGGCATTCTTTTCGAACAACTGCTGAGAGCCTGTCATTAAAGATGAATAAAGTGCGTTGAGTGACGCATATTTGTAGCGCGCTTTGGGAGGCAGAGCATTCTGTGCGCTTGTGAACCGTTCAGCTACCAAAAATCCACCATGCTCGTCGTAGCAATGAATCAAATTAGACAGAAGATTCCATTGGCCGATACTTAATGTGGATGTATCGGATCGTAACAGAGTCAACGTTGGCAGCTAAATTTGGCAAGACAAAATTTATTGAAAATAACTTATATCTTATCAAAATAGTGCAGTCAGATAAAAAGAACACTAGTCTTCTTCAATTTCTTATTATTATGTTAAACTTTAAGAGCTTTTCCAATCTTATCCTGCAGACTGTTTTCCTATTAGCGTTCAATTCATTTGCAATCGAATGACTTTATACTCGATTTTTTTGTGAAAAAAGTACTTGTTATCACATAATGAATCTACCGCTAGTTGAGTTACACAAAGAGTCAGAGAAAAAGAAGGAAAGAGAATGAAATCTCTTACCTGTGGCGGTTGATTTCTCGAAGGTAGCATTACCAAAGCATTGGACTTTTCTGTCATCGGCTCAACTATCTCTTTCTTTTTTCGATTTGTTCTCTTCTGAATTGATCTTGAAGGTCGAAATAACTCAATTTGCATACCACGTGCAAAACATTTTTTCAGCCGACAACACGAGCAGATGTGACGATTAAAGATGTTAATTTCACAGTTTCCACCAAAATCACATTTGAGATGCTTCTAAGCAGAATGAGGTGACTTAAAATATAGATTTATTTCATCAGACCTGATTAATCTCTGCATTTCGTTTGAAGAACATTTTACATGGAGCGCACGTGAAAACACCCACATAAGAGCAATAAGCAGCCGCTCCACATATTTTGCATTCGAATTGGATTGCGCTTCGTTTTTGTGTATCAGTTGTAGAAGAAACAGTATCATCCCTAGTAATTATTGTACCTCTCTGGTCCATTGATGAACTAGTAATGACGTGCTCTTTTTTGTCGTAGAAGAAACCCGGATGAGTGAAGAACGGAAAAAATGTTACTTTAATATCATCTATCTGCAATGCATAGTTTAACAGATTATGAAATGCAACACGGTGCAAAAAAAACAGCATGAATGTGCCTTTTTCCAACAAAAAGAATTAACAAGAGAAAATCTCGACATGTAAAATCGATGCACGTTGCTACCGAACTTAAAAGCAAATTTTGCTATGTAGATAACGACCAAAAAGTACTTAATAATCTATTTTATGTAAAGATAAAGAGCATCGCAATGCTTCTTTTTTGTGACCTGCATGTTTCAGTTGTTTGCGAAGACAGGTTTCATCGAAATCGATTTAGTCTAGAAGTTTGTCAAGTTGTATTTCGAAGCAATTAGCTTTGTTGAACGAAAAAAAACTGTCGATGTTTTCAACAGTATCAATCATGAAACCATTTTTGAGGAAAGATCAGCGAACATCAAAATTCACTGAGATACTCAACACCATAGATCACTATTTTGCAGAGCTCTAACCAACACGTCAGCCTATTAAGATGTCAACTTGTCTTTTTACATGAATATAAGCAAGGGACTTACTCACACGAATCTTGTTGATGAGCTGATTCATGAGCAACTACCGACAATAAATGAGCACGATCTTTTCAATATGTCGGACAAAATTGGCACGCAATTTTTCTGCGCTTGTTCTATTTCTATTATAGACAACAATCGGTAGAAAATATTTAAATGAAAAATAAAACGAGTGAATTGCATTGCATCGTAGTTCAATTCAATAAAAACAGTAACTCATATTTCGTGTGTTTAAGATGCACGAAAATGTGAAACGAGCAGTGTAAATCTGCAAAATACTCGAACGTTTTTTTTATGTATATTCACGCAATGCGAGACGCCAGATTAGTCACGTGAGTACTGTCAGTTTAAAAAGTGCACTATCACTCTTTCAACCTTCTGATTCTCGTGTGGGGCTCTACTGCTTTGTTGTATTACTAGCAACAACGATGCAAAAGCATTTGTCGACGAATTTGTATTCTATATTAATTGCTATAGTTACTTGCATGAATACTTCTAGATAACTTCATCATTTCCATTATCAGTAACACAAAATGCTCATGCGAGAGACAGTAAGTACTCATCTAAAATAATATCTAATAGATTATTATCTCATAATAATCAGCTTAAAATGATTTCGTGTAGAGTGTCAATGAAATAAAAATGTAATTTTATTTAAAAAAAGTAGCAAAAAACATTCTTTGTCCAAATCTGATTTTAACGTTAATGGCAGATCCTATTTTGTCACTTCTAACGCATAAATATTTTTGAAATCAAATGTTTGTTTTACTCAATCTATTAGGTTACGAAAGAATTTTTCTGATATCTAGTTGATTCTACGTAATTATCGACGCCGTAAACTTGATAGAGTCTATTTTAAAATGTGACAGTTTTATCAACAATATAACCGAGATTTATCTAGATTATATAAATAAATTTAATGTTCATACAGAAGTCAAACATCGTACTGTCGTAAACAGAATTTTTGTCTATCAAGAATAAAATGAAATGAGTTGTTTTCAAACAGAATTGAAGACTGTTGAAGAAGAGATTGCTTTTGCAACCAAAGTCTTGAAAATTTATACTTTAAGTATATAAATGAGAAAATATATGAGAAAAGAATATTAGCTTCATTAGAAAGAGTCTTCTTTGCTGCACACATAGAATTATCATAAGAACGTATCAAATATTTGTTTGAACAAAATACTGTCTCACAGTAGAAATACGAGGTGTTGAAGTATTAAAACAGATAATTATGATAGTGATTTATCGCAAGATGATGGAATCCAACGACTAATTTTCTTAAATTTAATCAAAATTATACTCCAGTTTCTGTTTATGAGAAATCGTACACCGTCGACGTTTCTCAATGAAAATTACTGAAAGTACATTATTTGACGAATCAATTATTTCACATGGGGGCTTACATGATAATTCCAAAACTCTTCTAAAAATGAAAATGAACCAGAAAACTATTTGAGATTTAATCTCTACCGTTATTGTTGCTCATTTTACTTGATTGTTCAATGCACTATATGGACACTTATATGGGATGATTTTGACATAACTGTTGAGTATTCGTTGACACATACTTTGATAGCCAGTTGGCCTACCAAAACAATTGACTAGAAATTAATAGGAAGTCAACAGCTCATCGGAATCCGCTAGAAATAACATGCAATACCCACACAGTAAAAAATTAGATACAGATTTAATAAAAACAGATAACAATGATCCATAGTGATCTGCGTGTTCAATCCGTCGTGACCAAAGAAATAAAAGATTATTCAATAACAGTTTTTATGGTGATTGTGGAAAAATAATTCTAATTGATGTTTTGTGTTCAGAATTTTAAGCTCTTCAAAATGATACAAGAAGATTGAGGATACGTTCATCTGCAGCGGAGAAAACTGCGGTATATTCGTCGTGACCAGAAAGCTTCGTGATCGGTAGTAACGAAAATTGGTCACGACGAATGTGTGGAAGTTTTCTCCACGGTAGTTCAATGTATCCTCAATCTTCTTGTATCGTTTTGAAGAGCTTGAAATTCTGAACACAAAACATCAATTAGAATTATTTTTCCACAACCACCGTAGAAACTGTTATTGAATAATCTTTTATTGCGTTGGTCACGACGAATTGGTCACGCAGATCACTAATGGTACAGCTATGATTTAAGGAAAGATAAAATAAATATATGATGGCACTACTTAAAAATGCATGTGTTTCTTCGAGTGCTAAACAGTTATTGATGTGTATTTACAACATTCATACATGTTCTCAATTGGCATGCTGCAACCGTTTTCACAGTACGTGTGTAGGATCTGATAGGAAAAACAATTTTTATCATCAGACACGAAAGTTGCACAGATAAAATTTTTAAGAGTCAAAATGTTACTCAAGTAAACATCGAACACAAAATTTTGAATTACATCATACCGATTAAAGAAACATATCGAATTGTAGAGCATTTATATAAAACAAGCACAAAAAAATAAGTATACTACAGGATCCGTTCTGCAATGAGAATGCAAACATATATTTATGTTCATAGGCGTAATTAGATAATTAATAGTGAAATTAGAAAGAGGAAGAAAAAAAAGAAGAACAAGATCACATATTTAGGTCTGACCAGAAGTTCTGTGATTTAAAAAAAACTAAAAAAAAGAGAAAGTTTGAGTTTTATTTTATTAAATGTTGATGATAGCTGCCATGATTATATATATATATATCACGTTGAATCCTTTCTAACAATCTGTTAAAAGTTTTTTGAACTCTTTTACGAAAACAATTTTAGGTACTTTGGATACCACATGGACTAGTCATATTTCATTGTTTTGAAAATTTTGTTTGATCATGGCAGCTGCGTTCTAGCACTACTAGTGATGGGATATGGATTTATTTGAGATAGGTTAGTCATAAGTCATCTGATGCGAGCTGGCTTATTTGAGATGAATCGCCAGAGACTGTTGTTCATGAAGACTGATTTTAACCAAAACTTTGTTTAGTATATTCTTTACATCAAATAGTCCTCAGTGTAGATAAAGGCAAGACTGTAGGTCGCAAGTATTATATTGAAAATTATCCGAAGCCTTTTGTTAACGGATTTATGGAAACAAATAGAGATATCAGGGTCAAAATGTACAAAATTGCTTGACGATCATCGTTGACTCCATAATTATCCAATGTTATTAATTAGATGACAGAAGAAGGAATCAATATAATGTCATATCCATCATATTCATCAGGCCTGACTCCATGTCATTTTTGGCTAACCAATTCTATTGAACGTAGTTGAACTAATTAAATAAATGAAATATGATTAGTTCATGTGGTATCCAAGGTAACGAAAATTATTTTCGAAAAAGAGTTCAAAAAAACGTTTAACAAACTGTTAGAAAGCATTCAACTTGATATACAGTGAAGGGCAGAAAAACATTGTCGTTGCACCTACGCATTGTCTCGAGTCATATATGTGAAGCGCATGAACGGATTCTTCTGAAACTTTTATCAGTAATTAAGGATGTGCTATAGATTTTAATCAGAGCGGGACTCCTCAAAGAGTGTCGTTCAGTAGAGCGAGAGACATCATGATTCGAGTATCTACCGCTTTTCTAGAATATCAAACAGTCATATTACACTACCACGACTAGGGCAATCGTAGCGGCACGAAAAATCGTCTTCTTAAAAAACCCTACGTCCATAGTATCTAACGAAATGCAAATGAGGTCCAACGACACGGCATTGTAAAAAAAAACGGAGGATCACGGTGTGTAGAATTGCCAGAAAAAATGGCGATCGGACCAAATTTTCTAACTATCTCGACACCGACTTGTCTGACCGGCTTGAAATTTCGATAGTAGACAGACATCGGCAAGTAGAAAAATTTTTTTCCCACGTAAACAAATTCTGAAAATTCATCTTCAGCATCAAATAGAGGTCAAAATTTGAGAAGGTTGTGTTGCATTTCTTTCTCGCTTTAAAAATCGAGAAGACATCGTATCGAGCTGAAACTCCGGCTACTGGACCTTGATCCAAAAGAAGGTTCATAGCATCTTCCACTCTTCTCCAAACACACATTTTAGACTAGAACATAATCCATGTACATGGACAAAGCGATCTTAAGCTATTTGAGTGTATTGATGAAGCTAGTGTTTACTGCTTTTTTGGCTGAAGGAAAAAAAAGCTAGCTATCGATTATTATATTTGTGTACTCTTGTGTATGTATAATCTATGTAGAAAAAGAACTTTTAATATTCATCATGTTCAGTAGAGTAACTTTATCAAATACTAACGGCAATTATTTTTGCACACCACTGTAGATATAATCATGGCAACTATCATCAACATTTAATAAAATAAAACCCGAACTTTCTCTTTTTCTTTAGTTTTTTTTTAATTGCAGACCTTTTGGTCAGACCTAAGTATATTATGTATGTATTCTGAAATGAATCCACTTTTTTTGAACTTACCAACAACACGAGCAGCTAAATTAGGTTCGATTGAAAAGATAGTAAACTGATGAAAAATGCAATTACGGTGCATTTGCAACTGTCTCGCTGAAATTCTCTTCTTCTTTTAAATTTTAATTTGCGACGTTTTACTCCTTCGATTTTTTAATTCCTCAATGATTTTTAATCTAGTCAATAAAAATGCTGATTTAGTAACGACTCTACTTCTATCATTGGTTATATCGGCGATGTACAACCAAGAGTACTTGAACTTTACGAGTTCTAATATTGTTATTGGTGATAGATAACTAAAGGAAGATCGGGATTTCCGTCCATACTGTATTCAAACTCATTGACCGCCAAAAAATAACCAAAGTTTCACAATTAGTGACTGTATCTTTTACTGCTGCGTAGAATGTCGAAGGACCTGATGTTCTGAATTTGAGGTTAGGACAGGGACAATAATTACATACACACAAACACCATACCCTCACCATTACATCTACTCATATCCAAGATTGAAAGAGCACATGATTTGATTCAATAACATGCGGGTACTATAGTAAATATTGCTATATCACTATAAAGTATATAGAAGTTCCAAATTACAAATATATCATCCTACATCGCTATGAGACAAAATATTTTACTTAGTAATGAAATTATGTACGTGGTGTAAATGCAGGCCAAAGACTATGGTTCATTGTCTTCTATTAAATTTTAATAAGACATCGTATAATAGAACTGCTAACACATCAATTGAAACTATGCTCATTTTTTTTCTTTATAAATTTAATCAAGACATTAAGAGACAGAAATCAAGATCCACTATAATACAAGGTACGATTATCGTTTCTACGCCAAATACCATGCATGGTTTGTCTTTCTTCCACTTCAAAAATTAAATATATCGTTGAGCGGTATACTATCTACAACGTTCATTTCACTTGGACTACCAACTGAGTCATTATTTGAATGTTCCCGTTTTCGACGATGCGCCGTTAATTTTATTGCACGTCTCAATTGAGGAGAAACACTTAATAAAGTAACACTGCACGTTAGCAAGTCGACTACAGCCATAAAACAAAGAAGACGATAGGATAGTCGATGCATACGTTTTTGAACAAACATTAATAACCAAAGGATAATTGCAGCGCTACTAGTAGCCAACAGAACAATAACTAATAGAATAATTCTTTTAATAGTTATGACATCACGTTTCATTCGTCTCAGTCGTTCTCTTGATTGCCAATGCTGTTTCATGTAGAAAACAATTTCCATGTAAACAATAAAAATGCCAGATACAGGTATTGCAACAAATATGATCGAGATATATACTGATGACCATGTATCACTAAAGCGATTGAAACAATAGTTTTCCGACGATAAATAAACTGAACGAAACCAAACAGGAATAGACAGTATCATAATTATTATCCAATGAACAATAATCAGTCGAATATTGTATGTAAATTGTCTCAATAAGCGTTGTTTAGATTTTACTGTGCGCCAGAAACGAAAAAGTGCATGTAGAAAACAAGAACCATATATACCTGCTGAAAACATAGACATTAAACAATTTAGCAAACGACAATGCCGCGAAGGAACACTCTCGAATTTATTATCTGTATAAAAATCGCCAAATAAAGTTCGAATAGAAATCAAGAGAAATGTTGTTGTACAACCGATAACATGAATATAGGTATTCGTCGAATGGAGAAGGCCTACGCGACGGCTCTTACTTCTGGACATACACTTTCTAAGTTTACCATGACAAATTAGACGAGCTAAAATGGATAAATCCAAAAGAATAGTTAAAAGAGCTAATAAGATGGTAACGATTGTAAAAATAGTGGCGACGTTTTTCAAATCCTCATTCAACGATGGATTGTGTGACGCGTTAAACATTGATTCGGAGTTTCAATCTAAAACGCACGATGAAATTTTCATTTGAAATCTGTAAATATAGAAAAACAAACATTTGCTAGTCATCCTAAAATATTGAGAATAGAAGGTAAAAATAGGCTTTACTATTGTTGAAAGAATGAAGCCTATTTGTCATCAATCAGTTACTTATAACCTAACAGAAAAATAAACATAAATTATGGAAAATGCAATATTATATGTTGTAAATTTCTTATCAAACGGTCAGTCACAATAGAATATTTGATGATGCAAAATGAGCTTTGTTAATATTTTACATTCCTAATAGCTTGTCATTCATCTCTAAGAATAGCCCAGAGTTTACTATGGACACACAAAAGTGCTCTTAAAGAAAGCATTCAAACATGATGAAATCTACTCTTATTGTGGAATTTTCTCGTAAATGCTATTTAATATTTAATAATAATCTTGTTCAAATAGGAAGTAACTTCAATTTTAATATTATCAACTAATAGGATCTCAGAGACGTTTAAAAATATAGTGACAGAAAATTATTTTAGCATCGAAATTGTCAGATCAAAAACTTAAAATTCAGAATTTTTTTCTAAATTACGATGCAATCAGAAAAGCTTTGCAATTAGCAGTTTTTGAAAATGATGACCTTTTCTATTGAAAAGATCCCAGCGAATGCTTTAATGAACATGTGGTTGAGATCACGCAAAGATATTCAATGTTGAACTCTTTCATCAAGCTTAAATGTTGTTTATAAACTATGTACAAGGACAACCAAATGTATATGTTACAGGCGGAAAGATTCTGAAGAACAAAAACAAAATTATATGATGTAAATTCAATATTGGCATTCATATTTTGTTTTGGAATTTGCTTTGAAACGCTTTTGTAGACTAGGATGTCTATATTATATTGTGCGCAATAGTACTTAATAGTGATTGTGATTTTCAAGCTCGCCAGTGCTTCAAATATTGATACAAGTTTGACGTCAATATTGTCTGCTGCTTCGACATAACAAATATTTACAAATTCATTTAAACTTCTGTCAGTGAGTTTGAAATACAGAAATTATCAATTAGCGGAATAAACAACGACACCGTAATATTGCGTTGTGATAGGAATAGATGATGATCATATTTCGTATCACTAAGTATACTGGGAGGATTTGAGAATTGAGAATAAACATAAAAGAATAAAAAAAAATGCCAAAGTCAAAGGCAAACTTAGCGAGAACATAACAGTCGCAATGTTAAATGAAAGAGAACGTGCATCGGCGTTTCTTGTTTAATACCATATGATTTTAACTAAATTTGTTTCTCTCCTAAAAAATGTCGTATGATGGTTGGCATAATAAGTGGCACAAATGTCTTTTTGAAAAATGCCAATCGGTGTTTCGCGATATTACCGATTTCTGAATTAATCAGTCTTTTGTTTCTGAGGAAGAGCGATGTCTGAGTTACCAAATTTTCTAACAGACATATTTTTGCTAAAAAACGAATCTCAACAGAAAGAAAGGCTCCCAATCAACCGCCTCTGAAAACGTTTTTTCTTGCAATTTGAAAACGGATATATTTGAAAATTTGAGTCCTAATACAATAACTGTCATTTGACGAAAATATCGGACGCTGCCGTTAGAAACGCTGAATGAGCTAAGTTCTATTCTTTTGTCATTTCATAGAAACAAATTTAGTCCCGGGAATTTAGGCACAATTTTAACGAAGCCTAAAACTAAATTTAACTTCGAATACATCATTTAAAAGGACATCACGTATTGGCGTTACAAAAACCATCATTGGCCTTACTTTACTATTTGTCTTGTAATTTCAATCAAACTAGTAGTAATTGGAAGCTTACGTTTGTTGATGGTGAACTTGTGAGAACATTTGGATAGGCATTTAGTTTTTAACGTTTTCTTCTTGTCAAGTTCGTTGTAGAAACATGCGTCTGCTGCAAAATTTGTAGCTCAGATATTGCTCTTCCTGAGACAGAAACGCATGAATGATGTACAAACGTCGATCATGTTATATAGCAGTGTTTGACATTTTTCCAAAAGACTTTTGTACCACATTTTGTTGAAGAATCTTTTCAGAGTGCGTGTTCATATGTGAGAAATGAAAACGACGAAAGAGAATATTTATTTACGCATTCTAATAATCTTTATTTCACACTAAAAATATGTCGTGTAATTAATTTGAATAGGGCACGTGAAAACTAATTATAAATGCAAACCGCAAAATGGGCATTGCTATTGAAAAATACTCGAGTCGTAGTAGTTTTTTGAATGTCTTCAAGCATGCGAAACTAATTATTCAAAATAAAACCTCATTGTTTCTCTTTCGTAATAGTGAAAATGAGCATTGATCATCAGTAGTGTCAAACTCAGTGCTGCCAGCTGTTCAGGTCCCAAATGGGGTGCATTCGTGAGGTACGTAGTTTACATCTTTCACACTGGTCATCGGCGGCGGAAATCAATTTCTAAAACTACTTTCAATCCGCAAAGGGCATTCTCAGTTTTTCGTTTTACTATAAAACCTAGCTTTCCAATTGAAATCTTTATTTTCTAATAAATATGTTCACAATAAAATTTCATTTTGACCTATATATATTCAATTCAATCATAATAAAACAATGCTAACTCAAAGCGAACCTTCTCGATTTATATTTACACTAACTGTTGCGCGCTTTTTTCGAAACTGTATTTTTATTGACTTTTGGCACACTTTATCAGTTGCGGTTGTGTTTGAGCAAAAGAAAAAAATCTTCACATGTCCCCTGGTCGAACATTCCGGCCAGCGGATCCCGTCGGATACTCCAGAAAATATGCGAGAAAGTCACCATATCCGGCAGAAAAATACGGGAAATCGCTGGAACATGGAAGCAGTATTCCGGTCAAAAATACGGCCGGACTTTTCCGGCGGATTCCTGTCAAATTCAAGTGGTTTTCGGCAGGAATTGATCGGAAATCAGCGGAAACAATCCGAAAATTTTCCAATCGGAATACTGCGCACAAAATCAACGGAACTAACTGGAACCGGCCGTTTCCAGGCCGGCTGCTCGACCTGGGTCATAGTACTATTCAATCTGATTTTCAATTCAGCAGCTATCCTTTCATTCACCATCAAATTCCGACTGACTGTCCATGCGCTTTTCATATAACTAAAAATGCCTTCGACAAATGCATTTAAGCAAGGAATTGAGTACACATAAGAAATAATTTTGTGCATTTCAATACACATTGGTTTCGACTTTGCAAGAAGAAAAGTCCAAAGTTGATCAGACCGATATTCCATTTCTCTTTCATGATTTCGATCGTCGGTTTGTGAATGAGATTATCTTCATCATGGGACTCGTAAAGCGTCACCTCTTTATCAATAGTAAATGTCGAAGAAAGAGGCAGAAATTTTCTGAATTTCAACCAAAATATGGATGATAGTAGTCGTAACATTGAAACGCGCAGATGGAGTACTGTACCCCCAAATGGGGTACGGTTGGCAACCCTAGTCAAACTTGAAACTTGCATTCAGTTGAAAATAGAAAATATCAACTTTCAACTCATAGCGATATATGTGTGAGTCACGATTCTTCAGAATACTATTGGTTTAAAAATTGAAAATTGAAAATTTCAAGTTTCAATTGAATTCAAGTTTCAAGTTTGACATATATGTGAATCATGGGAACATACTTTTATCGAACATAATAACTTATCAAAAAGTAAACGTAATAATGATTAATATTAATATTACTACTCATAAATTCGACCAGTAATTGACGCTAGTATAGATTACGCTAGTCTTCTAAATAAGCAAATTGAGAGTAAATGACTCTACTGAATCAAAGGTTTAAACAATCACCTGTTTTGTTCTTAACTATTCTGCACACGATGCGAATATTCATACGCAGGAGTGAGTCTCGTAATTGTACTTCATGTGCATCAATTAGCTATTCATTGAGCATAAAAAGAACGTTTGCAAATAGATTAGTTAAATTCGTCGATGAACTAATAAAATATTCTATAAACCAGTGAGTGTGTAAAATAAATCTCAAGCTTTTAAAATGATCAGTTTAATGCAGCGAAGACATACTTAACAAATCAATTAGCATATTGTTTTGTTTTTATAGTAGTGAAAGTAAGCTTTTGTTGACATGTTTTAATGAATGTTATGTCAGGAAATATCTGTCCTGCCATAATTATGTTCTCTCGTCTTCTCTCAGTTTCATTCTATCACGCTTACAATCATTCCATTCTTCTTCTCGTATATATTCTATTTCAGTGAGTGTAGATGTTTAAAGAACGGGGATTATTTCTCGTGAGAATGTAATACACTTGCGTCGATGGGTATGACATGCAATATTTTGTCGAAGAAAACAAAAAGAAAATTTAACTAATGATTTTGTATCGTACTAATTTTCACGCGGTATGAACAAGACTGGCGAAACAATTTTGTATTTTAATCATTGTTGAGACTTTGTGTTTTTTCTTGTCCAATTTAAACGAAAGCTGAATAAGGGTGAAATACACTATAAGGAATCATAAAAAATTCTCAAAAAACACATTATCAATTGTATTCCATTTAGTAAAAAGAAGCTAATGTTATAAATTATTTAGCATAAAACTGTATTTTTGCACAAGTGTTTTCAAAATATGAATCGATCAAACGCTAAACAATCTCAAGAAAACTGAAGATCTTTTTAACTATACTCATCCTTTTGTTTTTCATCGACAACTAAGGACAACTACTCATAGTTCTAAATCGTTTCTAGTCAATGGGTAAATTATGGACTAATGGATTAAACTCAAGATCCTTCATACGCACGACTTAGAAATTAATTAATCTTAAAAGAAAGGCACGCGAACGTGTTCTTTTTAATTAAACTATGCGTGTAGAATATTTTAATATCGCCCGTTTGACTTTTTACATTTTTTCTAATTTATATTTCGCTGAATGAAGACTCCCGACTTATGAGTTTCAGGAATAACAAAATAAATATTGCACAGGTTTTTTTCAAGTTATTAGACTATATTTTATAATTACTTGAAATAAATGACTCGAGAAAAAATTATTCATGTTTTATTCTTAAAAGTTAGTCGACTATTTTTATACGCGGAAATTCAATAGTCGAAACATTTCTATGATGGAAAAAGTTCTCATTTGTATTTTTCCTATGATGATAAATTATGTTTGAGAAATTCATGAATTTTTAATTTTTTCACAGATGACTCTGTAATCCAAGAAAATAAGACATCGGTTCACGTTGTTCCATTAATCTTATGTTCTTGCTCCAGAACAACGTTTTCATTATGATAAACTCTCTTGGTGTAGTACACTATTAGTTTTGAGCTGGGTCGGGTGCATCTTTGCTCTCTCCCTAGTTTCCATATTGAGAATGAGTAAAAATTTCTTGTGAGCAAAAAACAGACTGTAAAATATCTATGCAGCATGACACTAAGAATAAACAATTTTATATTCGTCCAATACTATTGTTTTCAGAATCATTGAATCATAATTTTCAACGTAATTTCCATTGGTTACCTATATTTATTTAAAACGTCATTAAAATGTAAGTATTTTTATTTCTTAAAAAATAACAATCATGAATATCTAACAATACTGCATATAAAATAGATAGATTATCATCTATTGATTAAAAGCGTTGAACGATAAATTGAAAAATAGTTTTCATTTCAATGCACTAAAAATTGCGATTAACCTTCACCGAGATTTTCTCATCCTTACTATCTACTCGGCGTTTAACTAAACTATTTCTTGTGTTTATATGAGAATCCGGTTTTTAAATATCCGACTAGCATAGATTACATTTTCGTCAAATTCGGATATAGTCGAAAACATTCATTAAAGATAATCACTGAATTAACTAGAGAAATTCTAGATGTAAATTTTTACTCGGATTTATTAGTTTGGATGAGGATATAAGTGACATGTTGTTTTCTAGCAAGACAGCAAATTGATTCGACTAAAACGACTCTCACATTCGATGGTTAGCAAGTGATATATCAACGAATTGATTAGCAACTGAACTAAGTAATCAGTGTATAATATTACATCCAGAATGACTCTAGTTGATCCTACAGTTTTCAGCTACGAAAATATGTTCAGTAAAAATGAATTAATTCCTAATTTAGTGATTGATTTTAGCAGTATATAAATCTTATTTCGCTACTTTAGTTTTACTTCTGGTAAGAAATTCAAGTGAATTCGATTAAAAGAGTCCAATATAGCTTTTCTGTTTGTATAGCTAAAAGAAAGATCTATTTGAGTAATTATCGTATATTACAAAAAAAGAAAAAGAAAAGCTTTCATACTATTGTAGACGTAAAATACATTAATGATTCCAACTGATTAACCAAGAAAAAGCACAACAATGCAATTCACTCAAGCATATAATAAATGCCAAGTGTGTGGAGATTGTGCATTTATAATGAATTATGGAGTAATATGTTGTTTTCCATGCCGAACATTTTTCCGTCGTAATTCTCTTCGTGCAAAAGTTTGAATTTATTAAGAAATATGTGCGTATCTATTTTCCTTAACATTTTTTTTATAGAAATTTCCTGGATGTGTTTATGGCGGTCATTGTGAAATAAATACAATTACAAGAAAATTTTGTCCACCGTGTCGTCTCATGAAATGTTTTACTATGGGAATGAGTACAGATTTGATTCGGAAAGAAGTGTTACCAGGTAAAAAACGAAAATTGAAAGCGTTCAAAAATCAAGAACCGATTATGGTGGTACGTAGAAATTGAAAAATATATTGATGATTTATATAAACCGCAATATTAGATGCGAAATTAGCGTAAGAATTTAGTACTGAGTAGATTCATGGTAATTTCTGAATTGAATAATCGAGCTTCGCTGTATTCTTGGAGCAAAGCTCTATTCATTAATCGGATTTTTGTGGAACTCACATATATTTTCGAAGAAAATGGTGAGTGTAAGTTTAAAGGCGAGATTTTTGCGGCTCCCCACCCCCTCCCCATTACAGACATTAATGAGTTTAAAATTGTGCTAATTAGGAGCTTGACTAATTAGGCTGCTATTTCTTCCTTTTCAATTACAGACTACACGAAAAAAGCAATGTTTGCCCATTCCAGACCATAGAAACCAGTCTCTGCCCTTGTTAAATATACGAGCTAACAATTGATACTCAATTACAGACATAAGTGCAAATAGGCAATGATCTAACTATAGGTTTTGGAAATCAGGGTAGATTTTTCAGATGAACTATTTTGAATTATTTTAGTAAGCCGAAGGGATATATGTGAGTTTCACATTTTAGCCCCAAAGGGGCTGCGCTAACAAACTTTTTTCACATGAATTGATGCATTGAGAAATCTCACTTCATTATAGTAATACACTTTTTGACTATCTGTTATAGTTAGGATAAAGAGCCCTGCGACTGCGATGATAGAAATTTTCGAGTCAGATTCATAAAAACTCTGACGCCTTATTTTAATTGACGTTCATATGACTGTGCTATTTTTCTTTCAACACTGTTTTTGCTAAATGATCAAACACTGATTTGAAGCGAGGTAAAGTATTGTTAGCAAGAATTTGAACGAACTAAAATCTTCAAAGAGCCGCTAGAACAACACAATCAACTACGTGTGTAGAATGCTCCCTATTCAAACTTTCCATGATACTTTTTGAATGAATAGTAGAACTTGTGTTATTTGTCTTCGTTTATAATCTAATTTACTGATATATATGTGGCAGGCGAGTTTGGAATAGCTTTTTCTTAATTTTTTTAATAGAATTTTTGTTGAGATCTGCCTTTAGAAAATTTTGTATTGATAATTATTCCTTCCATCTTTTTACAAGGTTTTCATATAAATTCAACTCTCTGTACATTTGTTAAACAATGGGGACATGGGGACATTGAATTTATCTGAGAAAAATAAATTATTTTATTTATACAACTTTTNCAATCGAAATCGATCCTTAAGAATGTATCGCTAAGTAAGAATAGAGTTTTCTGAGTGATGAATTTCATCATGTCGACATAAAAAGTATTCAAGATTTCTCTGAATTGCAGATTTTTCCTGGATGGAGATTCCTGCTTCGCATCGCATTTCGTATTCGAGTGAAACTTGAATACCATCGAGTTTTTACTTGAGATCGTACGCATAGTTTTCGTCATTTTGTGTCGCGATGATCTCGACAACCAAAAATCGTAGAAAACTCATTGAAACGTGAGATCGAAGTATCAAGATCAAACTTGAGAAATCTTTTTTCTAATTTTTCATCGGACTTTTTGTTTACTCACAAATGTGGTTCCAAAATCACGAAAATGAAAGAAATTTGTCAAGAGATAATTAAAGTGACGTCATGAACATATGTTAGCCACTATAGTCTATTTATTTACAGCTGATCTAAGATAATGAATCATGGAGATAATTAATCGATCAATCGAAATCGATCTTTAAGAATACATCGCTAAGTAAGAATAGAGTTTTCTCAGTGATGAATTTCATCATGTCGACATAAAAAGTATTCAAGATTTCTCTGAATTGAAGATTTTTCCTGGATCGAGATTCCTGCTTCGCATCGCATTTCGTATTCGAGTGAAATTTGAATACCATCTAGTTAGATTTAGCACTCGTATGAAAAACGTTACACGTCTGAAATGTAATAATGTACGCAGATTCTCTAGACAAACAAAGCTAAGCATATAGGATATCCTATTGCATTGCGTGAAATATAATATTTCATGTATCTTTATTGTCTTATATTAAAGATTTTTGTGTTAAAAAATCAGCTTTGTTTTTCGAACTACTCCACATATCACTTTTTCAATTAATAGAAATCACATATAAATTTATGTCATTCAGACAATACCAAAACCGTCTGCATTAGATCGACCATCTGATGGAAATTATTTAACTCTCAATGATTCAGAGCGAGTAGTAATATCAAATGTTGTGCATGCGTATGATGCATTTAGTCCTATATTTCTAATGCGGCGCACGATGTCACTGTTGAAAACATCAGCATCTGATCCTCAGCATGGTATATCTCAAGCGATACGAATTATGTTAGGAGTTTATCATGGCGTACAATCATTTATAGGTTCAACGCCCGATTTTAAAATACTTACATGCGCTGAACAACATTCTCTATTGAATCGTAATTTGCTTGGTCTTGTTTGTGGTGGCTTGCTTTGCATAGTTCATGAATCAGGAATGTTTGATGCGCCTAAAAATGAATTAGTATTCTCGCTATTATATGGCACAGAACTGACGCAACACGCAAGATCTATTTGTCAGAAACTCAATTGTGATCTAATACTCATTAAACTTCTGATTATTGCTCTTGCTTTCTCTTCGAATTGTTATATGGTAGATAATCAAGAAAATATTGGAGAAGACGCGCTATTATTAGGTACATTTCGTTTATTTGGAAGTCAGAATGCTTATGTTGAAATTCTATGGAAATATTTGATACATAACTATGGTTTTGATCGTTCAGTACACATATTTTCCAAACTCATTAAACAGTTTCTCGATGCATTTTCCCTTTCAATGGACATGTACGCAAACAAAACATATCATCGTATTTTTCTTGACGAAATAGTTAAAGAAGTGGAAACATGCTCGATTTCTGACGAACAACGTGTGGCACCTTTGTGGGGAAAACAACCATGAGTGTTACCTAGTTGTTGTTCTTTTCTTGTAAATGTTCAATTACGTATTATTTTGAAGTAATCAATGAAATATATATATAGTAGATGTTCTAGTTTATTTTTTTAATGTAAATCTATGTTTTCTTACAAAAAATATTTATTTGTGTTTGAATAAAAGAACACTTCGCAAGTTTTTTTGACTGAATTGATGTAGATACGTAACAATATTCAATGAGTGAATATGAATTATTCGTCCGTTCGGTTCGCATACGATTAGATCTATGGAATTAATTAAAACATAACTACCGTGCAAGTTTCTTCGGCTCTGAGCTGAGCCATTTAAAATCGAATATTTATGTGAATGATATTCGAGGTGTCCAGGCATCAGCAAGATAGTGAAATCATTAATGAATTACGAAATCGATTTGAATATTTTCGCTAAAGTTTTCTTGAGCATTTCTCAGAATAAAAATAGATGAACTACGGAAAGTTCGTTGGAAAAAAACGAACATTTCTCTTGATTGAAAGTACCACATAGATTTTATTCATATATCTATCTTGGTGGACTTACTGTCACACGGTATAAAAGAGGGCGACGAAACAGTTTCATCTTATAATCACTGTTAAGGTGTAGAGTTTTCTCTTCGTATAAAATTTAAACAAACTGAATAAGGGTCGAATTCAATAAAAGGAAAGATAAAAAAAATTCTCATAAAACCATCATCAAGTTTGTTCTTTGTAGTAAACAAGTAGCATAAAACTTTCTTCACTAAGTACTTTTAAAATAAGAGCCTCTCAAACTCTAGTGAATCTCGAGAACGGACAGGTGCTCATGAACTTTTGAATTGTTTCTAGAAACCGGCGTATATCATGGACTGATGTTCTTCACTTCTATCACACTTTCCATCGCTCAGCAGCTCAATAGCAAAGACATAATAATGTTTTCTTGTTAACTGAACTTTATGCAAATAATGTTTTAATCGCTTTCGTGTGTGTTCTGTTTTGATGCTTCTCCTAAGGTGCGTTTCACTTAATGAAAAAGTACAACTGAAGAGTTTCATGAATCGTAAATGCGAGTTTTTTCTAGTTAATTCAATTTATTTTCTTATTAGCTGAAATAAATCGCCCGAACGAAAATCACTCTGTTCTATTGCTGAAGGCTGTCTGATTGTCAGTATCGAATAAAAATCAAGACTCGAAACATTTTTATTATAAAAAAATAATCTGTATTAATATATTCAACATGATTATAATTTTATTTCGCAGAAAACTCTGTAATCAAATAAGATAATCTTATTTCCTAGTACGTCGTTCATACTTTGTTTTTATTAAAAAAGACAAAAAGAATCTTTACTGTTCGAGTACTTTCTATGCTATGCGTGACTGAAAAGAATGCGCACGTGTACATATGTGGAATAGTTCTAGATATGTGAGTTGTTCACATGCAAACAATTCGGATAAAAATTTCGAGTCGTCTGATGAATTCTAATAAAAACCAGTCAAGAAATGGTGGAAGGCTTTGTGAACTAGTTTTTATGAACATAAACATCATCGAAAGTGAAGTTACAGCTCTCGGTTTGATTTCAATTATTCATACTGTAAGATTAAAAAGAAAACCATTCATTCGCTAATGTAAGTGTGGTGTTATATTTTTCCTAAAAATGTGCAAGTCGTAATTTCACTGTCAACAACTATCTTCATCTTCCAATAGATACGCAGCACAAGTTAATGAATAAACAATATGTTGACTCTTTGAACATATGATCAACATACATATGAAAGTTAGAAAGATCAATCTTCTCTTGTGTTTTTTTCGCACGTAACCGTAACAGTAGAGATTAAAACCAATAATAAGAAAAGAAACGCTATAGGCTACTGATTCTGATGTGATACTGGTAATGCATCACTTGCTTCGAATCGAATAAAACCGAACTTTACCAGTAGTGTCAAACTTGACAGATCTTTATGCCTGTATCGTTCTTCGAATTAATAATTTGTCAAAAGCAATTGTTTAAAAACTAGTTAGGCAGACTTGTACAAAGATAAACATCCCAACGAAAAAGAGTAATACAATTATAAAAATAGATTCTACAGGAATGTTATCTAAAATAAACCGATGCTTTATTAAATCTAATGTGTGCCTCTACCGTACAACCAGATAGTTCTCATTGGTTTATATAAATATTATAATTTATATACATTTAATATATTTCTGTTACAGACTCTGAAACAATCTGCTAAATGAATGCCGAGCACAGATTGATAAAACAGAGTCAAAAAATATTTTATCAAAACAATAAAACGTGGTTTTGAACTGAAAACTAGATATGAGAAGTTTTCACTAGAATGATCTATTATGATTCATGAATGTTTTTCTCGAAAGACTACAGCCAATTGGTTGGTTTACAAAGAGCTGTTCAGGATTTCTATAGTCCAGTAAGTATTGACTATAGTCTTCACAAAATATTAGCGGCTCACTTTTTTGACAACAAGTATCTGCTTGATAAAAATGCACGAATGATCAATTTTGGAATAAACTAATGTATTAAAAGTATATACTAGAATGGCCAGGCTTTTTCTGGCTTCAAATGTATAATATATATATATATAAACGTGTATTTTTATTTTCTACACAGTAAAGTCATCACAATCAACAACGTCCTATCCAGTATGTATATTTACTTTTCGTTTAGAATTTTATATTTCTTCGAGTTTCAAACACAATGGAAATATTTTGATTTGTATCGGTTCTATTTTTTTTCTTCCTAAGATTCTTAAGCATGCATTTTCAGAAAACATAAGAGTGTAAACATATGAAGATAACTGGTAGATAAAATCTTCTCTGATTTTTCCCTACATAAGGGCACAGGCTTTAGGCAACATTATTGATTAATTTAAAGTGAATCTTTCTATTTTTCATCTTGGTTTTTCTAATTTCAATGCAATAGAATGAAGCAATCTTTAGCAAATGTTTATTTTTCCAAGTCTCGCTTTTTCAACAGAGAGATCTTTGAGTAAAAAACAATCATACTGAAATGTGCACCTTATAATTCTAGAGAAAAACTATTCTGAAAAATTCTTTGCATTTTAACGGTTCAGAAGGAGATAAAATGCTTGTCTTGTGCGCTTCAAAAAAACTACAATAAAATTAGAGGAAACAAATAGTAAAACGTTTCTTTTATATTAAATGAAACCGGAAAAGTGCAGAATTAATTTACAGAAAATTCAAACATCAACGAAACGATAGATAAAAGCAATATAGAGGATTCATATTTTTTTTAAAACTATTTTACCATAGTTGTACTTGATTGAACACATCAAATTAATTGGTTATCTAGAAACCTATTCTATTTTTTACTTTACTATTCATTTCTTATCTCGCATAGAAACAATAGGATAAGGAAATTTGAAATAATTCAGAAGAAGTTTTTAAATTTTTGTTTTGATATCTGGATTTCATGTAGTTCGTAATTGTCGCATATGACTGTTTTGTTTATACATGATATCGAGAGAAGTGAAACAATATAATCAAACCCTTACAGTAGACTATCCATAAGTGTGAGATGTCAGTCGAGCTGATATGTAACCGTTAATTCAAGTCTAGTAAGACTATTCGAAGGTTTAAAGGGTTCATACTTCTAGTTTATCATCTCTTTGTTTCAACTATTCTGAGAGGTTTGTTATGACAATAAGACGATCTAATTATGAACTTTGAGCCGTGCATTTTCTATGTTCAAATATATCTCATAGCAAGAGAAGAAAGCATTCGAATGGTTTGCAATATCGGAATGAATGTTTCTGTTGAGCAATATTATTTGATAAAAACAGTATCTTCATCTTCGGCGATCAGCGGAATTGTGTAGATTTGATACTGATATGAATGAGTACTGTTTCGTATACGTAGAAATTAAAATAAAGCTTTTAATATTGTTGCGTAAGCGTCATCCATGACTTTTTCTCTTAGATGCTTATTGACGTTAGCTAGTTATATCACAAATAAATGCAAAATAAAAAAAATATTATGCTACGCATATTGAGCCATTCTTTATCCACACAAACAGTGTAATGGCCATGTAGAAAAAAACCTAAAACTGTGCCATTCGGGAACTAGACGAAGGATTTTAAACAAAAACTTGAAACTCAAAATTAGTTTTGATTTTTCCAACTGTTTCATAGCCGTACAAAATTGATCATAGCAAAATCAATTCTTTTTCATTCAAGTTTTGGCTATATCTTCAAAAAACTACTTCGTTTTCCGTTTCTGATTCGCGCTGAAATTTAGTTTGTTGTTCGAACAAAAAATACCCTCTTATCATCTAGTCCAATTCGCTTCACCGCAAGGCCAAAGAAACATTTTATTCTTCTGCAAATTTCTATAGAAAGAGAGTGATTAAACAAGTAAGAAAAGCATATAAGAGAAAAACCTTTGTTTCAGTCGATAGAGTGACTACTATAAATAATAAAGCAAAAAGTTAATATTGTTAGAAACATCTTGTATATGTACTTTAACAGTCACTGAAATATAACCATCGAGAAGAGATTCATATAGCCCGTCTATTTATATGCAACAACAGAATAATGTAAGTATTTTTATTAGCAGAAAAATTGACGGTGAATATTTAACGGCCATGAATAATAGGTACTAATTAAAAGAATAAAAATTCGATTGTACTTAATGTAACCGTCAATGTTACCCTAGACTTGGTTTCCTGGAATACGTAATAGCTGAAATGTTTTTCGTTTAAAAACTGGAAGTTTATTTTATTTTTGAATACTATTTAAACTATTCAATTCATAGTATCAAAAGTAAACTCTTATTTTTTTCGCTGAAACTTTCTCATTGAGAAAAATTCGCCTACTAGATTAAAATGAATTTCAATGAAAATAGGTACTCCAGAATTTTCGTCTGATTTTATTGAACAAAAAAATCCCTATCGAGCTGGAAATCCGGCAAAATAGAGAAGTTTTATTTATATTATTTAGAAGTGAATTACATTTATGGCTCCATCTGGCGAGCCAAACGAAGCAACAACACAACCAAATCAACCAAATAATATTTGTCAAATCTGTGGAGATAGCGCATCTATAAATAATTATGGAGCTTTGTCTTGTTCACCATGCAGAACATTTTTTCGTCGCAATGCTTTTCCTCCTGAAGTTTGAACATTCGACGAAAATTTTTTCTATTGTCCTCAGTATATGTCCTTTTTATTTTACAGAATGCGGTTGTTTGTCGCTATGGTGGCAATTGTGAAGTGAATATGTTAACAAGAAAAGTTTGTGCAGCGTGTCGTCTTGGTAAATGTTTCCTTGTAGGAATGAGTGTGGACTTAATTCGTAAAGAAGATTTAGCGAGAAAAAAACGAAAACGTAAAACATCAAAAGGTGAAGAACCCACTACGGCGGTATGTAAAAAATCAGACAGTATCACTATGAACTAAATAAGTGTAAAAGGTGCCCGTTTAGACGAAATAAATTCGTGATCAGAGTTTTCGGAATGGAAAAATTGCATTTTATTCTCAAATGAAACCATCAGATAATACGATCTAAATACAACGGACTTTGATGGTCTTATATGCTCATGTAAAAGCAGATGAAAGTTGCACAAGAATACAATAGCCGGAGAAATCATACGCTAATTCGTCGTATCAAATTCCTCCATGATCTTTTTACCGTGTGAAATATTATCATACAATTGTAGATAATCTTTTAAGAGAGCAAGATTTATTCAATGATATTTTCGTTCGTCTTAAAGTAAAATTTGTAAGACTATGCTTCTTTCTGATCTTTCGCTTTGTTTCTCCATCTAGAATTTCGGTGTCGGCTACTCAATCGAATTGCCTAGATGGACTGAAATACGATAATGAAAAACTTAGCGTTAGGATATTTCGGCAAACAAATCCGACAATCTCCGATCTCCTATTATGTTTTGTGAAAGATAATATTTTATGTGTTACTCTGCTTCGTTCTGAAAATGGTAATTGAAAAGATCCGATTGTTTCTCTGCGACTTTAAAATTTTGATTCCGCATCAATAATAACTAAACAAAAAGCCATCTAATTTTTCTTACACATCGCAATTTTTATTATTTCATCTCATTTAGACAATACCACAAGAATCTGCATTAGATTTGCCATCTCGTAGCAATTCTTGCGATCTCAGTTTTTCAGATTGGACTATAATTTCAAATGTTGTACATGCTTTTAACACGTTCAGTCCTGTAGCCGAAATACGACGTAGAATACTATTTTTCAATACTACAGAATCCAATCTTCAATATAACTTAACCCAAGCCAGGCATTTAATGTCTTCATTTTATAATGGTTTACAATCATTTATTAGTTCAACACCTGATTTTAAAATACTTACATTACGTGAACAACATTCCCTATTTCAAAGAAATATGGTGGGTGTTTTATGCGTTGGTGGAACATATTTAATGCACGAATCAGGAATACTTGATAAACCTGAACATGAATCCGTTATTTTGTCTCTCTACGGTTCAGAATTTATTCAACAAGTTAAATTAATATGGCAACAACTTCATTGTGATCCAATACTGATAAAATTAATACTCGTTGCTCTTGCCTTTTCTTCTAATTATTTCATGATAGATAATCATGGAAATACTGCTGACGACACACTATTATTAGGCACATTTCGTCTATTAGGAAGTCAGAATGTCTATGTTGAAATTATTTGGAAATATTTATTGTCTACCTATGGTCATAATAGTGCAGTACTAAGATTTTCTATCTTGATTAAACAACTACTTACTATGCTTTCTTATTCAATTTATATGTATAAAAACAATATAATTCATCAGGCGTTTATTGATGATATAATCAAACAAACTGCAACGGAGTCAAAGGTAGATGAAAACGCGCTTGTACCATTGTGGGGGAAAAAAAATTGATTGCAATTTATTATTTTTTTCTTTTGTTAAAGTTATTTGTATTTTGTTGTGATGCATCAAATGTGTAGAAATTGTACTTATTTGGACGTGCACCAAATCTCTCAAGCACAGAAAAATTCAGAATAATCTAATAAAATGAAAATTTGAAAGATAATCAACTGATATAAACTTTGTTCATTTTTTTAAATAAAATGGTTAACATCGATAAATCATTTTTCTTTGTTGTCTTCATTTCCTCAATAGAATCGCTCGTTTGACATCATGTAATTTTAGAGTATTAGTTAGAATTCTTTTCTTTCCTTCTAATACAAGAATCAAATACAAAAAAATAGATATTTCGGAATATCTATTGAGAAAGAACAGTGAGATGTCATTTTAGCTAAGTACTGACCAATAATTATTAGAAACACTTTTTGTATGGTTTGTCTGCTGGTTAGACAATGCTGTTACATTCGTAACGTTTCTCGATGGCAACAAGACGCATGATCATATCTCTACTATATTATATTATTACTATTTTTAGCTTTTTGTTAGGTTAGCAAACGATGAATAGTGCAAGTGCTCTGTCAGAATGTATTTTTCTTTATCTAAAATTTATGCGTTTTGATAACGATTTTACTATTTCATTTGTTTATAACTTACTAAAACAAATAAAACATGCCGAGAGGATAATTCTTCAACAGAAAATATTACAAACTATGCGTATGAAGAACTTCAAATGTCAATATTTGGTTTTAGAATATTTTTCAATATCGAGTAAAAATAGTGTGAACCAATAATGTCAACTTTTCTGGTTCTCAGTTCGAGAAACGGCCCGTCGCTTCAGGAACGACCTATTCAATATCTCTTATAGATATATCATCAAACTTCGAGAGATCTCGAGTCCTGAAAATGTTCATCGGATGCATGGGTTTAAGTTGTTTTCATAGATTTTGAGCGAACATTTTTATTTATCTACTAAGATATATGAGATTCAAAGGAACAAGACATAAAAGATTATTTATTTTCTTTGTACAACATCGTTTTTAAATCATGAGTTAAACAAGAGAAAGCTGCTTGCCAATCAAACGTCATCTTCATTATGTTCAGATTTTTCATAAATTTGAGTAACTAAAATGTGATGTGCTGTATTTTGTATATAAGTGTCGACTGTCAATGGAATTAAATCAACTATTTGTTTAATAAGCCGGGCAAACCGAATAGTAGCTCCTTTGTTACCAAAATGAAAGAGCAGATATTTCCAAAAAAACGTTCAGCATATTGACTTTTATAGAAGAATAATTGTTTAGTTTTTCTTAGAATATGATATCTGTGATTATAAATCGAAATGTCAATCATAAAACGATTCCAAAAAAAATTAAATAATAGCAAGAAATGCTTTGACAAATGTTAAATTATAATCGAGCCGTTCCATAACAGATTCTGCCTTTGTAGGTGTTTCAATATCATACAAACAAGTAAAAGCATATATAAATATATATACGTTGCATTTTCTAAAAGAGCTGATTCACGTAAAATAACTTGACCCATTAAAGTAGAAGTACTGTGAAAATTTCGTTGAAAAATCGATTTTTGTTCATCAATCGACATGCGAAATTCATTTGTCCCTTTGATAAACGATTGTAATGATGTATAAAATGAAATTAGTAAATTTTGTATAAAGTCTTATGGAAGTTTTACATGTATCTAAAGTGGTAATTTTAATTGACGTACAACTTCATTAGAGATAGATGATACTGGATTGAAATGTATCGTAGTCATGTATTATATTGGAAGATAATGCTCAATTGGGACTAGTGAGATCTGATCGATCGTTGTTTAATAAATCCAATGGATAAACAGGAAATGAAGACTAAATAGAAATAAAACAAATTTCACTATGAATTGCTATTCTATCTGCGATAAGACTGTAAAATATGAAAGTCACTGACGAATTCTATTCTTCCACGAAAAATTTAGGATTCAGTATACTCATTAGGCAAACTTAGACGTTGATCGGCATAGATGAATTGCATATTCTTCAGTTGAGAGATATAATGTTACGGTTTGCTTTTATTACGAATCAATATAAATATTAGTCATTTTCGCTATCGAAATGGTGTCAAATGGTAGGATTCTTCAGCCAGAGGTCTTCCTAATAACTGATATTAGCTGTAACTTGAAATGATATGTCAGCTAAACGCCGCGTTCTCTCGTCGGATCATTTAAGTTTCACTTCAACATTCTAATTAATCAAGAATTAATTTAAAAAAACGTTCTTGTGTGCTAGTCTGATCAGCATGTACTTAAACGGGTAACATAAGTCTATTAAATGTTCATGAGTTGTCTGCCGGCATCCTAGAATTTATCCCATTAAGTCACGAGAACAGCACCTCGAAAAATGATGCCGAAAACGGCATGATTAATAACTGATGAACCTTGTCTGATCTGTCGATAATAAAGCATATATGCTATTAGTTTTCCTAAACTCAAAAAACTCAGGTAGAATAAAAGGGCAAAGATTTAAACCAATTCTTCTTGAGCAGCATCAATCCGTTAGCAAAAATTGCCTATAATACATTCAAAATATTGTTCTAAACGCTAATTAATGATAAATACTTTCGACACAGTTGCTTGTCAACAATATCAACTATCTATTGCATCAAATGTTTGCTCATTTTTCGATCGCTAGATAGAGACGTAAGAACTTTAGACCAATATTCAACAGGATTTTTTTAGGTTATAAAATATGAGTAGTGTAAAATAAAGCACGACTCGAAAACAATAAAAATTGATTTATATTTTCCTTCTGTGACTTGTCACGAAAGCTCTACGTGATACAGTAGAGAGAACCTCGTACAACTTAAAGTTCATTCTAAGCATTACATGTTTGACTTTTGACTAGATTCGTTCAAAACCAAGTCTGTAATATTGGCCTAATAAAACCATTGAACACAAATTGTCAGGTTACCATTAAGGACAAAATGAGCCTATTCCAACAGGGTAAGTAACTTAGATCAGTTCTCACAAGACGAACTGGTTGTTCAACGGAGTTAAAAGAAAACATCGAACACATTTTTTTCAAGTCTTCTATTACTATGCTTTCATTATACAAAAATGCTCAATAGTCTATCTTACCATTCTTGTTTGTTGTATGATGTTTTGTTTTTGTTTACGTTTAACTGTTGAGCATAAACTTCTTTCGTTTAGATCTTCTTTACGAATAAGATCACGACTCATACCAATTGTAAGACATTTAGCAAGTCGACAAGCCGAACAAACTCGTCGAGATTGTAATGTTATATCACAATTTCCATTGAATCGACATGGTTCAATTTTCTATCAGAAAAAAATTCAATTCAAATGAAAAGCATGTTTAGAAAAAGCAATAGATCTATACTAACTTCAATACGAAATCCACGACGACGAAAAAATGTTTTACACGATGCACAAGAAAGTGCACCGTAATTAACAATTCGTGCTGTGTCACCGCAAACTAAACAGTAACCTTCTCTAGCTGCATATCTTCCTTGCCGTTTGGCGGAGTCAGTAGTGACAGGAACGAACTCCGGCAATTTGAATAAAGACTGATGATATGCCATACGACCGAGTATAGTTTATATGCTCTAAAGAAAATAGCATAAACTAGTATCAAATTATTTAAAATACAAGGTGCGAAGAAAATTTTCTTTACCATAGATATATTGTCAGATCGAGACTGCTTTTATTTCTAATGAGAAGATTTGAACAAATATTTTCAAGTTTATAAATTTCTATGGTTCGTGACAACAAAAAAATAGACGTTCCTAATTAGAGTGTATGAAAGGAAAAAATATGACAGATTATTTGACATTAGTTCTACATTCATGTCACCAAATTTGATAGATAGTAATATTCGTTCTAGTTTCGTGTTAGAAAAAGACAACTTGAATCTTCCACTTATTCCACTTTTTATGCCATGGAAGATGATTATTTTCTAAGATATTGATGATTTCGATAAGTTTTTATTATTTATTACAATTATTCAAAACCGCTATTTAAAACAAAGAAATTTATCCAGTCTTGCTACTGATATTTGTCCGATATATGTTTATATTCTATGAGCTGCACCTACGATGAGAGGTGAGAAATATTTAATTCGTACCGTTCATAACTGTACCTTTCAAGTTTGCTGATGATTAAATTCTAATTCAGATCTTCGTATATTTTTTAACTGAAATTCTTATTTTCACAGTAACATTTACATGATTTATAAGTCAAAAGAAAATAGCTTTCTATTTACCTGTAAAACACTAGTAAATAAATATAATACAATGAAAATAACTCACATCTCTTCAGCGTAAAAAATGTATCATTTTAATAATGGCGGTGAATTTGTTTTTCTTTTCCTAAGATGATATAAATCGATGATCGCTGACGAATTCTAAATCAACCACGTAAAATCACTATTCGATAAACAACTTGCAAAGTCTTAAAATGCGAACCTTAATAATTTTCCTTAAAAATCACGCATTGACACTTGTTAACTCATAGAAAAGAAAAGAAAAGAAACAGAAATAACTCTATTGTTCCTTTCAACTCAAACTTCTCTTTTTAATTGCCTTCTTTTCTGTTGTCTTACACGATAGAAGTCGTAACTTTTATAGTGAAACAATTAATACAGAAGTAAATAAATAATCCAAAAAAAGCTATCGTTTTTTTTTGTTTTACATATCTAGTTATTCCGAAATGATTATCAATTCTTTGTCTCATATAAAAACATTTACATCAAATGACGTCATCGATAAAGTTTTCTTCTCTTTCTTTACAAAAAGAAACAAGACAAAGAAGATTTTGTATCATTGACAGAAATTCAATAGATATGAAAAGAATCTTTTTTTTCTGTGATAAAAAGAACAAGTTTCTCACTTTTGTCATGTCACAAAATGACGTAAGCCACATAGTCTAGTTCATACATACGTATAAATGTTATATTGTTGTTATTACTATGTAATTTAATGTTTTATTTATTTAAAAATGACGCATTTCGATAGTGTTAGAACAATAATAAGACTAATGTAACTTATAGATATATCTCATTAGTCCATTTTAGCATAAGAGAACGTAGGAATCTTTTTTTCTTGAAGATGGGCTATGTCATTATGCTTAAATAGCAATAAGGACTACAAGTAATCATTTACCTTAGTAATAATTATTGATGATACCGCAGTGCTAAGATGGTTGTTTAATTTGAAGAAAAGTCTTCGTGTTTAACAGTTGATGGTGTTGACACGCATAATACTAGTTTTATATGTACCTCTCATGACAAGAGTGAATCTCAGAATAAGGCGTTTGTTCCTGCTTCCGAAGTCTAGAAGAAACAGATGAAGACATATCCAGTAGGAAATTTCTGGTTTTTTCAACCTCGTTGTTTGAAAGGTTACCTATTGAGCTTTATGAAAATGAACACATTGTGTAAGTTGATTTTCATAGATTTTTAAGAATTATACATGCATTCATACTTCTAATTGAAAATCTTGGAAAATAGGCAAGCCTCAGGCATTTTACTTTAGTAGTTTGAAAATTACTGGCCTTCTATTCAAACCTCCCAAACTACTTGGCAAGCAATTACTGTAATACGAGTTGCAATTCCTCCTCATTCTTTTATTTCGGCACTTATTTTTAGAAAATTGATTAAAGATACTTTCAAAAACATGATAAGAAAATCTTTCATGCAGGACTCAATCTGGATTTGGCGGAAAAGCAGAAAGGGAAAATGTCAAAAAATTGAGTTTTTTTGACAATTTTAAAGGAAAAAAAAATTATTTTCTAAATTGGTGTGCACATATATGCTGCATCCATGTTCAGTACAAGCCCAATATTTTTTTGACGAGGACGTTTTATTGCATTTGAACATATATTGGTTAAACACTAGTAATAGTTTACCTTGATTAGTTGTTAAGAATGATACTTCGCTGTCCATTGCCAACGATTGAAGAGAAAATTATTTGTTAGTTGTTTTTGTCAGACTGATTTATATATATTGTATACGCTAACAATGAACAAGTATAGACTACAGACGAGGAGGACAACGATTTAACTTATCCCACTAACAATCAATACCAGCTCAAAGAAAAAAATTTCGTTATCTACAAACATCTTTTTCATTCTACGTTTTCCTTTTCAAAATTTTTCTACTTTTTCCTCTAGCAGTTTTCTTCGACACTTTTATTACTTATACTTTTTCATTTCAACATTTTCCATTCGACGATTTCACCTTCTGCAATTACCAGTTTCGATATTTCCCTTTTCATTGATGACAATCACACCATGTCATTCTGTTCACATTGAAGATTGCTCAAAAAAGAATTCATCTGCTTTTCTTTTCCTATTCAAAGTGAATATCAGATCTCAACTGAGTTTTTTTCTCTTTTTTTGCCCACACCCAAAAAACTTTGAGTAGGTAATAAAAACTTTTTTTTCCTTTACCGGATGGTTTTGAACTTGTAAGGGAAATTCTTGCACCATTAGTCAACTGTTTATCTGAAGAGTTGTCAGCTCATCAATGCATTTGAACTACTTTCAACGTGCATCTAAGCTAAGATGTGTTTTTTTTTCAACCTAGCTGATCTCATAACGAACGCTTCAAAAATAGTAATCGGTTCTAGAAAGCTCAAAAAAAAAACGTTAGAAACCATTCATGCTCATTCAAGCGAGCTCATTGTTGCTATGACTTAGAGAGGTTAGGTATAAACACCAATAGGCAAAATGGCTCTACTAAACAATGAATTCTTTTTCAATGCTCGATAAAGACAATCTATTTTCTTATATTATATTCCGATGAAATAATTCACTACAGCACATACTGACAAAATAATGAAACTTTTGTCTGAAAAACAAAGGATAATAATTTATTAGGTTTAATAAACTTTTTTTTCTAATCAAGACGACGTAAAAATTTTTATATCTTTTCTATTAAACGAATTCAATTCTAAAAAGGAATGTAATCTCAAGAAGAATAAACCTAAATAAGTAGATATGTTCTATTTATATCGTCAAGTCTATTATTGCTGGCATATTGAAGAAAAATTTTCATTTAGATTACTAAACAGTATCATATCAATAGTTAATAAATAGACAATTCGATCACAGTTATGATATATACATACATACATACATACATAGTCACTTGACATGTTCGTTTCTTCTTTAGTCCTTTTCTATTGGTTCTTGTTCAGCTGTCTCTCGTTTGTTTACCATGCGTTCTTCTGTTGTTTTACTGTTAATTCAAGGGCACCTTTTCAAATTTATCTTCTGATTTAAAACGAAAATAGTCGTGCAATAAAAATTTGTTTTCCATGTGACAATATTGTTTGGTTGTATCGAACAAATTTCGAATTCTTTTTCCTTGCGATTTCATTGCAAGAAATATCTCATTGGAGAAATGATGTGAATGACATGGAAAAACACAGACACGCTATGTAAATCAAGGTCATCGTAGAAAAATGAATAGCGTTCTATTGGTCACGTTTAACTATACATTATAACAATATATAAAGCTAAGATATGAATAAAAGTTCAAAAGCATGTGATAAGAAGAAGTTCTAGGCAAAAATGCTTGTCAGTTGAACTACATTATCTGACAATAGACTTTCGTGTTTCTAATTTGAGTACATTTCGTGACATAAGGAATTTAAATCCCATGATGAAAAATTTTCTTTCATCAAATTAGTTTTGTATTGAGATGAATTGATTTGTTACAAATCTCAATCGAATGAAATCATCTTGATGATTGATCTATAGAAAATATTTTCTTCTTTTCAAAGAAAACGAACAAGTTTTCGTCACAATCAATATCTCGAAAAACTTTTGTTACGATTTGAGAAATTGCTGAATCCTTGAAGACTTTCTGTTCAAAGAGTCGTTCACATGACGCACTCTTAGAGTAATTAATACTTGTTTGTTTAAAATTTGACAGTATCTTCACGACAGAATTGGTTCAAACACTTCAAAATTATGCTGAATTAGAAGTTTTTTCTGTATTACTATTTATGAAATGACATAAAGCAAGAATATATCTATGTTGCACAAAATATTTGTCTTGTTAGCCACAACAAGTCCATTCACCATTGATAACTTGGTGAATACTCATATTGTGGTCTCTCTATTGTCACTGATAGTTTTTATCTGCATTCACTTGTTTTCATAACAAAATCTGAGATGGTAATTTCTTTTGTTGAAATTAACATTTGTTTTTTGAATGATGAATTTGAACTCGTTTCAAACTGTAACTGCAGTCATCTCATCAAATCTAACATAATGTTATCGTTTATCTAATTAGATTATCAATCGAACAATGATATCTATGTTAATTTGGTTTATACGATTTACTTGACACGGACTTACTTGACGTTGATTGTTTTTCGATTTTAATTGGTTTTTTAGCAAAAATATTTTATTTTCGTTGCAGATGATTTACTTGACGTTGATTAAATAAAAATGGATTCCAATTAGCCTATTTTTCTATGAGGATTTACTTTCCGTTGACTACTTAGACTTAAAAAAATGAGCAATTATTACGACACTAAATACACGATAAGCACAAAAAAAAGGAACACATATTGTTCATCACAGGGCTCCTAGTGGGATGGGATGGGACGAAATTTTCGTCCCGTGGGATATTGCAAATCGTCCCATCCCATCCTATGGGATTCGCTATATTACGAAAAATCTTACTGAAAATCAAGGTTTCTTTTTTTTTTGTAACTGGAAATTCGAAGTTTTCCAGCATTCCGATTTGAATATTGGAATTAGGGATGCACCAATTCCTAGTACATTGCAAGAAAGATGACATTTTTACCTGATGTAGAGTGGAGCGGTCCTCTGATTCCATATATCAGCCAAGACCATTTTTTTGCTCTATGTAAAACGATAGCTGAGATTTATGAAAGATTAAAAAAAGTTTTCGGATTTGACTCAGAATTTGAACTTTCAAGTCGTTTTCGGTCAAATCCAATTCAGTTTCAGACTTGCAGTTTGCATTACACAAAGTCTAAGAATAGATTTGAAAAGAACGTTCAGAACTGAACAGAAAAAAAATAAGTAAAAAGGCTTAATCCATAAGTCCCAATGCTGAGAACATGTAAACATTGGATAAAAAATTCAAGAAATTGACGGGATTGGATCTTTTCCCTACTTAAAAATGGCGTGCCCGGTAGTGAGAATTATCGATTGAACATCTCTTTCTTCATATTTTTCTGTTCAGTTTTGAACTCTTTTTCAAATCTATTCTTAGAATTTGTGTAATGCAAATTGAAAGTTTGAAACTAGGCTGGATTTGGCAGAATTTGACGGAAAACGACTTGAAAATTGGAATTGGGAGTCAAATCCAAAAACGCTTTTTCATCTTTAATAAATTTGGATCATAGTTTTTCATAGATCGAAAAAGATGATCTTGGCTGATATCTGGAACGGAATCAGAGGACGCCTGCCTCCTACATTAGGCAAAATCTGTATCTATCGTACCATGTACTAGAAATTGGTGCATTCCTGCTTGGAATATCATTATCAATACCTTTTAATTCTGCTTGTGATGTTGTAAACGAAATTTGACTTTCTCAACTGAATATTCCTGTTTATCCGAAACTAAGGACGATAATGAGGAAGAAATAATTATAGAAGGTGATATTGAACAATTTATAAAACAAAAGATGATGATATTTTATTAAAACATTCAAACAAAAAGAACATTTATGTTTATTTCTGTTTTCTATGTTTTATCGTATTTTTTATTCAATTGTTCGAATAGAGCTCGGAGTTGGGTTAATGACCAGTACAGAAAAAGAATGATAATATTCACACTTTTCATCTATTGTCAAGTGTGACATAAATGAATAATAATTTTTCTTTAAAAAATTAATCACATTTCCCATGGGATTAGGAACTCATCCCATCCCATTAGGAGCCCTGGTTCATCAGATACTACGACTGACAAATCTACATAACTTGTTGCTGTTGCATTACATTTTAGTCATATGCAATACTCGGAACCATTTTAATTTTTTTGCGTTTCGCAAAATAACAATAACCTAGGAAGCATGCATGTTTTTTCCATGTGTTGATTCGACGAATTTTCCAAACATTTTTTAAACAATACGCAACAGAGTTCATTATCGGTACTTTTATTTACACTTCTTAAAAAGAGTATTATGTTGACAACCATTTTAGGCACTAAATCACAGAGCACTGCTAGTTTATAACTGAAAATTCAGTTAATCGCTCGCTTATTGATAAATATTCATTCTGATTAAAAATATTTTTAGAATTTGTTCGTACAGCACATTGACAATGTATCTGCTCATTTCTTTAAGTCTAAGTAGTCAACGGAAAGTAAATCCTCATAGAAAAATAGACTAATTGGAATCAATTTTTTTCCCATCAACGTCAAGTGAATCGTCTGCAACGAAAATAAAATATTTCCGCTGAAAAAACCAATTAAAATCGAAAACCAATCAGCGTCAAGTAAATCGTGCATACGATTAATCTCTCTTATCGTATCATCCGCAGAACGCTGCCTTCTATTTTCGTTACAGACTGGATATCCTATCCAACTTATTCGATAGATAATTTATTGCATAATGGATTTCTTTGAAATTCTTTTCGCTCGATCATCTTCTTATAAAGATAAAATCAAAACTACCGGAAAGGAAAATACAGTTCATTTTCATGCTCATCAATTATTTAAAGGCCTTTTCAAACAAACGAATTCCACAACATAAAAGCTTAAATAACTTTAATTATCCATTACTGTCGATATCAAAAGATTGATTTTTCTTTTGTGATCTTGTTTTTTTATTAAATATCAAAAAGATAAACTTTGGAGGAAATAATTCTTGTTTGTTTTTAACTCAAAAATATTTTTATCAAATATTCATTTCATTTTAGGTATGATATCATGATAAGAAAACCTAGATCAAAAATGAAAAGAAAGTAGAAAAGTGAAATAATAATTTCAACAATCGATTTATTTTTTTATTGATCTTGTTTATGAGCTGTTTGTTCAAGGACATGAATACAAGCAGATATTACCTTATCTTTTATGTTGATAAACAGATGTTAAGATTCGCTTTTTTTTCTTACGTATATATAATCTTTACTATCACTCGACCTAATCATTGTTTTATGTACACAGTACGTTCAAGTGTAAAATAACAATGAGAACAATTAATCATGTCTTTTACGAGACTAATAAATAGCACCATTCAATAATCATCTGACATTTAGTAAATTTTTATATTCTTGTCTAATATGGAAACCATACGGTCTAATTAGAAAGAATCAAGAAGGAAATATTCGACGATTAACATTCGATTGATGTTCTTTTCTATTGACTAGTTCATATGCATACACGATATGAGTTGAAAACCACAAGTATACTCATATAAGAGTAATTTTATTATCTATCAAGTACTGCCTTCTTAAGCTTAGAATGACCATTAACAAATTCTATCGGCTAGCTACATATATTCTTGTAATCTGTAATTGAATAGCTCATCTCCGTTCGTCATTTATTTTAGATCGTTCTTTCTATATCTCGCATTTGTGATTTCTACTCACTGTCATTTATCTAGTAGAATATGTACTGTTTAACATTACTATTATTCATCGGTACGATTTGCGTCAGTTCAAGTCGATCTGAAATACAGCGCACGATTGATGATGATGGTGATGAAGATCTTTGTAAGTATAAACCATAAGTAATGAATTTTCAATCGCGAGCTTAAATATGATTGAACATTTTGTCGACTTTCTTTCATTTGTCACCCAATCGATAAGCCACTAGGGAGACAATGATTGCAGTTAATCTATCTTATAGAGAATAAATAGCTCTTCAAGGAAAATCTCAGTTATTTTACTTTTTTTTAGGAAATATCTTCACCTTTGATAAGAACCCATAGCGTAATATAAACAGTAGAGCATCACTTAATGAGAAACATGGGGCGCATTCCCTGCTGTTGTAATTTCTTTTGTCAAGAACAAAATAGAAGACAGTGCTTTTAAAAATATGTACAGTTACTAGAGTCATACGACATGCAATACGTTGTCACCTGCATATTTGATTTAAAGATGCCGTTGGGTATATTTGAAATGGAAAATATAATAAGGATGACGTATATTGCAAACGAAAGCCTGTTGAATATAGCACATCGCTTCTCGGTAAAACACTCATTAAAAATTTTCACACACTAACGTAGAAACTATCGGTATCAAATTACCTACCGTTATTTATCGCTCATGTTTACATCACCCCGAAAGAAACAATAATTAGTATGAAATGAAGGGAACTAGTGTGATAATAGTGCGAAGAAAGAAAAGCACAGTTCAACGAAAAGAGAAAATTATAAAATCGTTTTGTTTTCAGTAATGTTTTTCTCCTAAATGTACATCTATCATCTATTCCGATCTTAATATGTTCGTTCGTTCGTTCGTTTCTTTCATCGAGTCTATATACTGTATAGCTACGTATTTGATCTTAGTTTTCACCGTTAATGCAATGGACATATCATCATCTATTTCATTTATTTTTTTGACAACCAACAAGAAAGAGTTAACGATCGACTCATTGATATTGAATTTGACTTGAACGAATAAGCGAAAAAAAATTCTATCATCTTTTCTTTTTGTGTTTTCATTTTCATAACAAAGAAATAATGAACTCGGCCTCAAAAGTCACATAGGACAAAAGAATATTGAATGTCTATATTAAAAATGAACCGTCTAAGACGATTTTCTGATCAACCATAAGAACAGTATACGATTACACACAGTTGACAATAACGAAGACAGAATGTAGAGAGAGAGAGAGCATTATCTTGTTCAACTTTTCGATCAGAATTTGCATTTCCCATTTACCAATAGAAACATGCTGCATAAGAATGTATTTATTTCAACATACGGACGTCCTTAAGTGATCTATCAATGTTAATAGAGTATGACACATGACAAATTTGCACGCTGAGAAAGTTTTTAGAAATAGTTTTCTTTTGAGTCGGAATGTAGTTTGTTACTTGACCCTAAGTTAAATCCGTAGGAATGATTTTAACTTCAATAAATCTTTATTATTCATATATCACTGTTCGATCATCCAGATGTTCTTGTCCGGAAGTTCAATTTTTAACTTTAGAAAGACGAACATATATATGTAAATAGAAGCATACATAGAGCGATCACCACAAAATATGCAAGAGCACCGCCCCGTCAGTCCGATGCTAATTAAGACAAAAAGATAATTATAATATCAAGTTTTGTTTTCTTCTTCACAGTAATATATTATGCAACAACTTATATCGTAGCTATTCAATCGAATCATGAATGTATAGAAATTAGCATTCACTGAAAATATTTTTGTTGCATAGTTTTTTTATTTCAACAAATTCTTTCAATAGGAGTCATGATTAAAATATATAAACATGAAGAAGCAGGAACAATTAATTGTTCATGTCCAATAGACTTGCCGGCAGGAAGATAAAAGATTAACTCAGTAATACAGCGTTCTTTCTCTAAATAACTACTTTATAAGTAGATTCTATAATCCATGATTGCCTTCAAGGCATCTTCGAAATAACTTGAGAATAGAATAGAGTTAAAAAATATTGCTTAGTCCTAGTATTATGTCTTAATAGGTAAATGATAGAGAAAATTTCATGTCTACAGAATATTCTGTTCAACGTACCGTATTTATCTATTACTATCAATAGAGAGAGAGAGAGAGAGAGAGAAGGGGATTAGTTATAGAATTCCCTTGACTATGAAATAATGCTTTTGTTCACGACAACTGTCAAATAGATAATAATTTGCCATTTCATCGTTAAAGAAATGAACGATTCAATTGAACAGCAATTATATAATAATTCACAATTGCTACACGTTGTTGTTGTTAATAAAACAGCAACTGCTTCATTTCTTAACCTATCGATTGATGTTACATCAGATCAGATTTAAAGAAAAAGAATTCGTCTGGAAAATCCCCCCATGCCAAGTTGATTCCCATCTTAACTTTTTCTAGTGTCGGTGAAGTTCACTAGTTGCCTTTGATTTTTAGAAAAGAGAATAATCATTACTAGTCAAGCGTCTCTAATATGTGACGACCTTGGTCATTCATGCTTAATATGTTCAAAACTACCACACCCGATCTATATTTTGTTCGAACATCATTCGTCTTTCAATTAACCGACAAGCATCCGTACTAGTCGGTCAATTCATCTTTTTTTTCCTATGTACATGATTCTGCTCGGGGCTCCTTTCAATAGGATCAGTGAACATGGAATAACAACGATAATTAGCAGCAGACGTTCGCTGGAACACGAACGCATTTCTTTTTTTTTCCTTCTTTTTATTATTTGAGAAGCATACAAACGTTCAATGTTTTGGAATAATCAAGTAGAACAAGAGAAAGAGAAGAAGAAAAAAATCGAGAAAGAATAAGAGAGAAAGAGCGATCGAAGGAGAGAGAAAAAAATGTATGTGTGCGTTCAACGAGGAGAACGATTGTCCATTTTACTTGACACCTTGTCCGAAAGACACTCTGAAGAAAAATCATACAAGCAAAATCGATCAAATGCTATGCTGTTATTATATATATTTATTAATTTAGCTGGATCACTGGTGGCATTCGATATAACCATTGAAAATTACACAGTACCAGTTAGTGGAAAATGTATCTTGACTTGTTATATTGCTGAAGTTCGTTCATTTAAAGTAAGTCAATCATATCTTGTTTTCCTTCTCGTATTGTTGTTGTTGTTTATGTCTATGGAATATGATCTGTTGGTTCAACAGATCTTTAGTTACATCGGATATATACGTTGAACTAATTAGATTGATATCACTCCCACCCATTTTCTTCTACTGATAACAATCTAATACTATGTCTGGTTTTGATGTGGTAATCGAAAGATAAATAAAATACGATATATATATATAGTTTTTTCTTTCTTGACTAAGAAAAAATATCATATTCTTGAGTTTTAACTTTTATTTGATTAAAATTTTCTTCGTCGTCTTCATGTCGCTTTGATTTCAAGTGGTCAAACGAAGAAAATCATGTTTCGAAAACAAACACGACCTGTGAATACATAAATATATATATATATATATATATGTATGTATGTGAGATCTGATCGAGCGGCAGAAGAAAATTAAAAAAAAAGGCAATTATTTACATATGAGCACAGAGTGAATGTTTTAGTCGATATGGATAATTTGAGATTTGTAATGATTATTTACATTGGTGCACATATTATAGATGCAACATATTGTATTGAGAAGAGACACAATCAAATTCAAAATTTCCATAGGCGGACGGTGACGAACCGGAAGATGATGATTGTGTGTCTGTCTCTCATGTGAATAGAATGGATGAATGTGTGTGAAAAAGACATTAGAGTTCGATTACAAGGGTAGATACACACACACACACATGTTTATATGAAATCGAGATATACACCAATTCTATTCCAACTTTCGACTAGTTCGATAATTACTTGTCAATTGTCTTTGAACTCTATACTGTATACTTAAGTTAATAGGGTGGACTCTATCGTATAGTCAATCAATAAATGTATATTCATAGAATTTTTTGACAATTGCATGACAATAATTGAATTGTACGGTGTATTGTATAGGTTCTATGGCAAAAAATCGATCGAGTAAATCAAGGTGGGAATCAAACATTGGATGAACAGCAAGGACAACCAACATTAATTGCATTTGATGGTACTGTCTATTCGAATAAAGATCATTATCGTCTTGAATCTGATTATGTTGGTTCATATAATTTAATCATTGATCGTGTTAATGAAGATGACCAAGGAGAATATCAATGCCAAATAAATACAGAACCAAGAAAAACGAAACGAATTTTTCTGACTGTCCAAGGTAAGTTTTTCTTGTTTAAACACGAAGTCACTCTTCAGACTTTTATGAATAAATGGAACGATACTTTTCATTTTTAGTACCACCACGTATTGTTGACTTTCGTCCAAACCCTCCATTAATATCCATACGCAGTGGCATATCATTAACATTGTTATGTCGTGCTGAAGGAACACCATTACCTCACATACGTTGGCGCATTCGTGATATTGATATGAATCGAATTGATTCATGTAAGTAGACGTATTAATGAGTGTATGTACTCAATCATCTTTTTTTTACACAAATTCGCACGCACTTTCTAAGCTGCTTAGAGTAAAACATAAATATATCGTGATTGTATTGCGCAAAAGAACAATAGACTTATATTGACATTTGCTTTGTTTTTTTTCTCCTCGTCTCTCACGGACTGGTCCTTGATTGATTCGTCTCAACTTAATCATTGCTGGTGCCGGATAGCATTGAAAAACAAAATCAATTCCGTTAACAATTCAAGTAATAGATAGTTTAAAAGTGTTCGAATATCTATTGTTGATTCACATCATACTTCAGTTTTGACTATGCCAATGCGACAAAAACTTTGTTTACACACTTGACAGTACATTGAGAGTTCAATATCTTCTTGTTGTACTCAATGGCCGTAGAAGAAAGCATAACGATTCGAGTGATATTTGCCTTGATGATTATTCTCGTTGAACAACGCTTAATCAAAGTGGAATTATGAATCTATCGATCTATACTATTCTTTTTAGTGCCACCTGAAAATAGCAATATATGGTTTATACCAGCAGTGACGACTAATTTTCCGCATACAGTTGAATGTATTGCTGATAATGGTGTTTTACCAGCATCAAATCGTATATTTACAATAAATGTTGAAAGTAAGTTTCTTTTTTTTTATTATTATCAAAAGAAAAGAGGCAAACAAAAATATGCAAAAATTTAGTTCCACCTATTGTTATGATAAATAATGATTTAATTCAAAGTCAACTGTATCAAAATGTCACACTTGACTGTTCAATATTAAGTCGTCCATTGGCTCGTATTTATTGGGAAAAAAATGGGCAAATCGTTGACGATAGCAAAATGATTAATACCCAAATAAATCAAACACTATCAATAAATCAATTAAAACTCCAAGTTGATAAAATTCTTATTCATCATTCTATTTATATATGTATAATTTTTTGTTTTTGAATAGATCAATGATGATGACGATTTCGGAAAATATAATTGCATTGCTGAAAATATTCATGGAAGAAAAGAAGCTTTTGTATATGTACTAAGTAAGTGCCGTATATTTATTACTAATTAGAGACTGTTTCTTTTTTCTATCTAATTTTTTTTTATAGAAGAATCAGTTGTTGTTACGACATTAACAACGAAAAAATATCAGCGCCATTCGAAAAATTCTTCATTACGATTAAGTTCTAGTCGAAAAATATTTCGATCAACAACATTACCAACAAAAGATATTTATATTGAACGAGAGATTCATATTACTTCATCTTCACATCGACCTTCGACACATCATCGACTAAAAAATCGTCTATTTATTTCATTATTACTATTGTTACTATGTCGATTGAGACGGACCGACAGATAAAAATATGCTATATGCATGCGCTTGTTTGTGTGTGTGTTTATGTTTTACAGTGATAAATATATTTATTGAAAGAAATAAAAAATAAAAACGAAACAACAAAAGATATAATTCGTCATGTGCATCCAGCCTCTTTAGCTTCTTGGATGGCACGGCGACGATTTTGAAGGTGTACAGTTAAGACGACAATAAAAACAACTAAAATCATGATTGTAACAGATGCATATGTATAAGCGACACTGATTATTGTTAGAAAATAAACATTTTTCGAACACCAATTCTCAGGATCTTCTGTTGTTTGTTCAAAACGTGGCAAACGATAGTGCAATATTAAATAATTACCATAGATAAACCAAATAATTAGAAATATTGTTGTAAGACCTTCCATAAATGTCTAGAATTTCAATGAGTAAAACGTTTTTTCTAATCATTTTGAAGTTGCAGAACAATTTTGAAAATTATTTCCTCGTTTTCATATAACAAAAATCTATTTAGTATTGCACAGCACTAATATATTATTATCAATATAGATCTCTGTCAATATTTTTAGGGTTCTTATATTTATTAGTAAGCCTATGACAGTTAGCAGTGGAGATCACATATATTTTTGAAGAAAATAATGATTGGAAGTTTTAAGCCGAAATATTTTTGCGACTTCTCATCCACCCCATTACAGACATCAGTAATTAAAATCTGTCTTTGTTAATCAAGGAGCCCTGTAATCACGGTTCTAAGTCTCTCATCATCATTACGGACCTTAGTAAAAAAATAAAGACAAGGCCAGCATTGCAGGCGTAAGTAAAGAAACAACGGTCTAACTACAAATTTTTATAAAAGGGACGAACTTTTAAAAGATTTCCCTGTAATTTGTTTTCGGATCAGCTTAGTGAATATAAAGCACATGTGCTATTTTTATATATTAACCTCAGGGGGGCTGTGTTAATAAGCTTTCTTTCTCTGGCTCAAAGACACATTTTATATCTATTTTTAATTGTTCACATAATTAAGTGTTGATCAACGTCATATACTTCAATGCATAAATTTTTATCAAAACAGTATCAATCGTATTAAATTTTCATAAGAATTATATTTCAATTCCACAGAGATACGCGGATATGATGTTAGTCAAATTTTTACAGCCCAAAAACAAATATTATTAATAAATATTTATCATTTTTGTTCTACAGAATATCTGTTCACATTCAATTCTCAACAGAATTCATTTGTTACTACGAACATGTTTGGTCAAGAAAGCTGAGATCAACGTGCTACTATTTTTTATATGTTTTATAGAAAGACTAAACCAATGACAACATCTCATTGCAAGAATTTGATCGAGTAAAATGTTATTGCTATTGCACGAACTAATTATCGTGGGAGAAAATCTTTGTTTTTCAAGAGAATGTCTCGCACACTATCCTTTACTACCAAATACAAACTTCAATGACAGTTTTGTACTTCCGCTGTAATAAGAAAGATAATATCCTTTGTTAACTCTGATTAGTTGCATGCAATTTTAGCATATCCTATATTCTATTGCTTTGTTAAATTGACTATTGAATATTGTTTAGAGTCTTTTGATTTATAAAAAAAACTTAAGTTCAGCATTTTATTTTCTTTCAGGAAGTAGTTGCAAACGACTTTACCGTCTATTAAAAGCTATACAATTTAAATGAGATTTTGCTTGTTCTTTGCAGGAAATTATATTTTGAAGGAAATTGCGCTTGGCAACAAAAACTGTTATCTTAATGTTGACCATTGAATTTCAGCTAACTTCCAATAATAAAAGATTCTAAGTTATCAAGTGACTCCTTCAGACTAATCGATAAAATTTCGAATTTGTATTGTTACACATCCTAGACCGTTTTATTTTGAGCATACATTTTCATTTGATTGCTTTCACTTTACGTTACTCAGATGTTTCTATTCTAATACAATAAAAGCAATTAAGTAATATTATTAGAGTTTTTCGATTCTTACAGCTGATTCCTCATGAGATTTATGCGTTATTAATCACTTCTTGTCAAAAATCACTTTAAGTTAAAATAATTTCTATATCGGATATTCAACATGCTCACTTTCTAATAAACTTCACTTAATTTAATTTAATCTTTTTAAATTAGTTAGTCTCAAAAGAGAACGTGGAAAAAATAATTTTCTAGCAACAGTGTATTTTGCATTCATAATACTATTGGATAAACGGATTCGTGCTACGAGAAGTCGTGTCTTCCTTTCAAGTCTTTTTTAATTACCCTCGTAAAATAAAATGCCCTAAAAATTGAGTCTTATTATTTCTAATATGATGCATGAAGTACTTCTTCATCTTTTTGCCTTCTAATTGATCTATCCTTTATACTAGAACAACTCGAATTGGAGACTTTGTAAGTTTGTCATTTATTGAGCGCTGAATAAAATTTATGTTTTCTAAGAATTATCTACTCCGAATAATTGTAAAGCACTTGAAGCATACCGATCCATTTTGCGTATCAGTAGTTTCTTCCTCGGATGGAGCACTATGACGATTATATTGTTTCCAAAGCACTTGTAGTAATTTCAATAAAGCTAAGGCACCGCCAACAAGTACAAAAACTGGAATATTTCGATCCAATGGACATTCTTCTAAATTTGAGATGCCTAAATCAATATTAATTTATGTGAAGATGTCTGTGATTAAATATAAATTTTCAATCTTACCAACACTAATCATAATTATTGGCAGAACAAGAGAAGCTGCAAAAATCAGCGATGCAGCTTCTAGATAAACACAAAGAAAATATAATATTTAAAGAGAAATCGATTTTCTATGGAAATTACTTGTTTGAAAGAGTATCGCCGCTGTTTTCTTAGCAAAATCAAAGAAGTGTTCAGCATCAGTATACTCTTCATATATACGTGCAAAAACGGATATATTTGTTTGGCGATCTTTAAGTTCAGTAACCGACCACCGAGATGAGTACAAATTATTATGTCCATCACCGTACTGAAGCAAAAGAATAAAAATCTTTCTTTAGTAATAAGATAGAATACTCTGTATTTACAACATGAATATACCATAGTCGTCTTGATTCTTTTGTGTTAGATGGAAAAAAAGCTGATTAACAACGAATGATAAGATCAGTGATTTTTTTTAAACAAATCGTATCTAAAATTGTCTTTTACCAAAATGAATAACGATGTCAGACATAGATTACATGAATGAATAAGTGAGAAAATGGTAAGAGTAACTTTTCTGTCGTCAATTCTATTTCCGAACAAAAAAAAGTAATCATAATCTATAAGACTTAAGAGGAGAACATAAGAGACAGTAACCGAAAGAATAGGGAAAGGAAAAGGAGACGTTAGATTGTTGCTGATGAATTTTGAGACCAGAGAATAGAGAGACAGAGAGAAGGAAAACATTTTCTTCTGCCCATGCATCCTTACCCGTTTAAGAAAATAATCTATCGATAATAATTTTCTTTTCATTTCTCAAAACGTATTTTGCATCACTTTCAAGTCTCTAGCTAGCGTTTTATTTTCTCTAAGTTTGATGTCTGTTAAAAGTTTCCTTTTCTTCTTCGTTTGTGCTTGATTAGGCAATAGAAATTAACAGGATTTGACGTTAAAGAAGATCCGCTTAACCGGAAGCATTCATGTTTGAAACATGCAATATCTATTGCCTACTTTTTTTCTTCAAAGGTTGTAATCTTCGTATGTTTAGATAATGCTTTGTTGACTAATTTATTTACATATGTGATTAGAAAGCAATTACTCCAATAGCAAAAAATAGCATTACTAGTGAGGTTCGAATAGTGTTTCTTTTAAATGATTAGTCAATTATTGAATAGTCTATACTACCTTTGTATTGATATGTTGTTTTTGTTGGTGTTCAACATAATTTTTTTCCATAGATTGACTTATATCACTTTTTCTTTTATTGAAAAAGAACAGGAAAAGACAAGAATCATATCAAATAAACCAAAAAAAAAATGAGTAAAAGGAAAAATAAAAGAAGCAGAGTCAACTAGGATTGTGCGTTGACGACAAGAACGTGTCATTACTTCTTGTTTCTTTCTTCATTTTTTCATCTTCCCTTTTCTTCTACAGAAAAAGAAACAAAAGAAAAGAAAAAGATAATAGGTCATCAACTAAATAAAAATATTCTCACATGAAGGATCGGAAACAAAAACCATAATCGGATAAAATGAGGTAATCAGTTGTTCAGGTAATGGAATCATTCCCATACATAAATACATTCCACTTTCGCTTTTTGATATTCGATCAATAAGTAAACCATCGATTAGTTCCGTCAATAGAAAATGATTATTATCTATTGAATTGAAATTAGAAAACGAAAACGAAACTCTTCTTCAACTATCTCCTTTACCATGAATTCGTATTAGTGTAGCTGCCGGCACATAAGATAAGTTTGTTTTTAATTGAAAATTAAAATATTCTGGACGGCAAGCAACAAATAATGTTGAATTTGTTCGTACATGGTATTCGGCGAGTGCTGATGATTGAAATGATATTCCATTGGTTTGAACAATCACTGAAAACAAAATTTATTTGTTTCATTCATGAAAATATAACCGGAAGAAATGATTTTCTTTTCTCACTAACTTTGTTCTCTTAAAGTAATTGATGTTGTTGTTGTTATCGACGACTCCTCTTTCAATATTGAATTCTCTTCCGGGCGAGAACGGCAAATATATGTACCGCTTACAGCAGGTGATAATCGAAGATAGAGAGTACGACCTTCACTCAATATATATGTTGTTATTCTATTATAATAGAAGGATTTGCTTTTGAAAAGAATCAAATTAATAAAAGATGAAAATCTTTACGGTTGTTCAGTATGTGTACTTGAATCGATAGTTGTTCCATTTTCATAAGTCCATTCAGGCTCTATTCGATCATCTGTTGATCGGCAAACAAACGTATACGTACGACCCAATTCAACATTCATATGAGAAACATTAGGAATGATTTGTAAGATTTGATTTTGATCTATGAAAAAAATCCACAAATAGATGTCATTAAAATGTGTGCAAAACAAAATGCTCTTTTGATAATAACTATTTTTAATAAAAGAAAACGTTCCTACTAATGATTCTTTCTAAGTGTGAAAAATAGACATCTTATTATTCATTTACAGAAATGTCAATTCATATTTCGGGAAGAATAGCAAAGCAATTTTGTCAACTTTAAAAACAAGTCATTAAAACCAAGCAAATTAATTACGCTTTTCTTCGATGCAGCAATGTGCATTAGGATAAAGAGAATTTTCAACTGGTGTTTTTATATCAATCTCTAATGATGTTTTTAAGGACAATAGAAAGATTTTTTTTATTAAATACGTTCAGGTCAAATAAGAGGTTTTATCGCCAAACAAACTACTTATGATATGTAAGAACTATGATACTTGAGTTTTGAAGTGCATCTCATTTGCAAAGGATTCAAAGTCTTTTTTAAGAAGCGTTTTTCTTCTCTTGGAGCTAGAGGAGTATTTGTTGCACATAGAGAAAAATAAATATTTCGCGTGTATCTTCCCGTGTTTATATGATATGATGAAACATATTTATGGTAATGTAACCCGGCCAGTTCTATTCGACCATGATAAAAGGAAGAAAATAACAAAAATTCTGAAACGTTTGATGTATAAAATGTTCATGAAATTGGAATCTTTTAATTCATAAACAGTTAATTTCTCGGTGAAAATTTCAATATAATAGAACAGCATTAGAGATTTTTCCGTTACAAAAAATACACATTCTTCTAGGTTGTTCACGAGTATTTGAAGTAGTCAATTACTCAGGATAGCATTCATATATCGATTGAAATCAACGGAATTTTCCAGTAGTATTGACTTGGATGAGAAAAGATCCGAAAAATTGTAGCCTTTATAAAAAAAACCAAATGTTCGGGCATTGTATTATCGCTTAGCATAGAAATACGAATTTTCTACATTTTTTTTTACTGAACCCTCCTACAGAATAGAAATCCATGGGTGGTGTCACTGTTCCACATGCTATAATTTCGTAATCAAGCATGCCCTGATGCCAGTTTTTGCGTTATTTGATAGAAAAATGATTATCCTTTCATTGTTCATCGGTTTTAGTTCAGTTTTCATGAAGTAAATCTTGAGTTTCAATGGAGAAATCTAACACAGAGGGTGGGCTTCTATTCTGTGTAGGGGTTTACCCATGGTCTGTACTAGATTCATTATTATTCTATATTTACCCGCCATTTATCTCTGTTAAAACGTAGCTAATCTTTTGCACGATTCTTTTGACTCTTCTTAACACCCAACAGACATCATAACCTGATTTTAATTAAGCATTCAAAAAGTTTATTGTAACCCTTTTGATTATCAGTTGTATCGAACAGATTCTCATAAGCCTATCATCACTTTTCCACTAGGATTAACACCGGATAAATCCATTGATATCCTCAAAATGTTTTCTTTACCGATTAGAATAGCGTGCATGATCAGAGATCAAATTCATATAAATAATATCGGTTTGCTGCGTTAATTTTGTTTGTTTGGTAACGTTGGTGTGCCCGGAATAGGTTGCTTTTTTATTGTGAAGTGTTTTTTTTATAGGTATTCATTACAAGTATGTAATCGAATCAGAAATAATTAAAACATGAGTACTATAAGCGACCTATCAAGCATTTGGATGTACTATTTTTCAACATAAATATCGTTATAGTGAAAAGTATGTCGTATAATTCATTTCTAAACTGAAATAGACTGAAAACAAACTTATTAGTACGGAGAGTTTGAATTGAACAACCAGCTTTTAGATTGAAACGTACACAATAACTTGCGATACTCACAATGTGGCTCAGGAAGTTGGGAGCAATGTAAAGTTTAAGCAATTTTCTTTTAACATAATGATTACATTGTTGACTAACTACTTGTTGATTAAGAGATAGTGCCATGAATGAACCGAATATGATCAAGTTTGTCTTCTATCTTTATACGAACACAAAAAGAAGAAATAAGAATTAACGGTCGGTGTTTGTTGAACAACGCTTTACTTATAGAAACTTTGAATCGGATACGCATGTCAAGAGAAAACATAGGATTATGTCCAGACTTAATCAACATTAGAAGTCTACTAATATTTAATGTTCATAGAGCTTCTAGCGGATTTAGACATACAAAAATTATTTGGGCGCGAATAAAATTCTAAATCTAGAGATTTCCACCCGATACGAACATCCAGTAATACGATTTCTCGATGCCGGAATTTAAAAAAAGCCTAAAGGAAAAAGAAAATAATCTATTACTGAAGAAAGAAACTTTTAAAAAGCTGTAATCTACATCAAATCTCCGATCGTACTTAAGTGAACTAGATAACCAAAAGGTTAAGACTCATTCTAGTGAAAAAAAGCTGACGAAAGAAACTAAATCGAGATTATATTTAAAAAAAAACATGATTTCGAGAAAATTTTGTTTTGCATCATTGAAGTCATCTTTTTTTCTTCGCAACAATAGAGCGATTCCTCAAGTTCCACTACATTCAATTAATCAATTGAAAATGCAAATCGATTTTATTCATACGTTCTTTTTTACTATTTCTACTAGTGATGAAATTATTACAATATAATAAATGTGTTTCTAGGCTTAGCAATTGTCTACTAATTGAACTGATAGAAATTTACAATCATTCTCAAGAACGGATTTTTCTATAGATTTTTTTTTCTTTGAGAGTACTACTAGAAAAAATATAAAATCTTCGGGAACCTTGTATAATATACATGTAATCAAAACTTCTGAACTACTTCCTCTGTATGAAAGCGTTCAGTACATGTAAACCCAAGTATTATTCTATCAATCTACATGAGATCGGAACCAAAACAAAGTTATTCTCACACTGACTTAAATCACTACGCTAATTTCATTTACAAGAATTGCTATTGAAATCGATCAATCGAGCGACTCGTTTAGTTCTCTTTACTTCATAGTAGACCACTCGGAAATAGTCTAATGAGTTTTTTTCTCAACTGCTTTTTCTGCGTGCAAAATATGTGCTTAATAAATATCTTATAAGATTCCTAATCTAATTAAATAACTTTGATAAAAAAGAACAATTGAACACGTACTCATTGGCGATGAACATTGCGAATAGTCTTCGTTCCAAATTTGACCCTGTGGACATGTACAATTTGATACGTAACCACCCGTATTACAATACGAGATCGTATTATTTGTTACTACAGTTTCGTTTAAATTATCACAATTTTTGTTTTCAAGCGATGGTGGCAACGTTTCGTTGACAAACTGCGATGAATCTTTTAATCAATAAATCCGAGTTCAAGTTAATAAAAACAAAATCTAATAGGAACACATGAAATGATTTACTTTGCAATTGTACAAGAATAGGATAGATTTTCATTAAAAATCTAGTTTTTAATGTTATAAAAGCTCGACAAAAATAAACACCTTGATCGTGATAAGTAAAATTTCGAATAAATAAACTATCAACACCGAAAATATATTTATGCTCTAAAATCGAAGATCTGAAGTTCGGTTCTTTTTTTTAATACAAATTTCGTACTCTTTACCATTATGATGCAATTGACGTCTTTCGAAAAACCAAAGAATTTTTGGTATATAAGGTGAATCCATTGCCTTCGAATAAAAATAAGGTATCAAATAGTTTCGAGGAGTTTGTTTATCTTCATACTTTTTCACTATAATATTGAGCAAAACAATTCAATCGAGTATCATTACCATATGAAACTGTATGATTTGTATTCGTACCCATAAAACGAATTTGTTTTGTCATATCTAACTTACGCTCTTAAAAAAGAAGACATTTTATTTTGAGACAAAGTTTTTGTAACGCTACTGTTTCGAAATTGCTGAGATGAGCTATTTTCACGAGGTACTGTTCGTAAAATTTCAACGAAGGATTTTAGATATCTATCTCTGTTTGTCGCGCTTTCGGGCAGATTTCAACTATGTTTATACTTGTTATTTGAAGAATAATCGTTGACACAGATTGATTTGTTTGACATAAATATGGGCCAACAAGTGATGAACTCATTCCTTGAATAGTTAAAATAGATTTACGATTCATTTGAACTGATTGTGTTGAAATTCTAATTGAAACAATAAAAATCTATCTCTTTAGTTTTTAGTAGGAAATATTTTCTTCTGACCGAGCTGTATCGGATATTAATCGTTTAGCTATAATCCATTTTGGACTAGGACCAATGCATTCAATATAAAAGTCAGCTCCTTCATCAATGGATACATAACCACCATGTGGAGATATAGCCATGGATGAGACTGCTGTTATTAACAAACATAATATGAATAGATCTGTAATAGAGAAACGAAAACTAATTGAGCAAAGGAAGAATTTTAGTTTTACCTTGAAAATTTTTCATGGCGAGTCTGACCGATATGAAATGACCTCGTCTTTATAATGATATTTGATTTCTTTCTATCCGCTATTTAAATAGAGGTGTATTTGAACACGCCTCTTCGTTTTCTCTTGAATAAACAATAGAGAGATGATTGTTGTTTTTGGCGATAGTTGAAAGAATGAAAACAATCTGTATGTCTTGAATTTTATTCATTGAGAAAAAGAATACTTATGATATTAATACAGGTAATAAATCAAGTTCTAAATAACTAGTTAGTAATAAATAGAGAAATTATAATTTATTAAGTGTTGAATTGATGTTTAAACAAATAGTCGAATTCGTTTTGCAATATCGGTTGAATCGTTTTTTATGAGGCAATGTTCTAACAGAGGAAAGAAAGCTGACTTTATGGAGAAAAACGTTGTTGTATTTATTTTACTTTCAGCTATTCATGGTAAGTTAATGTATAATTAAATTATTTACTTATTTAACATAGTAATGTGTATTTTCATGATTTCGTGAACATTCATCCAATGCTTTTGTATGATTCAAATATTAGAGGTACAATATTTTTCTAGGCTCTGCCTCAGAGTAGTTTTATTGGTGATTACTTTCGATTTGAGATTATATAGACACTAATAACGGCCTTGAATGATTAGTTTATTTTTGTAACGATACCAATGTATTGCGACTTGGTTTTTATACTATTACGAACTCAATTTGTGTATACTAGAAATCTAAAAGAGACGCTTTCATAATATCTATGGTAAGATACCTAACGTTAATTGACGTCTTTCCTATATGAGATTGATTCTCCGATAATCATACAAAAATTCTACGTTTTGAAATTTTTGTTGAACATAACTTTGTTATCAGTCTAAATTATGAACATATGAGATTACAACAAGTTTATATCGGTGTCTATCTTCATAAGAGACGACTTGTCTTCAATAGTACAATACCCGTAAGAATGATAGTTTTTCGTTTTCGTCTGACGTGACTTTTAAAAAATATTCATTCAAATTCTATTGCTTTTCTTTTCATTAAGGTATCGTTTTATTGTATTTCCATGAGCCACAGATATCGCATTTTTATTCTGTACAAAATAAAAAAAAACAACAATAACAACAATGTAGACTATCTGGCATCGTATACGATCAATCGTTTTGTACGTTTCTTATATAATATACGATAACCACATTCGTTACCTACAAAAGAAAGAAAAACGATAACAATGAAACATCTAAATAAGCTTCTTTTTTCTTCTTACATCGAATAACATCTGTAGATTTTAATTCATTATCTTTGTGACATTCACCACAAATATAGACCATACTTTTGGATGTTGGTTGGCTAGAATGAGCTGACGTTGTCGTAGCAGGTAATGTGTTAGGTGATGGTGTCATGGATTGATCATGCATTGGTGTTCTCTCCATTTTATATCTATAACAGAAAAAGAAAATAAATTTCCTTTTTTTGCTTATGATTGATGTTTCGTCTTCAATCTTTATTTTATTTTTTGTATTTATTTTCTTTTAAAAACAAAGCATAAACAAGGATTTTAAATTGTTTATTTATGAGCTTTGCGTTGAGCAAGAATAGCTGCTTGGAGTTCATCACGTTTCTTTTTGGCTCGTTGATGGCTACCCAACTAAAAATAGATTGACAAATTGAAATGCATTTTGTTGACCATAAAATAAAATGATATTCAACAACTTACACGTGCTTTGACGTATTTGAATGCACGTTTATCACGACCAACTTTCATCAATTCCATAGCTCGTCGTTCGTATGGCATAAAACCAACAAGTTCACGTACGAGATCACGAACGAATTTAACTCGTTTGCTTTTTTTCTAAAGAAAAAAACGAATCAAAAAATGTTGCTGAAAAAAAGAAGCGATTAATACATTAACACGGCGTGTTGGTCGAACACGTTTGGATACAAATTTTTCCACTTTACGACCTTTGTGAAGACCTGTTGCTATTTCATATTTGGGAACAAAAGGTTCCTTAGCGGTTTTGGTTACTTCACCCGACATGATATTATCTAAAATAGATGAATGTAAACTTCTGTACGTAAAGAAATGAAAAGAAAATAACTTGATTTGTCTATTGAAATGTATACGATGGGTCAGATTTTCTAATATCCATGAAGTATTCTATGGACTAGATTGTTTATGTTTTGTTTTTTCATTTTTCAATAGAAAATAAAATTATAGATTGATATAGTAGTGAAAATAAAATTAAAAAAAAAGAGACACACTTTAGAAGAACATCTTAATTTAAAAATGTTTAACCCATATGAAGGTTTATGTGACGAATTTTCTATTGGCTGGAAAGATAGTTGCCATGGTGATACTTGAATCATTATTTGAAAATATGACTGATCAGTCTACATTGAAGCCACATGTGCCGACGGTAAATAAAATGTCCGTTGATTATAAATGATCGAATTGTAATTAAATCTTGATTTATATTTGTTATTGGTGTTTTGAATATCACTGGTGCATATCTCATATAGTTTCTCTCTTTTTTCAGTACGGACCATGTACAATACGAGATTTAAAACCAGGTGAAGTTAAACTATGGTGTACATGTGGATTGAGTAAAAATCAACCATGGTGTGATGGTATGAATTAATTTTTGCCCACAAGAAATACGTTCTATGTTTAACGGTAGTGACTGATTGATCGATTCGATCTACTTGTTTTATGAACTATAGAATGTAAACAATAGTTTATGTGCGACATAGAACACCGAAGGGTCTTTTAGTTTGTTGGTGAAGAAAAATTTTCTACAATGCTGAACTAAAAGAATTCTTATTATAGAAGAAAATGAAAACCTTCAAAATTGTTCAGCTAGAAATGAGGAAACGTTTTATTTGGAGATTTAACATAGGAGATGCTGCTAAAATTGTTTTTTCCTAATAAGCAAACTATTCGACTGGCATTTCATCATTTAAATGAATTCATCGTCTAGATAAAAAGAAATTGAAGGGCATTACAATGAGAACAGCAGCAAAGAATTTAGGCATGGAATTCTTCAGATTAATAGATACTCCAATATTAACAGTGTCAGTTCTAGTTGGATATTTCGTATTAATCGATTTTTTCAATCGTTCTTAAAAAAACAATAAACGTTTTTCGTGGACGATTTATATGTGAGCTGAACCATCTGGTTGAATCAGGCTATTCAGAATATGATAAGGCCTTCTGCTTCGAAAATTTCTTTTCAGTATTGCTGTTTTAATATGTCTGACAAGATTGAAAACTCAGTGAAATGATAATAATTCGAGAAGAAATTCCTTATTAGTCAACCCACCATAAGAGATTTAATCTGTACGGCGAGCCTTTTCATTGTGAAAAACGTGTGCTCAAGCGTAAAATATATTTTTTTGTCATGTCGTCCTATTTCGGTGTCCTTTTCAATCTCATCATAACAAGATTTAGACTCGAGGAATTAATCAGATCATCATCGATTACAAAGATTCAGACTGATCTCTAGTTATGAGACTCAACAAAACTTATTCATTTACAATAAATCCATTTGAAGACAAAATGTTCTGCATGGAAATAAAAGTAATCTGACATTTTTTTGTCTTATTTTACATCATAATCAAATACGATGCCAGACGAATGAATATTTCTTATTTAATAACACGCACAAATTAAAAGAACAAAATAAAATAAGAATTTATATCTATATTTACAATAAGCCCTTGCTCTTTTAATAAAAGACTTATAATTTTTATTATTATATGCCAGTGAATAAATATCTTATCAAGTCTTCTATAAGAATTTTTAATAACTAATTGTTAGAAAGCTTTGTTAGATGACAGTTGGATTTATTGAAAAGCTTTGCAAGATTAAAAGTTGACGTTGAAACAATTTAAGCTTTAATTTTCATCTTTTTTTAAGCTCAGTTTGCATAAAATCATATTTCGGACGCATTGACTAGAAGAATAATTTCTTGGCTAACTTATAAGAAAAAGAAAGCGTTTTGTCTTATGCCTCAAGAATGATTTTTTTTCAGCGAATGTTTTATTATGAAGCAATTGTTAACAGCAATAGAGAATTTTTTATTTTATAGACAAAGAGCGAGACCGTGATGACAATCATTTCATGTAACTTCAACATTTAAAAATGTCATCATTCGATTTATAAGTAATGAAATCCATAAAGACAATGTATAACTAGTTTATCAGGAATTTGGATATTTAAAAGAGTAATAAACGGTCATAAAGTAATTCGATAGATCACTAGCCAATATGTAACATAGGCTTAAATGTATAATGTTTCCATTACTACCATTATTGATTTACTGTTAAATATTTTTCACGATGTCTTGTTTTTAAGGTTCGCATAAAGGTACTTCTTTTCGTCCGCTTAAATGGACTGTCCCGGAACACGCTCAAACGGTATATTTACTATGTGCATGTAAATATACAAAAACTTCGCCGATTTGCGATGCGACTCATGTTGGCCTAATAGGTACAATACAAAAACAAATCGAAAATTGTTCATTAAAACAAGGACATTCAAATATTGGCGATAAAAAACTTTGTCAACAATGTGGATTTGTACCAGATTGGTAAAAAAAAAAGAAGAAGTATATTTTTCTTTGGTGCTATTAATTTTCAAAAAAATATCAATAAATTATAAGAATATAGTTACAATACCGGTGTAGGCATGAGTATTATTTTAATTATTGTATTTTTTGATCATGACATGTGTGTGCGTGCATTTTGCTGCTCTCATTTTGACAACACACACATATGTCTATACGTCAAAGTACGATATGCGTTGAAAAATTTACGCATCAGCGAGAGAGAAAAAACTGCATAAAAGGTACATGCACATTTACAGTATAGTAAACATTAGAAAAACAAATTTAGAGAAATTGAACAAATATCAAAACGAAAAAAAAAGAACTAGACACTGTGCGAGTGCATGTGTGTAGTTCGTGCATTATTTTCGAAAAAGCAATGATTTGTTGCATGAAAACGTTTGAACATGGATGAGTTACATTTAAAAAGAAAAGAAAAGAATGTATCACAGTAATACTCTAAGTTTGCTTTGCTATTTAGCCTTTGTTCTGTTCTGATTTTGAGTATCACAAGGGTACGCATGAAATAAAGCGAAAGAAGAAGAAAAAAATATCACACTGTTGCTAGATAAAAAGAAAACAACAAGAAAAGAGATTCGGGAATAGAAAATCGAAAGAAAAAGTAAAATTAAAACGATAGAAGTGGACGGTTTTTTCAAATAGTAATCAGAAAAACATATATACTTGTGTAAATAGAAATAATCTACTCATTAAAATCACTCATGTCATCGAGACTATCATTGTCATCATGATCCTCTTGATCAGATAAATTATTATTATTATTACCATTTGTTGATAATTGTGGCTCATTTTGAAATTTTTGTGAAGCAAGTTCTACACGACGTTTTTCAATAGCAATGCGTTTAGTTTCACATTCATTTGTTGCTATTTTAATATCAATATTTTTCTTTTCAATCAGTAAAACTTGTTTATCATTGAGAAGTTTTTGACTTGTTAGTTCAAGTGTACGTTTACGTTTGATCAATGATTCATAACGCAGTGAATTTTGTTGTTGTGCATAAGATTTATTTGTATTATTCAAATTTTGTTGATTAACCGATGATTTTAATAATTTTCGTCGTTTGTCTAATGTACGTTTTGATATTTGACCATTGCATGATATTGCTACTGTTGGAGTATATGTTTGTTGTGACGGAATATTTGATGTTGTTTGATAATTTGTTACTGGACTTGTTGAATTGTCATCATTGCCAAGTAGACTAGCACTTTCGTCGCCTGGAGAATCTAATTGACCACTAACACCATTAGGAAGATCTGATGATGGAGAATCAACTTTATCTGATGACTAAAAATAACATTAAAATATTTATTATTATTATTATTATCATCATCATCGTCGTCTTTTGTTCTTTAACGTGTTATTATAATCAAACGGAAAAACTATTTTATGCACGAATTTACTAACCTGTTCATTAAATGATACATCATGATGATTGCTATTTATAGTTGATTGTTGTGGTAATACATGTTGTTGATGTTGTAAAACAGTATGAGGAAAATGAGAAGATACTGATGCTGGACGGCAAATAGTTAATATGCGATTATATAAATTCAATTGTTTATTTGACACTGATGTTGATGAACCTGATGCTTGTGCTGTGCGATTAGCAGCGACTTCACGTTTAGCTTCACTTTGCAATTTTTTCCATTTTCGTCGTACATCATCAACAGTTCGTTCAACTTGTGGATAAGTCGCATTGAGATTATCGGTGATTTGTTTCCATATAGCTTGTTTTTGTGCGATAACACTTTTCGATGCTTCACGAGAATGTAATAATTCTTTATATGTATCATACTGATCAATTATATTTAAAACTTCATGTTCAGTAAAATTTGGTTTACGGCGACGACCAACATGAAACGAATCAATCGAAGAATAATCAGCTGGTTGATCGTTCATAACTTTTTATGTATATATAATACGTATAGTTCTGGATGCGAATAATGAAAAAGAAAAAAATAATAATAATAATAGTAATTGAAAGAAAATAGTTCGATCTATAATAAAAGAGAGAAAAAAGAAAAGTTGTCTAAAATGACAAGCTACTAAAAATATGAATAAAAACATGAATTAAAGAACGAGTCTAAACTAAATACGACACAGTGTTGCAGCATTAGGTAGGTATAAGCGACGTGCGTTGTTGCCAAGCACCGATGTTCTCTCTCCTTCATGCTCTTTCTGTCTTCGCATTGTGCAAGTGACTGAAAGCGAGAGTATGAGTGAGAGTGAGAGCTATACTTTTGGAGTGTCCCACCGCCATCATGTAGTCATAGTTTTATTCATATTATTATTTCTCTTCTTCCTTTCTTCTTCTTTTTCTTCTTTAACGTCTCTGTTTTATGCTTGCTTCTCTTTAATCCAGATATATTTATATATATATAACTATATATATATAACTATATATATAACTATATAGGTAAAAATGCATTTTCGTCTTCCTTCGTGTACACCGTCGTCGACATCGTCTTTTTTTCAAAAAAAAAAGAACTGAGAAAGTAAGAGAAAAATCTGCAATAAGTAATGTCTAGTACCACCATCACCCTCGCCTTCCGTACAACAATAACAAACGATCAAACCAAAACAGAAGACGACAACCAGAAAAACGATGCAGATGTAGTAAAAGCGGTTATCTACGCGATTATAACAGGAAGTGATCACTCGCAGGCAGCAAACTAGAGTCTTGCTTAAGAAGATCATTGAAGTAAACCATGTAGAATAAGCATCAGCGGCTCTTCTTCCTTCTTTTTGCTCCCTCTCCTATTTTTTTCTTCATACTTCACCTTGCTTGCGATAAACACAAGAGTCTAGAATTTCTCGGTGCTCTACTGCTGTCGAGAGGCAACGAACGAGCGTCTTTTTATTTATTTTAATCAGCCAGACCTTCGTTCTATAGAAGCAGAATGGATGGGGAATGTGTTTTTTGACACATACATTACTGATTTCTTTTCTTTTACCTTTGCTTTGCTTGTACCCAAGCAAGGCAAAGGATTGTTTGCAGCAACACTCCGGTGTCTATGTCTTCTATTCTTTTTTTCTTAGGTGTACATTGCGATCACTTTACTCTTTTTTTCTCAATTCCACTCACCATCAGTTCTGCATATGTGAGTGTGGTGTTTGTTGACAATGGGCAAAATATTGCAGCTATGCTTGTCTACGCTACGACATTGACTCCTTGGAAAGAATCGACTCTCATTTTTTTTATATACACATATATTCTTCGTCGTTTTTTTTCATTTTAACTTGCTTTTCGATTCGAGCAGCCGAGTGTAACACTGTGCTTGCTTATTCATGCGTTATGACTAGTCGCTCTATGATAAGTTGTATGACCTGCCAAAGAATGGACCATACGCATACATATATGCAGATAGACTTGCATCGTACTAGCTTCTGTTTTTCTTTTTCTTTTCACTGAATCCTCATCAAAGTCATAATCATCCTTTCTTTCTCTCTCTCCCTTATCCTGGTGTCTCTTTTTTATGATGGTGAAAGAATAGTGAAGGCGGTCGTTTTTATCGCTGGACTACCTTGGTTACAAGCAAATGGGCCGGTTTATCTAAATAAGAATTATGATATACTATCGTCATCGTCGACGACATGAGGAAAGAACGAACTACCCAAAGTATAATTACAGAATGAGCAAAAATGCTCTTCCTATTTTCTTTTTCAAGTCATATAGAACGACGTCTATAACACACAGGAAAGAAATAAGCAGTTTTGATCGTTCGAGCGATACATTGACATCATGTTTGTTATTCACTTGACTCTAATTTATTTTATTTTCACACAAAAGATACATTCTAGCATACGTCTATTCATCAAAAAAATATAAAACATATACAAATGCTTATGACGAATTGAACCATAAAGTCTAAAGAGGCAAAAATATTTAGTATTTATTTTCAAGTATCCATTTTTATGGAAGGAAAACTTTTCTTTTAGTGAAAACAATACCAACAAGATTCACTTTTCTCTTTAACCCTTTTTACTATAAGACTATTGTTTATAAATAATAAAAATATTTTTCTCATTTTACCTACTTATGTCAATAAATATTTACGAATTGTAATAAATATTTCTAAGAGGATGCTTTCAAAATTATACTATAACTTATGAGTCAACGTAGAGTGCAATAAAAGTCTACGATACAAATTGATATAAACCAACTAAAGCCTATTGATTTATTATTTTAAGTCACCTATAAAAGAGAAATCCTAGTTTAGATTGTCGGTTTTAAAAAGACTGAAGTTTGAATACACAATATTTTGTTCTATTCATGTCGATTTAATCTTCTGGAAGAATAATTTGAACGTGCAGAATGATGAATTCTTATTTTTAGAAATAGAGACGCATAGTATGCAACAGAATGAATACAAAATTCACAAGGGTAAATTTACTGTTTAGAGAGGAACTGCTTTTTTCGGCTCCAATGCTTTACAACAAAATTAATTCCCTATCATCTTATTATTTTAACAGCTTCAATCATAATCCCAAGAACATGACTTTATGATGAGAAATCTCATTCACTTCGACTCTACCCACGGATTCAACTATTAGAATCAGTATTTATTATAAAAACAATTACAAGGATTTTTAAGTACGATACTCCATAAGATGTTTTGTTATGCTTGTTGTTGATTTCAGATTGCTCAAGTAGTTACACATAAAAACATAATTCTCATTATTTTCATTGGCATTTAAATAGTGTGCAATATCATACCATTGATGAAGTCTAATAGAAAAGTTAAAATGCTCTTTTAATCAATTTTATCTTTTTTTGACTCTTACTGTCCTGCGTCAATCTGATGTAAACGATGATATTCAAGGTGCTTTTTTCGTTGTTGCTGTTTATAGTATGTATAGATATGAATCAATACCATAAATAATGTAGTGCATAAAAAAACAGCTATTAAAAAAATAAAACCACGATATGAACTATAGATATTATTATACATTGGCTCGATTTCGATTAACACAAATGTTTCAAGTTCGCCGAAACTAAATTCAAAAAAAAAGTTCATTGTCAAATAAAAGCACGTTATATTTTATTATATAGTACCTAAATTTATTATTATAAGCTATTATATGAAGAACAAAATTTAAATAGTCATGCGATGCTTGATTTATAGTATCATTTATATGTAAAGGATTAGACCCATTAAAAAGCAGACATGAATTATTCGATATTGCAAGAGTATTTAATAGTGTTCGATAGAATGTACGTCGTTCATGAGGAATCTAAACAACGCGGAACTTATAATATAACATCAAAGAGAGAATAGATAATGAAAACTATCCTACGGGTAGTTTTAAGATCAGAAGAATTAATTTAAAATTCACTCTGGAATATATTAATAAAGATCGTAGGCAAAAAAAAGAACAAATCATAAGTTCTAGGACTGACACAGACGAATAGTAAAATTCTTGTCTCATTCAAATGTGACCGGAGAAATTTTTTAGGGCTTTGAATCTATCTTTCAAATGACAAGAAATTCTAAATGCTCAATTTCAGTTTCGAGAATCGGAAAATACTTGTGTGCCTACAAGAATAGTAACAATAATCTTCCGAATATTACTATTGTCAAGTTTATTCGATTAAAAAGACATTTCAGGAGAGCAAGCTACCGGAATTGATCTAGATATTCATTCTTGTATCTTTTGTTTAATAGCAAAGTTTACAGTGGGGATTTAGGCGAAAATCCCAATCATTTTTGAAAAATCAAAGCCTCGCAACCGATACAGATGTTTGTGGTTAATATTCTTACTGGGAAAAGTTGGTTTCTAGCCGTTATATTTAATGTCCATTTCAGCCATAGGCGATAAATCGATTGACTAGTTGATATACAAGAATCTGACCGATTGATTAAATAACGAGCATAGTTTTCGTGATGTTTACTTATCGGTATTGCATAAATAAGTAAAAAATCAAGTTGATTAGTTTTTACTGATTGACAAGATTGATTTAAACAACTAGAAGAGAAAATTTACATGAAGGACAAACATTTCTGTTTTTTTTTCTTCTTCTTCGTCTACTATTGGTAGTTTAGTAGAATCGAATCGATTTGTTTACGTTTGATGTAGACAGAAGGAACTTGACTAAAAGCATTTGCTGGAAAATTCTTTCGAATCCTAATAGAAAAATTTAATTTTTTGCGACATTGTTCATTGTATCAGAAGAAAAATAAACTTAACCATTCAATGTCAACTATTGGATTAGATTCATTCCAATATTCAAAGTCAGCGTTTCTTTTCACAAAAGAAAAGCGAAGCATCATTGCAAACAAATTTTCATTCGAGTTTTATTACTTTTCAATGCGTAATACACTTGCTGAAGCGCATGAAGCTTCGACTTGAAATGACTAGAAACCATATAGATTACTATTAAATAAATCTAACGCGTTAATTCTTACAAAAGATGATGGTTCATTACATGAGTAACTGTATTGTATGAGCTCAAGACGAATTGTAATCAAACTTGAATCATAATGATCATTGCTAGACAGAAAATTGAAATCTATTGTTTAGTATTATTCATATTTACCAATGAGGAATACTTCGCGAACTAAATTATATGTGTAAAGAATATTTTATGATCAATGATAGAGAAATTTCAATTTCAAATCAAAATTCCTGATTTGAAAACGTCAAATATTTAAATGAAAAATAATTTTCGATTTCTTGAAAGTTTGAATTTCGAACTGCATCGTAATCTTATTCTCGATTGTAGCACATCTAGCTTACCACTACTGTATACGAGGACAATAAATTCTGGTGAGCATTGGCAATTGGACTAAATTTTATATTACTATTGCCTAAGTAATGCATGTCGTCATTGGGTAATTTCCACAAATATGACTGATCAATCGAGCTGGCATATTCCCCATAAATAGGTATCAACTTGAGTATTAAATGCCGTCAATACTTCTCCTTTGCACTGAATGTGTTATACGCTGGTAAAATATTTGTCAAATGAGCGGAGTATAAAATTTCAGTTACGGGAGATGTATTGTTCTTTAAATATTGAATATTGAGAAGTAACATGTGCCAGACGGAAAATTACGAACGCCTGATATTTTCAACATTTGATATATTAATAATAAGGTTTACCTTGAAATCGAAAGTAGAATATCCTCTGATCTATAAGGCATCTTTATGGCTAAAACTTTTCTAGTTCAATTCTTTGACAGATCAGTTATCAATAACAATAAATTTATTAAAACTGTATCGATTGAAGATAGACAACGGATAGACATTTACTTGTTCCATCGCGTTACACCTATTGACACAATATTAACGTGATTGACGAGTCGTACTTGAAAACTTTCCCTCATCGGGCAAAATCTCATTTCTCTAATAGCAATACAAGATTTAGTTTAGTTTAAACTATTCATGTGAATGCTGTGCCTGCACGATTTAAATAAAACGAGAGTTTTCACCAGTTCTAATTGTATGAAAAATTTATTTTTTCAAGCAGTAGTAATCTCTGAATAATATGTAAAAGAATCTTCGGCAGAGACAAATTTTTCTATTACCTTATTTTATTGGTAGTTGAAACTAAAATATCCTATTTGACGTAGAGAATCTATGTGTGAATTTATCTTGTTTAGAATCTTCATACTCACTCCTATAATTTGAATGATACCCCCGGTATTCATACGATTGATTGTATAATTAATTGAATAATCTAAAAACATTGATTTAGTACTAATAATAATTATTGGAATCATTGTATAAGCCTCAAGAATGAATTTAAAATATTTTTGATGATTTTTTTCTAAGACGTATATTCTATTGATGTCAAATAATGGTTTAAAAGAAATATATGAACATGAAGATTGAACAAACATTGAACATGCCAACGATTGTTTGTTAAAATTCAATAGACATTCACTTGTATTCAAATTTCTTCCTGGTAAAAATTGATTTTCGATATTTTGAAACATCGAAGAACATCGTTTTTCTTGTTTAAGATTTATCATAGATGGAGCTAACGATTCTTTGCCGTATAACACTTTTTCTTACGAAAACAAAAGAGTTGAAAGTTTAGAATTTTTAAAGAATTGATTTTACTATGTTTAGTCATAATAAAAAACTCATTATTGGAAATAAAAATATAATCAATAGTTTGATTAAATAAACAATAGATTTGCTTAGTTATTAGTGTTATATTGTCATAATCAATATTGAGATTTGTGTAATAGTTTTTCAATTGATTTTCATTCATATTTTCTAAGTAATCAAAGTGACAACCATCGGCAATCACTTCAGACAGCATAAGACCTCCATTGGTTGTATAGTAAAGTCTGTTTTCATCCCAAATAAAATAACTATTATGATATGTACTTGGTGCTATATATAAAGTGTCACCAATGAAATTTAAATAAGTTGATTTTTGAATAGTTGAATTAAAATTTAAGAAAGATTGATGAACAATAACAGCCTAGAGGCAAGATGATAATCTTTTCTTGAATAGATTGAATCATAACTCTTTACTTTTCCAGTTTCATATTGAATAAAACACAACAGTGATGGTATAGAATGTGAAAGTCCAAGATGAAGAATCCTACACTGATTCGATTCACAAACCTAAAAGGATTTTATTCAGAAAGAAAAACAATTTTATTTCTGGCTCATATTAAATTTTACAGATTGAAATTGAAAAATATTTCCAAAATTATACACAATCGTGACGGATTTAAAATTGAAAAGTATTACATTGCCAAGTTGATTAGCTAGAAGAATGTAATCATTAAATGTATGACTTATAGAACGGTAGTTCGGAGTTTTGAGACATGTACAACATGGTGTTGTAAATACATAATCAATATTATCGAATAAAATTGGTAGATCTAAATAGCTTCGTGACTTGAAAATTTCTTTAAAATTTCTCTTACTAATGTATCGTTTTAATCTATAGATAATGTCATTGTTTTTTACTGAACTTATTACATTTTGTGTACGAAATAAAACACCATTGATAATTAGAATTAGATCATTATTTAAATGAGCTATGGAATTTACTATTGGAATCTAAAATAATCTTTCGTTTTTTTTCATTTTATTTTACGAACACGATATACTTTCTTGTCAAATAAGTTTTGAGCGATACATAATCGCTTCCATTTATGTTGTTCACGATCGTATTTATAAAATATTTTATTACGAATCAGAATGGATTTATCTGTATCACATGGATTTGTTATAACTAATGTTTTTAATATTGAATATCGAAGTGGCGTATACGCTTGAGAAATGTTGCTCGTTGAATTAGTCGATGATACGTTACTGCATAATTCATCTAGCGTGAGAAGATTATCAAAGTCCTTGATTATTAACAACAGGACGATATTGAATAATGACGATGTCATTCGTATTGATAATTAATCAGATCGGCGCGAGACTTAAAGATCAATCATCGGCCGTGTTAGATTCGACATGGAAAAAATTTCATGCGAGCACTAGCCTGTGATTGAGTGTGTTGAATCTAGAAAAACAAAGCTTTAATTCTATTTTTATATCTTAAAGATAGTTATTAATAGATAATTACCCTAGGTTGTAATCAAGAACTGATATTCTAAAAATAATCCAAATCCCTTGTTAGTTGCTGAAAGATAATATAGTGTAATGATATTTTCGAAGCACGATCTTGCTTCTGTCTCAAGCATATTCGCAAAAAGTAATTATCACTAGTGACATCGCATAGACACAGACTATAATAAAAGCGCACGTCTTCACATTGCTTATTGATCATGAAGATTGTAAAATGTTTTTGTTCTAGAAAAGAAGAAAAAATCAGATGGAGATCATCCTATTAATTTAAAGAATACTTTATTTTAAAAAACTCCCTCAAGGACATTCATAAGTGAATAAACTCTATATAGAGTAATTGGCCTCCTACCACAAGCAATAATCGATTTGAGAGACTTCCTTGGTAGCCATGAATTTTAAATGACTACACTAATTTGATTTTTCTATCACGAATCTAGATATTATTCATTTTCCACATAGTGATTCTTTAATATACGAAATCAGAAGTGTTAAACTCAACTCAACAAACATATATATATATACAGTGCATTTTATCATTATTAACCAGATCAGTGTGCAGTTGACATCAGCGATTCCGATTTATTCCTGCCGTGTGTGTTGACAAAAGATCTGCTAATGTGATTCTCTATGTGACGAACAACGCCATCTCTATTCTTTGCGGAAGTTCTTTTTTCCCTCATGTTTATTTGAGGATTGGCAGCCAACAATGAACATGGCTACAGGATGTGGGTTGGCTAACTCCGTGAGAAAATCATACGAGAGATGATGATCTCGTTTTTGTTGCAATTTTTTTCTTCGCCACTAATGAAATTTACACCTATTTCCTTACTTATAGATATGATCTGCAGGTGCCTCGATTATTACACATTCTCATTTATTCTATCAAGCGAATGCGTATCTACTTTCAAGCTATTTCATGTAACGCTCTGCCGTTGCTGTTGCTCGTCTTCTTTGTAAATATTTATATTACAAAAGCAACAACATCGGTATTTTCGTTTAATGATTATACTGACAATTATGCTAGACAAGCTGAAGAATGTAAGAATAGAGTTTAATGTAGAAAATGACAAATAAAAAAAGATTCTAACCTTCTAATAGATATCGTAACTTCAAAACCAATCGATGGAATTAAACGTTCGAATGTATGCGGTGATGGCCATCGTATTGACGGCGCTGTCCTTAAATCATATCCATATTCTAAACATGACACGTATCTACCTTATGAAAACTGCTTAATGACATTTCAGGTTTGATCGAAAAGATGAATTCGAAAATTAAATATTTAAATTCCAGGCTCGGCGACCAAACAATCACATTCGTATACATATCGTGGCACTAGATCTCAATGATATTCATGGTGGTACCGATTGTTTAGATTCACTTCGCTTTTATAAATCATTTCATGTAGCACGACAAGAGAAACTTGTGCGTTAAAGAATCTGTCCTTTTTTTGCTTCTGTTATTAAATTACGATTTTGTTTTGTTTTGTTAGGACTCGATTGAATGCGGACAAATCAACGAGGCAGAAAAATTCAATATGGTTTCGCCTACAGGCATTGTTACTGTTCATTTCAGGTTCGTAGGGGAAAGTGATAATTGAATTATTTCTTTTTTTTTATTCTACCAACGAAATTTTATTAGTACCGACGGTGGAAATGTGAATGGACTCGGATTTAAAGTAATTCTTACTACTTTTCGTCCTCGTAAGTAATTTTCAATAATGAGAATTCAACGAAATATTCTCATATTCTGTTTCGTTAGCGAACAAAACACATCCATGTGATCAATATGATGATGAATTTCTTTGTGGCAATGGCGATTGCATTAGTAATACACTGTTATGTGATGGTAAACTAATTTGCTTTGTTTTTTGCTGTGTTATTTGTTCGTTTTTCTTCTTCTAGGTGTTGCTCATTGTTTAGATGGGTCAGACGAAACACCAAATGAATCATGTGTTTCCAATGTGGATGGATCAAAACTCAATCGTAATATCGATACAAAACGTCGTGCTTTGATAGCTAAACATCATCACTGGCGTGGAATATTAATCATTGCTTTTCTACTTATTATATTTATTGTATTTGTACTTTTTTTCGTATATTTTATTTGTCGTCATTGTGTTGATCCATCGATTCCGTTAACTAATGAAAATACTGATCGTCGAAGAAAAAACTATAAAACTATTGTTCATACACGTAAGCGAGTATCATTCGAATTTGTAGTCCAAATTGAATGTAATCTGCTTTTCTTTTGTTTAGCTTTAAATGGACCAAAACAGTCACCATCGACTCAAATCATTAAACAGAATGACAAAAATCGAAAATATCTCGATGATGATTACAATCTGATCTAAATATAGTCTCGTTTATTGTGATTATTCTTGTTTGTAATTTGTGCCACTGTACTACATAGTATCACTCGATTATTTTTTTGTGTCTTCTCTCTTTTTTTCTGTTCTAAATTGACAAAAGTGATATTCGACATTCATTTATATCAACGTATTACAAATAGAATTTATGTTTATTTAAAATAAAATTACAGTAACAAACGAACAAAAAAAATCATCAAATCATAAAATAAATAAGAATCATCAAACTGTTTTAGTTGTCTATTCCTAGGAAAGCAAAGATTTAAATAGAAATAAAGTTTAGAACTAAATTTTACTTTATCGAAAAGTCTTCGGCCGAGAAATTCAGCAATAACACCAAATTTATCTTGTTGACCATCCAACTCGCGGTGAAATGTTTCATGAATATCTTTACCAACACGTTGATTATTGATCAAGTCGAGCCATTTACTAAAATAATATGGCAATTCGATGTCATTTGGCTGTAAAATAGCAGCACATAGAGTTTGATTTATTATGCGTATCGAAACAACAAGGAACCGACTAATAGAATCAAATTATGACACGTTAATTATAAACGCTTGCTAGGCGTTCGAAAACAAGTCAGTAATTCCGTTCTTTTTATAAACTTGAATTAAACAAGATTATACATCTTTTTAAACAACTTGAGAACCTTAGTAGAGTCTTCTTGCTCATGCGCATCAGTTGCTACAGCAAGAAACTCATGCGCTATGGACAAATCGTGAGATCTGCACAGGTCATGAGCACGAAATAAAAATTTCGTCTAGGGTATATTTTACGATATATGTTCAATACTGATGAGAGCACCTATTAGCAGCGAGTACATTCCCTGTAGCCGACAGCACAAGGATTCAGACATAGATTCAAAACAGGATAAGCTTTACGATCAGCGATAAAGGATAATATTAAAAAGACTTAAAATGTACAGAAAGATATCGATACAGAAAAAGGTTATCAACTGAAACAAACAAAAAACCGTGATGAATGATAGGTCAATACGCTTTTGTACTGATAGATAATGGCTATCATTGTCTTCTATACAATGCTTGGTTTGAGAAAAGAAAGCTGACACACTCGTGACAGTACAGAAAACATAATAATCAGCCAATCGGAAAGTCCAACCAGCTATTCTTGCCTTTTTCAAAACGTAAATTCTACTATAGTGAATTGTTCATGCAGCTAAAGACAGCGTGATATATCATTACTAATCAGAAATTTATATGGTTTTATTCTATTTTTAGATATTTACCGATTATCACCGGAGCATAAAGGGCATTCATAAGTAATTTCTGTTGATAATGTTGATTCCACAGTAGCAGCACAACTAAATAATCAGAAATTCGATAGAATCAGGCGATGATATTTATGCGAAACATACTGTTCATGAAATGAATGTTCACAAAAAAAGTGTATACATGGAATGTCTAAATCCATTTTACATGCGCTACATTTTGGATCTTGACAAAGAATTGGACTGGAATAAATTGAGATAAAAGAAAAATTATGTATTCAATAAATTTTATATATAAAATTTAACAAACTCAGTTTCAAGTGCTTTAATTTTCTTCGCAATTTCTCCATTTTCTTGACGAAATCGACGAATTTCTGATTGATCTTTTTCTATTTGCTTTTGTTCAGTACGAAGTTTTCGAATGAGATAATCCTAATACATAGAAGAAGAAGAAGAAGAAATAACCCATCACTGTTAAATCAAAATCAAAAACACACATACTTTAAGTAGATCAAGATTAGTTGATTCGTTATTACTCAATGTTTGAATAACAAGTAATGGTGAGAGAAGATCATTCTTATCGATATCTATGAAAATACAACAAGAATATTATATAAGATCTGAAGAAAATTAACTAGATCTGTTAATGATTCAAATTCCTTTTCTAGCTATTTTATGTCTATTAAAATTTTTAACTCACATGCCAATATCTGTTGAATTTCCTTTTGGCAACCATCAGAACTTTTTAGTTTTGAAAAATAACTCAATGCTTGAATCCATAATTGTGGATCATCATCGCCATATTTTTGGCAAGTAGCAACGATTTCATCACTTTCTTTATTATCCATTTGATATTGCAAAATTTGTTGGTATCTAATCAATTGAAAATATTCTTATTTTAATAATTATTAGCCAATAGTCTCTTACAATTTCGCTCGATCATATAGAGAAATAATGCCAGCTTTAAAATTATACTTTTGACATGCAACCATTGCACGTGTTACATCAATATCAATCTAAATATAAGCAAATAGAACTAGTACTATTCGAAAATGTTATATAATTATTAAATGGATGAATTGGGAAATTCAGTTAATTTAGAAATAAATGTGGAAACTTCGGATTTCATCCGAGAGTTATGTGTACTGCAAAAAGTACATGGGACATATGAGCCATTCTAGAATGTCTGAACACCAAAATTATCATGAGAAACTAGGCAATTTTATTTCTGGATACAGTTTTTGTGCATTTTGAGACGTTTTTCAGGCGATGTTTCGTTAGAAAGCTATGATTTAGTTCAAAACTAATATCAGATTCAGAATCAGCGTTAAAAAATTGAGTCGATTTATATATGTTGTGGATAATTCTGAGAAAAAAAGTTCTTTTTGAAAAATCCCTGTACTCCCCCTCAGGGATGGTCTGATCAAAAATGACAATTTTTTCGATAACTCAGCCATTTCTTGACGGATCCTTCTCATCTTCGAGCTCGACCTAGATATTGATGAGACAATTCTGTGCACAAAATTTCAGCTCCATCGAATGTAATTGTGAAGAGTTATCGAATAAATGAACGGCCGGACACAGTGACCGATGTTAGTAGTGTACTCACTCTTTGAGTACACAAAACAGTGAAAAATGTGAATAGATGGATATCTTTAAAGTGAAAAAATGAGAAGTTCAGAAGTTACACAGATGAATTCTTCCATTGTCAACATCTCTACATTTTTTCTTACAGCTTCTAAAAAGGCTAACTTTTATTTATTATATATCACTACCATATCCTCTTTGTGTAAGAGAAACTTCATTAGAAAAGCAATAGTTTGGTCAAATAAAGGATCTCAAATGAATTTCAATAGTTAACACAGTAAACAACTTCCCAAATATTTTCTCATAATTCAGCAGTGCGATTTAATACAATGCGCTAATTATTGGCCATTGAAAGCTACCTTTCTTTTCATTGTCTTTTTATTAAAAATCCGCTGTAAATTATATCCCTCGTTGAATAAGTAATCATTATAGCTCTATTGTTTTGCCGTCTAGTAATAGAAAATTTAAACGAGTCAATGAATAAAAGGACCCAAAACATCCTGCCGTGATTATTTGAAGGCCTTCATATTATTCTTATTTGATTAGAGGAAAAGCCCTTTTGTGTTCATTAAACGTTTTCAAAATTACCTTTGAATCTTGAAGCAATACTAAAATCTTATTACTTGTACGATCCTTCTCTTTTTTATCGTCGATTTTACTATATTTTTGTAAAAGTAACTCTAAAATTGTATCATGAACAGTTGTAGAAAGATGTTCCCTTGGATATTGCTAAACACACGAAAAAAAAAGATGGCATAAAAATCGGTACCAAAGAAAATAACAACAGATATTACTTTAACAGCATATTCCAAATAATCTAATAGTTCGCCAGGATTATTCATAAATAGATTAATCAATGATTCAGGTAATTGCTCTTGTTCAATCTGTTGTGGCGTTGGATTGAGTTGTTTCAATAATTGTGTTGTCTTTTCTGGTTTTTCTTTAATAAGAGTTTTGCCATAATTTCGAAATGCTTGTAAACCATCATCGAATTTCAACGTTTGAATATAATTTAAAGCGTCATTATAATCTTTTCGGTTTTCGATTTGAATTTTAATATGCTTATCATGACGATGATATTTAGCTGAAAGTGCTAATGCTTCTTCGAAATAATCTTTAGAGAATTAAACAAAAACTAAAGATCAATAGAGAAATCTTCAGAAGAAAATACAGACTTGCTTGTCGACAAACATCGATGGCTATATCAACATCAAAACTCATTTCAATATCAGATGTTTTATCTAAACCAATAAATTTCGTAAGACGATAGATACGATCAGGATGTTTCGTATAGCAATTAAGCAATAATGTTGTATGATCGGTGTTAGCTAATTTTTCTCGATGTAATTCTTCTAAATATCGAGTTAAATGATCTATATGTTGAGAATCAAGAAACTAGAGAAAAAATATTTTTCATTAATAGATATTGAATGTATTAGATTTTAAAAAGTTATATTATTCACTTTTTTAATAACATAAGATGGTTCTAAATATCCGATTGTTTTACAATATTGATCAGTCGCTGATTCATATTCATTTTTTCTATAATGATAATAAAACAAAATCAATATTTCATGGTTAAAACAATTAAGATTTATTTGAAATACATAGAATAACTGCGATATTATGAGAGCCAGAAAATGACAAACAAGGGGAAAAGGCGGATTTGGGATTTTCAAAATCCAAAAATCCAAACCGCGAATGATGGAATTTCCGTCTGAATTTTTTTTTCGCATGTAGGTCTCATGATCTTTAGAATATTCTAAAATTTTCAGCGCAAACACATGTTTCCTTCTCAAGATAATGAATGCGCAAGAAATGCTCATTTTTCACGGCACGGTCAGAAAATCCAGTTTTTTTGAAAATTCGATATTTTAAGAAGAAACCATTTGTTCGAGTTGAAACTTTTAGGATCTTCTATGGGCCATGAAACCTATATATATATATATATATATATGGGGAGAATTTCAGGTCGAAACTACGTCATTAACTGGAGAGGGGAAAGGATGCTTTGCAATTTAGGGATTTTTCGGATTTAAAATCCCAAAAAGTCTACAGTTCCCTCCTTGATAACAAATCTTTTTATTATCGAACTATCAACAACACTTTTTGTGGCTGCTTTGAATTATAGTGAATATTTTACTAATACTAAAGTATGAAACGTAAAAGTTTCGTTTTGACAGTCACATGCAAAAAAATGTTATGCTAGAATCTCCATGTAAATTGTTTTCTAACATATAATTAATAGTTTTAGAAATTTTATCATAATTTCAGTTTTATTTTTATAAGGGGCGATAAATATTAATCTTTAACGATAGTACGCATTCAACTGATACTATTCGTTTATGCTTGTATTTCGTCATAAGAAAGAAATTCTAAGATTAGATCAAGCCAAAAAGAATTTTATTGAAACAAGCACATTGTTTTTAAAGTTAAATATCGAATGTTTAATGTTATTTCTGAAGAAAATAATCGCATCATTAATTTCCTTTCAGCATGTTGTAACTCGAAATGGACCCATTCATGTCATCTGAATGTCTCAGAGAACATTAAAATATCTATGAGAGAAAGTCAATGTGAATCATTTAATTACTCTATAAATACTCTGTTAGATTGCCAAATTCTCCTGGTTCCAAATGGAACAGAATCTATATGATATTAATTCTTGTACACTGACTGAGTCTTGTCTTAACAGAAATATATGAATTCGAATAGGAGCTATCGTTCTCGGACGTTCTCTCCTGTGATAGTTCACGAGAATTATTTCTTATTCAAAAATCGATCCATTGATTTAATAAAGCTTCACAAGAACAAAAGTCCTATACGCCTAGAAATGCTCATCATTAACTTCCAATATCATTGAATTAGATTCATTTCTCTTCGTTATTACATTATCGTTAATGTTCATTGTGCTTATACAGAGAAGCTATAAATTATTTTGCTTACGCATAGAGATGATCACCATATTGTTTAAATATTTCTGCCATACCTTGTGCGCCAGTTCGATTCTTTTTTGCTAATCTAAACAGAAAGAAATTTAAAAAAAGCACATTCTTACGCCTATATCAATAGACGAACTGTAATGCTAATTGAAAGCAATTTTTTCTAAAAAGTAAATGTAATCTTGAATGTAAATCTTTTTCCATTAAACGGTGTAATTCTCCGTCACCAGTCAATATATGTATATAACCCCATTCGTTAATTACACATTGTATACGCGGAATACCAACAGAATAAGCTGTTAATTGAGCATTTGTATCATAAACAGCTAATGTTTGTAATTCAGTTGTTGTTTGGCTAAATTATATATATATATATATAAAATAAAAACTAAAAAACTATTTTACTTAGCTGTTAATTGTGATAAAATAGTTGATTGTGGTTTGACTGTAGTTGCTGATCCAGCTCGTGTAAATGATGATGATGATGATGATGATGATGCAATTGAAGATTGTTTTCGATCTTCTTTTGTGATTATTATTAAGTAGTTAAACCACCAATATATAGCTGATTTTTCATTTTCAATACCTAAACCAAGCCGTTTATCATCGCCAACATATGAAAAAACTCCTGTTGAATTTGCAATAACGAATTGCTGTTCACCATCTTTGTCGGACTGCGCTAAAACAGCACATCCTGGCCTACAACCAATATCTGTTTCAAGAACTACGTCACTGAATTGTGCTATTGGTTGTTGATGTGATAAATGGAATGGCCGTCGATCACGTATAGTTGATGTTAAGGTAGATGACATGGAAGCAACAACTGGAGCTGCTTGAATAAGACGAAAAGAAAGAACATCTGAAGTAGTTGTCGCATAAAGGATCAAGTCATTCTTTGGTTTTCCTCCTTCAGCAAATACTAAATTTGTAATGAACAGTTTTGCTTGGTAGAATGGTGGCGTAAACTTGTATCGTCTATAGAACAAAACGCAAGCATATTTAGTTTGTTTTCGTATAGTAAAATAATTTCGAATGTTCATCATGTCTAACTTGACATAGAACATCATAGATTTTTATCAAACGCAAAATAAATCGACTGATGAAGAAATCCGTGCCAAATCAATTAGAGTCATATTTATGTCTCTGTTCAATTCTTGATTTATATTTGAAAGCTCAGAAATAATCGTGTGATCACCAAATTCATTCTGATGAATATTTTGATATACGAAAGTCTATAAAATGAATATTTGCACCAGTCTCAAACAACATCCAGCTTATAATATTTTGTCACGCATATCTCTATTGAATGTTGTGAGCGCTTTTTCGATCGATAACAATAACTTCGAAAGGTAGACAATGTTTCCTCTCAACTCTATAGGAGAAATCGACTGTAGCTTTACATACGGATTGTTTCGCTAATTCTAACAATCGATAACATTTGTATTCATGTAAACAGAATCCAATCCTCTATCAAATATATCTCTGCGAGGTTTAAGTCTTACGAATGACTTACTCTCTATTAATTTCATTAGTTAGCAACTGAATTTTATTGAGCCTGACAACATAGGCTGCATCTTTTACAATTAGGACAACAACATTTTTAATATCGTAACATGAGTTATATGGATATGGTTTTGAACAGTTGACTTTTTCTTTTAGTTCCTAGTAGCTACATACTTTTCCTTAATTAAATCATTTGATGTAAAAAAATAAATCGCTCCATTTTCACAGCCCAATGCTATATGTCTGTCAGTAATAGCCACAGCACATATCTAACAAAAGATAAAATCGTTTAGAATGAAAAAATATGTAAATAATTCGACCTACTTTTGAATTAGGATGATCATTTGCTGGTATTGATATAATTTTAGCTGGTTCAGTATTTTCTTTTTCTATCAGTGCCTATATGAAAACAAAATATTTGTTTTTTAAATTTCTACTAACAAAACGAAACCTACTCTATCTGTTTTCCAAAGTTTAATTGTTTGCTTTGCTTCACTTTCATCCATCTTAAATTTAGAATAGATTTCTCTTAATAGTTGATTTTCATGCGTAACAAATATCTTCTTACCCCAATAGCTATAAGTGTATTGCCTAACGAATGTGCTAATAATTGTAATGAGATATCGAATTTATGAATATGACCTATCTCATAATCACGATTAATAACCCATATGGAACCATCGCTACAGCCTAATATTAATTGACCATCGCCAGCACCATTGGTACTAGTTGATGCAATTGCTTGTATATGCTTTAGAGAATATGAAATCTATGTTCCAGGATACAGTAAGATTTTTATTTATTACTTTTAGCTCTTCTAAAGGTGTACCATTTCTTCGTTTGACTACTTCTTTATCAAAAAAATTAAATCGACGCCACTGAAATAAATGAATACAGAAAATTTTCGTTTTTTTTCTGTCATAGAACGTAATGATTTTCTTTTGTACCTGATGAATACCTAACGCCATTGTGTTTTAAAAAATTAATCTGAAAATAAAATAATATAAGCATCAGAATTGACTTGTTCGCATTGGAAAATATCAGTAAAGCGATTCATCATGTCTTATCAGTATTCAAATACACTTGTTTGAATTATCAGCTTCGAATTTCAGTCAAACTAATTTCGCAATAGCATGTAAATCATTTGATAATCTAGTTTTTTTTTCTAATTTGACATAATACTTATTTCATTCGTTGCATTCTCGATAAAACTCACTTAATGACTATGTGCAATACACAACAAATAATCTTTTTCAGTATGCCTCATATCTACAAACAAGAACATTTATTATTTCTCCTATTATGCGCCCCCATAAAAATAAAAAATACTAACTTTGTTTGTTTCGTTTTAGCTTCACAACAAACAAATACTGAGCACTTCTTTTTTCCTTTTCTGATAGGTTTAACAATAAAGAAATCAAAAAAATAATAATAATAAATGATAAATATGTATCAATCCAGCATTTAAATAAAGAAAAGAAAAAAAAACTTACAATGCTTTGTGCTAATCTTAAAGAAAAAAACGCAACAAAGATGGAACGCAATTATATAAAAGCTTAAAACACATATTTATGATATGTACAAACAGAAGAGAGGGAAGAAAGAAAGAAAGAAAGAAAGAAACGAACACAAAGTTGCTGCTGATAAACTCGAACACCCTGAGCATGAGATTAGAAACAAGCGAACCAACAGATTTGACATATAATGAGAAAACTCGATAATATCACACATCACCGGCTGTCAAAACAAATTAACAAACACATGTATATAAATAAATATATCTATATAAATCACACGTAATTTTCACGACCTGTTGATAATTTCTTATGATTTATATGTTCAAATAATTTCGCTTTTTCACGTACTGACCATGATATATCAGACGATCGAAGTTGTTCATCATTAATATCAAATGTTAATGGTTTAGTTGGTTGTGCTGTTGGTGTTGTAACACGTCGTTCAATAGATTGATAACGTGTTATATTTGTTGGAGGATGTTCATTTGAGTATAAACGATTTTGATTAGTTGGAATTGGTGTTGATTGCCGTGAGTGTCTTTCGCTGTGAAGTTCTTGCGCAATTGATTTATATCTCAAAGCATTTTGTCGATGACATGGACGACATCGTCCATTCGACGATAATAATATATCGTCAATTGGTTTCATTTGTATTGCTGTGCCAAGTTTAAATGGTCGACAATCGGAATGATGAATAAATGTTCGATCGCGTTCTGATTTTGTTGATGCGTTTGTATTTGTTTGACTGTGATGTTCATTACGAGAGGTAGTATAGATTTGATTCGTAGTTGCTGCCAATGGGCCATTATGTCGAGAGCGACCGTCGGTTGTACTAGTTGGTTGTCGAGTATGACGATCGATGGATACACATGCTTGTAATGGTTGTGCAATTGACAATGACGATGATGGTGAATCGACTTTTTTTGCTGTTGTGGCTATATTGAATGACGCTGAACGTGTTGCAGAGATGTTTGTATAGCGTTGATTAATTGTACTTAATGATTCAGTTGTTAAATCTAAATCCTGTTGCTCAAGTTGTATTGATCTAAGATGAAGAGAAAAAATTGAAATAATAAATAACAAGAAGATTTTCGTATTCGTTTCTATGTTATGTAAATATAGCTTTGTATTTTTTTCGTGTCTTAATGTAGCGTTCGTTAGATTTTTATTTATCCGAATGTCCATTTTCTTGTTTACCTACCGGTGTATTTCTTTACTTAAACTAATTACAATCTGTAAAAATAAAAATAAAAATAGAAAGTTTTCAAGTATTATTAATGTTTCATATTTTTTTTCTTGTGTAAAGGCTTGAGAAAGAAAAATGCCTCATCGTAGATTTTGATATAAAATATTCTATAAATATTTGAATTAGATGTAAAGTAACAGTCTGCCGTTAAAAGTGTGAGAATGCAATTGAAGACTCTCAAAATGTTCGACTAGATGAAACGGTTTATTTTCATAAGCTGACATATTCTACATCCTATTCTTTTCGTTAAGCGCCACCGAGATCACCTATATTGATTAATGTCAAGAAGAACTAATATCGAATATATATGGATTCATAGTAAATTTACCTAGTCGTCATAGATTCTTCGTCACTATTTGTAGTTTTGGATTTCACTAATTTTGATCGTCGCTCATTGGTTAAATTTCTACTATTTGTTACTGGTGTCGAAGTTAATATTTGCTCATTTTTCTTCGTATTTATTGATGTTTTTCTTTTTATACTACTATTATTATTGTTATTAGTATTAGCGTTTAAAGTTTTATTTTGTTCATCATCATCATCAGCTTCATCCGATCCATGGTGAAATTGTTTTAGTGATGATGCACGTTTAACATCATTGGCTGTTACACGTTTTGCTTCTTTTGTTAATTGTTGTTGATATTTTTGATAGTATTCATTATTGCCCAGTGAAGAATGGCGTAGTATTGGTTTCGATCGTTTGATTTTTCCAATTGAAATATTATTTACTGTTGTTGTTGATGAACGTACACTTGAATCTCCAATTGTACCATTGAATTCATCGTGGTCTGAATCATCCGTTGTATCATTAGTTAATTTGTCTCTTGCCATGAATTGTTTTGATGGTTTATAGAGATTTTTCGAATTTCGATAACGCGATAAAGATAAAATGGCTGTTGGAATAATAATACTTGATAGAACAGTACCAGTACCACAAGCAATTGAGGTTGTCCAATTCGGTGGAATTGCACGAATAGCAGATGTATGACGTCGAAAATGTTCACTTATTTCTGAGCTATCATCATTGAATGGTTGATCGGATGTTGCTAAACCAGAGTCACGAGATCTATTAACAATAGGTACATGTGGCGATGACTCAACTTCATCAAGACTCTCAATTGATGATGCAGTTGGTCGAGCTTAAAAGATTAACGAAAAAAAAATGTGTTCATTTCCATACAGAAATAAGATATAAATCAAAAGCATTATCATACTTAGATTAGGTATGTGATGAACAATAATATGCTTATCGAGGATACATGTTGTAACATCAGAACCAAATAACGATGTACAATTAACAATTAAAACTTCAACTATAGATGACATAACATCCGCTTCTTGTTTTCCTGATGCTATTGTTGTTGATTCCGTTTTAAACAAACTGTTCGATACACACAAACCCAAATTAAATGCATTCATTCCATTTGTATCGCTATTTTGAGATATACGATAAAGTATACAGATCAACCCTTTTAACAACAGATGATTGGATTCGGAAAGTGTACTAAGGATACTAGACAATTTAAAAAAAGTAATTCATACGGTACGATCAATGAGTTTTTGTGTTCACATACTTTTTTCGTGCAAAGGAAATTTTTTCCTGTATTGTCGGTAGACGAAGACATTTTTTCCAATTATCATATTGAATGGTGTTAAAAACAGGTTCAGGTAATGTTCGTAAAAAATGCTAAAAATACAAAAGCAGGATTTTTTGTTAGGATGTCATGCAGGAATAAGTGCTAAGGAGAAAATTCTTTTTTTTAATGAAACGTTTCTTACTGTTGATTATTCTATAATGAAAAGCACTCCTTTTTCCATATAAAGATCGGTCAGATCTTTTTCAAAACTTACTTTAAATATTCCAGCAGCTAATATAGGATGTAAATCTTCATTGGGCAACAAAACATTTCGTTCGATTTTATCAATGGCATCTTTAACGGATCTGGTATTTGCTACTTTACGAAATATGCCTGTTGTATCTGGTCCTTTGTAATAAAGTACTTCAAGCAATTGCTATAGAACATAACAAAAAATAAAGCAGGTAAGAAAAATGAGAACAGATCTCTATCTACTTGAATAACCGGTGGTATTTGATTATTATATTTTTTAATAAGCTCATCAAATGTTTGTCCAAAAAATTGATTTGATGATTTTGTTCGTAATGGTGTTGCTGTTGATGATGAATGATAATCATCACTATATTGTTGTTGTTGTATGGAAGATTTTGAACTATGATCTTTTGTTTTACGTTTATGAAAAAATCGATGTTTCTTATTTGGATTTTCAACATCGCGTCTTCGTAATTCAAAATCATGAGAATTCATTGAAATATTATTTAAACTTGTCATCGACATATTATGATTGGAATACATTGTTGCTGCACTATGTAATGATGCACGATCATCACCATCGAAAGATGTTTGATTTGCTGGTTTCAAATGTTTCATTTTTATTGCATATGGATATTCGTGACCTACAGGAAATTGAAATTGAAATCAAAACAATAGACACAAAACGTTTTATCATACTATATGAGAAACGATTTAAATTGTATCTTGATGTACTATGGTTTACTCGAAACATTTTTGACTATCTAGTCGGTTTGAATTCATGTTTCTTTGTTCTGTTCTGTTATGTTGAAGTTTATTTCTTCTTCTTTCTTTTACCTCGAATGTTTAAAATAGTTAGGAGTTCATATAGATCGGGTATGCGCATCGTCAATGTTTGTCTTAACTATGTACATGATCAACATGCAGCACGTTTCTGCTCTTTGTATTGAACGACTTTTCTTTCTTTTTCTTTTTTTTCATTCGGCTCAACCCTAAGATATACAATCAAATCTTTCTACGCATTCTTTTCTACTTTTGCTTTTGTTTGAACCACCAATCAGTTTAAAACATTTTTCTTATCAAGACAAAAAGATTGGATATAGAAACGAATGTGTATGTGTATATGTCACCTTTCTTTTGATTGTCTAATGAGATGGATAAAACTCGTAGTGACTTTAGTTTCTCGTGCTTAATCTAGTTACATACTCGTGCATCATGACTAATACATTTTTTTCGTTGCACTTATTTTTATTTTTTTTGCTAATTCTTTAAAAACTATGTCAAGAATAGAATTTAATATGTAGGCAAAATTTCTCCTCCCCTTCATAGTTCCTTTTTCTCTGATAGATAAATAAGAACTATGTCGTATATCATTTAATCTCTCTTCCGCTCCCTTTTTTTATATTACCTGGTTGACGTCGATGACGATCATAAACAATTTCAAGACTTTTCGAACGCATTGCTGCCGCACGAAATAAAGAGAATATATTTCCATGATATCGATCAGATTTTCTTGATCGCTCATTCATAATTTTTTTCTTTTCGAAAGAAAAATAAATACTTCTGCTTCTTCTTCTAAATGTTGATGTGCACCCGGAATAATACACAAATGAATCGAAAATTGCTGGTTACATGCACATTTTGAGGACTTTTGTAATTTGACAAGAAAAAGAAAATAGAAGAAATAACGGAGAGAACAAATGAGAATTTAGACGTGTATACATTTGCATAGGTACCTGCACAATGAAGTTTCTTATTCTCTATTATTCTGTCTTTCTTTTTTTTTTCTACCACTGCTTTCTTAAGTATCCTGCACGCGCAATACGAAACAAATAAGAGAAAAAGAAAAGAATTCAAGAATGCGTGAAAGAACAATGTTTACCTATCAACGGTATTAATTGCGTTTGATTTGATTGTGGTGAAGAGTTTACTAGTTGATTTATGTTATTAGAACTTTGTGTGCTAGACATAGTACTTGAATCATTTAGTGCAAATAAAATATAATTATCCACACATGCATCCTTTGGATTTTTTTAAAATAAATGCACAGACATAAAAGAAAAAGAATGAAACAGAAGAATTAATTTAACATACTCGAAGATGACATGCATCAATACATTTTTTAATTAAATCTCGAACGGTTTCTTGTGGTCGAATGTTGATTACTTTACGCTACAGTTATAAATATTCAATATATCGTCTTTCATCTTGTAGATATCATTAGACTTACGATTAAAAACGAAGTTGTATTATTATTTTGATCCCATTCTTGATTCTGATCAATAACGATGCGAACATGTTCAAAATTGGAATTGTTTAATTGCCACCAAAAATTTAGATTTCTAAATTAGATGAATTCGATTTAACTGAAAAAATATTTATTTAGTGTTTCATTTTAGTTAGAGTGAATATTTTACTTTCATGTCAGACATCAATCATGTCTATTGACATATCATCAAACAAAAATACAAAGTTCTTGAAATATCAATAGGTTTTGAGGGCATGTTTATGTTTTCATACCGACTAAAGCATTTAATAATATGATACAAACAGAATTTGCCCCAAAGCATTTCATGTATAAACTAACACATCATATTTAATTTCGAAATAGAATTCGAGAGAATAAATTAAAAATAGCTCAAAAATGAAAATCGTTTGTTTTTGTGAGACATCCAATGAGCATATGTATATTTAACTATTATAAACATGAAAGTGAACTTACGATTGAATACGCGTATACCAAATGTCTCGAATATCTTTTGAATCGAATTCAACAAGAAAATTTTCTACTAATGGCCAACCAAGAATCAATGTACGATGATAATCATAATAAGTCAATGATGTTATTTCTGATACGATAGGTTCATTTAAATTTTCTATATTTGTGTATAACCATACACGATTTAAATCAATGCGATATTTTATTTTCAATAATGATCGCTTTTGATTTGTTTTACCGATAATTAATTCATTTTTATTTGTTATTATAAATAAACGTCGACAGGTTCTATAATCTCGAAATAATGTTACACTTGCCCATAAATCATAGGAATCAAATATTCCAAACGATGTTAAACAACGTGTTATATCAATATCATGTGCAGTTAGATCAATACTTGAATGTTTACTACCAAGAATATAACGACTTATCGAACGAGATTTACGTGTTAATGGATGCGATTCTCGAGATTTTTTTCTCAAGCGTACATCAATAGGAATGTGATCGTCTAGTTGATTATTCATTACCAAAATAGATATGTATTATTTATTTATTAAAGCTAATATAATACAAAGCCATCTAAATATAAACAAAATGGAGATATTTCTTTTTGTCTATGAATTAAGAACATTTTTCCTTTTGTATTTTTTTCTTCGTTTAAGATGAAGAATAGAAAAAAAGCCAGTAGTGACTTGTACAAGTTAAACTAATTAGATAAAAAGCAAAACGATTCATGACGCAGTTTGCATTATCTCTATTGTATCGTTACATAAACCAACCATGGAAGATAAAACTATTCTATTACATGTTAGATAGCGAAATCTATAGATGTCGACCGCAAAGGACTATATTTTTTTTTTAATAATAAATTTTTCAAAAAGACCAAGTTGAAGGTTTTTTGCAGGTCTCCAAACTCTTGAAATGTTCCTTCGATGCGGCAAGTGCACAGGTTTAGAGTTACAATAAAAGTTCTCGGGTCAGAATATGCTGCCATTTCTTGACCCAGTACAGCTATTACTTATAAAGTCTATTACTTCATCATTAGCCTAATTATTTTTGAGTAAATTTATTTTTAATTGATAAGTATACACATAAAATCGCGTTCTGTCATGTTATAATAAAATGGCATCCATTATAGAATAATTGACATAGCTACATAAAAAAGAAAGAGAGACGTCGTCTTTTGTACTTGCAAAAGAAAAAGGTAAATTAGCATATGTGAAATGTACTTTGTTTAAAAAAGTAACAGCTTCTATGTGACTGAAACCAGAGAAAAATCTCTGGTGGATCGTTCCGTTTTATATTAACTACTCTACTACTCCGAATAGGGAGTGAAAGATATTGTCATCGTAGAAAAAAATAATATATATATATATATTATCTATGCTAAAATTCTTTTATCGAATTCAGTACGTTTTTAACCTTTATGTTAATAGTGATAAGAGAAAATACTTTTATTAATACTAAAAGAATTTTTACAATCGACGAGAACAGTAACTGGGTAATAAATCACTTATGTCCTTCGTGTTCGTTTTGAGTTTCACATAATCTCGTCGCTTTTCTTTACTGTCATTTATCTATGTGCCTGAATGGAATATACAATAAAAAAACGCACGATCACTATAAAAAAAAAAGAGATTCTACGATATTGCATATGAGATTGTCACGTCAACTTCGATTCTAGTATAAAATAACACAATCTGAACTTAATTCACATGATCGTAAAGAGAGTTTGATAGACTTTGTAATGTATATAAAAATATTATTATTATCTATTAGTTTTGCATTCGCGCAAATTTCTCCAGGCAGACGTAAGCATGAAAGATCTGTCATTTTTGTTTTTATTCATACGATAGGATTGTTGAAAATAACTATTTATAGATCTTACTTTTCATTATAAAAGGTTAAATGGAATATATAATGATGATAGATTATGCTTTCAGACTTCGAAACTATACAAGTTCTATTCTTTGCGATAGAGAAGAGAGGTTGATTTCTTCCAAAAAAAACAACATTAACATACAATGAGAATATTAAAATATCTTCCTCTTATCATTTTCAAGAATATTTTAAGCTTTTACTAAATCTATTGACAACAAGACGATATACTAGACGTAAGTAAAATATTTTTGACAATGCCGTCTAAAAGGTACATTTCTACTATTATATTGCGTGATTTAAAACTTGATAATAGGAGACCTCCACATATTGCTATTAGATTAAAGTTCAAAGTGTTCTACAGCACACTCTATTCCGTTTACCTTATTTAACAGATGTCATTTCAAATTTAAAACTGAATCAACAGTAGAAAATCCACGCAACTTCAACTAAAGAAGGCCATTTTATGTATAGAAAAAGTTCTGTCATTTCGGAATAAAAAACATTATTTTAGTCAAACGAGTCAACGAAAACATACAAAGAAAAAAGAATAATAGTAACGTACTAAACTACGAATACATACCATAGTCTATCAATCACAAGTCAAGATATTTATAACTGTGTTAATAGAACAACAAGAAAAAGAGGTCTTCAACTGTCTCTTAACCAATACGTCGCAAGGTCTCTCTTCAAATCAACGAAAAATTACTGGCGCAATTTTCATAATAAAATAAAGTATCACTAGAAATTTGATCATCAGTACCTTCAAAAATGTTGTTTTTGTCACCTATGCATACTATATAATAATATATATATTGAAAAGAAATGCAAGAAGCTGTTGAAAAAAAACAAATGAATTGTTATTTTGGTGGTCGTTTCTTATACTACTCAGTGAGTGATGTGATTGATTTTTAATAATTTCAAATTATATATGCACAATAGGCACTCGTGTTTTTTCGCAATAGTTGTATATAATACAAAAAAAGAGAGAAATGAAAAGAAAAACGAGAAAAAAAATCAGCAAATGTAATATTTTATTATTTTTTTCTACTTACATACTTATTTAAATATTGCCATGAATGATAACAAAACTGCGTAATTGATGGACATTGAGAAATGAGGAGAAAAAGATTTGCTATTCTTAACATGCAGTACATTCTTATCATTGAAAATGTGAAATCAAAGTTATTCTTGATTATGTCAACAAAAGATGTATACACTTCAATGAAAAAGAAAAGAAAAAAAGATTGTTTGTGATTGAAGCAGCATCTCCTTGTTGAGCAGTACATTATTCTGTATGGTGTCTGTGCATGCACATCTCCAACAATCGGCGGCGGCGATGTTGTTTCTTTTATTGATGACCTTCGTAGTCTGATGAATGTATCAAAAGTAGTAAATGAAATACGGATGCCGTAAGCATTCTCATTTAAACGAACATTTACAAATATTAATATTTAGTTGCCCTACGTGTATATGATTTATTACGTTGATGACCATGTACTGAATTCATGGTGTGGTTCATTAAAAACTTTAATGCGAACTACATTCGTACACTGTAGAAATAAAATAGTAATACATTTTTGTTAGATGAATCAAGTTTTCGATGAATCCAGTATTCAACAAAAATGATTGGTCGAGAAAAAATTTTCAAAAGTGACTTTGAAAATTAAAAATTTCTCACAGAAATTGTTTTCACGTTGTCGTTATTAGATTATCGTTGATTTCAATGCTTCTTTTATATAATTATAGGAACAGAAATTACTCTCGTTGGAAATCGCATGTTCTTCCCAAAAATATGACGTAAACGATTAAGAATCAATAAGAAAAAAAACGAAGTGGTTCATTGAAGTCATTAAGTCTGAAAAAAATTTCAATAGAAAATCCTTGGCGGGGATCCTTACCTTAAAATATTTCTTTGACAAAAAACTAATAAACTGTATGGCATTGAATGCATTCTTTTACTTTTGTGTCATTCATAATGTATCCTCGAAGCTCTTTAAAAATGTGTAGATAAACAGATTATCATGAAAAGTTCAAAATTGAAGGTTTTTTTTTGAAGAATCATCTCCGCTCTTCAGAAGCATTAACGTTGATTATATTATCACAATAGAAAAGAACGCTTAGATACTTTGCCAAGCTAGAAGCTGCGTACAAATATTCGTAAAACAGGTTTGTTCTTTTGAACTAATAAGATGAAACGCTGGAATTTTTGAATCAGTGAAATTGATTGGTTTGCTCTCATTTCTACGGAAAAAGATGTCTATTCTACTTCTGAATGTTTAACCCTAGTTGAACAGTATAGATCGAGGATCATTAATTTTATTTTGAAACTAGTTGATACGTGATGATAAACAATATTGTAGCATTCGCTATCAACTGATTGCGTCCGATCATCTAATGAATCTCATCTTAAATTTTCGAACTAAATTAATTACTATAGCTACTATTCGATAATAAAAGAATTTGGTGACCGTGCAAGAATATCTGTCTTGCGGTTGAATATACGTATAGTACTTCGTTGATTACCACAATTATTTTCATGTAAGTTTAGAAAAACTAACTTCACACGCTCGTGGAAGGAGACAAAAGTGCGTTTCGATGCTTGCTTTCCCCCCATACTATTCGTGTATATTAAAATCAATACTATAAGTATTTTTATTTACGTATGAAAAAATTCAAACAAACTTCTCTCTCTCTCTCTCGCTCAATATGATTTGATAGTAAAAACAGTTCTTTGTATTTCTCTGATATTTGATCATTCTTCAACTAATATTATAACAATAAGATTTCTATATGCGCTGTTTAATATGAGATATAATAGTAATTTTAGCTCACATTTAGCCTTAAATATGTATATCCTGTTATTTCTTCTTCTCAAGTGTGTACTCATCTATACATATTAGAATACACAAAAAAGTGATGGTAGTAGAACAGAAAGTAAATACAGAAACAAGGTTATGGATCTTTATTCAGGCAATGTCCGGGATTCGAGAACATGGAATTTTTTAGATTTGTTACAATTGAATAGAATCTCAACGATAAAAACTATTCCTTATCATTGTATCGTGCTGAAACCAAGGCCAAGAAGTTCGTTGAATGAATCAAGAGGCCTATTGAAGAACAAATAATATATAGATTCGCAACGAATTCAATCGAGGATCGCTAACGAGAACAATTAATTTAAACAATTAATTAAATCCAAACTCGTGAAGTTTCATTCTAATGTTCTACAATCACTTATTTATATGTGCGTTAATATATTAAAGACGTTTCAATAGCTAACTAATAAAATTTCAAATCTTTCGTACTTACTTTCATTTTGTGCTCCATGAATAAGTACCATATTACCTTCGATCGATCGATCAAAACTTTCGAACATTCAGCTATTGTCGCGTGTAGGCAACTAGGACTTAGAGAAGGTGAGACAAAAACGAAGGCGAAGAAGAACACAACGGATTTACATTGAAGGTGACATGTAATCTAATACTTCCGACGTGTACCATATCATCGAGTTCTTGTCGAAATAAATTTTATTATTATATAATTACTTGAGGAAATGCACAGCTGTATTTTGTTTTTCTTTTACAGTTGAAATCAATGATCCGTCAATTGTTTTAAAATAGTCCATATTGAAAAATATTTAACTATGTCGTGCTGATGGAGGAAAATTTTAGATTCAGACTATTGGTAGGATTCACTGTGACATTTAGGAAAGCTTAAAATAATTCTGATGTGTTAGTGTCTGTTATCGAACTATGATCAATTTAATGAAAATGTTACTAAGAACAAAGAATTTTCGTAAGACTTACTTTTGTCATAGGAAGACATAGCACTTTAATCGATTGGAAAAGAAAGACACTCGTTTTTTGCGCTAGCAGCCTTACGACCTTTTTGCATATTATTGAATCTGTCTGCCAGAAACTCTCTCGTTTCATTATCGAAACCATAACTCTTTGTCAGTAGTTTGTAAAATGAAGACGAATGACATTCAAAACTTCTATACATTCCCTTAGTAGCAAGATTGAGTAAATAAGTCAATTAAAAGTTTCTTTGCTCTCCTGGAAAATCAATTTTTATTCTATTGCATGTCATTTCTTACCATTCAGTTCCATAATGTCGAGAAAATGATCGTTGATTTATTCAAAACGATTATATTTGACTTTTATTGCATGAAATTCATGACTGTCAAATATTTTCTATTCATGTTTGATCAAAAGCTCGCAAATTTGTGACCTAAATATATTTTAACGAGTGATTTTGGTTTTGGATAAACAAATCCAAGACAATATTTCTTCGTCTAGCGCATACTTATTGTCAACTTCTTCAGTTAGAATTTCTATTCATTTAAAAGAAAGACTAGAAAAGAAAACAATCACAGTTAAGTGGCAAAAATGAGTTCACGCGTAAGATAAATATATGTAAAAGGTCCTTGATGGTAACTTTCATAGGTAATATTTTTTGAAATGCTTCTTTCTACAGCTGGTTCGATTTGTGTTCCTTCACCCCATTCATTAAATGATGTTATTGTTACAATTCTATCGTTACCTTTTGGTAGATCATTGAACATTTTTTTATAATATTCTCCATTTTGTCTCGGTCGTGTTGTTCCGCCATTCCATGGTCTAACATTTGTATCAATATAGCCAGGCCCAACACTTGGAATAAACGGTATGGATTTACATTGGCCAACCGTGAAAGTCCATCGTTGCGAAGTTGATGCTTCAGTAAACCCATTCGCAGCGAAATATGAATAAGCCGCATCGAAGCCAGATGATGCTAATGGTTGACATTCATTAGATTTAAGAATGAGACCAACAAAAAAAGCTTCTTGCTTCATTTTTTCATTAGAAAAAAGTTTTTGACGCCATTCATGTGCAGATATTCGATAAGAATCATAAATATAAAAAACACCTTTTCCATTGTAACGATAAAATGCTTGATGCGAGCCATATTGACGAAGGATATATTGTGTCCAATGTATGACATTGTCAACTGTTCGATTTTGATATGGTTCAATATGAAAGCAAACCTAAGGAAAACGATTTAAATTATTGAGCAGAACTTCCCTTTTTTGTTTTGTTTTACTTTCAATTGATATTTTCCAGCTTTATTTAGTAAAAGCGGTATAATATCATCCGATGGACGTCCTTCATCATCGGCCATACTTGGTGGATACCAACTTATTGATAGAGTACCTTGAGAAAAAACTTCTCATCTATTATTCCTGTTCAAACTAATTATTTTCGTCTACCTGCACCACTCATGCGAATCATTCGCATATGTTTATCGAGAATAACACGAGAACGAGAACTATATGGACCAAGAAATGGATAAAAATTACTACCAATATCATCCGGTGGCTGATGTCGATGCTGTGGGTAATGTACGGCTTTTTCACGATTCCAATGAGCTAATCGACGATGATTCCAATGCAAATATTGGCCACCATCATATTCTGGAGTTCCATACCTTTGCGTTTTTCAGTACGAGATTCGCCTGTCATGAAATTAAAATTCGACTTACCATGGATAATAAAAAATATGATAATTATATTTAACAGGTGTATGTCGTATGAATGTATCAAGATTATCGATTTCATATAAAAATAGGGATTCAGTTGTTACAGATGGAGAATGTGGATGAGGTGCATCTTGTTCATAATTTATTGATAAACTTCGATATAAAATTGAACACCAAACCAAAACAATTAAAATAAAACCAATGGCAAACCATCGGATTCGATGTCGACGCGTACGCAGTTGCCACATTAAACATCTGCAGACAAAGCAAATATTCTTTTTAGAGTTAAACAAGGGACGTTGGTGACAAAACAGAAAAGATGAAACTTTTCAACTAGACTTATCAACGCTCCAGTATTAAGAAAAATATATGACGTGGCACAAACTAAAATAGACACAAATTCCTTTTGCTGCTAAGTGAATAGTTGTCAAGTATGAGTTCAGATAATATAGACTGGCAATGCCTATCGATGCGAAAGAAAGGCTCAAGACATCTGCTAATTAAGCCATTAGGATGCGCCTGGCTTGAGTATTGTCGTGAAAATTCAAATAGAGCTGTGTTCATTGTTATTCAGTAACATTTATTTATAAATAAACTCTGCAATAGACTTGAAATTTGATGAAGTGAACCTTGAGATATCATGGAAAACAACGCATGAAATAGCAAGGATCGTGTTTCTTGATTTCAATGATCATACCTGTGTGTATAATTTGATGAATAGTATTAATTGCATATATCAATGATGAAAAATAGACTATCAATAGAGCGGAAATTTTATCTGCATTAAAAATTTTCTTCGCCGCTCATAGATTGACTGATCCGAATCTCTCGTTTGTATTTTTAACTTTAGCAAAATGAATATTTAAACTTTGCAATTGAATATATCTCATATGATCAGATAAAACATTGTATTTTTCATCTTGTTAGTAAATCTAACTATCAAACTACTCACTCGCTAATAATCCAATAGTTTCATGTATTCTATATTCATTCGTTATATTTCGACGCGAATTATAAATTCCTATCTATATATGAATGGCAAATATAAACATTTATATCAAACAATAATCCTAGAAAAGCTTTTTTTTTATTTTATGTTTTTTTTTATGAGTCTAACAATCAGCATATATGAAAAAAGGGAATAAGTAATATATGCTTGTATAAATCATGCTTGTGAGAGAACAAAAAAACACGATGAAAAACTGTTTAGCGCTTTTTACGTTCCAATTCTTCAGTAGACGCATCGAATTTCGGATCTGCTATATTGATCATTAATGCTTGAGCATCAAGAAATGCACGATTTGAACTTAATGAAAGCTAGAAAAAGAAAAAAGAAATGAAATACATCAGCAACAATTGTAATCTTTTCACATACCGTTTTGGCAATGTTTTGGGCAGCACGAATTCTACGTAATTTCAAATAGCCAGGGTTTTTACTAATGGCATTACCAATCTAGAATAAAAGGAAAAAATTTCGATTGCCGTTTTTCTTCAGTCTCTTATTTATGAGTTGTACATACGAGTTTAGCAGATTCAGCGTCACCTTCAGCTAAAACAATTTTTTGTTGACGTTCTTGTTTAGCTTGTTCAACAGTAAATACGGCTCGTTGGGCTTCTTGTTGAGCAACTTGTTTAGCTTCAACAGCGGCTGAATATTGTGGACTAAAACTAAGCTCAGTTATTGATACATCATCAAGTAATATATCAAAGTCTTTGGCTCGTTCAATAAGGTCAAGACGAATTAAATTTGATACTTGTTGCCGTTGAGTAATCAATTGCGATGCGTTAAATTTAGCCACAACACCTTTCAATACTTCGTTACATATCGATGGTAAGACACGTTCATCCCAATCTAAACCTAATGCTTGATATAATTTCGGTAGTTTCGATTGATCAGGTCGAGCTAAAACTCGAAGAGCTAAAAATTGAAATCAATTATTTCGTTGATAAGAAATTAAATGGGTTGAAAATAAACAAACCAATAGTGATCATTTGAAGATCTATCAAAGAAAGGAAAAGTGTAAAAGATAACGAAAGAAGAAGAGAACTATCGAACCTTTGCTTCCAGTAGGTGATTTAATTATACGAGGTCGAGCTCGGATATCATATAGAATTGGATATTGAAACCATGGAACTCTGTGAAAGAAAAAATTCTTTAATTAAACACACAAAACTCTTCTTATACTTTCTACCTAAAATGTAAGCCTTCGCTATAGATTGTATTTAGGTCAACACCACCAATACGATTAAAAATAATAGCACGATAACCACCCTCAACTATAAAAGTCGATTTGTTAAATAAAAGTTTATTTTTTTGTATAAAATTACCTGTAAACATGGATCTATATACTCCATAAACGGCAGCTGATGCTCCAACAAGTAATTTAAGACCTAGACCTAATCCTTTAGGTGCACCTAGAGATAAACGACTGGCGAAATCATTTAACTTTTCAGCCATATTAACTGTGTTCTAATCTAAAATGCAAATCATTTTACAGAAAATTGATTTCAATTAAACAAATAAAAATTTTGAGAATATTATTCTGGAAGGGACATTTTTTTCAATGATGGATTTGTATTAAGTAATTGATTAAAAAGAAATGATACTTCAGTGTCAATAGATGTTATAATCGATGACACATCGTCTTGTATTGATGAACGATGATCCTAAATGAAAGAAAAACTACATTTTTTAAATCGAACCTGTAGCTAAAATGTAACATTTTGCAGAATAGAGTTTGAGCTACGAACTTTTTTAAATATTTCTTTATCAAATGTCTATAGCTCGAAGATAGTAGGTCTGCTATACAAATCACGGCGTATAAAACTTTTACGTAAAGAAATTTCTAGGACAATATTTGCAAGAATCATTTTTCAGTAAATCCATTGTTACACTGAGACATCGAGAGTCCCAAGAACATAGTATAGAAACCATCAAATCATTAGGTAGACGTACTGACTTCAAAGAAATTGTCGCTATTGAACTGTTGAGATTAAAGATCTAAAATATTTCAGTACGAAAACAAAAAACAGTAATATACTAGATTTTGTATCTATCTGATAAGCTAACAATTCGAGTTTTCTTTCGAAGTACCTAAACCTTTCTATAAGAAACTTTGACCACTACATTTATTCATAACTCGACTAAGATCATTGAAATCAGAAGATGACTTTTTCATGATTCATACATTTGATATCCATAATTGTTGAATTTGAACTAATGCACTATCAAGAGTATCAATAGCAGCGTTGAATTTTTGTTTTTCTGCTTCTAAATTTTGACAATCAATATTATATAATATGTCATGATTTTCAATTGTTGTTGTTGGTTGATCGAGCACACTTTCCTATTCGAAATTGAGATTGCAATAGAAAAATAGTAATATTCATTCTTCGCTTACCATCCATTTCCAAAAGATATTTTCATGTTTATTCCAAAACAGAAATAAATTTAATTTTTCATCATCTTTCTCAAGTTCATTCAAATACTTAAATTAAAAAAGAGTTAATTCTCCATGAAAATAATCTAATTCAATTACTTGTGATATGAGATGAGGATATTGATAAAGTTCTAATTCGAATGATGACATTCGATCATTCTGTTGCAATTTTTTCTGTTCAATCGCTCGTAAACGAGAACGAATTTTTAAATTCGTACGTTTAACTTGTGTAATCTGTTCTATTAGATCATATTTGAGACTTTGAAGTTCATCTGACTGTTAATATAAAATATAAAATATTTCCATAAAAACGGCCATAATAGTTCGAGTATACTTTATTCTTATTTGACATCGAATTTAGACATAGTTTTATACATTTATCAATGAATTTAGTATGATAAATGAGCCAACCCAAACAAACCAACAGTTGTCGACTACCCTTTTGCATGTTACTATCAAGTGATAAGAAATTATCATAAGTATAACCACGCTTATAGAGATCGTTTTTTATTAAATTAACGATCTCATCTAAAATAATTCAAATGCAATAAATTCAATTAGTACGAGTCTGAAATTATGTTTTGAATAGAAATCTATTTTTATATTCCTTTCGAAGCTAACATTATCTTTAACAGAGCTCCGAACAAGTCGGCTTTTTTCTAATATAGTCAATGCTGTAAGCCTACATTAATTTATCAAACAAGTTGGTGTTCTAGTAAAAGACGAGAATATCTACATTTTTTGAAAAAAAAACTTTGCTATCGATATTTGTTTTTCTAATTTAAAGAAATCTTCTATAACATAACACGATTCAATCATGAATTTGCAAAGGTATCAAGGGGGAAACGGCAGACTTGAAGTAGAAAAGTACATTAAAGTACTTTATTTGAAGTAAGCTTAAAGTAACTCAAAGTAGCTCAAAGTAGTCCAAAGTAGTACAAATTAGCTTGAAGTAATTGCAAGTAACTTCAAGTGAATTTGAAGTTGAAAAGTACTTCAAAGTACTCTACTTGAAGTAAGCTTAAAGTAGCGCAAAGTAACCTAAAGTAGCACAAAGTAGCGCAAAGTACTTGAAGTACAAAAGTCTGCCGTTTCCCCCTTGAAAGGTATGCTCAAATAATGAGGCAATTGTAAAGAATTCAACACGCAGACTTTTGCTCGATATCACCGTTGAAAATATCCTAATCAGTTTTATTCGGATCGATTAATGAATAGAAGTTATATTCCTCTATGTATCTATTTATCTATTGATAGGTTCAAATAGTCACACATTAAAATACCTTTCTGTGTTTGAGAAAATTTATCTTTGGTAATTTCTTGACTGGATGGATTTGAATCGAAATGAATTAGTTCATACATTAATTTCCATAACGGAACAGTCTAAAAGAATTTATAGTTACAAACATGTATTTGTTGTAATTCATATTGAATCTTACCGCTTCACTTTGATCATATTTAGCCAAACAAAACATTTCCGATGTAATCATCGAAAATCCATATGATGATAAAATCTGACAAAAGCAATTAATTACTGGACGGACTTCTTCTAATGACATTCTAAAGTAACACATATTCATTATTTATTTATTTTTAACAAAACAAAAAATCTTTCTTTTATTAATATATATATATATATTTATGTATATATGTATAGAATTTTGTATGTTTAATAAATGAAAACAAAAGAAGCAATGAAAAAAAGAAAAAGAAAAGATTTTTGTTTCATACATCATATATCTCGCTCTATTATTCACTTAGAATAGAAAAAGAAAACAAACAAATAAACATGGAATATCCAGCTACCTAATCTAGGTCGCATAGAAAGAAATACAAAAACAAAAAAAAAAAGGAAGGAAAAAATATACAAAAACAAAAGTGCACATGCAGGACTATATTTCTGTTTTTGATCATTGATTAGGTTTTACTTTTTATTTCTGGTGTTATTGTTGAATTCGGAGTCCATTGTTGTGGATGTCGTGTCAGTATGAGATTCATAGAAGAACTGTTCATCGTAGGTAAATCAATAGAAGATGAATTTGATGAATGATTCGTGTTATTGGGTGGTGACGGTGGTGCTGATATTATTTTACGACTACGACGTGATGATACACGTGTAGGAATAGTCACTTCAGGCTTTGTTGATTGTTGAGGAGATAAGCGACTGGAGATGAAACGTTTTATGAAGACAATCGTGAATGCAACAGAAAACCTTTACCTGCTACTGGAAGGTCGACCACGTTTTCCTTTAGTAGTAGCTGATAAAGGTGAAATCGAGGGTGTTGGCGCGGGTGGATCACATGCAGAACATTGCCATGATCCATCTGGAATGGCTTCGAGACCAATACAATATGTATGATACCCACGATCACATCGATCGCAGAACATCATATTAGCCTATAAAGTAATAATAATATTTGATCGGTTCAATCATCGGATGCGAAACTTAGCAAAATACATCTAACTCATGCTAGTTTTTATGTTAAGTTACACTAAACGTCGTATTAAAGCTAATACTATGGATTTTCATTCGAATAAGTATCCTAGCGTTATAAATAGAAAGTCTTGCGATAATGATAAAATAAAAGTTTCATTATCAAAATAGAGTAGAATATCTATCAAACTCTTCTAATCTTGTTGAAACGTCTATCCGATTTTTTTAATAGTCTATAATGATAGAGATATTTACTAGTTGATTATAACTAAAGATTTAACAGTTAACTATAAAAAAAAAAAGCTACTATTTTAATTTATATATTTCTATACTAAAAGAATATATTCAAAACGCCAATCCTTTTAAAGAAGCAAAGACTGGTACACTCTATTTACCATGAAACAGTTTTTATATTAAATAAATCATTTGTTTTCTAAACTTACTTCGTCATGCGTTTTGTTACATTTAGCACAACTTTTACAGTCAATACATTGCCATTGATATGTTTTAATAATAGATAGCATATCACTATTAGCTTCAAGACAAGTTGGATGAAACTGATGTTGACAACTAGCACACGTAACTAATTCTTCATCATGTTCGTCTTGTGTCATTTTACACCCATGACATACAGCTGAGTGATTGTTTATTGAAATCGGTGTTGATGGTTTAACTAGACGAGAGGACGATGGCGTAGTAATAGCACCAATTCCATTGACTATTAGTGGTGATCTTGGAGTTGATGGGCGTTGTTGATTTGAAAGTAGAGGACGGTTGGTTGAACTGATTTCATCTTCTTCGTCACTTGATGCAGTCTAAAGAAAGAAAAACATTTATTCATAACACTATTGAACTTTTATGTTATTTTATTGCCGTGTCCTTGAAAAGGATAACATAGTATCTGAAAAATCAACAGTGTCATAGAAAAAATTTGCCACATGACAGTCATTAGTATGGGCACACGGTCAATTTTTATCTATTCAATACTTTTTATTCAGTTTTTCTCGAAAATTTTCCTATAGAATTATCTTTGAAGGTGCATCTTCTATAATAAAAAAAAACAGATTTTCAATTACTCGATATTTAGATTCAACATGCGAAAGAGCAATTAATCCAACAATAAAAATGATGTGATAAAATATTGATAAGGACAAAAATAATTTATCTTTCGAAAATGCTTATCTAATCTGTATAGATGGTCTCGCGTATGCTTATTTACCTGCTGTGAAAATCGTTCCGTATGAATAAGTGACAGAGGTTTGGGATAATAATAAAGTGCTGTATTAATTGGCATATATTTCAATTCATCAGAATTATATTTTTTATAAGAATCTTGATATTGTCCAGGTAAAAGTGCTAATGGATAAGAGCCAATCTTGGTTAAATTCGAGGGTAGGCGAAATTGTCTATTTGCAGGATAATGTATTTGCTAGACAAATAGAAGAATACAAAAATTCAAATTTACGAACACCAAGAATATAAAATAACCAACCATAGTTTGAAGATCGAAACAAGCTTTACGCTCTTGAATTCGTTCTCGTTGTAGTTGTGCATTATAATCAACGACTGATCGTAATATATCTTGTCGAAATTTCTTCAAAATATATAGAAAAAACTGCAATTTTAAACTCAAAACTAGAAAACAAAAGTTCATACAGAAACTCGACTTTTATCTCCATTTTCAGTGGGATTAACCGATGGACTATTCGATGTAGATATGGACGATTGATTTAAATTTGATAAAGATAAAATTGTTGTTAGACTACCATTCTTATTGTTTGCAAGTGCACGCCGTTTCTGTTGCCACACAGTATTGAATTGCTAAAAGAATTGAAAAGTCAATACACTAAGAGTTACATAAGGAATTCAACAACGAAAAAAATGAAAAGGTTCTATTTCAAAGAAGAGACAGTGTCAATTATCTATAAGCAGAATATTTCAGGTGTAGGATGTGAAAATAATTTTCTGTTCGGCCATGCTTTTCAGATTGTTAGTCACGGAAATTTCAGGAATTCAATCATATTTTGATTTTATATTTTGCGTTCACTGTTCGAAAGCAAAACAGTTTCCACTTTTTTTTTTAGATAGGGAGTGTTAATATAAGCAGTTACTTTTATGGCACTTCAGTGCATTTTTAATTATTAAGAGAAACATTTAAACCAACAAAATTGACTTGTTGCTTTTTCTTATTGACAATCAGGAGATCGTTCATATCTAAAGAGTTCATTTTCATAGAATGGTCAATATGAAATATTTCTCTTCGTTATGTGATAGATTGAGACAGACATATATCAGACTATTCTATTCTAAAATCATCATACATAGAGTAGGTTTTCGTGTGTGCCAAATAAAAGCTTCGTATTTCATTTAAATTTATTTTGCTCTGGAGAACTAGATTTTCATCTATCGAATCAAAAGATCTCATGATGTGACTGTTACCAATGATAGATTCTGTAAGAGTAAAAATACCTTCTTCCTCGACACTCATAAACACCTTATGAAGAAGATACATAGAAATCAAGCATTGACATTTAGTAACACTTACATGGCATTTTTCTGGATAATCAGTTGACATAAGTTCTAAAACTTCATCAAGTTTAAGCGCTGTTAAACCAAGATCACATTGAGTTTCTGTGACAACATTTTGAGACTTTAAATATTCTCGTTCATGTAAATCAACAATACGCCGATAAATATCTATCAATAGCAAAGACATTGTTTTGTTGCTATTTACTTAAAAACAAAGAAACCAATACCAGGATATTTTCGTTTGAATGATTTGAGCGATAGATAATCACAAATTTGTTCTTGCAGTACATGTAAATCAGCATGAGGTTCGTCTGCTGGCCATCGATAGACATGTAATTTATCAGCAGATATATGTCGCCTAGAAAACAGAAAACTCTTAGTTTATAAAACGAAATACATTGGTGTAAACAAAACAAACCCTAAACTTTGATCGATGTCTATTGTTGTTCGTCGTTTTCGACTTTTTTTCGTTGGTGTATCTGCTGTCGTAAGCGAATGATTACTTTCGTTATTGTCATCTCGAGTCAAACTTGGCGACCGACTGCGTTTAAGAGGTTTACTTGTGGATTCAGTATGATTATAATTGATATGATTATTTATTGAAGGTAAAATAGCAACGTCCGATGATGCTGTTACTGATGAATGCATTGAACTATTCATCAATTAGTCTAAAGTTTAAATAGAAAAAAAAAACGTGTTTTCTTTGCCCTTCAATTCAATAAACGAGATACTATTGTATTGCCATTTCGAACTTATTCATGCCTCATTGAGGTGAACATTGTAACAGACGAGAAATACCTTCTCGATGAAGAGAAACAAAAACCTTTTCTAAACATTTTATCATTCGAGATTCTTTTTAGTTTTATGCAAAAAAGAGAAAACATAACAAATAGAGGGCGCTAAGAGTTACGAGAATGCGTTGATAGTAGTGCAATAGCGCAAGTTAATATCATGTGTGATTCATCAGCTGAAAGTTGCGCTTTTACGTATGGTATTGACACTAGTTATCGAGAAGATGTTACGAAACCATGGCAGCCGATCAAGCAATTCACCTAATTTTCAACAATTATATACAAGTCGCTTTGTACCATTATTTATACACTTGATTCTCTTAGTACTAGTTTTTGTTTTTCGAGTAAGTTATCCCCACACAAAAAAAGCATTAACGAAAAAGAAATGTTTTTAATTGAGTTTACCAACTTTTCATTGAAATGTTTTCAAGTGATATTTTTTTCTTTATTTCTTCAGGATGATCTCGCAAGTAATTGTAGCACTAGTGATTATGCAGGTGCACCGAGTGCCCTCACATGGTAAGTAAATTTCGAATTGTATCTATCATGTTTATTAATTTTTTATTCGAACAGGTCCGACGGTTGGACAGGTGCATCACTTGGCTTAGTAGTGGTTGAAATGATTTTAGCACTATCGGGTTTATCTATCCTTCGACGCTACGCTATTTTTTTCTGTAAGATAATCTAGAATTTGAGTATGATTGAGTTATCGTTGATTATTTTTATTTTTAGCAATCGTATTACATTCAACAGCTTGCGTTCTCATAAGCGCTTATTTTATGTCGGATATCAGTATCTGTACGGGCTCACCTTATCTACTATTCTTTTGTACGTTTTTACCGTTGATTATTGAATTGATCAGTTGGATCGAAATGTTTGCATTTAACAAAGAACTGTGAATGCTTTTCTTGTCTGTTTCATTTTTTGTGTTCATAATTTGATCAATATTATTCCGTCCTTTAAATTTATATATTAAATGAAATTAGAATGTTGAGTTTTTCGTATTAACGTTTAGATAATAACGTGTGTCTAACTTTTAGAGAATGGCAACAGGAGAGCTTCCTTCTTATTCAGCCATTCCAACTGCTGATAGCTCAGCGTTGAACTCGTATGGCGCATTATCAAATTCAAACGACATAGAAGTATTACCATCAACTACAATTACTATTCAAACACCGGTGCATACTTATGAATGTGATTCTGCAAGCTCAAGTCCTCATAAAACTCCCAAAACTCCATGTTTGAAACCTCACCAATCTGAAACTATATTTGCTATATGTTTGTTTACACTCGGAGCTAGTTTATTAATCTATGTTATTGTTTCATATTGGTTTACACATAGTCAAATATCTCCAATGATTATATTTATATGTGGTTTACTATGTTTTATACCTGGTTGTTATTATTTAGTTGAACATTATTGTTGTTTTTCACCATGTCAACGAAATCGTCGTCGACACTCGCCAATAGTCGATCAAGATGACAGCACTTAAATCGTACAAAAACAAAATCTCGAAAAACTTCTTTTTCATTCTAAAATCTCTTATATATATATATATATATATATATGTACATGCATATATATCTACGTATTTTAACGCATCTCATTTTTATCTCCTTATATAAAGAAACGTTGTTGGATTAAAAAAGCATCTATTATTTTGTATTTGATTTTTTTAGATGAGTGTTATGAATTTCAACACAGATCTATTTCGTGACTTAACATTTGATCTTCTATCGGATATTTCTCATGATTCAACAAAATTTGACGAATTAAATCAATCTTATTTAAATAAAATCCACGAACGCATCGATGGAGATGAGTTAATAAAATATACGAGAGAATTTTATGAGAAAATTCTTTGTAAGAAAATTTTAAAAGCAAAAGAATATGTATGAAATTGCATTTCCTTAGCACTACAAATTGTACAAACAAATCGAAGAGCTCAACTAAAAGACTTAATGCACGGAAATATAGTCATAGTATATTTTTGGACATTTTCTGATATCCAGGTTTCGCATACAATCCACAAAGTGATTGGAATCGATAAGCGATATTCTAGTGCCGATGTAAGCTATGTTTAATCGAATTGAAATAGTTTTATATTTTTCCATATTACAGGAATAAATATTATTTAAAACAGACTTCCGGATTTATATAAAAAATAGGATTTACTTTTAGTAAAGATTATTCAAATAGAAAAAATTAACTCATTGGATTCATATTTAAATCACATTATAAAATGGAGAAAATACATTTACTTTTGATTATCGCTCTCAAAATAGAGCATGTTGTATAAGAAATTTTTATCAGCGTATTAATTTTCTCACATTTAATAAGTTTTCTATATTGTTATTATACACACTTATTATCAAGATACTAACAACCGTGGGAAGAATAAAATAATTATGCTAGCGAACCATCGATCGGAAACAATACTCGAAGTTGCGATTAAATGTGCGTTTTTATGTAAAAACAAATTTTGAATATCGAGATTTGAACTTATCAAAGGATACTTTTGGAGAAAGTAGTGAGTTTAACTTTCATTTAGTGCTTCTGTGGTTTCTCTTTAACAGTTGATAACTAAGATCAGAAGCCAATCAGTGTATTTTCCTTGTAATGATGAAAGAAAAAGACCAACGGTCATATCATGCGTTGTCATAGCAGTCTTAGATAGGACACGTTGGTTCTGACTGCCAGAATTTCTAAGCTACGAGCAAAAATCGTGAACAATATTAGTAGTACGGCACTAACTCTTGTTCGAAATTCTAATAATTGTAATACATTCGTGTATGTTCTCAATGTTGTCTAAGTCATTATATAAATTATAGTAAAAAACGTGTCAATTGGTGACATTGAGAAATAGTTGATATCTGTATTACTCAAGCCTATTACGATATGTAATAGTAAGTGAAGCTACTTTATTTTAGAAATGAACAGTAGGCTCATGCGTCAGTTAAATCCATGGTTAGAATAAGAATTATATTCGATTTAAAAAGTACTTTTTTGATGTAATATCTTAGGAATGCTATTATAGTCTTTCGTTAAATACAATAAGACAGATAACAGATTAGAGTTTAATATTTTAATCTGAAAGATGATTTAGTGATCTGTTTCGCTAAAAATTAATTGTAGAATTTGTTCTTTCAATCAGTTTAAAAGAGATTAGGACTAGAAGATAGTGCAGTGTAGTCCCATCATAATCTATCTTGATGTAAATATTTTTATTTTTTCTTGTTTTTCCATATTTTTTAAGGTCACTGTTATTTGTGTTCATTCTCCGAAATATGACCACGAAAAAAATAAAGCTAATATTATGCATGATATTGAAGAAAGATCACTTCCATTTACAGTCGTTGACGACAGTCGACGGCTTGTATGGAAACATGTTGACTGTCAACTTTGGCCAACAGTACTTGTTTTCGGACCAGATTCACTACCAATATATATATTTGAAGGAGAAAATCACGTGCAACATCTTGAACGATTTCTTGTGCCTGTTTTTACTCATTATAAGTCAAGTTTATATCCAATTCTTAATAATTCACTGGCAACTACAAACTCATCTGAAAATGTAGCTACAATTAAAGCAGGTTAGAAGAATTATTTTAATTGTATTTCAAAATTCAAATAGAGAATTCGCATATTTTATAGCTTCGAAAGTAAAAGACTTTAGATATCCAAGTCATATATGTGTAACTAGTAATGAACAATTATATATTTCATTTGCTGGTTCAAATCAACTGGTTTTGTGCGACATCGATGGAAAAGTCATTGTAGGTGTATTTGTCAGAATTTTAAATAATAAAAAGAGTATCTTCTAGGATATTATTGGTAATCGTAACGCTGGTATGGCTGATGGGGACATAAATCAAGCAGAATTCGATTCACCACATGGTCTTGCAGAGTTTAATAGCTGTATCTATATTGCTGATACCAATAATCATTCCATTCGTGTGGTAAGAAGATATTTAGAAAACTAAATAACAATTATTGATTTGATTTCTGATATAGTTTGATCCAAATTCACGTCGTGTACTTACGATGATTGGTACAGGTCGTTTAGGAACTGACAAAATTGGTGGTCTACAAAGAACTCAACAACCTATTGCTTCACCCTGGGACTTATGTATTACAGAATCACCATGTAAGATTTATTATTTAAAAAAAATAGAGGATACAATCTGAAAAAATAATTATATAGGCCATTTATGCAAGGGGGAACAACAGACTCCATGACTCCAAGAAGATGGAGTCTCTCATTTTCCTCTTAACAGTATGACTCAGTGCCTGAAAGTTGAATTCTCATTACAGAATAAACAGTTCAGCTTTGGGAATTCTACTTCCGGGTACTGAGTAATATTGTTCTGTTATGGGAAGTTTTTTGGACAGTTTCCGACAAAGAAGGAGACTAATAACTATTTTATATAATGATACATATGGCAGAAAAAAGTAAAAACGTATCAGTTTCCCATTTCTATAATGGTTTTCTCGAGATCAGCAGGAATTTTGCGATACTTACTGTGACTCCAAGAGACTCCGTGTGATTACCTGGGATCCTACGTGATTCTATGCAACCAACTGGCTCCATGTGATTCCGGATGACTCCACTTGACTCCGTTTGAGTGAGTCCACCTGACTACGAGGAGTTGGAGTCTGCTGTTTTCCCCTTGCATTGATGTGATCATTCCTTATTTTAATCCTTCAAATTAAAGTTGATTTTTAGAATTGAAAATAGAAAAAAATGCTTTTTTCAAATATTTACAAACAAATCGATCAATATGACTTTCAATTTTTTAGTGTTTTTGATCAAAGATACTATAAGAAATTTCGAAAATGCCATGACAGAACACCATACGAAGTTCGCCGTGTATTGGCGTTAATTTAATTTCTATTGTGGGGTGATCACTTAGAGGAACTTCTAGACCTCTACAGAAGATCGTAGGTAGAAGATTCAGTTTCGTTTATCGACCGAAGAAAGATCCTCGATATATCATGAGGCGCTCATAAATATTGATGATTAGTATATCGATGATGTAGATGTGGTTCGGATTTTCGACGCCTGTTTGAATGAACATATCTCAGCTTTTATTACAATCCATTGAATATATCATCATTTTATTATTTTTCTTACTAGTCGACAGTAAGATAGTATTACTTATTTCAATGGCTGGCCATCATCAAATATGGGCATATGCTTTTGAAGAAACTCAATGGTGGAATGATGTGTATGTAAAATAAAGCATTATTTGAATTAATCGATTAACTTAATTTTTCTATTTAGTATATTAAAAAAGAATTCATGTTCATCAATAATTGGAAGTGGCTTTGAAGAAAATAAAAATAGTTCTGAACCGATGAGTGCTGGTTTAGCATCACCACGTGGCATATGTAATGGTATAATGAATGAAGAGCCAGTTATATTTATTGCTGATAGTAATAGTTCGACTATACGTGTTGTTACACTTAACGATGGGCATGTAGCTAATTTAGTTGGCGGTGTTGCTGATCCAACAGTATCAGAGACGAAATTTTTATCTTTAGAATTGAATGTCTTTTCTTTTTTTAAATAGAATCTTGCTGCATTTGGTGATCTTGATGGTACTGGTCATCATGCCAAATTGCAGTATCCAATTGGTGTTGCATTTCATTACCCATCATCCTATTTGTATATAACGGATACATTTAATAATAAATTAAAACGTGTTGATATGAAAACTTTATTATGTTCAAGTTATTTTGCAACTGATGACGATATGAAAAAGAAACGTGGAGAAACGAATTCGTCTAAATTTTATGAACCGTATGGTATAGCAATATTGGATCATTTTCTATATGTTGCCGATAAAAATAATTCATACATCAAACGCATTGATCTTGATCATGGAACAATCATTGAAGTGAGTTTTTTTTATGCTATGCGATTATATATAGACTACCTAAAATAACATCACACATGAGTTGGATGAGATTTTATCCGAAATCATTCTTTGAGTATGACAGATGAATGCTCTTGAGTGAAGCAAAAAGCTTATAACGAATTCTATATTCAAATTCTATATTATTTTAATGCAAAATTATTTTAAAAGCTCATGAATTCATTTCATACTCTAATTAGAACTAATCTTTTTTCGGAATTTGTCTGTTTTATCAGATCTTTTTTGTAGACACAGATCTATCTCAAACTATATAGGTGTCAATTGTAATGGTTGTTTAGTTAGCATTCTACAATTAATAATACTGATAACGAAAGAGAATTTCTTCTGAATGACTATGTAGTAGTCATATATATATATATATATATATATTATCTGTTATGATTGCATTGATCTCTATTTTATTAATATGAATAATTATAATTATTGATTATTTATTTCTAGCATCGATTCTATTTGAGTGAAATATTAAATGAAGAACGCTCATTCGGTTCGAAACAAGCTTATTTAGCTATTTTTCTAGATGATGCACTTAAGTTACGTGATGGCAATGCTGGTACTTGGACAATTGAAGATGAAGGTTAGATAAGAAAGTTTTTTTCTTTTATGCTAAAATTGAAGAGATCGTAAATTTGAATAGATGGTCTCAAAATCTGTGATGGAGAATTGATATGTCACGTACCTGATCAAATACTACTAGATTATGTTTCATGCGATAAACAGGTAAGGTCACTTAAATATGAACTAATGGTATGTCAAGACAATAAGTGTACGATGATGAATGGTGTAGTGCAGCCAGTTAATCAAACAGATTCAATTATTGAATTTATAATTAAAATTGGCCAGATTGAAACAACTAAATCTAGCTAGTCGTGCAATTCTATTTTGTTTTCTTTATTTTTATGTTATTTATAATCATGCATCTATTTATGTTTTATATTTAAAAATTTTTTCATCTAGAATCTTGCGAATATGTGCTGAAAAAAAAACAATATAAAGAATATACATTAGATGATGTATGCGAAAATTTTAATTTAACTATATAAGAGAGTTTATGCTAGCTATTCTTAAATTGGAGTACCAAAAAAAATCAATATTTTCATCTCAAATTTTTTTTAAATAACTTAGGTTATTGCCTGTAAAATAATTAAATAATCATGTGATCTTGTCAGAATTCTGTAAAAAAAGCTTGTTAGTTTCCTTTGTATACGTTGTATTTGTGGTTATTTTATTTATCAAATAAAATCATGTACGGCAAAAAACATAAGTACATTGATGCATTTATTACCTTCGTTGTTTACTTATGTATGAGCCGGATTTTTATGCAGATTTTCTCGCATTTTGATGTGTTTATTCATAAAAACACTTCTAAGGAATCGTAGCGACCGATGTTTCGTAATCATTAAAATAGACCAGACGTAGCTCGAGAAGATGAAAGTAAATAGGTCGATCACATTTGATTGGAACTTACGACACATGCATTTGCAATTGGAAAAAAATGACCAAGGGAGAATATGCTCTTTTCAGTATTCAAAACCTTTTCATACTTCATTTATCTCCTACTTTTTTCGTTCTCATATTCATGCATATTGCCCAAGAAAAAGAAAGAACCACTATAAATGCCAACATGATTTAAAAGGGTGTTATGCTATCAATTAAAATTTCGGTTTCCTACAGGCATATCTCTTATGAGAACAATCCTTCTACTTGCCATTACACCATGTTCGTGCTTTTTCTAACGAACAAGCAATTATTGCGATTGATAACAAACCGATTCAACTCTTCTTGGTGCTAATATCCAATTTGTTTTTATCTCATGATACATTGTCATTGGTTTAGTTCTTTTGTTTACTCCATTTTCATGAGCATAACGTATTCTTTTCTCTAGTAACTATTTGCTTAAATAAGGGATATATATATATATAATGGTACTTTCAAATATAAGTACTTCACCAATTGTTTTCGGCAGCATTACCCCCATCGTTTCACACAAGACTCTACTTGCCAAATAACGAAGAAAACATGAGCACACACAGTCTACACGCACACGCACACATACACATTACAACTGTCTCTTGTCTCATGAGCTTATTATTGAAAGCAATTATATATTCATTTGATATATTATAGGATAAGGATACGCTAGATTCGCACAACAAACTAAATTCAACGTTCGCTCAAAAGCTTCCTGATAATGTATTTATTTGACCGGTGCTTGTTGCGTAGCTTACAGAATAAATATCGCCGCTAGTCGAGTGAGCTGTTCCGGACAAAGAAAGATCGGCTGCAAGTGTGAATGGACACTGAGATGTCGGAATTGTTTGTCCATTGATAATGCCATATGTATAAATTATTTGTGCGCCACTACTTACACGAGAATAAGTCATATATGAATTAATGGTAGTCCATATTCCACCAAATGAGGCACCAGTGGTTTTTTGCAGGGTAATTATACTGGTGATATTCGTGATAGGAGAAGAGCAGTCACATATTAAGTGTTCGCTGATAAACCATATAGTACTCCCCGCGGTCGATACAGTGCAGTTAACACTTGGAGGCTATGAAGAGACAATAGTTGGAAGTGAATCATGAAATAGATTAGTCTTACAGCCGAGCTTGTTGTTGTAGTAGTTGTTGTTGTTGCTGTCGAAGTTGTTGTAGTTTCAGTCGAAGTTGTTGTAGTAGTTGTTGTTGTTACTGTTGAAGTTGTTGTCATTGTCGTTGTCGTGTCCGTTGTCATTGTTGTCGTTGTTGTAGCAGTTGTTGCTGTTGTAGTTGTTGTTGTCGTATCAGTTGTCGTTGTTGTAGTTGTTGTAGCAGTTGTTGTTGTAGTGGTTGTTGCTGTAGTTGTTGTAGTTGTTGTAGTAGTCGTCGCTGTCGTTTCTGTTGTCGTTGTGGCTGTTGTCGCTGTTGTTGTGGTTATTGTTGTGCTTGTACTTGTAGTTTTGGTCAAAACAGCGACAAGAATTGCAGCAATGGCTATGCCAATAAGAAGAGCAGCTATTATGGACAGAAATAAACATAGCGGTGAACAGTGGCAACAACAGGCCAAAAACATTCTGCATATAAAATCGAAAGATATATAAAGAAAAGAAGTTGAAAAATTTATACCCTCCTTTCCGCTGCCTATTTGAATTTTTACCATGTTTATTAGGCCAATCATTTCGATTCGATCTTAAATTTGTAATCTAGGACAATATTACATATAGCATGCGATGAAAAAAATGCAAACAGTACTTACTATAGTATCTCTGTCTTTTCCTATACGAAACCAGCTACCACTAGAAGCATCCTATGGAAAATACCGATCATATTTATGTTCTATAAAATAGCACCGAATTCACCTGATAATTGGTCATTTTAGATGCTATGGAAAAACTAGTTTGGCTTGCTAAGAGTGATTCATCGTTGAGTTCGTAGCCATTATTTTCGGTTTTTCGTATCGAATAATTATGTAAGCTTGGGGATATCCTGTTTGAGCTGGATTTTTTCAATGTACCGTGACGTGTCTATAACGAATATATAGTACACTAATACTAAGGTTTTTGGTATATTGACAGTCACTGTTATAGGGAGCTTGATTCAAACAAGAACCTATCAGGGTAGCTATATCTTATGTGTCTCACACAAGTGAAATCATAAAATCAAATAATAATACACAAATCTATCATGTGAGAAGAAGTATAGCACAATATCCGGTTTATTCCAAAGTTTGACCTTGACTATCGTAAATGACTTACGTAAGTATACTATCATCATAGAAATCTGTATAACAATACTAGGGACAAGTATTATGAACATTTATTTTGCTTATACATCATATGTGATTGGGTGTTCATGTATATGTCTATAGCAGCACACCTGTGAGTTTATAGTTAGTACTTTTTGAAAAATTTTAAAAATTGAAGAGAAGAATTCAAAATCCTGTGTGAATTAACTATCAATTGTTCTGTGTCGCTTACTGCGTTATCATAACGGGTGTTCCAAAAAGAATGGCTACTTTTTCTTCTATGATTTTCCTACACATACTTTACTTGGGCGGCCTCTTTTTTTCCTTGTTATAATCGCTTCTCGACCCTCTCTAGAATGGAGGATTCACTTTTTGAAATCAATTTCAAAATAAAGTTTTTCAAGATGAAAAGTGAAGACCTTCGAAAGGTCGTACTTTTCAAGTATCAAAAAGGTGAATCTCCAACAAAAGCTTTTTAAGACTTGAACGGTTCTGTCAGTTACAGGACCATTCGTCGGTGGCGCAGAATGGTGGGAGAGACAGGCTCTATCAGCCTGTCATACCCATCGGGTCGTCCACGCACTATTAGAACTAAAGCGATGATCCAAAAGGTGAAAAACCGAATAAAACGTAAAAATAATGTGTCAATCAGAAAACTTGCCAGTGAACTGGATATTTCTAATGGATCTGTTGTCAGAATCTTGAAACAAGATCTAGGATATCGTTCATACAGAAAAAGAGTTAAATCAACTCTTACAGACTTCGATAAGTGCAAAACGAATGGCATTTACGAATTGGGTGCGGCAGAACTTGCGTAAGGAAGACAAATTAAGAATCCTCTTCTCCGATGAGAAGATGTTTGATTTTGATGGCATCTACAATGCTCAGAATGGTCGAATATGGGCAGTAGATCGCGATGAAGCCGATAAAAAAAGGTGGTGTCAAACAGAAACGAAAGTTTCCGCAGAAAGGAATGGTTTAGCTAGGAGCGTGCTCCAAAGGATTGAAACCATTGATCATTCTGGATAAAGGAACGGTGGATCATAAAAGATACATCAATGAAATGTTGTTGGTGGCTTTAAAACATGGCGACGAAGTTTTTGGCGATAATTGGGCCTTCCAACAAGATGACGCGAAGCCACATACACATACTGCGACGCAAGAATGGTATCAAAAGAATTCTCAATCTTTCATCGACAAAGACCATTTCCACCCAAACTCACCCAATCTCAATCCTTTGGACTATTCAACCTGGGATGAGTTGGGTCAGCAAATCATCTGGACCAATGTTACATCGAACAAGACTCTGATCGATCAAAAAAAAAAGAAAGTGTAAAGCGAATAAGAGAGTCTGTTGTGTCGGAAAGTTGTAAAAGTTGGATCAAGCGTTTGTATCGCTTGTCCAACAACAACGGAAACTATTTAAAATAAAACTTACATTGAGTTTTGTAGAGCTCGGCAAGGAGAATCTTTTAAAAACAAGATTAGTTTTCTAGCATGAAAGATAAGCGAGTTGGATCAAAAATACGAAGTGGTCATTCTTTTTGGAACACGCTATATTTGTCTACTAAACATTTTATTGACAGTTTCAAGTTTATACCTAAAGTATACTATGTCAGTAGATGCATCTAACCTTTCCGATGAATGAATGATATTAAGAGTTATTTACACATTCTGAATAAGCTTAAGATCTAGTTAGACAATCTTATACTTGTTCACCACTATACAGTTCCATGATATTGCCCAGCTTAGAAAAATTTAAGGGTTTGACTTTCCTAAATAGTACATACAATCAAGAGTACAAGACTAGTTAAGATTTGGTTCCTCTGTATAGAAATCAACATTAATAATAAAATATTGTATTAGACTGACCGAATGCAACTTGGGTAGTCGAACCACAGGCTTATTGTTGTCAATTGGGTGGCTGTTTCTTGAAGATCGAATTGTTACATGAATAACATTAGCAGCGCTTGTACTGGATCTCATTTGCAAACGGCTCTACAAATATATATGAATGAAATAAAACGATCTGCACTCTAAAAAAAAAGAACTTTACCGAACCCCCCAAAAAGGTTCGGTAGATTTGAAAAAGCTTGCAAATGTGTTGAAAATTCAAAAAAGAACAAGAAAATACACAGAACCTCTAAAGGATCTGATTGCGGGCACACGGTCAGATCCTTTAAAGGTTCTGTGTATTTTTTCTATTTTTTTTGAAACTTTGAACACATTTGCAAGCTTTTTCAAATCTACCGAAACTTTTTTTTTGAAGTTCTGTACAGTTCCTTTTTTTTACAATGTGGTATGATGAGAGTTGCGCTATTTTTACTTAACAATCTCTAGTCGCTTTGGCCAAGGGGATAACTGTTTTTCGTCATTTCAATATTCATGTCTCACACCCAGAACTAGTTCTAGCTCTCTGTGGAGTAGAACTACTTGTTTATTGGTCATGTAACAAGGACAAGAAGTTTTTCAGCAACTAACTTGAGAGAAATGTTTATTTTTTGTGATATTTTTTTTAGAATGAATAAATAAAAGGAATTTTTATGTTCTACTTCTTTGGTGAATTAATATTTTGAAATCGATATACTCTTCAATTGTTCGAATGAGTCGTTATATTCGACTCCAATTTTTATAGTATTTATAATGTAAAAGTCTTTGTAGGTAAAGAAAATTGCAACTCTGAGCCTTGTACCAGTCAAAAGAAAACTTCACTACTTTGTAACTTATATAATATGACCCTTTGTGTGCAAAAATTGCTCGACAAAATCATCAAAAAACAACTCTTGTTTGTCCTATTCTTCGTTTTTTTCAACCTTTCATATATAACTGAGAAAGAGTTGAAACCTTTTCAATGAGTGAAGCTCATTTCATTATCGATGTAAGGAAAAATGAAATGATATAACATATTTGTCACTATACGCACCTATCCCCTGTTATAGATTGGTTACCAATTACCTCAGGCATACAATGCTGCAAAATGTACTACTCTGAAATCAGCTAAAGTATTGTTTAGCTTTTCATATGATTTCACCAAAAAGTTTTAATTCAGTCATTGATAAATATGGAAGTAATCATGGAAAATAAACGAAGATACTAACTTTCTGATCAAGTGATCGATGTCCACCCGAACGTGATACTCGTTGCACAAATGTTCGAAGAGATGGTTGTCGACCTGGCACATTGTGCATCACAAGAGATCTAGTGATTGGTACTGACAAATGACCATCTTTATTTGTCTCGGTGTATGTTTGATCCATCATCCTTCAAAGAGTGTTTTTGAATTGAAATGAAACAAGGGTTTTTTTTATATTTTATTTTCTACTTGCACAAAGGTAGAATAGATTAGAATTACCAATAAGTTTCTCATTAGGCAATATTCCATTTGAAACATTGTAAATACACAAGCTTGCGTGCATATTAATATGTCAGATATATAACAAAAAGGTTTCATGCAAATAGATAGAGCATAGAAATTAATTTCAACAGTGGAAAGTGTGAAGCTGTAGATGAAATTTCAATCATCATGTTGTTTTGTCGTTACCACGGAATGTATTGAATTGTTTAGATAGAACACATACTGTTCTCCTCAGTATTCGTTTCGTAACCAAACGCTTTTATACCTCCGAGTCATAGTTCATAGCAAAGGATAGGAAAGATTTGCAGATTCGTTTTTTTTATTGATCTATAAGTTATGAACGAGAAAATCAATGTGCACTGGTTCAACAGATTGATATTGGCACACTGACAGCTATTCAGTGTAAGTTTTATGCATTGTTAGTGGTAAGGATTGTGTCCTTAAAATTCAATATATTCATTTAGGGTGTCTCTGCGTAAATGATTAGATCTGTTCAATTGCATAACTCTAACAGACATGAATTATAAAATGAACTACTCTTTTCTTCAGTTAAACGTAGCGGGAATATGACAAGTCTTAACTACATGCCTAATTACACATATAGCCCTCACGCATAGTCTCCAAATCATCTTGAATCATGAGAGTTGTTATAGTTTCAAAAACAAGAGAAGGCCAATGAATACAGCTGCTAATTTATCATATATTTCGATATGGACGTAACACACGGCTCATGATATTTTCCTACTGCTTTCCATTGTGTGTTTTTGAATAGCAATTTTTGTCTTTTGAAGGTTATCGATGACATGAAAAATTCATAGGATTGTTGATCCTACGTCATTCTATACTTTAATAATAGATTGGTCAGAAATATATGAATAATGAATTTTTATATTGATTCTTCTTTAAGATTTCGATAGAGTCCATCACTTTTAAACGCTAGTGAACTAGATATATATCTTAGAAATGATCTAGGAAATAAAATTATACTTATGATGAAGTATAATGCTCAACGACAAATTTTTCTTATAATATTGCTTGGTATGCGAAAGCATTGTTGACTTGCAACAAAAATATCCTGTGATAAATTTTGGACGGATACAGAGTGTAGGTGACAATGTGCCTAAGTATTTATGAGAGTCTATCTTTCTTCTATATTTAACATTGAATTCATTTAGCCGGCTTCGTAGAGAAGATCTGCAATATATTTATTGTCTGTATTATTATAAGGACAGCGAAGGTCACTGTTTGACTTTTATTGCTGTTGGTTAATAGAATATTTTTCTCGTTCGAAATGAAATGAAAACTCAATCAATAAACTTTCTTCGTTCGAATATTATAGAACATTTACGGCAGAAGTGATTGTTTGTGAATTAGAGAACTGAAAAATCACTTTTTAGGGTTCTGAAACAATTTGTATTAATTTTCGGTACCCATTCTGCAGCAGTTGCAGAATGCCTACCCAGCAGAATTCAGAATTCTGTAAACTTATAATATTTTTCAACAAATCAATGCTTATGGAATAGAATTCTACAGAATTCTATATTGCTAAGATTAAAGTATATTAATTTTGCTCTTCATATGATATTAGAATTCTACTGTCACTTGTTTGAATTCTGGTTAGAATTCTATTGTAGCTTGTTTGAGGTCTGCTTGCAATTCTATTGTAGCTTGTTTGAATTCTTCTCAGAATTCTATATTCCTAAGATTATAGTATATCAATTTTGCTCTTCATATGATATTAGAATTCTACTGTCACTTGTTTGAATTCTGGTTAGAATTATATTGTAGCTTGTTTGAGTTCTGCTCAGAATTCTATAGAATGTTATGGTAATGTAATATGTTTTCTGTAAACAAATGCGTTGGATATGTTGTTCGCTTGGCACAAATTCCTAGGATTAAAGTTGTTTTCGTAAATTTTATGGATAGAGGATAGATTTTATACGAAATGAAGGGAATCTAAATCGTCTAGTTTAATTGAAAACATCGACACTTCTAATTTATTTCAAACTTACTGACGTCTCTGGTAAACGTGAAATTTATGCACAGCAATGTTCTGCGCGCGTATCTTCCTGCTTCAAAAAACAGACTGGCAGAACATAGTGCGTCTATTCAAAGGCAACTTTCTAAGTTATTGATAATATAAAAAACTGTTCGTATAACTGTTTAAGTGCTTTTGTACGTTAAGCTATATGTAGTTTTATTAAAAAGAAAAGAATGAAATTACAAAGATACGAAACAACTTGTTCATTAAATAACTTGTGTAATTCTACAATCCTGACTTTAGCGTGTACAAAACATTTCATTCTCAATAATGCATGATATTGTTTCATGTTTGATATACATGCCAATGCAAATGTTTCTTCTTTTCTCTCGTTTCATGATGTAATCATAACCAACTATCTTCGATGTGTATCAATTTCTTCTCTAGACATGCATGATTAAAAAAAGAAATCTAGAGATGAACAAACAACCATCATTATATCAACATCTTTTTACAAGCATACTCCTCAACAGTTGACTACAATAAATCACACAAAACCTTTCATTTTTATATAAGCATTTGAGCTTTGTATTCTGCTACTACCGATAGAATTCTATTTTATATTCTGCTGGTCTTTGTAACTTCTCCATAAGAATTCATTATAGTTACCTTTGTTTCGCATTTTTATAAATTACTGATACTTGGTTATAATTCTGCTTCTACCGATAAAATGCTATTTTCCACTTATGGTAGTGTGTATGTTTATATTATGCTACTTTTTCGCTATGTACGAAATAACAAAATTCTGAATTCTGCTGGTTAGGCATTCAGCAGGCCCTCCAGAAACTATAATTTATGATAAATTCTAACTAGTTACTTAGACATTTTGGAAATCAGAGAAAGTTCGCATGTAGAAAGTTTACAAAAACAATTGTTTGGTGTCATAAGTAAAATAGTATCCATGTAACCGAGAGCACAGTGAACATAATTCCTTACTTGAAATTGAAATTGAAATCGAAGCCGAAACCATGTGATTTTTCATATTTTCGTTCTATCTAAATGGTAAATACAAGCAATGATTTTTATCTTTTCGGCCAAAAACAAAATAAGGACCTAGGCAAGAGTCCGACATTAAGAATTTTTTGTGATGCATTGCTGCAATCGAATGCTGTACAGATCCCATGTTATTTTTGTTGGAGAGAGCAAATGTGCAGTTTAGAATTTGAAATATATTTCATTGATTATAGGAGTTATGTTTTTATTCATATGAACTGATTTATTCAATTGAAGGATAGGGAAGTCTTGTATAATCAAAAAACAAAATCACTGTACTTTTTATAATGACTAGAATGAATGCTCTAGAGCTATACTTCGGTATCTACACTTTTGTATACTTTAAAATCAAATCAGGAAAAAAGAGATTCTATTCTTACAAAGATGTTTCCGAAGCTATATTTCTAAATTGAAAACATAGTTTGCTGAATTCTCTATTGCCTAGTATTATTTGAAATAATATATCAATTTTATGTGAAATAGACATTCTCACACATGATTTTGCATAACAAGCAACAATTCGTGAAGGTGAATTTTTAATCAAATACTTTTCTGTTCACTTTGTTGTATTCTATATCGACGAATTCAGTACGAAATGTGAACGTCCTCCACAAATCACAATGGTATACATTCGATACTCAGCAAAGCATCAACTTAATAGAGCAAACTGTGAGGCATTGTGTAATCATTTTTGAGTTTTTCTTCTAATGAATCTTTCGCTTATAAAAAGTATCTTCAATCGAATTGTTTTGCTCTTTCTAATACGCCTCATATGATGCCCTTTCAGCATTTTACCGCTCTACGGTAACAAAAACCAAACTCATGCAGCAAGTTTGCCCAACTTGTGACTAGATACGAATATTTATACTGTATTTCATGATTAGAAAATGTATTGAGATAATCCTGAGCAACCATTAATCATCGGCTCGAGTCAACCTAACAAATGTTTATTCTATTTTGCTTGAGAGGAATAAAAGTAGCATATGCTTTCCTGGCTTTCTCCATTTCCTTTATTTTATCTAAATATATGTAGTATAGTAATATCTATTTTAGAAAGTCGAACTGAGTTCACATATTTAATTATAATATTTTGATCATTATAATGGTCGCTATTCTGAATAAAAAGCTATTCTCAGTATAAATATTTCAAGTTTACTGTTTTCTTCAGTTTATCTTATTTTTTTTAAATAAAATTGTCATATAGATCTACTGGAGAATATGTCGATCGTTCAGTGTGATAGTCTTGGATCTGAATCGATAGAAAGAGACGAAGAAAAAACTATTCAAACTCGAAAAAATGATATAACAGAGATAATCAGTAATGATTGAACAGCATAAAATAAAGCATAATAAAGAAAGGATTTCAGTGAATAGAACCTGGTCGTGATGGTACGGCGGAATACGGTGGTTTTTCCGCATCTTTCCGGCTGGTTCCTACAGTATCCGGTGATCGGAGCGGTCGACCTCGAAATACTCATGTTTTTTTTATAGAAATGAGATGATCCCCTTGTAGGATTGTGAATTTTTTACCGGGCTTTTCTTTTGTTTTTTCAAAATACGCTTCACTCTTATTGAAGCATTATAGTTTCTTTTAATAAAAGAATAAGGCTTCATATTTGTTTTTGAGAGTATCATTCATAGATAGAGAAATAAAATTTTCATAGATTATAAGAAAAAACTTTCTCTTTATTGAAATAAATACAAATGTCAATAGTCACAACTTGTGACTCACAAGCTAATTGTGTATAGTCATTGTTCGATTACTATTATTATGTAGATTTCTAAGTTGTTTTCTCATAATTAGAGCATAGAATTTGAATAATACTCTTTTACATTCTTGTCTAAATGATGATGATGTTAAAATGTAAATATAAAATGGCATAGTTGTATTTAAATACATGAGAAATGATTGTGTAATATAATTTGTAAATGATTCAATTTGCTGTTGTTCTAGACTTGTTGTATAACTATATCTGTTATAATTTTGTAAATAAGATAAATTGAAAATGGCAATGTGCTCACAACATAAATCATAACTTCAACAAAAATCATCTTCATTAAGTCTCTATCACATTTTCTAAGCATATTATTTGATTGTTTAATTTCTGCATTATCTCTTATTGGTTGAATACGACTTCGCAAACCCTTCAAATTTTGAATTAATAATGTATTGAAAAATACAATCAATAATGGAGGAAACAATCCAGCTGATATCATGTAATAAATTGTATAAACCATTAAATAAGTTACATTTTGTATATTGCACGAACCATTTTGAATGGTTCGGGCATAACTAAAAAAGATCAATGCCAGCAACCAAAACAAAGAAGAAGTTATTATTAAATAAATAGCCATTTTATATGCATTCAATGAACGAATACGAACACTCATACTAGAAATAGTAAAACGATCCATGCATGCAAGAACTTTATATGTACGCATCATTTGAAAAAAAGCATGTCGAACATAAAACTGCAGTTGACAAAAAATTATAGACTGAGTAGATATATCAACATGGTCTAATGAAAATATCATTGGAATTATTCCAACATCAAGACAAATTAAATTTTCATATTGTCATCGATAATAAATAAAGTAAACAAGGATTTTTCCGTAGTTCACCTTGGCAAAAAGTAGCAATAGCTAATAAATTACCCAAATTTCCAAATGCTACATATGTGCTCATACCATATCGTGTTAACATTTGTTGAATAAATGATAGGTCAGATACAGAAGTTGTCATTTATAATGGTTGATTCTTCACAAGATTTCTTTTATGAGATGAAAAAAAAAAGATAAACAGAATTTATGTGCCCTTTACTTATAAGAAAATGAGTTGATAGATTAACCGACATGTAACTGTTGCCAACAGCCATAATTCTATGCTTCATTAACTCCTTCTATTTCTTAAACTAGAGAATATTTCTTTTTGGGCAAGATCATTAATATAAGAGTGCTTGATTATCATCGATTAATTTTGACGCTTTCCATTCGTAAACAGTAGATTTATTCAAACTGATGAGGTTTCTCAATATAATTACTATAATTAGGTTCACTATCAATTTGGATCCTCACTCCAAAAAAATACGAAAGAGATATTTTTCTTCATCTTTTATAATGGATCAAAATGTAATTGGTATCAAGGGACTATTTTCAGAATTCTATTTAAAGACTGAGTAAACCCCCATATGACGGCAGCATTGCCTCTGTATCTTATTTTGATGCTTGTTGTATATGTATACACATCTCAATATGTTCTTGTTTTACTAATTTAATTTTTTTGTTTTTTCGCGCGCTCATTCAGAGTAGTGTGAGTTACTTAAATAAAAACAGCTCTTGATCCTTTAAAAATAAACTCAATCACACTCAACCAATACTCAATCTTTACTTTTACAAACAATCTTGCCATCTGCCAAATAAATTATTGTGGCACCTGGTCCTTGTACTAGTTGCGTCCTATGTGCACTCAGTGACGTGACACTCATTTAGAATAGAAGCCCATGTGTGGTGTCTCTATTTCACAAGCTATAATTTTGGAACAAAGCATGCTCTGATGCCAGCTTTGCGTTATTTGATAGAGAAATGTTCATCCTTTCATTTTTCATGAAGTAAACCTTGATTTTCAATTGGAGAAATATAACCCAGAGGGTGAACTTCTATTCTGTGTAGGGATTTATGAGCATTCATTTTGAATTACCAATCTCACAAAATATAAAGAAAAGATATAACAAAAATTTTTTCACACATGTGAGACTGAGACCGAGAGAGTTTTACAGATCTGCAGGATAATTCTCCGGATATATATGAATAGCAAAGAGTGGTCGTCTATAGCCATTAGTTCCATAGTATACGGTGTCAGACACACATACCTCGAATACTATTCCTTCATTTTCATCTCTTTCTAGAGCACAGAGGTAGGGAGTTATCATTGATGAGCGCACGGAAACAAAACGAGAGTCACTACGCAATAAAATAATCATGGATACTAAAGAGAAGATAACACTTAAGTCATTAATATTCAGGGGCAATTACTGCTACGCCGCTGACTGGTACTTTAGAAAAAAGGCACATTGGCAATAGTTTTCGACGAAATACTCATCGGAAACATGATGTGCCCGAAAATCGTTTCCGCATGATATTATTATTGTTGAAACATTCTTGAACTAATATACCATTGATAAGTATCGTGTGCTCAATCCCACAACTATCGTCATTGTGCGTATACATACGACACTAAGTTTCAAGCAATATCACACTCACCAAATAAGCAACTCAAAGTTAGTATATATACTGAACACGCACATGCATACTTGAAAATTAATCTTCACATATTAGATCTCTCTCATTTTTAATGTGTTTATTATTGAGAACATTTCACTAATCATTTGATATATTATAGGATAAGGATGTGAGAGAAATACATGACAAACTACATTCAACGTTCGCTCAAAAGCTCCCTGAAAATGCATACACTTGACCAGTGATCATTTCGATATTTACTAAATAATTATCGCCACTTGTCGGCTGAGCTGTGCCCAACAAATTAAAATCCGCCGCCATTTTGAATGGGCACTGAGATGTCGGAACTGTTTGTCCGTTGATCATGCCCCATGTGTAAATCATCTGTGCACCATTGTCTATACAAGATTGAGTAATACTTGCAGTCGAAATAGTATTCCAAATCGCGTTAAAGTAGGCACCAACCGTTTTTTGCACAGTAGTCACAATGCTGATGTTCGTGATGGTAGCAGAGCAGTTAAATACTACCTCTTCGCTGAGAAACCATGAATTTCCGCTGGTCAATACGCTGACACCAATACTTGAAGTAGTTGAAGGCTATTTAGAGAATACTCTTATGTGCATAGTGAAATAATTACATGAGTCATACCATTGAACTTATTCCCGTCGATGTCGCTGTTGCGGTTGCCAGCGGTGTAGTCGTTGCTGTCACTAACGGTGTAGTTGTTGCTATTCCTGTCGATGTCGCTGATGTAGCTGTCAGTGGTGCAGTCGTTGCTGTCACCAACGGTTTAGTTGTTGCTGTCACTAACGGTGTAGCTGTTGCTATTCCTATCGATGTCGCTGTTGCGGTTGCGGTAGCCAGCGGTGTAGTCGTTGCTGCCCCTAGCGGTGTAGTTGTAACTTTTGCGATCGGCATTATCGTTGAATTCACTGCTGGTGTTGTGCTCGTTGTTGCCGTTTGGGCCTGTATCACAACAAGGATAATAATGACAGCGATGATAGTGCCGATAACAAGAGCGACTAATAGTGAGATAAATATGCATACTGACGAACAGCCGCAGCAGCATTTATCGAAGCATCTGCATAAAATATCGAAAGATATGTATAAAGAAAATGACAGCACGAACTCTATACCCTCGCTCAAGTGTTCCATTTGATCTTTCACGATTGTCACGAGAGGCCTCGTTACGATTTGAGCTCGCGTTTTTAACCTTAGCTCATATAATGTATGAGCTATGCGATCAAGAAAATACAAACAGTACTCACTCTTATATCTCTGTCTTTTGATATTCGAGACCGGTATCCACTAGAAGAATCCTATGAAAATAACTAATCATAATTGATTTCGACAAAATAGAGCTGAATTGACCTGATAGACGGGCATTCTAGTTTTGGCTGTTGATAGTGATTCGTGATTGATTTCATGACCACGATTTCCGGATTTTTGTAAGAAGGTGCCAACTTTGTTTGGAGCTACTTTGTTCAAACCGTAGTTTTTCCATTTATTGTGACGTGCCTGTTATAATATAATAGTCAAAAATTAGTTTCGTTAGCATTATCACAGTTATCTGTATAGAATATGAAATTCCTGAAATATATGACAGAACAATGGCTACGAAAATTGCTCTATATTTTAAACTTTTCCAGGTTTTTTCACAATCTGCTTTTTCATGCAGATGATCCTATTGCATTTATACATTCCATATTTCAGCCTTCCATGCTTTTCTAAAAACAGGATATCGGCAGCTCCCGACGGGAAGTAGCTTATCTCTAATACCTATCAAAACGTCAAATTCAATTACTTTTGGTATGATACACTGCGAGAGCACTAAAATATGATCTAGTACATCGTTGGAAGAAAATAAAAGTTCCGGTGCTCCTTCTCTTTTCGTTTAGTAAATTTTTTGGCCAGTAAGTGATACGCTTTTGGATCAGATATTAATCGAATCAAAAGTACTTTCTTCAATCAGGTATTGCAGTTTTCAAGATACTTTGAAGATCCATAACAATGAAGGTTATCTTTCCCCGAAAAATGAAGTAATTCGCAACTCTATGCGAATATTCCTTATGAACCCGTGATTGGTTGCTCTAGCCTCAATAATCAAATGCATTATGAAGAATAGCACAACACTGTATCCAGTGTATTTCAGTCTGATTTTGATTATATAAAATCAAATACATAAACAGATTACTCTCATAGAGATAAATATTATTACAGTAGAATCGTGTCGAATGAAAATTGAGTTGGCTAATATCTCAAGAGTTATTAGACGGCTGTGGGTTTATGCTAGGATACTCACGGGTGTATAAGAAGCTTTTTTATTATGAAATTAGAAGAATTTTAGGGAATACTTCGATAGCATCGGTGAACTAGTAATCTGTTACTGTATATCACTTGCTAATTCGTCACATGTCGTCTCATGAGCTACTTACGGATCGTTTTATGCTTACACAGTAAGTATATTATGTCAGCAGAAGTAAATAAACAAAAACTAATGTAGTATACTTATATCTATTTTAAAATTATGAATAATTTTAAGATCTAGTCACATAACTCCATTCAATATGGCCACATATACACCTATGCAACGAATATATGGTTGAATAAATTAAATTTCTCTTGGACTATCTTTCGATAATATTGTGCAATCGAATGCACTGGTCGTCCTCAATATTATATGCTATACTGATCGAGGATGCGAAGGCATCATACGTGTATTGACAGTATGATTTATCATATCTTCATCTAATCTATTTTGCAGAGTTTAGACAGTAAAAATAAATAAAGGCGAGGTTTTTCTGAACAAATAGAAATTGATATTGGTATTAATAGCAATAATATCTAACACTTGACTGACCGGATACGAATTTTGGTGCCAATCGATAGATTCATTGCTTCCAGTTGAATGACTACTTCTGGGCGATTGAATATTTGTAGAAATCACAGTAACGTTTCGTATATAGGATCTCATTGGAAAAGTAGTCTAGAAACATACACGAATGAATTACACATGTTTTATATAATTTATATTTTAGTTCAATTTGGCTAATAGCTTCTACTCCTTTTGATCAGTTCAAACAATTTTGATGCATTATTTATAGCTTCGTGTTTTACACTTAAAGATAATTGTAGTCATCTCACTGTGATAGAACTCTCTGTATATTTGTCTTACCGAAAAACTTGAAACTCAGTCGTGTAACATATAAATATATGAGTATCAGGGGCAAAAAAATAGAGACACTCACTTGATCAAATTGTATCTTATTCGTGAGAAAATATCTAGCAATTGTTATGGAATCATAGTTTTGATTAATTAGCTCAATGTGGACTCTTGTACAAAAGTAGTGATATCAAGAAAAAGCAATAATAGTTCCGAAATTTATAGCGAAAGATTTTTTATTACATATATAACTCATTAAGCACTGATCATAGATGGTGATCCGTATTAAATTGAAGAAGAAATAAAGGAGTTGCGGGTGTATAGAAAATTGGGAATTGTAACACTTGAAGCGTTGCTACTCAAGTATTTCGATTTGTGCATGAACCATTATTTATACTTCAGATATCTACTATTTGTTTACCATCTAATTTTCTTTTTGTGAAATCTTTAATAATCGATCAAACTTTATGAGAAATCACAGAATGATAGCTATGACCAATAAGATACTTTAGAAGAAATTCGTCAGAAGTTTAACGAGTTCTAGCAAAAAACATTCAGAAAGAACAGTTGATATTTATCTATGAGTTATAGTTAATGTATTTGTAGTTACTGATATGCTTCTAGTAAACAAAACTTAAATACAGATATACAATTTCACAAACATACTGTCATTTCGAACGAAAAATCGATGCTACACTAAAACTAGATATCTGGAGAATAAATAATGGCTCATCGGAGCGATCCACGCAGTGTTGGAACCACATATATTTTATTTCGATCCCTAATGAATACGATTAAGTATCAAGTATCAGTGCTTATTGAGCTCTAATTGTGATAGAATCTTCAGTTGCAAAAGTTCGGAGCGTTCAATACTTTTACCTTGTGTCATTGCTTCTCACTAGGATTGCACATTTGATTTGTCATTATATGAGTAGCTTTTTAAGTGAGATGCAAATCTTTTTATGTATTGCACTTTCAGAAGCCTGTAAATAGTAGGATGCACTGATGACTTATAAGAATTAGTACTCTGCGATGAGAAAAGGGGTTATAAAGAAAGTTGTGCGTATGTCAAAATGCAGCTGTAATAAAAGGGCTTCGTGTGCACACAAATATATTTGAATTCGCTCCGATTACTGTAGGATGCTTACTCATCCGAATCAAGACTACTGGACACGTATGTAGTTTTTCAATGCTAAGCTATGCTTTGAAGCTATATGAATCCTGATATACAAATCAGCTTAATTATTTTAAACATTAGTTTATCATAGCTCAGAAAATATGAAACAATGCCAGTTTATTGTAATATCTGTGAATCGGCTTGGAATTACAAAAGATTTATCAAATATAGGAAACTTCCATGTTTCAAAAAATAAATCAAAAATAAATCCTGTAGGTTCGAGTTCTATTGTTTTTTTCCTAAATGTTGAATAGAACTCTCATTTATGAAAAAGAACAGAGATGAAATATGACAAGTTGATATTTACGTTTACGGTTACGGTTAAACATTGAATTTTTTAGGATTCTGTTGGTTCGCTAATTGTGAATAAAAACTTTCCTTATCGAATACAAACGAAATAAAAGGCAGCTCTAATGGCCAATTCAGTTTAAATACAGATATTTTCAGGATTCTATTGACTTTGAACTCTAAATAGAGTTTTACTTAATCGAAAACAATTTTTTTTAAAGTGAAACTGGTTTAGACATTACAATATTTTTATTGCTTGTCAAGCTATTAATGAGATTTTTTCTTATCGACGTACAAACCGAAATTGTTGAGGTATGTTCAGATTTCCGAGAAAGGAAATTACGGAAATTTCCATTATCTTCAAAATCAAGTAAAATCAAAGAAAAGTATTTTCGGAGATTTTGAAGGGCACAGAAATTTTGAAAATTTCCGAAATTTCGAACATGATCAAATTTTTTGTAATAACAAAGTTCCGAGAATATCAGGCGCAAAATTTCCAAATTTTCCGTAATTTCCTTTTTTGGAACTCTGAACACTACTGAGAGGTGAACAGTAAAGCGCAGATAAATAGCATTTTATTCATAAATAAACAAAATACACAGCTGAAGAAAAATTCATAAGTGATGAGCAGGAAAACAAATATTCAAAAACTAAGCATTAATCTGGTTATTTTAAAAGTTTTTCAGGCGAAGCATTCGAGAAATCTCTTATCATTGTTTTTATTTCAGGGTTGGTGTGAGTTTTCTCAATTCTCACACCCACATTCTTACCCGCACTCTTAAATGTCGATGCACACTAACATTTTATTTGACCTACTCTCTCGTATGTCATCGTGTCTCTGTCAATCGTACTGTTTGATTTGATACTAACTAACCCTACCCTTTTGATAACTATTTTTATTCATATGAATTGATCCAATGGTACAAGTAGAAAAGCTTTGTTTTATTTATCTTCTTTAATTTAACTAATCCAATAATATAGAAACAGAACAAGAAAAAAGTTCGTTTACACGTTAGTGTCCTGCACTCAAGCATTACGCGCAAATGCCACGTCACGATGAGTCTACGAAGTTCTGAATTCTGCTGATCCTCGTTTTAGCAACACGAGTTATATTGATTTGAAATATCGAAAATATGGCAATCCAACAATATGGATCTATCTATGTGAATGAGAGTCTTTTGATCACCATCATGCACAAAAATATATAACATTTTCTATGGGTACATCATAAACCGAAAATCCGTGATAGTTGTCGAATGTTAGAAGATGGAAACATCGAGCAGAGTAAGGGTTTAAATAGAAGACTTTGCAATATCTTGATATCAATTTAAGTGATGGTCTTCGCCAGGGTGTACAATTCAGTAGTATGGAGAATCGGCACGTATATATTCGAATTTATTTTGGATTGAGTTTTCAATAAATCACGATTTTTGAGATAACAATTCATCATATTAAATTAATGATGCATTGTAATTACCATGCATTTTTCTTGTTTGATATTGTCTCTTTCGAACGCTTGCGTTTTCTCATCAATTAAGGTGCTATCCTTTTTTTAAACGCTATTGTTGAGCAAGATGGTAATGTTGAATTGGAGATACTTTTTTTGAAAAATTTGGTCTCCCAAACAATTTCATCATATTCAAAGCTATTTAATCAATTGAACAGAAATAATATATTCCAGACTAGCAAGCTAATCATAAGTACTATATTGAATACAAGACCTATGCGTTAGAAGTTTCAATAATTTTGAATATATGCAGTCTCATTCCATCCAAAAAATATACATTCATACATGTATATATATATGTGTATATACGTATATATATATATATATATATTCATTAACTTATTATTTTTCTGATTATCCTATCCATTTGAGTAAACCGAACAAATTTTTGTCAGTACACACGCAAACAACACACGTGTAAAAAATGTTTTCTTTTCACAGACAAATTCAGTACTAGATCAAAACAAACAATATAACAAAAGCCAAAAATATGAATTGTCTCATGAAAAAAAAGAGATCGACACATACGTAACAAAGAATTTACAAAAAGAAAAAAAAAGAAAAAAAAACGAAACAAAATATTTTCTCTAGAATAAATAAAGAGCTCACATAAAGGAATTGATTCATTCGTCCGAAAAATTCAAAGGCCTGTACTATTACTGCTCAAAACTAATCGTTGATTAATAATATGAAAACAATCTGTTAATGTTTCTTGTAATAATTGATCGAATATGTGTTCCGCTATGTCGAATTTAATTCTTAAAGAATCATCGTCATAATCAATCCATTGAGGTTCCATTCGACGTAATTCTTCATCGAGAACATTTTCAAATTGTTCTGTATCGTGACGTCGTCCTAATGATATACGCCATTTGGAATATGTTATTTGACGTGGAGTTAAATTCAAGATTTCTAAAACTTTTCTTTGAATAAAACTTTCAGCTTCATCACGATTATTTGGTTTTTGTAAACGATAAAAACGTTTAGGCATTAATTTTGTTTTTTGCCATTCTGGATATTTAGCTGTACGAAAATTTGATGAAAACATTTCATATAGTAGTTCAACACATAAATCAAATATCATTCGATAATAAGCATGACGACTACGTCGAATATCTTCATTATCAGTGTCTAATTTAACAAAAGAAAAACAAAATTATGTATTCAATAAAAACGTACAAGAACGTTTAATTACCTGGCTGATGAAAATTATAATATGAATCAGGTATTGTTTGATTGATAAGCGAACGATTCGAGAAATCATTATTTTGATTATATAAAATTGTAATAGCTTCATGACACAATTTAATAACTTGCTCACGTGTATGTGAAACAACGGGTTGAATAGGTCCTTCGTTAACAGGTCTAATAGGATGTTCAATTTCGGGTGTAGTCGTTTCGCCTTCTGCATTTGTCGTAGGTTCTTTTTTAGTGGGTTTTCGTTGAATTACTTCTCGTGATTCATCAGCTAAAAGAATTCAAATCAATTAGTCATTGATAACTAAGATAAGATAGGCATTTCTCTGACGTTCATAACTTAATCGATTATTCAAGCTCTGATTTGAACCGTCGAGTTTGCCTAAATTAAGTATTTCGACGAATTTTTTTTAGATTTTTTTAGACTCCTATTCTTTATAGAATATTGCAGATCTTCCATGGAAAATGTTTTAAAGAAGATTTTCTTCGTAATTTGAACATAACATTGTATTTTTTTTATTCCATTTCACACCACACAAATTACTCGATAGGTCAATTGATAATAGCAACAGAAACTCTATTATAGATTATCCTATACTTACGACTGTTTTCTTCAAATCCAGTTAGATCAAGTTTAAGTTCTTCCTAAAAACGAAGAAAAAACAATGATATACTCGAATTTCAAACCAAATAATTTTACTTCATCATTTGTGCCATTTGTCGTTGATTCAGATTTATCAGGAACATCTGGGTCTTTTGGCAATGTCAGTTCGTCATTGCTACGAAAAATAAAGATTGTATTTTGCGTTGGAAAAATTCTTATTCTATTGACGTACTCAGCATCTTCTTCAGGATTAGTTAATGTTTGTTTATTATTTTCTTCGCTAACTAAATCGTCAGCTGGTATCCATTCACTAGCTTCTTGTGTTAAATTTTGACTTTTTTTATTTTCAATTTCTTGTCCTTGATCAATAGCTTCATCAATAAATGTTCTCACTAATATTTCAGTTAATTTATCAATCTTATTATCTTGCTCAACACGTTTATTACCTTCATCATCTTCACTAATATCATGTGATGTATCATCAGTTTCAATTTTAGGTGGATTTAAAGGTAATTTACTATCTGATGGTTTTTCATCCGGCTGTCTTGGTGTTATGTTCGAAGATTTTTTAACAAGAACAAGTATTTCAGATTGTTCTTCAACACTTGATTTTGAACTTTGATTTGATTCATGTGCTGAAGGTTTATCTTCAATATCTTCTTGAATTGATTCCGGATGAGAATCATTATTATCAATTTTAGTTGGACTATGTCGTGGTGAACGACTATGTTCAGAGAAATCTTCATCATATTCATCATGTGTTGATGATGGTTGAGCATGTTTCGGATCGTGTATTGGAATAAAACCTTGTTCTTGTGATAGTGTTTTAACACGTTCTTCTACTAGTGAAGAAGAAGGTGATTTAATACGTTGTTGTGCTGACAGTGGTGAATGTGATTTAATACTTTCGTGTGCTGATGGTGCACATGGTGGTGAAAGTGATTTAGATACTTGTGGAGATAATGATTTAATATGTTTTTCACTTGATATTGACGATGTTGTTGACGGTGAAAATGAATCGTCTCTTTTATTCGATGGTATTGATAGACTTCCATTTGAATAGATTATTTGTCTAAATAAATGGAAGTTTAGATCGGGATATACAATTTCCTCGATAGTAAATAACAAAATAATGGACTTATAATTATAAAGAGTTCACTTTTAATCTTAATAATTCTATTCTTTTTCCTTTTTGTCGGAATACCGATTAAAAATTTCAAAAAGACGTATATCGATAATGTTCAACCATTGATGCATAGCCTACACAGACATTAATTGAGTTTAAGACAATTCTCTGATGTTCAGCATATCCTAGTTTAACTTGCCGATATGCTCTCAGTTTTTACGCATGATAATGCATGTCACACAAGAACTAAACATTTTGATCATTGGAGCGAAACCACCGTCCCGGCAGACTTGATATAAATAGTATCAGAGAAAAACTGCAAAATTTGATAGAACCATCTGTGCACAAATTCCATGTAAGCTTTAATCTTAACCTACATTTTATCACCTTTCAAGGGGCACTATTTCAAAACAAGACACTAGTAAATGCTTTTCAGGGTAAATACTTGTTATAAATTCATAGAATGCAATGCATAGCGAACCATCAAGCTTCGTTTTAATATGACAAATGCAATTATGTTTATTTTCTTGTAAAAATAGATCCATTTACAAAATGTAATCTATGCTTATAAGAAACCTTTTATCATGTTGCAAAATATAATGGGCTGTATTTTTTTAAACAATACTCATAGTATTTATGTCAATTGTGGGCAATACTTTTTCTTATTAGTTAAAACATATTTAACAGGCTCTGGATCGTACTAAGGAATCAAAAAGCAATTTATTTGAATAATATCATTTGCGTCTTCACTTGCATAGATTATTCGTCTATTGATAGCTAGTAGAGTTTTTATTAAAAATTTATATGAATCCTCATAAACTATCTGTCATTAGTTTCTATGAAAAGAAATGTGCATCAATATTGCAAAAAAATTAAATACGTTCTTACCTTTCATTATCAATGCTGCCTCTTCGGCTGACATAATCGATTTCGGATTCCGTTGGTATATCTGTAGCAACGGATATTGATTGAGCATCATGCTGTGTATCACGTTCATCGCGCGGAGTTTCTAATGGCCTTCCGTCGGCTTCTTTTTCCTCATCATTATCAAAGATTTCTTGTTTCGGCGATTGAACATCTTTGTCCTACAGATTAAGAACATGAATTTTCTTTTTTCACACAAAATAAATTTCTTACGGATTTTGGTACACTGGATTTTCGACTTTCTGCTACAGGACTATCAAGATTATGTGATGATGGAACCGGTACTGTTTGTTCTTGTTGAACTGGTTGTAAACGTAATGTTTGAATTTCATGGTCGCATGACTAAAAATAACAGTGAATGAATAAAGAAGTCTGTTTTTATTTTCTGTAAAAATTTTACTTCAATTTGTTTTTTTAATTCATCTTCTTGTCGTCGTAGAATTTCTTTATTCTTGCGTTGTTTTAATTTTTCAAGTTCAATTTTTTTCGCTTTTAATTGTTCACGATATGCTCGTACACGCCGTTCAAGGTCGCTTGCATCGGAGGTTACAACATCTTTAAAAAAATTAATTATTTTAAAAAAAGAATTTTTTAATCGCATACCTGATTGTCTTGGCTGAGTGGAATTTGAGGATGCATCATTATCTTTTTTAATTCTGAATAGAAAAAGAAAAAAGGTGACAAAAATAGACTTTACAACAACGTCACTTTTGATTACTTACATTTCTGTATCTTTTCTATGAATAGACGGTTCTTCGCTAATACTTGATTCATCTTGGAAATGATTCGTTGATTTCGATCGATTATGTGTTGCAGATTCAGTTTTATTTGTACGTGTAACTGTTGGCGGGCTTGATATACTTCGTTTTTCATCGAAGATTTCAAATGCTAAATAATAAAAATATGATAGCACATTGTTATAAATTAATACTCAATGTTTTTTTCTCCTCTGTTACAATGTGATATAAGGTCAATGATGCTTTACTAATTGAAGTTTTTTAAATGTTTCTATGACTTCGCGTGATACTAAAGGTTATTTTGACATAGAAACAGTGTACATTGAGCAACAGTTGTTTTTATACACGGATTGGTATAAAAATTGATATTTAAGTTTAAACCATTCTCCAGGCCGACACATGAAACGTTAATAAAGACTCAAGCACTTATGTTTTGATTGAAATCTAGTTCAATTTGTTTTTGTACGTGTTTGAAAATATGCAATTCACAAATATAAGCCCATTAAGACCAGTATAGATTTATGACATTGGACTTATTTCTTGCATTTATCCTACTTTTATCCTATTCGATAGTCACGCATAGGAGTCTCCAACATCTTGAACGATTATTTCATCAAACTGTTGAACAACATACTTTTTATGATTAGTTAAAATGAATGAAATACGGAAATACCAGTTAGATTTTACCATAAATTTACCGAAAAATACTCTAACAAGTAGGACTTAATAATTTCTCACATGAGAATAGTCATTTTTACTAATAAGACTGATATAATTGGGAGAACGAGAATTGGCCGAACGATAAATCGGCGATGTCAATTGGGCACTACGACAATTAGTCGCAGTGTAGATTTGGTCGCATGTTTGACAGAAGTATGGTTCTTTTCTAGTTCCAAAAAACTTCAATTTACACAAGCGTGACTCAATCACACATAGCACAGCTTGAGGCTGAGAGGGTATGTGTAAAAAATGAAGATGTACTTCATGAAATAGATAAGTAGATGGCCTCGCTGGTAAAAGCTAACTGAATGATGGCATTCGCTGTTTAGCTTCATCGAAATATTACGAAAAGATGAAAACTATATTCATTGCGGAATAGCGAAAAGCGCAGCAGACAGAGGCATCTGAATAAGAAAAAAATCATTCGCATTAAGCAAAATTTTAAAGCAACTACCACTGACTCCCATGTAATGCTTCATACGTAATTAGAAGAGTTTGCTAAACATTGATATTCATACTCATATTTAATGCTCCTGATTTTCGAATAGATTGTGAGCTGTTTTCTAAATCTCTCTGAGTTATTTTTCTGTAAAACTAGTAAAAACTTTTCTGCAATTTTATTTTCGAGAAATTCGACCAAATCTATATTACGACTAATTGTCGTAGCGCCCAATTGTCGTAGATCCAATTCTAATATCGTACGAAATTTTATTCTAGGTGGAATCAGTGTAGAAGAATTCTTGATATATGTTTGTCTTGTAGTTATTCATTGGAACAATTCATTATTTTCCTATGCATATGTAAGTCTTTTCAAACAAGCAATACATCGCTAGACGATGATAGTATTTTTTACATCTTGATACTATCCATATAGCTGTAGAATTTCTTTTTCAATGAAGAGACGCAAATGTTGATATGATTATAACAAAAAATGCATTGGCATTTTCAAAGAAACATACCACGTTTGACAAGTTGGCGAATTTTTTTTTCAATATCTTTGAGACGTTTTTCATATGCTTGTAATTCAATATCACTATTGAACTTTTGTCTTACACGTTTTTCACGTGCCGTTAAAATTCTAGAATAAAAAAAAAATCTTTTTTCGTTTTCTATTAATTTCATTAAAGCTATGTCGTTAAAAAATTAATCTTCATTTTTATTTATGACACCTTTTTACGATTCTACTCTCTACGTCTATTGAAAGAAACTCTCTTTTCTTTGTTGTATGGTTCATTGAAAAGCTTTTTCCAAGGAAAATAATTTTTCTCTTATCGCCCACTTCAACTCTTGTTCTCTTTATAACTAGAAGAGTAAGTAGCAAAAGGCTCATTTTAAGAAATTCAAAGATACACAACTAGCTAAAGAAATATTCTGACTATGGCTAATATTACTCGTCGAATAATGATATTGCTCATTGCGCTTAACATGTCCCTATATCTGATAGTTCAAGCTGGCTCAATTCATCGGCCACATTCATATGATGAACAAGTTTCGGCTATACTGGGTTTAAATGGCTTATTAAACAATGCTGATGAGAATAGTAATCATAATGAAAGGTCACCAATTAACTATGATGCACCTATATTATCGCTTGTCGATGATGATAATGGACTTCGTCGCTCGGTCAATTATCCCAAAGACACGAAAAGATCAAAACTGAACCTTCATACGAACCTTAATCTGCCACGATATTTACGTACTATTGATTAATTGTACGCTTTTAAACTTATCCTTATTTTAAATAAAATGAAACTTTAAAGATTAAAATATATACTGGAAATAGCACACCTATATTTCTATGGATATATTGAGAATAATTCTGATTTTTATAAATACATGCAAATGAATTTTCCAACTACAGGTATTCCCTATTACTAAATTAGCTAGCATACGCTCGCACTCCATATAATGAACCATAATTTAACAATATATCATATCAAACGCACATTGAACAGATCGCATTCTGTTATAGGTTGTCTTACTAGATGAACAAACGTTATGAGTGCGTCTTTGAAAGGAATGTTACTCGTTGATCGAAATCATAACTCGACTGTTGTTTTTTCTTGCTAGATATGACGCAACTGCGATCATAGAAAGTTCAATGAAACTTTTATTCGGAAGAAAAACCCCAAAACCATATCTGAAAAGAGTAACTATTATTGCATTAAAAGTTAACATGTAATAACCTGATTAGATTAGAGAATAAACAAATGTCAAAATCGAACTTTTAAGTCACCAATCTTTTCATCCAATAATAATAACATCTTTCAGCGATCTATAGCGTTTCAGACGTCTCCTCTACTAATCTTTCGACTGGTACATTATTTGAAGTATGAATACTTTTCAAATTTTTATTTATTATCAAATCTTACGCATGAATCATCATGTGACTTCATCTTTCATCGGACATTTAAGATGTACTATTATGGGAGTAATTCTATTTACTTCTTAAAACAGCTATGATGATGGACCTTCTATAACGTAGAGAGAATATGAGAAAAAAGCCTGTCTTCATCTACGTCATATTAGAAAGTAATATAGAATAATGAACTCTCAGTTATTACACATCTCAATAACGGACACGTAGAAGTCATTTAAAATTAGCTACTATAAAATAATACGCCTATCAAAACAATCGATAAGTTAATCTTACGATTCCGAAGAAGACGTTGGTGGACTTGAATTTTGTGACGTACGATGACGTGAATGTGTATTATTCATTGTTTGTTGTTGTTGTTGTTGTTGAGGAGAAGCCGACCGACGTTTTCGATTGGTCATTGTTGATGTTGAAGATGATGATGATAATGACTGTTGTAACGGAGATCTGTAATGAGCATGCAATAGATAATTAAACTAAATCAATAAATAATTTTACTTTCGTGTTTGCTGTGATGGTAGAGTATTAATTGGGGAATTCTAAATGAATAAAATTCATAAAAATCAAGTAATAACAAATAAATATATTTATTAATCACCTGTGAACGGAAAGTAGATTTGGGTTGTTTTGTTGGATCAGCTAGTTCATCAGTTGACTGTGGTAAATGATGGAGTGGGCGACCACTATCAGGAGACATTTGTGGTGGCAATGGAGGTGACATCGATCGACGGCGTTCTTTCGGTAATGGTACATGAATGTCTGGGGAAGGTATTGGACTTGATAAATTCGTATTTGGTACATTTAGGGAATAGTTTGTATTTGTAATAGGTACTTGGAGTTGATTATTTGGAGTTGATAGATTTGATATCGGTACGCTTGGCATATTATCATAATCATCGGAATAGAATGGTAGTGTTGTTATTTTTCGTATTGGCTGTTGTGGATAATCACTTATTGTTGAATCTAAATTACATCGAATTCGTAATTGAAAAGAATCAATAGGAAATTTAATTTCTTTTACTTTCATGATATCGTAAAAGTGTTGAATCAATTGGATAATTATCATTACTTATACGTATATCCATATTGATTAAAGTTGACGTTTCCCGGCGATGATTTGGCTAAGAAAAAATAAAAATAGAAGGCTTTAATTGATTTAAATAATAAAATTTAATTTACTCTTTGATTAAATTCATCGTTGATATATTTTTGTTTGTCATTTAGCCATGGTAAGGATTTTCGAACTGTATAACCACGATATGCTGCTTGAATTTTAGCTGCAGCACGATCATGATAGACATGTCTTTCTAATAATATATCATGATGTTCGTGAACATTCGGTAACGATTGAGCCCGATAATCATTTAAATTTAGACGTTCTGATAAACGTGTTAATGTACAGGGTTTGAGTGTTTCAGAATTATTTATTTCATATTGTGATGTTTGAAAACGTAAATTTCCATCGTCATGTTGCAGATTTTGATATGATGACGGAATAGCTTCAAATGATTGAGTACCATCTAAACAAAATAAAAGTTCGATTTCGTTTCACAATATCAAGATATTTTTATTCAGGCTACTGAAATCCTTGAGGAACTTATTTCTTAATGTGTTGTATTCTATTTTTCCTGAGTGATGAATTTGATTACAAGGTCGATCAACAATGTAAACGCTTCTCTCGAAAGGTGACAATAAAACATATTTTGACACGAAGATTTTTCATGAGACAGATTATATTTACGATGAGAGAAATTAATTTTTTACTTCGTGGAATTTCTGATACATTGAAAAGTTATTTTGAAAATAAACTAAGACTTTTTTTTGAGTGAGAGATCTTTATTGCATACTTCAGGTAGAAAGAATGCTTTCTAAAGCATACGTTGTATAAGATAACTTTTATTCAAAGTGCCAGAAGACTTAAAATGAGGTCACCATAAGAACTTGATCGTTTTTTTATGATAAATTTAGAAAAATGAAGATAAGATACTTAGCAAAATCGCGAATATAGGATTAGTCAGAGGTTTTTCCTTATACCATACGACTTCAACTGTTTAATCTCTCTAAAGCTTTTATATTGAACCAAGTGATAGTCTCTACAAATAGAATTTTTATTATACACTTATTCGCGATTCTATCGCATGACAAATTTGATTTAGTTTCTCTAGAATATATTGATGGTTTGCTTTATTGTCAAATAAACAAGAGCACAAAATATGTTAATCTTTGACACAATCGATATTTCCTTAAACAATCTCGTTTAAAAACTCTTTTGATACTCATATTTCTCTATTGAAAGAATTCAACATGTAAAAACATGGAGCATCCGTCATTTGCTCGGATTCAGAGTTCTTCAATATACTAGTCACCACAGAATCATCTATCAGGAATTAGAATGATAGAGGAAAGAATCTTCCGGTAAAATGAAATGGTCCTCCGACCTACACAGCGTGTTCTGACCGAGTTACATCAGCATCGGTTTTGTTCTTTCTATAAATATGATATGTCTGGATTAGAAGATCGTCTTCAAGACCTTTCATTTTGTAGAGTATTACGTAGTTGATCATTAGACGTAATTTAATTTGAAACTTAACATTCTCATCTTCAAATATTCCTGTTTAGAAGTGAAATTGAACATAAACGAATTTTGTCAAGATCTATTATTTGAATAACTCTTTCTATTAATCAACTTGATAATACTTGAACTAATCACTTTTCAATCTATTGAATTTCTATTTAACATATTCTCAGCATACGAAATCATTTTTTGTTGAAAAAATCACATGCGTAATGGCCTACTTGATCGCAAATGTTTAAATCTATTTTCTACGAGATCACAATCTCTTGTTAAATTAACAGCCCATCGTAGTAAAGTTTCATGTCGTTGAACGTTATTATTATCTGCACCTAGAACAAAACAGCAATCAAATATTTATTCTCTCTATTTAATTTGTAATCAAACCATTTTCGAGCGGCGGTTCTGAGCGAGATCGTACTATTAATGGATCGTGTCTAAATATATAAATATATTAATTTAGCCTCTGAAAAATATTAGAACATACAGTTTCGTTGATTGAGCGTCAATTACTGAATCATTTGACGACGAAAGAGATGATGACGATGTTGACGCATTCGACGAAGACGATGAACAACGTTCAAGTAATGATGGTGTTTCGAATGTACTAGCCGCATGATAGTCTGCTGACGGTCCAAGTAAACGCAGTAGACGTTGGCGTGTTTGTTCAGTCAAATCTCTTGGTGTTGTCTATTAGATTTTAATACGAAAAATAAATATTGCTAAGAAAAAAAGCAAACGAACAGGTGTGAATGCTGATGATCTTTTTGTTATGGATGATGGTAAATATGGCTGTGAAGTTTCTTTGGCTTGTTCGTTTAATTTTTTAAATCTATCCTTTCGTGATTTATCTTGTTCATCTTTCAAACGTTCTTCATGCTGTTGACGTTTTTGTTGAATTAAATCCTCAAGTTTTTTATTTTCTTCATCTGACTTTGCTATAGAAAAAATGAACAGACTTTTGCAAACATTTATTTAATCCAACAACAACAAACGTACATTTTGGTAATGATGCTTTTAATGGTGTTTTTTCAGCGATAATAGGAGATGGTTTCGAAGCACCTAAAAGAAAACATGAATGTTTCATTAAGTCAATATTCGATTGAATTCCTTTGAATGAAAGTTTTGCATTTCTTCATCTTCAATCAACGAAAAGGATTCCAAATTGGAGTTTCACTCAATAGAAAATAATAATTACTAAAGGTTCGACAGAATATTTCAACTATTTAGAGAAACATGAAGATAGAAGAAATCAATAGAAATTCTTTATAGAAGTGATAGATCAATACTAACTTGTATCACGTTTTGGTTTGAGCATTTTATCTGTTCGTTGATTGATTGTAGCTAATGATTCTTCAATATCCGTTTTTGTTCGTTTAATAATTATTTCCGATGCGTTTATCTTCTTCAATGATTTTTCTTGTTGAGCGATTGATGACGGTTTTTTCATTACAATAGGATCGGTTTGCCATACATCAGGTGTAATTGAACCTAGACGAATTTTTGTTTTTATTGAAAAAAAGAAAATAGAAATACAATTAATCGTACTAGTTTTAGCACTAGAACCTGATGATACATGACCAGATTCAACACGACGAACATGTTTTAATCGTTGAGGATCTGCTGAAGTTAGAAAATGAGATGAATGAAGATCTTGATCTAAAATACAACGATCTTGGAACATGATAAAAATCAATTTTAAAACTTACATCTTGTTGTAAGACTTGCACAGGCACTTGCACTACGTGGTTGAATTGTGGATCGACCATTTGGTAACGAATAGTTATCTTCTATAGATAAAAAAAAGGAAGAAAGAAGTCTTTACACATTTAGCTGTCATAGACTTACTCGGTAGTGCTTTAGTCATTTTACGTGAGCTGGGTTGATAAAACGATTGCCGTTCAAAATCATTCGAACGAATAAGATCAGTTTCTTTAGGTAACATTTTTGAAGTCGTTGGATTGCGAAGTACAGTATCAAGTTCAGATGGAAATGATTGAGATTGAGAAAGATGTGATGCATAGGATGGTTGAAGTTTAGGAGGAGAAACACGCTGTTGACGATATGGAGAATAATGAAGATTTTGTAAACTAGCTGAAGTAGAATATGCACTATGAGGACGATATGATTCAAACATATGACCAGCATCTGATTGAGAATGAAATAATTGCTCTGCACGACGCTCTACAAATAAAACATATTTGAATTGTCAATCGAAGTAGACAGCATTCAACCAATAGGTAATATCTTATCTTTTCCAAGACATTATTTATGCATGAAACATGAAATGACCTTAATTGTATACAAAAAACAACGATAGAAATTGTTATCGTATATGTATATAGTATCTTCAAATCTGATGCATTTAAAATAACTCTCAAGAGTCTCTTATAGCCGAAAGGAAAATAACGGATTGCGCATATAAATCTTTTAGTCTGAAAGAAGCCTAATAGTAGTAGTTGGTAAAATGTGAACTAAAATATTAGTGTATACTTGAAGATACTATTACATAAGAATTTATTGCATCATATCATAAACGATGAAATTTAAGCTTTTAACTAAGTCAATAACTTTATTAGATAACATTACTATGATTATTTCAATTTTAATAGGTCATTTAAATTTACAGGTCTAATCATTGCTCTGATATAAGAACATCATATTGCTTTAATAAGAGTCTAATCATACCTATATCGATCTATGCTAAATATTTTGTTTATTTTAAGTGTACTATGTTTTTTAGGCTGTGAATATTTGTTTAATTTATGGTACACTGAGAAAAACTTGGTTTTCACTCATTATAATTTAGAATGATTCATTCGATTAATTTCTCTATGTTCATTCACATTTTCTATGACAGACAACTTTGAAAATATTGTCACAACTGAAGAATTCATGACATAACAGGAATATTCAATAGTTAAAAAAATAATCGCCGCTGCCTCCAGGTTGTGCAATTAATGTGATTTTCGAAAATTGATCCTGTTCAGTGGTCATTTTCGTAGGCTGAAGCGTCTTTGGCGACAAGAAAAATGACTAAATCCAGCCTACAATTTCGTCTTGTACCCATCACTACTAATTCGATCCTATGAAATTTATGCAGAGCCATATTTACTATAGTGTCTCATTAGATCTAGTAAATATTCTATGAGTTAAGCATCATTCTTTAAAGCGAAAGATGACAAACAAAAAATTCATCTATATAACCTTGAACATGTGCATCTCACAAAACAAATATGATCAGATTTGAAGGATGTATTTCTGACAAAGAAAAGAACCTTGCAACTAGGTGTATTGATGTCGATAAGTGTTTTTCTTTTACTCAATCTTAATTATTGCCGGAATGAACTTTTTCTTTTTCATACCTGCAGCAATTTTTTGTTTACTAATTTTTCTACGGATTGTTTGTAATGCTTCTGAATCAAGTAATTGATGTTTATTATTAATTGCTCGATCATCATTTAAAATAGATCTATTTCCAGCATGTATAGATGATGTCTCGCCATGTAGTATAAATGATGATGATGATAATGTCGATAGATCAGTATTGTCATGATGATTATGTATATGAACATGTGGATAATAATCACGTGTATCTTTTAAACGTTGTTCAGTTTGGCGAAGTAATTTTTTTGCATCATAATATGTTTTCCAATTTGATTCAATATGTGTATGATGAGTTGAAGATGACATTGGTAACATGATGTAGAAAAAAGACGAAACAAAAAATTCAAATTCAAGAGAAGTTATTTACAAATGTATTTCTATGATCTGAAATAAAACAAATAGAGAGAAATATAAAGAAAGAGAAAATTGAAAGGAGAAAAAAAATTGTTCGTCTTCGTTTTCACTCTTTTGTTCTCAAGGCGTCCTTTGTTCCGACGAAACATTCATTTGATTCGTTGAGCCAATACCATTATTCTGGTTGAAACTAAGTGACAAACTCCAATCAGTTCAATCTCGTTTAATTATTACTATTTTTGTTTTAGGATTAAATTTCATTTGAAATATTACGCTATTTCTTTTATATTGATATAAAATATAGGAGAATGTTTTTAGATGGCGCTAGTTTAATCCATTTGATGATTATAATAAAAAAAGAAAACGTCTCGTTCATTCGTTCTAATCATCATAAATCCGATCAGATAGTTGGAGTATTATCATCATCTATGCGATATAGATGAGATAAAAAAAGGCTTATTCTTATCAAATAATCGAAAGTATGCAATATATCAATAGCTGTCGTCAAGAACTAAAGGATTAGAAAGTTGGAAGTGTAGATGAGCATTTTTTAGCGAAATACTAATAAATAATAGCATTACTGCTTCTCGCTAGATTGATTCAAGCTAGAAAAATAAATGGATGCGTTTTTTTTTGACTCCGATGGCCAATTTCATTGGGATGAACTAAATTGTGTGATGAAATCTGGTAAGCACTTTAAGCGTATGATATTATTCGTCTGAATGCATTTCAACAAAATCTGATTAAAATAAATTAGATTTCATACTAAAATAAATCTGATAAATGTAAATTTAAAAATTGGAAAGAAAAGATTCTTTTTTTATCTATCGAGAATTCGCGGTATAGATATAAAGCATTACATACTATGTGCTTAATTTCATTGAACGACAATTTCATACAAACATCGATTTGAGTGCTTGAAATAAATGCCCTTCAAAATTTAAGAAGTCATTTTCAAGGATTTCTCCAGCCTAGATAATCCTTGCCGTGAAACCATAAAAATCACTGAAGTGCTGATAAGTATTGATTTTCTTTTTTGATAAATCACTCATAAAAGTAGTAAACGGACGAATTTTGATGTATAAAATAATTCCATCTGGTATTAGTTCATTATCATAACAGCTGATAGGAATACTTTTTGCGGTATTTTATTATCTCGTTTGAATGTAATCGGTTGAAATTTCGCCGGGATAGCTCAGTTGGGAGAGCGTCAGACTGAAGATCTGAAGGTCCCTGGTTCGATCCCGGGTCACGGCACCATTCTTTTTTTTCTTTTTTTCTGAACGGAAAAAGAATGAATCATATAGTTTTATATGATAGAATAGAATAGATTTTTCGCCTTCAGTGACCTGGATGATTCGCAAATAATTGATCACACCATTTCTATAGATTTTATTATTGCGAATATTCACTATAATCATATTGAAATAAAACTGCACCATTCGCATAAAAATATTTCAATCAATTTTATCATAAAAATCTAGACAATACCTGCACTTTACAGTATTTTATGTCCAATATTTTCTTAACCGAAAACAGAATAATTCCTACTCTTCAGTAGTCTTTAATCGTAGTTTTGCTTTGCGATAACCATTCTAATGTAACCTTGTAAAAGTAAGACATTTTCATGACTGAATACATAAAATAATATTTTCATAGGTATTTTATTATCACAACATCAAATTTATAGGATCCATCAATAAATTTGCTTGGCTTACTTTCGAGGGTATTTGGATTCTTGTTTTATTTTTCATTATGATAAAAACAAAGCATGTATTCGATCTAAGATGTAGAGAAAAAACACTGCATCGGTTGCTCATTTATTCGTTTAGAAAACCTTTTGTAAAATCAACAGATCATATTAAATCCCCTAAATAAGCATGTTGCGAACATAAATAGAAAAAAACTTCAGTTTCATGTAGAAATATGTATACCTTTTTTTTTAACATTTATTTTATTGTGCCATAAACAGGTTCACATAAATAACAGTTAGGAAAAGGGGGAAAAAAGAAAAAAGAAGGATAAATAAAGGAGACGTATAGGTTACCTATGAAACAACAGTTTAAAAATTAATCAGTACGAGTGTAATAATTTTGGCTTAATGTGTTAATCTGAAGTGAAAGAGAAAAGTAGATTATTTGACGAGAGAATAGATAAAGTATATAAAACATAAGAAACATTTATCATTAGAGTAGAACAGAAGAAATATGTACACCTGATTTTACTGTTCAGGTTCAATTTCCAATGTAATCATCATCATTTAAGTAACAAGAGCAAGAGTAAAGAAAGTATTTTATGCATGGCTATAGTCAATCTACAATCAATGCAATTAAATATCTAATAAATGAACATTTCCAAGTAACGGGAAAGTATCGATGCTATCGTAACTTCAACTTGACTGTGAGTTGCTGAGTTTGAGTACTTTTTTTTCGTTTCATTTTGATTTCGATAATGTTAATCGAAATTTAATTTAGAATAAATAACTGCAAAAAAGTTTGCCTACATCATAATGGTTATTCAATTGGAAAAAGAAAGTCATTGGTTGACTGAATGCTATTTTTATTCGTTTGCTTGTCTTTGATCAAATTCTATGTCCTTTGCGACCTTTTGTTAATTATACAACCAAAAATCTAGAATCGAGAAAGAAAAAGAAAGTAAATCACTCTATAAAAAAAGTAATATAATAATGTTTCTTTTTCATTGAATTTCTCGTGCTACCATCCACACATATCGTTCTTAATGCCAGGTTTGTGTTCATGCTTTTAGCCATATTTTGTTAAAACGAAATAATTCAACTAGTTGTTAAAATATATATCAAGTAGCATTTAATAGTCGTAGTATCAAAAGATGTTTAACCTTGAACATTCATTTGGAGGTTTTAAATTAGATCAACAAACATTTTCGATGTTAGGGAGTTAATTCTAATTACGCACAAAATAGTTTTTTTTGCTCTTTAATGGTTTGCCAGTGATTAAAATATCAAATCTCTAATGATAAATGTTAGAGCTAATTTTTCGGCTGTTGAAATTTTTGAAATGAATCATCCGAAGCGAAATGTAAACCGAAATAAAATATGATTTGATGTCTAGATTGACAAAAATTCATATTATGTATAACTTTTTTTATTCGAATTTCGGGCTGAGTGGCAGTCTATTAATCAAAAGAAAAATCATGGCAAACATTGACAAAAACGGTTAATGATGTATTCGAAAATTAATGGAGACTTGTTTTGTGTTGAATCGTTAATGTTCTGCTTTTCTTCCACTTTCGTATAAATCATTTCTTATAAATATCAATATCTAACGACTTCGAGAACGCAATTATTCGAAAGTAGTATTATTTTTCATTTATTATTATGTTCCATAGAGAAAAGAAAACAATCCAATTTATAGCTCATATAGTGTTCGATTATTCAGAAAAAGGATGATACACATGTTGCAATCAAATTTAAATGTAATTTATTTTTAGGTCCTTTAGAATTCTGTTTAACATGTGAAACGATGGGCCATGGTAGATGCATAAGAAATAGTACATTTTGCCAATGTCATCAAGGATATACTGGACCGCTATGTACAGGTATCTAATTTATGGTTTTGTATTCAAACCAATAAAATTATATAGAAAATTTCTTTTTAAACAGTGGAATCAGATGAATTTTTGTCAACTACTACTATGGTTATAGATTACCAGAGAAGCGATCCACCTATTATCAATACGACTGCTATTGTAGCTGCTATTCTTGGTGGCTTTCTATTAATGATGATGGTTGGTGTATTAATATTCTGCTTTTTGAGGCGAAAGGACCAAACGAAGCAATTATTGACATCTTCATCCTCAATTCCAACTGATCCAATACCTGCACTATACAATATTCCACTATCGCAACGAAACTCTGTTACTTCGGCAAAGACATATCATATATATGAATATTTGCGTTGAAAAACGACTAAAGCTGTCTGATCAAAAAGCAGCATGATGAAATGTTCATTTACTTTTTAGTAACATAAACTGGCCTACAAATGTACGAGAAAAATTGGTTCAAATCAGAAATCTATATTCTTTCTAAACTGAGATTGATCGTTTCACATTAGCATCAGCGTATCTACATTTAACTAAAGATGGAAAAGAACAATATTTCAAACACATTAAATTTGGTTTTCTGGGAGTGATTTATCATTAATTCGTATATATGAAGGAACCATTGAGTTATTTTATGCTACTCTCTTGATTTCTAAAGTGTTTTGAGTGATTCTTAAATGATTGTGTCGCCCAGAATTGCTTTTTAATACTTCTTAAGACTCAATTTATGGCTCTACAATGAGAATCGACACCTCCATTTTTTTATCTTTGAAAAACATATAAAATTCTGATTCGAATTCAACTTTTCAAACATCTGCAGACTACTCTACGAGACTAAAGCGTGAATGAACATTTGTTTTTATGAATAATCAAATATCTTGTCAAACAATGTATAATATTAATTTACAGTTGATTTACTAAAACTGAATGATTGGTTGAATTTCAGCTGAAGCTCGCAGAAAAACGAAAAAAAACAACTAATTGAAAATCTGTTGCTGTGTAAAATAATTTCTACATAAATAAGGTGGAAGCAACACGTTTTTTGTTCTATCATAAATGTATCAGCTTTTGATTAGAAAAATCGAGGCAAACAGTTAATAGAAAAGAAGCCCCTAGCCAACTCTCCCTAGAAGAATCCCCAGAGAGTCCCTAGGGATTTTGTTCTTTTGCGGAGACTCCTCGAGAAGTAGTCGGGGAAGAGTGTATTGGGGGCCTTTGTTGAATTACTACAACCGAGTCACGGCAATGTTCCTTTTCGAACATAGCCTGAATAAATTCTTAACATCTCTTTTGCTTCATACTTTTTTTAACTTTACATGTTTTTTTTTCTATCATCACTGAAATAATCATTCATAATCGAAAAAATCCCTAGCAGAAATCTGAAAAATGCTTCGAACACTCGACTAAAAGAAGTTCGAAAGATCAGCTTTGCTTAGATTGAAAGATAACATACTTGTTTTCTTGAAACACGATCACCCCGGAGAATCATTCTGACAGTAGGATCCCATTGGATTCCGACAAGGGTCAGACAGCGAATATACCGAATACCATATGCGTTTCAATAAAACCGACGAAATTTTATAGGATTCCTGGACACAGACCTATAGTCAGATTCTTGGCATTGGATCCAATCGGATCCGATGTCCGATTTTAACGGAATGCAACTCTATCGAATTACCCTTGCGCTCTGATGACTCAAAATGCTTATTTGATCGTGAATAAGAAAATGATTTTTTTCCGTCGGAATCAACAACAGGTCCGCATCCAGGAATACTATCGGATTGTGTCGGGGAGTCGAATCTCATAGGACTCGATAAGATCCGTTGTCGAATTCATTCACCTGGTAACAATGAAAATCAACAATGAAAGAGTAAGTTCTATGTGATGGTTCTATTATTGATTTCACTAAATTTAATCTTATTCTGAAGATTTTGGATAGTTTCTATGGATTCATAAAAACTAGCTTATTGCTATGGAGATAAATTGCATTGATTTGTTTCATATTCAGCGATGAATAATCATGCAATAGACTGCAAACATTAATTGAAATATAAATATGAGAAGAAATGAATAGGTCTTCAATTATTTATTAATTAATTTTCGCAAAAACACACAAAAAATGCGGCACAACATCAATATAAATACACAAGTACAAATGATTTTTCTTTTTAGATATGTAAGATTGAGAATTTTTGTTTTTCAACCTTTGATAAAAGAAAAAACCCTACATCGCCATTTTCGTACGCGAATATCATTTTATCAAAAACAAAACATTTCAACAAGAACAAAATACATCGGTACAAAAGTCAGCACATAAAACACCGAAAGCAAAAAAAATGATTCACCATTGTCGATATCGTTATATCAAGAGATTATGGCTAAAAATCGCCATTAAAACTGTCGTCATCGGAATCGATCATAACTTTTCGTTTTCTACTTGAACCACCTTTCTTCTTTCCTTTTGGCGTTGAGAATGATCCAGGTAATAATTCTGTCATAGACTGTATTGTATCTTCAATATCGTTGTCATAGGCAAGTAAATAACGTTTAAAATCTCCAAATTCCTTTATTATTAGTCTACGTTTTGTGAAATCATCATAATTAACTAACGGTTTAATTGTATCAAGAATCATTTTCGGTTCAAATTTTGCATTCACTTTTCTAGATAATATTGGTTTATCAGTTATTTTACTTGATTCTGTATGATCATATTCAATTATTTTCGTATCATTTAAATAATAAACATCTTTAAGATACGATTTTAACAATAACAATAACGTTGTCGATTTTGTTGGACGTAAACATTGATTTAATTCTTCAACAATTTTTTCTGATACATGATATAAATTTTTTTCGATTTTATTCATATCGATACCTTCATCATCATCAATATAATCGAGATGTTGTTTTAATAGATCACGAAATTGTTGTAATTGTGTTGAACCGGTTACACTTACAGATAAATCAATTTGTTCAACAAGAAATAATGGTTCATCTTGTACTTGATAAGGAAAATAGGCGAGATTATCAGCAACGAATAGTTGTTCTTCAAGTGTTAATGGCGATGTATTTGAATCAGTATCAAACATTTTTAATAATTGAGTTATTAAACCACGACGATATACACGGGATGAACGAATTAACGAATAGAGAAAATGATTCACTGAACAATAAGGCAGTTGTTGACTATTCCACGAAATGACAGTGAGTTTTGTCATACCTATTTAAACAATGAAAACATTTAGCTACTATGATTTCGATTGGTTGATAAGAGTGGATATTTCTCTGGTGAAATATTTCGATTCTTTTTAGTTAAGTAAAAAAGTGTAGTAAGAGTACTTCATATTAGTATTATCTAATTAAATTTTTTTCCAAAAAGAAATAACTTAAGAGATTTCAATCATTTTTTTATGGGATACTTTCATTTAAAAAGCACTTAGATATCAGAAACTCTTTGTATACCCCAATTTTTAGATCTTTTTACGCTGATCATTCTTCTAAAAAATATATTTGTATTTCGCTCAAGAAATCGCAGTTCTGCGAGAGGAAATATCAAAATTTTCTCGAATTCCTGTGCAATTAGATATCGATTTATACCATGTAGTTTTCTCGTAACGCAATAGACTTTTTTTCTTACAGCAAACTTTGCTGGATTTCAAGCTCTACATTGTCTTGCGAAAGAAAATTAGCTTAATTAAAATCCGATGGAGATATAAATTGTTTTTTTGTTACATGACTTTTCGGACACCTTGTATTCTACGATCGCTGATGCTCAATCGATTCACGATTTCAAATCTAGTGATCAAATCCGAATCTACTCAAAATAGATATTCAAACTACAGGAATGTTGCTTTCTTTCTTTCTTTCTTTCTTTCTTTGTCCTTTGATTAATGAAACTGAATTTCTTGTCTCCAATAAACATCGAGCAAATTTTACCTCGAATAATATCTGCTTGTGGATCTGATTGTTTAGCATTTTGCATTGTAAGTAATTTTTGTAATTGATAACTCATTTTAAATCCTTGCATAACTTTCGTTTGTATAATACCTGGATTTGTTTTATCTAAATCTTGTAAATTTTGTTCGGCACTTTGTTGAATATTTATATCACGATCAGTTGTCATGGCAATAAGAAATGGAATAAATTGAACTGGATGCACAAGACCTTGCTCTAATATACATGTGACCACTTTACGTACACATTGACGAATAATTTCATCTTCACTCAGATATGTATCTAACACAATACGTAAGTAACATTGAGCAATTGAACTAGCCATTTCAGAATGTACATCAGTTGTATCCTTAAGATTAGCACCAGTTATTCCATGAGGATCATTACTATTTTCGTCATGATGTGTATTTTCTATCGTTGGAATATTAAGATAATCAACATCTTGTTCAGCCATACGACGTATACAATCACGAAAATATTCTTCTAAGTTAATAAGTACTTGACAACGAAGTTGAGCAGCTACTGGGCGACGATCAAGTAAATATGTATGATATAATTGACGTACAGCATCTTCAACCAGATAATGACCATAACGTTGAAGAAAAAAACCGAGACCAACGACAGATTTTAACTTAACAACGGAATCATTTCGTTCAATAAAAAACATAAATAATTGAAAAATATCGCCTACAGAAAACTAAACAGAAAAACGAGCCATAATAATTAAAGAGAAGTTTAAACAAATAATAATAATACCGAATACAATATCAACTGAGCTATCTATGAAGTTTTTACTCTCATCTTCCAGGAGAGGATTGAGCGCAATTAGATATTTATTGACTTTTAGTAATTTCTAACAGACGAGATTTTTACTTGTACAAGATCCCGAAGTAGGAAGCAACGGATTTTGATTTATACAAATGTAAATCAACATCTCCGTACTCCTAATGTGTATTTTCTTGGTAAATTTCATTTATACGCTGAAATGTTAGGTACCCAAAAGGTATATCATGTCTATCTCGAATATGTATGAAGAGTTTTTGAATCTAAATAGAAACTTCTCATGTCGAAGCTACTGTTCCTCGCAAAACTGAATTGAATAATAGTTGAAATAGTTTTACCTGAAGATCATCGTATTCACTTCTTTCTACGTCAAAATATTTGCATAAAACACCTAATATATAAATAGATCTCGCCAATTGTGCGCTGCCTTTAAATTCTTCCTTTGGTTTTTCTGTTATTTTTTCTTGACATTCAATAATAAATGCTAAACAAAATTCATTCAAGAAAAAAATTAATTATTTCTTCTAATGTTAACTTACAATGATATCTTATTAAAACATCTTTAACAAGCGAAACATTTTTTGAAAGGCGTATAGCAGCTGCTAAACAAGCTATACTTGAATGTATAACCAGTTGACCACTAACAAGTAATAATTTTGTTAAACTGCCTTCTAATGAATAGATTATACTTGATGAAGCTGATTTCATTAACGGTACAGTAAATTCGAGTATTTTAGCTACATATTGTACAATAGCATTATCATTGTATGATGTACATTTTATATTTAAATATTCTACTATGGTTGATACATGTGGTAAAACATGTTCGGGATTCGCTTTACCCAATGCGTAAAGTGCAATGAATGTTGCAACCATTTTATTCGATGAAACCTTTAAAAAAGAATAGAAAATAATGCATAAATCAACAAGATTAATTAACCGAACCTGATCATTAGCTGATTCAATTTTAAGTATAGATTCAACTAACTCATTAATAATATCTTGTATAGCTTTTAGGACATCTTTTCGTTGTTCTCGAATTTTTGTTTTATCATCATTCGATTGTTTATCATTTGTCTGAAGAAATTCTTTAACTAAATTTTCTAGCCACGTATTATTTTGTTTTTGTGCATCAATTAAAACATCAATTATTGTTTGAACACGTTGTCGAACTTCATAATTATTACGTGTTGGTGAAAACCATAATTGTTGAAATGTTTCAAGAACAAGTTTACGTATAGATTCTTCATCATGTATGCGTCGTAATAATCGAGAACATATATCAGGTATACGAACAAAATCCGGTTGGGTTAAACAAACATCACGGAAGATTTTTACAACTCGTTTACGAACGCTAACACCTGAAGAAAAAAAACAAGAATTATTATCATCTACTTGTAAGTAAATTACATTTGTGAAAATTTATTCTTAAAATAAGTACAGTAAAGCCTCTCTATAATGAACACTAATGAGACCCTTCAAAAAGTGTTCATTAAAGGAGGTGTTTATTATATGAAGGTTTTGTATTAGCTGAACTCTTGCATGTATACAGTTCATGTTTAGTAATACCGATTGGGGTCTACTACGCACCTTGCGTATCAGAATTCTCCACAAATAACTTAAACCGAAAACAAAGAGTATTTCTTTCATCTGCTACACATCTATTTAATTGCTATACGAAACAAATTGTCGATTGTTGTCCGTTTGACTCCTTTCGAGTAAATGAAGAGTTGAGTGAGTTTGGAATCGAGTTGAGAGATAAGAGAATGTAGTTGTTGTTGTTGTTGAGTGGCAGCTAAAAGATGCAATCGTCTGAACATCTCCATTGTTTCGATGACCTTGGGTGGTGTTTCATTTGGCATGTCGTCAGCTTCCTCATTGTTGTGGCGTTGTTCACTGACGATGATCAGACTATTGTCGACGTCGTTCCACTCGTTGAAAGCTGGAGTCTCTCTTTGTCCACTTTGATGAACTCAATGGCTGAGAGGGTTTGTCCACCGACGTTGAGATGAGCAAGAAATGTATCTGGATTTTGTAAGGCTGTCAAGATATCATTAGTAGGGATTTCTTCGTCGGAATCATAGCCGCTATTTATTGTAGTATTGGCTACGTTTTGGATGTTTGAACAGACAAAGCCTGCCGTCCGAAATGTGTGACGAATTGCCGATTGAAATCTGATATTTTTTAGCAAGTGTACGATACGAAAACTTCTCTTCATTTTCGCGAATCAATTGCATATTTTCAGAGAGGGTTAATGGGTGTTTCGTTTCGTCGTCATCACACAATCGTAAATAGAAAAGTGCTTTGTTGTTTCGCATGTAAGCGATCATCTTTACGTGGGCCATTCATTTTCATTGTTCCTTTTGTTCTATATATATGATGAGTTTTCTTTCTGAACAATAGACCGCCGATTAATTAGTGTAACACTGTTTAAGAATATACATTGTTATTTTTTTCTCTTGTTGCACACACGAACTTATAAATTGTTACGCGTGTGTTCATTTTATAGAGGTTTTCTTAGCTGAAGGGACCAAAAAAAGCGTTCGATGTTCCGAACTGGGAGGGAGGTGATCATTATATAGAGGCTTGTTTACAGCAAAAATCGATCGGAGGTGAGAGAGATCGAGATACGTGTTCAAATAGGAGATGTTCACTTTAGAGAGGTGTTCACTTATAGAGGTTTTACTGTAATTCACAAATCTGTCACTGGGTAATATGTGTGACACGTTTAATTTCAATCATTTCTTCGTTTTCGAGGAGAAAAATTCGCTTCATAATTACATATTTCCCTAGTAACCTGATAAAAGTATATTATGACCCGTTTTAAATGTCATATTTCAAGGATTATGTATCCAAAACAATTTTTCAAAGCTGTTTTCTTTCCCAGGCCAATGATTCCGGAGGACGGATACCGTAGGAACCGACCGTAAATATGCGGAAAAATCAAGGTATCTGGCCGGAAAGCTCGAGAAAGCGCTGGAACGTGGAAGCAGTATTCCGGTCGAAAATTGACGGATTTTTTTCCGGTAATTTCCGGGCAGAATACTGCTTCCACTTTCCAGCGACTTTTATCATTATTCAACATCATTGGAAACAAGGTATATGCTATATGTTCATTCGTTCATATTCTCCTAATATAGCACAACTGATACAACAGCAGGTGTACGGAAACGAATTGAAGATTTAATTGACAAATAAAAATACTCGATTTTTACAGACGATTCATTTTTTCAATAGTATGCAATCATTAGCAATGCATCTCATGGTTTTTACCTGTGTCAATACTTCGCTCACAGAGCACATCATAATATTGTAAAATAAGTAATTGCTTATGTACAATATATCGTCCAATAAGATCAATAGCTGCTTCTCGAACACTGACACTTTTATCAGTTAAACCGACTTTAACACATGATTTAATATCGTTTCTTGCTAATATTGTCGGATCAGCTTCAACAACTGTACACAAACATTTCATTGCTTTACTTCGTATATTTGTTCCAGCTTCGGATTGAAATACAGCAGCTAATTGTTTAAGATAGACATCAAAGGTTTTTAAAAATGGTCGATTTGATGTTAAATAACGCATTAATAAACACACATCATCATAATCGATATCTAACGTATATCGTTGTTGCTTACGTATTGTGATTGGTAAGGAAAGCATTTTCAATATAGTATTTTTTTCACCCTTTTTAAGTTCAATTTCATCAGATATTGTTATTGTTGGATGTGATCGTTTCTTATTCAATGATTTATCAATGTCAATATTAATATCGACTAACTCAGTATGACTAGGAGGTTTAACACGTCGTGTTAATGTCTGAGTTAAATTATCGATTGTTAAATTAATATCACGAAGCCATTGGCCAATGTGAAACATTTTTGCAAACTAGAAAACAATATTAATAAGAGTTTATCATATGAATTTTCCATAAGAAACTGTTCTTTAATTTTATCACTCATTGATTCTCAATAGAGACGTCCTTTCATTCTTGGAAGAATCATGACCCTTATTAATTAAAAGAAATCAACTCTCCTTATTCACGATCCCTGACAAAATATAAATGTAATATCAGTCGTACAGATCGAAAATTTCGGTCTAAGGCTATTATGACTATGACACAGAGAATAGTATGTTTAAGGGGGAAAAGAATGCGTATGACATGAATCTCTTCAGACTTTTTCACTTGTCAACAAGCGTTCTATTGAATCTAATCGGATCGAAATTTCCGTTTATGGATTTAACTTACATGACTAGTTGGTTCACTTTGACTTTGTTCATTAAGATAAATAACTAAACTACGATGATGACGTAATGGATCAGTTTTATATACTCCCAAAAGATCTTCATCGGTTTCGATACTTGATAAAGTCTATTTAGAAAAATAAAAAAATTAGAAAAAAACAAAACTAATCTGATCAATTTTCTACTAACTTTATCAATAACTTGATCAAGTCTCTCTTGATTTTGTCTTGAATTTAAAACATCCAATTCAATGGTATCTTTTCTTAATTGTGCTGCAACCGATCCTAAATATTCCAATGATTGTAAACGTATTGGTATTGATACTGATTGATTTGAAAAATTCTTCATTAATATACGTGATAATAATGTTAAAAGAATTTCTGATGCTGGCCATTCAGGTCGGTTAGCTGTTACAAGTAAGTCAGCTAGGAAATTTTCAAATATAATTCGATAATCGTCTTCACCTTGTTTGGTTCCACATGAACGAAAAAATAATGTTAAAAATTTATATGCAATATTTTGTCCTAATGAATATGTATTTAATAGATGTAATTCGTTTGCAGCATCGGCTACATTAGAATTTAGTGTTGTTACAGGTGAATGAATTAAGTGCATGATCAATGCAGTAAACATTTGTATGGATTCACCAGATGGTAAACGATAACAGCGAAGACTCTTCTTACTTGTGGGTAAACGTACTATTGATAGAAGAATATCATCAAGAATAGAATCGCGGTGATGTTCATAGCGTGAAAATAATTCAGGAAGAATTGTTATGGAATGAGCTTGTAAATCAAAGATATTTTCAACATAAATACAGCTGACAGTAAATGATGAGATCTAAATAGATGGGCATTGTTTGTTTAACAGAACTGCATATAATCTTTTTTCTATATCATTCGATTTTTAACTGACCAAGTATTTAAAGTTGACAATTATATTCTCTCTGTCACATTAATGCCAGATTTTTTTATTCACTCATTCATGAAGTATCAAGTGTTATTTAGGGACTTCCAAAATTGGTTGAAATCCACCTACTTATTTCATTCGGACAAGTCCTACGATTCAATCGCTAGTATATAGAGAAGAAAAAAGCTCGTGCAATTTTTGCTAAAGAAGTTTCCTAGTATTTTTACACGCGGAAGTATAACGTAATTAATTTATCAATAAGAATCCGCAGAGTTAGTCCTATGCTGATCACATGGATGATTTAGAGAAGCTATTTGAACTGATATTATCAAATCCAACTATTTACTGTGGGAAAAAACACAAAAAAAGTAGTGAATAGTATTAGATGTTAATTTTGACAAGAATCATTTTTTCGTTTTGAATTATTATAGGCGATTAAAATGCTAAAAAGAAAAACTTACGGCAAGAATAATAGTATCAGTAAATTTCCCTAATGGCATTAAATCTGCAATGCCTTGGAATAATGAAATCATTTTATTGTAAAGTAATTGAACTTTTTTGCATTTTGTTCCAGTTGCTTTTTGTCTTTTTTGTTTCGTTAATAAAGGATCTACAAAAACAAAAAGCAATATCTCTTTGATTCGCCTAACTCGTTTTTCCTATTTACCTTTTGATTGATTATCACTACGATAGAGTGGATCGTATTCTGGAAAAATCGTTTTAGCTAACTGTGCTTTTATAAATAAAGTTGTATTTTCAATAGCATTTTCAACAAGAATTTCCTTATTTGCATTTGGTGTTGTCATTATATTTAATGCTACTTCACAAGCATTTGCACACGTTGTTAAACGTTCAAAAACTAAATCTCTCCATGCACGTTCATCTTCTTGTGTTTCTTGCTGTTCATCATTAATATCATGTTTTAGTATTGGACTCAGCTCAATACCTTGTTTGATACGTAATGATAAAATTTCTAATAAACGCTTTAATTTTACTATCTCAATTTGGGACATGTATGTTGAAAGTTTTAATTTCTCTGATAATGTTGCCATTTCATCTAATGTATGATCGGATAATAATAAATCAAGGTAATGTTCTTCATCGGAATCTTTCATATCTTCATAATAACGTTCATAATCATCATTGAATATATTCAATAAGTTAACAAATCGTTTATAGGATGCATTTTCATGTGGATCTGCATCGATATCTAATACTTTACGTGCCAAACGATCACGTGTCTTTTTCTTAAATTCACTCATGGCATCATATGACATACTATTTTCATTTGTTAAACCTGCACGACGTATACGTTTTTTTAAGGATTGTTGATCGTCGTCGTCGTCGTCGTCGTCGTCATCATCGTCATCTTTTTCATCGTCAAATTCATAATTTGGTTCTTCATGAGATGTGTTTCGCTGACGTTTTTTCTTTGGCGATGGATTTAATGATATTGTACTACTATTATTTGAACGACGTGGTCGACTTGAACGTTGACCATTTTCTTGTGAAAATCTTTTTACAAGGTCAGGTGTAAGATCATCCGGAAAAAGATCTAAATAATAAGTCATTTTTATTCAATAACTCTTTTTCATAAATGTTACGAGGCACACCAGTCAACATCTTTGGCAGAAGTTATATTCGATCAGAAAAAAATCTCTTTCTCAAAAGGAAAGTATTGGTATCAGCGTCACTGTATCCATACTTAGATAAGACGAAAAAGAGAAAATTGCATTTTTCGATGGGAAGACAGTGAGTTTTGATGACAAAGAAAAGTTTCTCTATATTCATACCTGGATCATCGAATTGTATTTTTTGAAGAATAATTCGAGGTGTTTCAAATACTTCATCCTCTTGATCGACTGCACCTAAATTGAGTTAAAGAGTAAATATTTAGTCTCTTTTTCAGTACGTCTCTTTCTATACATACTCGGGCTTTTCATCATATCTTCATTTGTATTATTGCTAGTTACTAAAAGTGATTGCTTATCAGTGAATTTCTGTGAGTTTGAATGATCCATCTATAGGTGAAAAAAAAATAAACATTTTAGTGATAAGTCGAATGTGATATGTAATAGAATAAAACTTCTCATGGTTTTCGTTCGTCTAATTTTTGTTTGTTCGTACGACCAAAATGAATAACTAGCGTACTATTTTTCTCAACAAATCGATGCATGAGGGACGCTTATCACTACCATGAATGACTGAATAAGAGACAACACTCAGTAAATGAATCCTATACAATAATAGCGTAATCAGTAGAGCTTCGACTATTCATCTGTCAAAATGAAAACTGAACTTTCTCCTAATACTATCCGCGAGATGATAAATATCTCAGTCATGTTGAAATCTTGTTTCTTCCAAGAATGAAGTTCTGAAGATATTTTTCAATGGAAATTCTGTAGTATTATTTTTCGAACGTCTTCTCTTTACATTTAGTAAACTTAATAAATACTTATCAAAAAAGGAAAAAAAAAACGTGATAAATTCTTCCCAAAGACAACATAGCTTTAAATTGTTTCAGGCTGTTTTCTTATAGATATAATATTCTTTCAATTCGTAATTTTTAGGTTACTTTTTTATGACTCGATGATTCGTGCGATGAATTCGATGATGAGGATCGTGTTTGACTATGAGATAACACAGAAGATGATTCTTCATTTTCTGTTGGTGATGGCAAAAATCCCCAAGTACCTGTAAGAAAATAAAAGGAATTGATTTTTGCATTGAAATAAACTATGTAAAAAAAAGATTATTTACCTAATGGGCTTAATTGTTCTTGTTCTTCGACATCATGATTGCCATTAGGTGAACTTTTATAGTGTGCATGATTGTTAGTTGATGATCTAAATCAAATCGGATGATTGATTGATTATCAAAAGAAAAAGATTTTCATCTAGCCGAAACAATAATTTTTCTACACTATTCGTACGCTGCTGCTCGAATAAGAAAAAAACATGTGCATTTTTATTTACATTGATGCATTTGTATTGGCAACAATTGAAAGTTTATCTGTCAATGCTTGTACTAATGGACCATCGCGACGATTCAGCGAGATTGAAGTGTTTTCACTTGAATTATTATCACCCATATTGGAACTAATCAATGATGATACAGGCGTTTTGTGTGCTATTATTTACAGTTAAAATATAGAGAGCTTTTATTTTAAATTTATCTTTTTTTCGAAATACAAACCATCATTCGATGATGCAGATGTTAGTAAATTGCTTTTCGATGCATCCATAAATGTTTTCGGCCTGTTTTCTTTTTTTTTTTAGGTAAAATTATAAGAACAAAGAAGATGATAATCAACGAAGACGAACGATTGAACCCAAGCGGACAAACAAGACGAAAAAAACGAACGAATCACTGCTCTTTATGATTTTTTCTTTCTTTCTTCTCTCTTTTTTTTTGTGTGTGATCATGTGAAAAAGAATGACCAATAGAACGCACTGACCATCGACAATTGAGAAACGAAAAAATTGAACTGCTCTCTTGCGACATCATTCTATTTCCGTCTTGGACTTATTTTTAAAAAAAGTCTAATAAAAACAAACAATACAATTTCGTTTCATGTAATCAAGCAGGAAAAAAATCTGCAAGACAACTGTTAACATAATAATGTTTTATTTCATATTATTACTATTTGAGAGTCTTTCAATTTGCTTGTTTCTCTTTTGAAGAGAAAAATCTGTTTCAAACTCAAATCATGAATGTTTGGCGTACAAGATGCCTGGATATATTTTCTTAGAGAACTGAACAAAAAACATTCGATTTCATCCTAGAGAGGCGGCATTTTGAGTTTTGCTTAGCCATGACTTTTTCATATTAATTTCCTAGTAAACGTATTCATACAATTCAGATTCTCTACGGAATGGAATATATTTTCAGGCAGAATATAAAAAAGTATAATATGATAATGGAAATTTCATATTCAATAAATAAATTTAAAAAAATAGCGATAGGCTTTGATTTCAATAAAAATTGTTTTTTTAATGTAATTTAACTAACTAAGAGGTCCAACATCACTCCTTGTTGTGAGAAAATGTGCCGGGCGAGGTAGACGATAAACGACAATAGATGCTTCTCGTTCGAATGTTGTTATTATCGACCTGCCGGTAGTTCTAAGTTCAGGGTAACCTTGTGTAAGGGTGGTAACCTATAAAAATATTCAAGAAGAAAAAAATAATACAAGTAATTAGAAAAAAAAAATAGCAACTTCTTTTTTTCTTTTTATTAGTGGTATTAGTTTCAGACAATCCATTCCTTTCATACCTTCATATCTGTACTAGCGGGAAGCGGAGTCCTGCTTTTTTTTATTCGGAATTAAATAGAACGAGATCTTTATTTGAATTGAAATATAAAATAAAATAATTCGAATACCTTTTCTTTGGTCGTCCATTCATAAATAATAATTTTGCCGGATTATGTATAGAAGTTTTCTTAGTTCGATCATATAATTTTCCAATTGGATCTGTACTACTTAAATATTGAAACGGTTGATTTGTTAGCGGAGGTAACATTCTCGTTGAATTGAATTGTGAACGACGGCTGTATCGAAAATGACTATTATTTTGAGTTGGTATTACTGGAGAGATATGGACTTGATTCATAGACGATGATATTCGCGGCAATGGATTCAACTTATCAATTATTTCTCCGGCGAATTTTGAATTTGTTCCAGCTATAGATGACATATGAGTTGTTGATAAATAAGTTCGTTCTGTGAATGAATTATCTCCAACACCACACCTATATGTACCTACTAAAGATATTTGATCATCATCATAATCTTGTATTTCTGTTAATGATGACAACGACAAATGTGTATCTTGCTTTGATGACGGTAAATTTAATACATAACCTTTACTTTTACGATATTCATCAATGTACGTATGTTTTGATGGATGAATTTTAAATTGATATGCATTATCGTTCGAGGAAATACAAGATTTAGGAGAAGTAATACGAGGGTTTTTTATAGTTCGAACTTTTTGCGATGGTCGCGGTGTATCACTTTGATTCGACCGAAAATAATTTATGGATTTATCTGGCCATGGACCTATTCGATGGATTGTTGCATGAAATATACGAGAAGTCAATGATAATGAACGACGACGTGAAGCAATTCGACCATCAATGGATGATGACGATGACGATGATTTCGATAATGATGATGCTACAGAATGAATTTGCTGTAGTTCATGATGAGCAAAATGTGGTTGTAATGTTTGCGGACCGAGTAACGATGAACGCTGGTTACTAACACGTAGTAAATCTTTTTTCAGTAATTTTTGACTTTTTAATTGTACAGTAGGTTTTAAACATGGTGAATACGAATCGGACAGAGCACCCTCTATATCAAGATCAATTTCGTCGGTTGATGAAGATCTAACATGATCGATCGGTGTCGGTATACGCTTTGTTTGTGTTTGATATGATCGATGTTGAGTTTGTTTATTGGTAATCGATCGTTTTAAAAATTTATGCTTCATTCAATAGACATGTACAACTAAAAGTAAGCACTTAAACGAGAACTTCGAGTCTTTTAACTATGAAAATATAAATGAGCAAAAGAGAAATAGAACGAGGGGGAAAAGATGCTTGTCGTTGTTGCTTACACTACAAATACTTTTACTGGTATTACTTGTGTTGTTGTTCTTTTTGAATCAGTGAAAACGAAAAAATAGCCAAGAAAAGGAGAGAGAGCGTCGGAACAGAGTAAAGCCGATTATATGAAATAAATTTTTTAGTAGCACGCAACACTTGAAGCTTGTCATTCATTGTTGCTAGTTGCTCAAAGTAAAAAGGAATGCTAATATGTGTTTTGTTTTTGTTTTGAACTCATTAGTATGAAAAGCAAACGCTTCCGAAGAACTGGTGCAAATGATGTGTACTTTTTTTTATAGATAAATTTTGAATTAGAAGACAAGTGCTAAATAAAAAATCAATCAAAATAAATTTGTAGTTTTCAACAGTGTTCACTAATCATCATTGTCTGACATCTTTCATTTGGCATAGGCAATAATGCAGGGAGGGTGTTGCTCATTCTCATATAATAAAAATGATTGAAAATGGCGATTGATGTTTTTCTCAAAAAAGAAAAGGTTCTAATGTACTTCGCAGAAAAAGAAATTTATGCCTATTTTAATATTAATAATTAATTATTTTCTTTCTAGATTGAACAATGCCGAAAAAAGGAAAAGGAAAGAAAGGCGGTAAAGGAAAGAAGGGGTAAGTTTAGTTCTTTTTATTTTGTTTTGAAAGTTTATGTAAAAAATAACTAATTGAAATTCTATTTGAATTTTTCTTTATCTAGGAAAAAGAAAAACGATGATAATCCATTGAAAATGGATGCTCGAAATACAATTTTATGGGAATCTAGACTTAATATTGCAGATACATCGCGTAAACACTGTCGGTGAGAAAAATAAAACATTGATTAGAAAGGATAAAAATAATTTTAATATTTATCAATATAGAGAAGTGGTTGGCACTTTGGCAGGCGACAATGAAACATTACGCGACCAACTACGTCAAACGGAAAAAGATACTATTGATGTCGTTAGTTTTCTAAAAAAGCAAGATATGGACAAAGATACTGAAGTAAAAAAGACATCGATTATTTTCAATGAAAAAAAAAGTATCTCTTTATAAATAAAAATCTAGATCGAACGTTTACAACAAGAAATCAGTACACTCCAAGTTGAACAATCTAAAGATAAACAAGAATTAGTATGTATATATATATATATATATATATTTAGTTGTCTGCAGAAAATTTTATCATTGTTGACTTTAAGCTCGATGATTTTGACAGGCAACGACGTCAATTAAATGAAAGATTAAGTCGAAAAGAAACTGAACTAGATGTTATTCGGCATGAACTTAATCAAGTAAAAGAATTTCGAAAGAAAAAAGCTCAAATGCAACAAGAACTTGAAGAAGTAAATTTATACGATTTGCTTTTATTTCATTTTTCTTTAAATTATACCTTTCTATTTTCCAAGATTAAAGAAGCTATGCTATGGAATGTGCGTGAACAAAAAGAAGCATTAGAAAAATTAGAGGAAAGATTTTCAAATGAAAAAACGCGTCTACAACAAGAGACGAATAAACGAATTGAAGAGATAGCAGAGCAAGCACAAAATGAAGCATTGAAGTAGAATATAAACAAATTAGATCATTATTATCTATATGAATTGTTTCTATTTTTAGAACCTTAGATGAAAAAGCTCGCAATATTTATAAAGAAAATGTTGATCTTATTGAATCGCTACGTATTTATAAGAAAGAGCTCGATGATTTACAAAAATCAAAAGAACAATTGCGAAAACAAGCAACTGTGATCTTAAGTGATAAAGAAATGAATGATTTATTAATAAAAGAAAAAATTGAAGAAGTACAAAAAAACAATAAATTGATTAAAGAAGTAATTTAAAAAAAAAAGAGTGCTTGTTAACAGCAAATAATAAGCTTGTTTTTTGTTGTTTCATAGCTAAAAGAAAAAGTTCAATATTTAGAAGTGTCGCTAACGAAATTCATTGAAGAATTTAATGTTGAACGAAAAACACTTCTGGAACATTCTCAGATTGAATGTGTATCATCACAGAATGAAATCATAAAATTGCAACGTGCTTTAGAATTAAAAGGCAAAGAAATGAATAAAGTTAAAAAATTAGGTAAAGCGATTCTTGAACAACGTTCAGAATTGGAAGCATTATTTCTGGAGGCACTACAAAATGTTAAACGACATATTATTTACAATCGTTTACAATATCATAAAGATGCATTTAGTTCTTATCAAAATCGAATGTTAGCCATTCATCATGGACATGGAGATCAAGGACGAATGAAAACATTTAACGATGCATTTCATGAATTTAGTTCAAATAGTGTTTTTCATGATTTGGAAGAACAATCTAAATGGTAAAACTAGCAAATTATAATTGTTTTTCTATTCAACGTTAAAATTATTTTTTATGGCATAGTTTATCGAGTTCAACTCAAAGAGTTTTAAATTGTGAGAGAATGAGAAGGCATTGTAGAGAAGGAGAAGGCGAATTTCATACTTCCCAGGATTCTCATACAATTCCCTGGATACTAAAAGACTTCTACTGATATGAATTGTTTGTATGTGTACAGTTGGTCTCTTTCAGCTAGCATAGAATTGATAGATAATGAAGAATCATATGAAACGGTCATTAGGATTAGACATGTTATTCTTAAGCTTTTTTGTTTTTCGTTAAAAAGGAGCCTATCTATTTTATTAAAATATAGGGCTAGTGTTGTTGCGGAAGTGAATGTCACTGAGTTTACATGGGAACAAAAAGAACAGGTACTACGAGAATTGTTTATGCGAATGAATACAAGACAATCCAGTATGACGGATTCATCTGTTAACGCGTAAGCATAACTCTAAATTTTATTTTTCATATAATTAATTATTTTTCAATAGAGCTCACCTACCAAATGATGGTCATCCGATGGATCTCAGTCGTGATAGTACGAACAATTTATTTTTGACTCAAATGGCTCACACAGCTCAACATGAAACTTCATCCGATACAAAGAGCAATCCAAGCACATCTGGCATACTCAAATTACCTCAAATTTCATCATCAGCTACCTCATAAATCGAGCTTTTTTTTTATATAAAATTTATTTTGTATATGAATTTTTTTCTTTCTAAGAAAACAAAAATAATCTCATACTCCTCAAAATTAGATTATTTAATCTTGTGCGTACCATTGAATATGATCGATCATTGCTTCAACGGAATAAGATATTCAACTAGGCACTTCAACTTTAATCATAAAGAAAAAAATGTACAAATAAGAATGAGACAGAAGCAAAACACGATCAAAGAGATGATTCACGATGACTTTTTAAATACCATTTCCTTCCTTCGGATATGAAAAAAAACTGATTCTTACATAATTAAACACGTCACAATAGTCTCTCTTCAGTTCTTGTTACAAACAAAAAAAAAAGAAATCAAATTTTTCCTTTACCATTCTATAAGCTAGAAAGCTGAAGTCGGCTTTAAAAAGAAAACTTTCAATTCAAAACAAAACTCCGCTTCAGTTATATTGAAAGAGTAACTCATACACCACTTGTAAGCGTTCTCACGTATAAAACAGTCAAGAAACCTAAAGGTATCCAATGATCTAAATTCTAATCTCTTTACTACATATTCCTTCGGAACATAAGGTTACCGCGATGGGTTGCTACAATACCAAAAAAAAAAACAATTCTTTTCGAAGATTAACAAGATACGCGTCTTATAGCTAAATATGCAGTATGAAACAGAAAACCCAAAACAAAAAAAAAGCAAGAAGAAAAAATTTGTCAGTTCACTTTGTTTCTCTTTCAAGAGTTAATCAGTTACTGGATGAAATTCATGATCCGACATAAAACAATGTTCGTTATTGTCTTTTCCATTTCTTTTTGATATTGATCGATGTAAATCTTGATCGTCTTCATTGTCAAATTTCGAAGGATCAATATTAGCAATAGCTAAACGCATTTTCATTTCTGTAGTTAATTTTGGTAGAAATTCACGAGGAATAAGAAATGATGCGAGATTAAACAAATCAATAAAAACTTTATAACGATCACTAAAGAAATAATTTGCAATAAAATATAAGTTAACAAAATATTTAATAGAATCTAACCTGCAAGTTGATCGTAAATAACTATAACCAGCTGAACCACCTGTACCTTGTTTATTACCAATTTGTCGTTGGACAAGTATTAAATGATTGTCTAAAGAAGAAGAAAACAAAAAATCTCATTACAATATGAAAATGACGCTGAAGACTTGGGTGTTCATCTCGATCTTTTTATGACAATATGAAAAGCATTATGAAAGAACAATCAATAGAATCCGCAGCGAACAATTATTTTATATAGAGTTCTTAAAGTTAATTTTAGACATGCCTCTCAAAAATTGAAAAAAAACAGTTTCTTCTGTTTTTCAGAAATCTTTCTCACACAATTAATTCATGAAATGAGTTTGATAGTGAAATTCATTCGGTGTTTTATTCATTAGTAAGTGCCGCTTTTTCTACAAACAGAAGTATGTTGATCTTATTCGAAATAAAAGTGCGTCTGTTGAAAATTTTCAGCTACGAACCTAACGTGCTCTACTCAACCGACTGTAGCTACGTATTCAACAAAATCAATAGAACCATTCTTTTCGACTTCTTTTTCCGTAAGCTTGATTTACTTACATCGCCATTTTGTTATTAATGCGTCAATATCCATTAGTAAGGATAAAACTTGATAAGGACCCTAAATAAAAGAAATATTGATTTTTTTATTTCTACTAAAAGAAAATAAGAAAGCTCTAAAACAAACTTGAAAACGTGGTTGTTCTCTATAGAGCATAATCATCAGAGCACCTTGTAGAGCTTTATGACTCATACGTCGTTCTGATCTAGCTAGGAGTTGTTGATGAAATTTTTCATCAATAAACGAACGAAATGTATCCGCCGTTTTTTTTACATCCTCTAATGCTGCTTCACGAGCTGTTGGATTTGGTTCATCCTGAGCAAAAAAATTTTGAAATAGATTTTTCTATTAAAATTTTCTTTTTACCTGAGCATTTGTTTGAAGATAGTTAATATATTGAGCTACGGCTCGTTTGTAACGTTCCCAAAAATTAAAAGTTGAATCTTCAAGACCTGGTGTTCGTTCAAGCCATTGCTAAAAGTTCAAAATTTCCGTTCAAATTTCTAGAGGACAAAAACAATTCTTACTTCAATAAGTACAAGTAATGTTGGTTCTTCTAATGAATTGGTTAAATCCGTTTGTTCATTTGAGCTTGGAAAAGCATTTTTATACGAGATTTGATTGTAGAGAACACGCGATTTTTCTGGTAAACCTAATCTATTCTCAATTAATCGAAATTGTAAACTTTGAAAACCACTAGCTGGTGAAAGATATGAACGAAATTCCATAAAATCTAATGGTGTCATCGTTTCCAATATAATTATTTGATCGCATAGTAAACGCCATATTTGCACACAACGTTGAAGACGATTAATCGATACAAACATATGACTTTCATCAATGGATTTATTGCCAAATATATCACGAAGAGAATCAATTTCCCATAAAATTTGTTTAAACCAAAGTTCAAAAGCTTAATTTAGACAAAAAAATAGAAAATTTTCATTCAATTCTATCGATTTTTATCTTACTTTGATGAATGATCATAAATAAATGTTCATCATGAACAGGATTTTTATTTTGATCATTTTGAGCACTTAATAAAACTTGTGAATTAAGTAATCGATCTAATTTTAAATAGTTCCCATATGTTACTAATTCATCACTTGATGGTAAACGTTTCAGTTCAGGTTTAACTGAACTTGATGTGCCATAACCAGTCAATGATAAAATTTCTGCAAGTGCATCGTTATCAGAAGAACCATTTATTGTTAATTTAGCTGTTGCAGCTGTTGGTTCTTCGTCACGTTCGAGAAATCGGGCGTAGGGGCAAGTCATGTATCTTGAAATGAAAAAGAAACAGAAATGGCATTATTAATTAATATTGATTGATTTTATAAGGGGTAGAAACGACAAAACGTGATGAATAAAACAAATATGTAACATGTGACTCAGTTATAAATTTATTTTCGTCGAAGAATATTTGGCACTAGGTGGAATTCATGTAGATGTAAGCGTTTTCTAAGCGACGAATATGAAGTATGTAACCTGACGTCATTTCAAAAGATGAATAGAAACGACCTTGAACATGGATAGAGGAAATGGTGTCACATGTACATATTGCTATATGGAATAGTGCATGTATATACAAATGAAGAAAAAAATCTCTCATTCTATGTATGATGCAATACTAATTTACGACTTTCCTCTTTTTCCTCTCTCTCTCTCTCTCTCTCTCTCTCGGTCTGTACCATACACATTACTAGAACTGTGTAAATATTTGTTTAGTTCGGGCACGAAATGTATATAGCTGAAGAATATATATATATACATCTGTGACATTCGTGACTCATGCTCTTCAAACATACATTTCGCCGTTAAAAAGGAAAATCTATTGAATTAAACCAGTCACAAGATATTGTTTTTTCTATACTAACAAATAACGCGTCATATGATTCAATGAAACAAATATGTTATTTCGATTATTGATATTAGACATAGAAATTTTTTTTTATTGAATCTTGTATTCCAGAAATGAATGCTCTTTAAATTTTCTTTTTATTTAATTTTATGCAGCTGTTGCCTATGTTATAAAAGCAAGGCGTGATATTATAATAAAAGAATGATGCAATGTATTTGTGCTTCGCTTGAAAACTTACCGTTGAGAGAAGACAAGATACGAAATGATTCGTGCGATACAAAATTTTTGTGTGCATTTATCGTAGGAAATGATAGTTCATTGAAGCGAGACAAGATATATTCTTTAGAAGAGGTCAAAAGTTTATAATCAACAATTGTTCATTAGTAATAAAAGATAAGCATTTCTCTTTCATTCTTTACATATTCATAATATATGCGATGATAGTTAATTTAGATAAATATATATTTCTATATCATAAAACAACAATGAGTTAGTATATTTTGGAAATTGCCACAAATATATTCAAAAAGAAAATAAACATACTGTACTGAGTAAAACTTAATAAACTTTCAATAGGAAAGAAAAACTACTCGATCTTATAACACTCCTCACATTCTCCTGATGACGCGAAATAATAAATAAAAGCCAAAAAAAAAAAAGAAGTGAACTGTTAATAATACGCACAAACAAGACACACACCAACAAAAGAAACAAAAAAGAATAAATAAACTAAAATTGCCTTTTTTTTTTAATTTTGAAAGAAAACCTGAATTCTATTTTCTAGTATCAATCGATTCCCACCCAGCATCATCATCATCCGCCCATTTTTCATCATCAAACGAAATTAAATTAGGTGCCGGCACCGACACAGGTGCTGGTGCCGATACTTGTTTAGTTTTGGATCCAGCAGATGAATTTGTATTTCCTGTCTTTTTGGAAGATGTCGCTCGAGATGAGGCACTTGATGGTTTCGAAATGGGTTCATCATTTAACCAAGATTCAAAACTAACATCACGTTGTGGTTTCGAAATTTCAGTGTTTGATTGAGACAGGGTGAGTTGTGCTTGTTGAGGAGTTGGTGAATTACTAAAGGTATTCTGATAGCCAGAATCATTATGATATGTTGACGACGACGATGAGTGGCTTTGATACGAAGAGAATCCTTCGTTCTAGAAATAAAATATTTCGTCTCTTTTTATGTTTAATTAGATGGCATGGTGCAAAGCAATAAGTGTGACCTATTCATTGAACTGATTAAAATATCTCTCGAGACGAATAAAAAAAAGTTAGCAGGATGTGTAGGAATTCACCATTGCTCTCTGACTGTTTTAAATCGATGTAAGGAGTTTCAATCGGCAGGTTTTCTTCCGCATATCGTAGAATACGCTGAAAGCTTAGGAAGACAAAGTACAAAAACTAATTTTTATAGATTACTATTAGCTTTGTTGAAGTTTACATATAGGAACTCAAATTTATGTCTTGTTAACAAAGATTGTTCAATCATTTTGGAGCATTCTTTAAAATTTATTTGTTAAGAAAGAAATTTGAATCTCTTGAGAATCTAGCTAAAAGTAATTTAATCAAATGGTTGCTCTTCGATTTTTGAAAACTTACTCTAGGTAATTAATGCACAAACAGGTAGATCAATGCGATAAATTTTACTTACAGGGTCCGAATAATGCTGACTATTATTTAATCGTTGATCTTCGCTATTATACGAATGATAATCTTTTCCTGCCCATAATGATTGCATATCCGACCATGTTTTCGTTCCTATTTTACCCATGGACGATGCAATACTTGTTACTCCCGTTTGAACATTAGTCAATAGGGAACCATCTTTAGCTTGTTCCGTTACTTTTGATGTCAGCTCAGTTGCTTTGTCAGCTGCTGTTTTCGAAATTTTAAACATGGACTCTTTAGCAACACCAGCCCATTTAGCGGCATTAACACTCATGTTTGAAATTGACGATGCAAGCAAATCAGGATTTGATGATTGTTGTTGCGATGATGTATCATAATTTGTATTTCCAAAACCCCAATATTTTGGATTACCGCTACCAAGACCAGATGAATATTGTTGATCATTTGAACCACTGTTTTGATAACCACCACTACCACCACCCCCACCATAATCTTGAGTTCGTTGTTCTGATGATTTATTACTATTTTGTGTCCACTCGGATGATGTTTGCTAATAGATTAAAAGTAAGTGTAACAAAGAAAGGAAAATCACTAAAGCCTATTCGTATTCACTTACTCTCGACGGTTTTTCAGTATAATTTATTGATGATGATGACGTATAAGGCGAACTATGATTTTGAGCTGATGATGTACTAATTGACCATGTTTTACCTTGTGCTTCTGTAATTATTTTATCTCTATAAAAAGCAGCAGCACGAGAATTATATCGCTGTTGTAAACTCATCGAATTGGCATTATAATCGGGTTGTGCAGATAAAAACTCTTTTGCTCGACGATTACCACCTACTTTCATTTTTTCTAATTCCATTTCTTTCCATTTATCCATGGTTATTGAGCGTACAAATGATAAATGAACACCTAATCCACGATGTTTCCCCGAACATTCAAGACATATAAAAATACCTATAGAAAAATATCAAGCGTAACATAGGTTTTTTTGTAACCGAATAAATAATGGATAATATAATTACACTAGAATCTACTAGTACATGCCATGATGAAGAAAATCATTGAAATTCATATTCCATGGTGAGAGGAAAAGACAATTGATTTTAGTTTTTTTGATTCCCTTGATATTCATTATTAATCATATTTTTAGAAATTAACTGCTGACAACAACAATATGGTGTGAAAGTGTTAAGTGGCAATATATCCGTTTGAGATCATTCTCTTTGGTCTCATAAATATGAATAATATGTATTTAGACCTTTCTGCTTGAATTCTAATAATTTAATTCGATAGTCGATCATAAATTACCATCTAGAAATGCCTCTGATCATAGATTCTGCAGTACATATCTTACTTTGAAAGATTCCACTGGATTATATGAAGTGAAACTAGGAGTGGGCCATTAACATTAATGTCAATGTTCTTCAATGATATTAACGGTTAACGGAAATATTCCCTATCAGTATTAATAGTAATGTTTTCGTTAATATTAGTGATGATATTTTCATTAATCATTAATATTAATTAAGTTCCGTTAAAAAAATGGTCCACCCCTAAGTGAAACTATTAAGGCACTCATTATAACAGTTTTTTTTCTAAGATTTTACCATATGCTAACTTCTTTCTTAAAATGGCTATAGATTAAAGAGGAACGTTTTCTCATCAACATAAATTAGCGATGCTCTTATATGATACAAACTTCGCGGATTTCTTTAAAAAAATGCAATAGAAATTTTTGTCTCATTGAATCAATCAATATCACCAAGAGGAATCATTCTTACCATAAGAAACCGATACCCATTGAGGATTTAATGCTCCACATTCGAAACACACATTATTATCATCTTTTAATTTAAGATCTTTCAAAAGAGACCGAGTACGTGGACTAGCCATTTGTTGTTGTTATAGATAAAAATCTAAAATAATCGTAATTATTTAATAAACATATCAGTACTTAATTATTTATTCTCTGAAATTTTTTCAGAGAATCAATAGATAACCATAGAAAAAAAAAACTATTCGTAAACAAGTAAATCAATGTACATGATAAGAAAAAGAAAATATTATTCATGATACTACTCTTTTACGTCAGCTAAATATTCGGTTTGATGCGTCGATATTTTTACTGTTCGTCTTTCATTTATCTTTTGATCGTTTACGATCATAAGTACTATTTCGTTGGTCATCACTATCAGGCTGAGATCGTTTTGAAGATTTTTTATGATGACTATGACGTGAAGATGATCGTTCAGAATTATCACGGTGTGAACGATTTGCTGTTGGTGAAGATAGTTGCGAAGAGTTCGTTGTTCCGTCGTTTGATGGTTGAGACGATTGGCTTGAAGTTATTACGTTTGATTTCGATGGCGAAGATCCTTTTTTTGTTGGTGTACGGTTTGATGAACGGCGATTACGCGTTGATTCTTCGTCATCTCGACTATACCGATCACTATCTTCTCGTTGAGTTCGTCTTCAATAACACAAATCGTATTTCTTTTTCTTTTTTTGTATATAATAAAAATAATTACTTTCGTGTTTGCTCATATTTATCATCTCGATCTCGCGATGATTTTCTATCATTTTTTGGTCGTTCATATTCATGTTCACGACTTCGATGTCGTGAATGATAAGATAATGATGAATGTTCTTTAGCTGGTGAGCGACGATGAATAGTTGAATTATTATCACGATCCTGATCATCTCTTTAGAGAAAAGGCAACGAAAATTTTTTTATTTTCTACTTAAAATAATCTACATTACCTGTATCGTTCGTTAAATCGATTATCTTTTGATGCTTTCTCATTATCAATAGCACTTGTGCGATTCTCTTCTGGTGTTGGACTATGCACTGAACGATTTTCAGGCGTTGGACTTCGACTCGATGGTGTTTGTCCAATCATATTAGTTTCTGGTGTAGTCATTTGTGATGGAAATGGCCTAGGAGGAAAACCATGTACGAGAGGTACACCAGATCTATAGAATAGAAGGAATCAATATTGCATTTAATTAAAAATGAAATACTAACTTATCCCATGGTTGTTGAGAACGATGCGGTACAAAAAATGTTTGTGGAGGCCTAAATTATATTGCTTCGAAATGAGTAATGATAGAGAAATCTGAATAAAGCAAACTTTACCTCTCACCACGCATGCCTACGACAGGTCCATGTGGTAAAAATTGTGGGCCACAGTGTACATGCATAGGACCGAATTGAGATCGAAACGGCATGCCACGTGGCAAGGGCATCATAGGTAATCGATACATATTCATAGTTGGCATGTGATGAGTATTACCTGAATGTGCTCCATGAGACGGTAAAGGACTATTAGCAGTTGATTGTGCTGATAGACGATCGCCGATCGTAAGTCCATTGGGCGATTGATCACCGAGACTATAGAAACAAATAATTCGAATGAAAATTCTAAGTGAGATTTTTGTTTTAAAAATATATACAATTGAGATCCACTGAAATACGATGGCTGTTCATAACTATTTTGTGTGTCGAAAGTAGATCGACGAGTTGTTTTATCAGTTGCACCTTGAAATAGAAATTTATTGGTTAATCGATGAGAATTGACTATGTTCCTTACCTATCACATCAATTTTTCCATCAGGTATTCGTGCACTATTCATCGGATGTTGCATCATTTGCATATTCATTGGTTTATTAATCATCATGAATTGATGAGAATTCATTGGATGAATCATTGAAGGATGACCTGGAAGCATTGTTGGAAACTACAAAAAAAGAAAACTTTCGCTAAGAAGTAGAATTGACAATAGATTAAAATTTTACATGTGTATTATTATTGCGAACTGCTGCGGTGTCATTACGTAAACGACGGTGTCGATCACAGTATTGTGCCCATATTTCTTCGGTGAAACCATAATTAAAATAGTCAGTAATGTCCGCTCCTAAAATATTCGTTCTAATATAATCGATGCATCACTATTAGAAAATTCTTTGAATTAATGAACCTTTCGAAAAAAGTGAAAGCTAGATTATTTTATTTATTTCAAAGTATGCCTACTTTTCGAGATTTTTGAGCTGAAAATTTCTGCCGAAATCCTGTATACTGCTCTCATTATAGATAAATATTTTTCTCATTCCTCAAATACAATCTACATAAGACAATATTTTTTCCTTCCTGAGCTTCGGCTATGATATGATAAGGTGAATCAGTCATGTGATAAAAACAACGATACGGTATGAATGTAAAAATAAAAAAACATTAAGTGTAGAGAATATAAGTTTTCAAGAAGTGATACGATTCATTTTGTAATTAAATATATATTTAAATTAACACGATATAATTCTTCTTGCAAATATCGAAACGTGACGAAACAATGTATCAAACCTGGCTTTTTCCATGGCTTATCTCCATTCATTATATCATATTCACATGTTGGTTGTCCATTAATAACACCTTGTGCATCGCAGTCAACACCTCGTACTGCTGATAGTTTCGGTGGAATAGCAGTAGAACTTCCTAGGAAATGATTACAACTGAAAAAATCCAAAAGAAAAGATGTTTTTTTACCTGATAACATTCCTCGAGCTTTTTCTCGATTTGTTTGAAAATTTGATGTTTCTGACTCATAATTGCGGATAATTACTTCTATTTCATCACCATCATCATCTGAATCATCGAACTGATCACCAATTATAGGTTTTGCAGTTAGTTTTTCCTAAAAGTAAGCATGTTCAAATATTCGAGTATTAGATTAAAACTCTTACGTACTCTAGCATTGATTCCCTGTGTTGTTATTTCATCGATGGACGGTGCGATTGTATTATCTCTGTTAATGTGAAAAGAATTCTATTGATTTAAATCGAATAATTATTTTAAAACTTGCATAGTTTCATTGGTTTTTAATCTATTAGCTATGAGTAAAAAGTAAAGAAACACGTTATTGAAAAACATAAATAAAATTTTCATACTGTCAAAAGACCAAGTATCTTCATCTTCACTATTGGCAACTGCTTCTGTTATTGTATTATCTGTTCCTATTATTAAACCATTTGTAGATGAGATTTCATCAATCATTACCGTTGACATTATTCTTGAAAAACAATAAAAGAAGGTTTTTTGAAGCACATGTTGACGTGAGCCGTAAAAAACGGACCAATCTTCAATAAGTCTCCTACTCACATAATATCAAATATGACCTCTATCGGTTTCATATTCTATTGATTCGTCAACTAACCCATAGCAGTTAATCGTTATTGATCGATCGATCGGTCGATTGCGGTAAAAATCATAGCATTCCGAAGAAGCGAAATCGTAGTTTGAGACGATTGGAATATCAGCATGTTATAGAAGACCGCATTCGGAGTATTAAGTTTCGCTCTATCTCTTAACATCTAGCTGACCTACAAAATAAAAATTGTTTCTAAAGAGATCTTTTTCTCATTAGAATTACATGTCTCGATTTTCCGACGTCTAATTGGTTCTCAACCCAAATTAACAATTGATTTCTTTGATAAATACCAGATATGAAAAATGATTGTTGGCGTCGGATATTTTCATCCATTTTTTTGTTTCTTCATATAAAAAATAAAATACAGGTTCTTGTTGTTGCTATTAAACCTATTTCAATTCTACATAAAACTTTCCATACTAAACCAAACTTCATGTAATTATATGTATTAAAATTGCCAATACGTTATCTTACTCGACAATAGAGAAAATTCCATATGATGACTATTTCAGCTATTTATCAATGTCGAATTCAAATAATAATAATCTAGTTAATAATGCTAGCGGACTTGACTAAGAATTCAACTCGTAGGAAGCTGGGGAAGAGTTGACCATAGCATGACTACAGAAATTACGAAATATGGCAGAAATCGAATAATAACAAGAAAATTTTAAAAGATTAGAGTGTATTTATGCTTCATCTTGCTCGTGACAATCTTGATACTTAATATTTTTTGTGATCAAAGTAAATCTTACGTCTATTTTTTTCTCTTCTTATTTATAAAATTACATTATAAATAAAATTATTATCATATGAGGAGTTACCAAATCAAGTTTTCTTTGAAATATTTGATTATTTACATGCATTCGATATTTTTACTTGTTTTACATCATTGAATGAACGAATGCCAGTTCCTATTGTCATTTCGAATAATATACTCGTCAACAAATTAAATTTCTTTCTTCACATCTTATATGCCATGATCTTCAAGTTATTTCATTCAATATTGATAATATTCGTGATAATTCATCTGTTATTTATTTCTTATTTAGTCGACACAATTTTATTAACCTACAATTATGTGTATTTCTTTCAATGAAACCATCAACACAATTTGAAAATATTATTCAACAAATAAAAGATCTCAATAGACTTGTTTTATTTCGTATTTACGATGATTATGATAACTTAAGTGAAAGTAATAAATATGATTTAACTCAAGCTATGCTAATGCATAAATCATCCTTTCTTGATTAAATTGGATTTCAATATCCTTATGATCACTTAGATTTATCAATTAATATCTACGAATGTTATATAATTTAGTGTAACTATGTGTCATACATTTGCAACTGTATCAGTTTGTTCAATTACACCAATTCTTCGTTTTTGTCATAGAATATGTAATCTACTGATGTGATGAAAACCTGCGGTTAAACGCGATTTTCCCGGCTCCAAAAACCGCGCTCAACCGGTGAATTACCGAGAATTAATAACTGTTTTCCAGATAAACTAGCCGCCATGGTTGAGTGGTTACGTTGTTCGACACGTATTCACAAGGTACTGTGTTCAAACCTCAGTAGCACCATCCATGGAATGACCCTGAACAAGTCACTAACGGCTAGTTGTTTCGGATGACTCATTCGATAGCGTGCTGATTAGGTCACTAGTCAATATGCAGAGTAACCCGCCAACCCGAAATTCATAAACGGGGGAAGCGTTGGACGAAAGGGGTGCAGATACCGTCGTCCGTAAAAAGGAAAAGACGAAAGAATCTGGCTGCTTACGTGGACCCTTTAGCGCCGGCCCCAACGGGCGATAAGCCTATGGGAGATATTATTATATTATTATACATACAAATAAAGCACTTGTTTCTCTATGGGCCTATATATTTCTCTTTTGACTCACTTCTTATCTTTAATAAAAACTTGATGAATTTTTTAAAAGATTTTTCAACCTTTTTTCAAAGTGTTCTCTTTGTTCTTTCTGAAAAAATTCTAATTGTCTTAGCATCGAATTCCTTTTAATCAAGAATATATGTCTCGATAGATTCTTGATTTTTCAATTAATTTGTATGAGTATTACCTGATTTACTTCGGATCTTACTAGTAAATTAGTATAAGCAATACTATATTGAATTGTATCAAAATAAAAAATCTCTAATATTTCAAATAAACACCGCAAACAGAGTAAAGCTATCGAAAATAACATTATGCAGCTATATGAAATGTGTCGAATGTTTTATTATTTTCAGATCGAATAAATTGTGGTTGTATTAATCATCATGCCTGATGTTCTTACTAAAACTGGCACTCCTTCAACGACACGGGTGTGGCGATATTTTTTTGATCATCAGGTATTGACTGTTGTCTATTTTTCTTCTACTTCTCATGACTGAATTTATTTAAGTCAAGAAAGAACATCAGTTCTTCTTTTGAAGTTTTGATTTTCACATTGAATAAAATTATCTGCGTTGTAAATTTTGCCCATTATTATTTAATAATTTAGAAAGAGTACGCTACATTCGTTTAAATCGATTGCTGAATTGAAATCTTTCATTTTTGAATTCACTTTTCAGCTCTGATCTTTCAGCACAGTATTGTCATTTTAACTAGAATTTATAGAAAATTTGTTCAGCATTATTGAGTGCCTACCGTGAATAATACCCGATGGGATAATTCTATTCTGACCTAGACAAATGCAATAGTTTAAAAGGAATATCGATACTAATCTCATACTAAGGTACAGGAATACTTGATGATATTCTACTTGGAAAGAAGATGCATAGTTTATATTTTTTATATAAGTAGAAGCTGATCGACTGAACCACCATTGTTGCCAAAGCATATAAGTAGGTGCTCGACTTTCGAAATCGAGAACCAATGTTTGGAGATGTTCTGCTTGTCTAAAAAAAGAACAAAAAACACTAGGTTTCAGTCGGCTCTTTTTATTAGAATTTTGATTGAAGTCAAATGAAATCTTCTATTTAAGAATGAAAGTATAATTTTAATCAGCTTAATCAATACATATTTAATTCTAGTTTATTTTATGAACATTCTGAATTAGTATCAATTGAAATAGTATACAGAACTTCAGCATGCCCGTCAAAGATCAGTTCAGCATTTCTTTTCTTTTTTTTATTTGGATTGCCTAATTACATCTCATTCAAATCTCTCGAAAGCAAGAGAAATTTGAAAAACAATCGCGAAAAACTTTCAGTCATAGTCATCGCTGATCAATGAATTTCAAGAAAGAACAATCCCTTTATCTGATTCCGATTCGAGGGAATCTTGTCGAAGTTCGATAAAATCAGCCAAAAGCTCTCTAAATTTCTAGGGATTTGACAATCAGCATCTGATAATAGGGACGTCAGTAACTATTCGACCAGCGTAGTTGTACTTGATTTGGTTTATACCAATCAATAAAATAGATAGATATTTCTTATTCTGGAAAAGATTATTTGGTTTTAAATTTTCCAATCATCCCCGACTTGAGTAGAAAAAAAAATTTTATTTTTTATCCCCGATACTACTGGCTAGTTCATCGACTTACGATCACCTGTAAATAAGGGTAATATTTTTTCATTAGATTCCTATATTCCACTGGCATACTAATAGTAAATATTTTTGAAGTCTTCGAGATTTGTTAAATTTCTTTTTCTTTTTTTTAATTTGACAAGCCTCCATTGACAAAAGATGAAAACCGCAAATGTATTGGTATTTATTGCTCTACGATTGCATCTCTGTCCGTTGTTTTTGGCATTTATTTATGGTCAGGTTTATATCATTTGGTAAAACAAATACGAAATTACTTTTCTTACTTGAAGTAGTACTCAAAATCGATCTTTTACCAAGGAGATGATCTTGTTTTCTTGATATATAAAATATGTATCGACTTATTGAGATGTGTTTTCTGGCAACGCCTAGCTTAAATTTCACAGCTAGAAGGTGCCAGGAAATACTCACACACTCAGTAATGGAAAATTGTGCATCTTTTGTTTTTGAACAAAAGAAACAGATTCTTGAGAATAATGTGTTAATGAAATTCCATTTCACCTTAATGAATCTCTATTTTGAATAGTATGAAGGGTTTGATCAATTTCGAATTGATGAAAATAATATGGTTTTTAGCGCACTTTATGCAACCGTGCATGTACACAACGAAAAAAAGTGCTATTTAACAGATTTAAACTACTATATAAAAGCTATGTTATGCCAAAGACTGCATCTTAATATGTGAAAACATTCCTCAATATCAAGAAAATAAAGACAGCTTTTAGGTTAATCATCAATCTTGAGAACTGCTGTGATAGTGTGAACGAAATTTTATGATTTTCTTTTAGAAAAAATATTCGATTGCACCAACCATTGTTCTACTTGCTATTAGTTTTGTGTTATGTGTGATGATAATTAACTGGCTGACTATTGGTGTCTATGCTCTCATTCGGCAGTGTCGTCATCATCAACAACAACAACAACAAGTTAAAGAGACCTCCGAATGTAACAATTCTTTTCGTTTCGCGAATGTCAAGTCATGGTTAAAAGAAAAGCTTGGCAAATCGAAGACGACACCAATCGATGTTTCTATCCAAGTACATCAACAGCTCATTGTTTAATGTATCATTGAATTTGAATTCTAATTTGCTATATATATGTTGTCATATTTGATAAGAATTGTAATCTCTTAAATTAAATAATTCTACTTACATCGAAATTTTTATGTAAACATATCTCGTTATATTTGTTGTAGTATATACTTGCTTATCTGCTAGTTTCTAATTTTTTTTCTGAATGTTTTTATTAATGACGTTGGAATTATGTATCTGCACACAAAATGTGAACAAATTGCTTTTTTTACCCAAGTCTGGCTTGTTGATTTATAGTCCAAGTTAAGGGCAAAACTAATCGACTGATATTTCTGATTTTTTTACATCGACTAAGCCATAGCTTTCAAATAATATATCACTTTTGATATACGTCATTTATTTCAAAGAGGAAAAGCCTACTTCTATACTTCTGAAGTATAGAAAGATGCTTTTCTCCCTTGTGTGATAGTCTCAAGTTGAGAATCCTGAAAGAAAATACCGGAAGTTGTTGCAATAAGGTGGCAGTATTCCGACGAAAACTTTTTCGGATTTTTTCTAGTAATTTCTGAACAACTTCCTGAAGGACACTGAAAGAATTTTATTATCGATCAGGGGTAGTTAGAGACTTTCGTATATTCTAATGGATTTTGGTACAAACCAAAGAAGAATCGCTTTCTCCTTTAATGATTTATTTGTGTTTCGATTGATCTATATCAAAATAAAAACATTATTATAAAGAGTAAAACAAATGTTTGATAAAGAAAAGAAGATTTTCTGTCGATTATTTTGAATCTCACATTCAATCTTTTTCAAAATATTTAAGAATGTATTATATAGTACATGCATTTGGTATTTATTCTTTTGAGCCCCCCCTCCCCACCCTGAAATGTCAATTTTCGTCAAATTTTTCGATTTTTTGATTTCTAGCGCACCTTATAGAGCATGATGTGAGCTATCGAATGCACTATGACTTATTCATTTTACGACTTTCTTTATGGTGAAAAACTCATTTTTTTCAGAACCCCTACTCATTGAGAGAGTGCTTTTTTTGAAAACTTTTATTGTCGATAAGTTATAAAATTCTTTGAGGGTATGTGAAAGGGATTATTGTATGTGATACATGTCGCTAGTATATTGGCTTTGAAATATGTGTTAATTTTTATTTACTGATTGAATTTGAGTATCATTTTTGTGCAATTGTTCAAACCGTCTTTCTAGGATAAAGATTTTCATTAAAAAACTCTAAGTTGTTTTCATCTATTCTAGATAAGCTTTAAATCCTGTTTACTATAATAGAATATAATATCTTCGATGAAAACTTCGATTACTTAAATCCTACGGTACAAATCACTTCTTATCGGTTTCAATTTAGCACACTCTAACCATAGAAAATGCAAAAGCTTCTTCAGAACTTCATCAGAATGGTCTGACCAACACGTTCGAATCGATAATCTATTGCAAATATTAAAAAAACTCATTTAACCAAACTTAGTTCCAAAAAAACCTTCGAAAATCATTCTGCAAACTTATTTTGCGTTTTTCTCAACATACGATTTTCAGCTATGTAAGTTTTGTATTTCCCAAATTTCTCCGCCATTTTTTATGATGCAGAGTTCGGGTTTTTTTTAAGTGTAACTATGACCTATCACTACAACTTAATGAAGTCGGATTTTACGATTAAATGACCTTTGTTTTCGAATATAGAAATTTTCAACGAGGAGTAACATTCGATTCTGAATTTTTGCACCGCAAGTTTCCATAAAAAAATTGAAAAATGAATTTGGATATTCAGGCTTCGTTAAGTTGTAGCGTCAGGTCATAGCTACACTTTAAAACAAACCCGAGCTTGATAGCATTTGTAACGGGGGAGAAATATGGGAAACGCCGACACCACCGTTTTGTGTCACGATTCTGCAAAAAAGGCCAAAGATTTAATATTTTGGGCTGAGATTTTTACCGTAAGATACCTAGCAGTAGACATGTCTTCTATGAAAATTTCAGCAAGATTCAATGTTCAGAACCGAAAATGAAAAATAGGATGGGGGGAGCCTTAAATAAATGACATTGGTTAGCTTAGTAGAAGATATTCGGAATGTTGTTAGACGCGTGCGAATGTATGGCTAATAGACTGATATCGTCTATCGATGTCGGTTTTCACTGATCTGGAAATTCAGTGGGTACGAATGGGTCTCCTATATTGTAGATATGAAAAACTGCAGTTGCAGTAGAATATTTGTTTTGTTAAACCAGCCACCAATATCGCTCAGCATATTTTACAGAACCATGTATGCGAAACATTTTATTCGTCTATCAGTGCTCTATCATTTGATATACCACATGAGAAAAATCTCGCTATTCTATTTCTATAATCTTCGAAGCTTTCATGAAATAATTCATTAGTTTTTTTGCGTTGAAAATAAGCTGGCAGTGGTAAAAGTCGATCTGAGCTAACTTCACTATAAAAGGTCCAAATGAACTAAAAATTTGGGTTTAGAGGTTTCAGACTTTGCTCTTTCTAATGAACATATCAAATCCAAAATCTAAATTTTTAAGAGTGCTTCGATTCCTCGATGCGCGCTCATGGACCCTCTCTTAAATAATGTGTATAGTGATTCAGAGTAAGATATGACTGATATTAGATGAAAAAAGTCAATGGTGACTCATGTACGATCAGAAAAAACAACTATGGCTCATACCGGTCTACTGGTTGCAACTCTGGTATCAGCATCAATTTTCGACCAAATTTATAGTTTACATACTATAAGATACCAACAAAGGAGATGAACAATCCTGTTACTAATATGTTGAATTTTGAATCAGCTTTGTGAGAGGTTATTTGTAGTGAGGTAAGCATGATTTTTCTTTTACTTTGATAGAAACTGCAAAATCTTGGTTTGTTTAATTTCCTAACTCTATTCCTCTTGGGTACTATTTTCTTGCTGCTCAGATGGTTTATCGACGTATTCGATCTCTTGGTATATCAAACCAATACAATACTAATGAAGATGTTCGATTTATTTGTACAAAGTTCATGGCTCTTGTTTCGTTGCCTTTGCCTTTGGTCATACAAGCTTTTGATGATCTTTTAGAATAGCTTCTTTAAGCACCATACAAAATACGTGATATGCTAAAATCTTTTCCCAGCTAATTTGAGGACGAATGGATTAAAAATACCGATTTCAAAAATAGATTGCATATGGATTGACCATAAAGACAAATAACAATTTTGAAGGCACCTAATAATTGTTTATTATTAAGATTGTTCATCATTCTATTGTAATTTTAAGGTTTCGCACCGGTCTAGACGCGATTATCAAAATCCTGTTCAAGTATATGATGCTTTGTTAAAAGATTTTTTTCAAGAAAAAGAAAATAGATTTAATCACTTAATGATCGAAACGAAAGGCGATCTTCGTGCTCGAAAAAGGGCAACTAAAACTCTTGGGATTCTACAAGAATTGAATACCTCATATTCAAATTACCAGAATGAGGATATTGATAGCAATGAATTTTTTCATGGATTATCATATACAGTTGTCAAGAATATGGTATCAAAAAACAAGAAGACAATCATTATCACCTAGTGCTTCCTAATATTTCATCAAGATTTATTGTATAAGTTCCTCGATGCTTTTTTTTCATTACATAAAATATTCGGTCGATTGTATAATTTGCTAAAATGAAGGGGAAGTCATTGTTTTCATTCCATATTTTTCTTTTCTGATGTTATTTGCGTTCGACATTGCGTGTTTCGATATTTTTCTCTGCTATATTATAAATTTCTTCCTTTTACCGTCATATCGAACAATTAAGAAGCCCCACTCGAGCGGCAATCTGCCGTTTTCATTCTGTTGGGTGTTGTTAGTTCAGAAGAATAAGAAAAAAAAGAAAGAGAATGAAAAATGAACTAAACCGGGAGAAGTGGTATGTATTTCATCAATTCCGTCATGAGTGCAAAAAAAGAATTACAAAAAAGAAAAAAAGCGAACTGTTATCGCTCATACTAGTAAAATTTTTCTACGGAGTTTGTTCTAGATCAACTATACAAGCAAAAAAAGAATGAGTAAGTTTATATTGCATTGTACTAGTCATATGTTTCTGGAATTATCCTTGTAAACTAATTACAGTAAAACCTCTGATAGTGAACACCCCTCCTTTATGAACAACCTGCTATACTGAACACCCTCCGGTCCCCCCGAGCGATTTTTGCCGGTTTTGACCCCCTCCTTAGTGAAACCCTCGCGATTCTGAATGTGAACGTTATAGAGGGCGCTGTTAAACTTCGAATTCACACGATGCATTTCATTGGGTAGTTTTGCGATTGTCTTAGAGAGAAGCAGGAAGAAAAAACCTCAATCTCATCGATACAACTCGTTGTGAGCTTTGTTTACAAGAAAAAATAAACCTTATAAAAGAGAAAGAAAATTTTCTTATCGAAAATTAAGTGATAAATTTCAAATTTCAATGGGAGCTATTTCCAATATTATAAAAAGAAAATTAGATTATACAGATGATTACGAATTGAACAGAAATTAAAAATTAAAAAGAAAATCCAAACATGCATTTAATCAAGATATCAATACACAAGTCTATGAATGGTTCACCATACAGAAATCAAAGAATATTCCTATGTCTGGTTCAATACTTCAACAATATGCTCGAGAGTTTCTCATATTTTATATGAAATAAACAGATTTAATGAATAAAAATCTGTTTATAAATAGTAAAAGATTCAAATATCTGATTCAAATAAAAAAAACGTTTTTTTGCATAAACCCCCTCCTATGTGATCACTCCGTCATTATAAACGATTTATGAAAGTCCCACTGGTGTTCAGAATAGAGGGTTTTTACTGTAGATCTTTCTTAGAATATATTTACACGTCGATGTTAAACATTATCATCGATTGCGATAGCCTAATGAGAAATGTCCATGTAGCATAGTAATAAATCTTTTGTGTAATTGATAGTTTTGTTTTCGTGTGTTTCATTTGTTGATAAGGATATCTAATACGGTACACTGGAAAAAATGGCACCACACGGAACCAGGCAAGCTTCGTCGTCAGTGCGAAACTCATAAAAGGTTTCGAATTTTCTTACTGAACTTAAAAATGGTTTCGCAGGTACTACGAAACTTAAAAAGGGTTTCGAACTTTGAAACGAACTTTGAACCATTTTTAGCTTTCGTAGATTTTCCACAAAACCTTCGAAAAAGTTTCCTGAACTCTTGATAATCATTTTGAGACTATCTTGGGGTTTTACGAAACCTTTTTGAAGGTTTCGAATTCGTTTAAAAAATCATTGCGTGCGGTGCTTTTTTCCAGTGTAGCAATAGATTTTCTGCGTGGATTTGAGAAATAATAATATAAATCTCAATGAGATGAAGTTTCAGTGCATTTCTGACTGAAAATAAAAACTTTCGAGTATTTGTTTTCGCTCTCTGTTCTTAATGCATAATTTTTACGGATTTTTATAAATAGATTTTTTGGGAGAAATTGAAAATGAGTTGGGTGCGAAAATGAGCGGTGGTGACCAGGGCGGTATTGGTAAGATTTAGTTCTAGCATAGATGTATTGCATGAAAGTCTTCTTTTTAATGGCGAAATAGGTCAAGGCACTGGAGGCGGAGGCTTCCTGAATCAAGTCGAAGGTGCCATCGGTGGTATGTCTGGCAGGACTGGAAACCCTGGCCAACAAGGTTTCGGTGGAGGAATGATGAATGAATTCGGAAAAATGGCCGGCGGCGGTGGCGGTGGTGGGGGCATGATGAGCGAAGTCGAAAAAATTGTCACCGGTGATTTTTTCTGATCCTTCTGATTATCTTCTCTGAGTTCACAGATATTAAAACAACAAAATAAATTGCGATAAACCTATTTTCTTTATTTTCAACTCTGTCATTGTAATATAGCATTAAATTTACATTTCAAAGTGCTCAATTCATTGTAATTACGAAAAGAGAACAGAATGATAGGGGCCCTAATAAATGTATTTGAGACCACAAGTAAAAATCGTGCAAAAAGTTATGAAATGAAGAAGCATTGCTGTTCAAATTTCCATACTACACTCGAATTAAACTTTATGCCAATGGTTCGTTTAGTTATTAATTAGTTTTTCGTATCATGGTAGAGAAACGCAAAACTTCTTCATGGTGAAGATGTGTAAAGATCTACCATACTATCGGTATTTGATCTCAGTAATGAGCACCTACAGATGGCACTCGTTTCAAAATCATTAAAATTCAAAATCAAGTTTAAGACTATACTAATACTTTTCAAACATAAAAACTATCGATAGAATTTATCATAGATAAGTGTACAATTCTACGGTTTCGGGCCCCAGAAACGCGAAAAAATTTACTGAACCAGTGAGTGTTTTAGTCGAAAACCTATCTGTAGGATGAAAGCACTGTTCCGCCCGGAAATCAGTGTGCTGTAATCCGATTAGGAAAACGTCGAAATTTCTGAACCTCACGAGATTTTGGGAAGATATTTGTATCAATCCAAGATAATACCTGAGGGGAATTCGAACACTGCATAACTATCTATGAAGGGTGTAGGTGTGGATATGGGCGCACTTCTTCTCTAAAATCATGCCCTACACTATCTGGGTGTAGGTGTGGGTGTGTCTAGTTATTGTTTATCTTCTATTTCATGCACATACACACCCACACCTTTTCTAATATTGATTGCGCCTATTCTGTATTTTTCGCTTTAGGAATACATTCTTTGCTTAATTTATCAGCTTAGTTGTTATAAGCATTGAATTAAATGGAAAATACGGCTGGTATATGCATCTGTTACAGTCATATGTTATTATTCCTTGAGTCGTTGCGCTCTTATGCGTATTTGTTTATTCAACTCGCATTCCTTGATGCTTTTATTTCTCTTATATATATATCCTCTCTTCTCTCGCTTAAAAAGGAAAGATTCTTAGTAAAAAGGACATCGAGAAGGGAACAGAGATACTCTAATAGCATCCAATATTTAATTGTAGTTCCCGATGTTTGAATCAGAGATGCGACTAAAGTCGATTTCTATCCGAACCGAACCGAAATCGGTTCGGTAGGAAACTTTTTAAACTGTTTCATTACATTTTTTCGTTTTGCGCTGTTTAAAAGAGAACCATGATTAAACAAAACAATACGAAACAGCTGTCAGCGCAGCCCCGCTGGGGCTAAAATGTGGAACTCGAATATTTCGAATCGCTTAGATACTGACCAAATAGAATGTTTTTTTAATTTTTTAATAGAATAAGTTTCATAATTTGTTCAGGAAAAAGACCGAAAAAAGTAAAGATAGCTAAATAGACGAAAACGTACAATTTCTTTCATTTAAATAACTTATAAGTACTTCTGAAATTTTCTAATTAGAATAAAACGTAAACATAAATTACGGTTCGATAGAAGTTTTTTTTAAGGCTGTTGCCATTTAATAATATTGATAAAAATATTTCGTATTTCTATTTTTAATCTTGAAGTAAAATAAATATAAAATGAATTTCATATTTAAACATTGTTTTAATATTAATAAATAAAATACATGACTTCTGCAAGTTTTTTTTTTGATTCCCTCGCTTTTGCTATCGCAAAAATTAAAAATTAATTTTTTAAATTACTAAATGAATTCTTATTTTTGTTAATATTTTATTCCAATTAATATCTGTGTTATAGTTAATGAATTATACATTTATTTCTATATGCAAACATAGTAAATCATCTTTGAAGACAATGTTTAATGTATCTAATATGCATTATAGTAGCATGGACTCGTTGCTATCATCTCTAATAGTAAAAAAATACGATTCTGTCGTAACTATGGTGTTTAATAGTAAAAATAAAGGTTTTCATTAAAAAATCTTCAATTAAACGCTGATTATAATGAGATTTAATTAACGAAAATACATTTTAATTAGTGGCATAAGTAGTGGTGAACGCAAGCTATCGAACAGTATTAATTTTTTTTCTGATTAGTGAACGTACATACGATTTTTTTAACGTTTTATCTCTGAAACGGAGGGGGTGGGGTGGGGAGCCGCAAAAAATCTCGCTTTTAAACTTACACTTTATTTTCTTCGAAAATATGGGAGTTCCACAAAACAAAAACTAAAAAGCTCGTAGCATTGTTCTCATTTTTTTTATAATTGTAATATTTTCTCTTACTAAAGCTGGATAAATAAATTTATCTATATTGTACAGCAATTATCAGTTTTTAAGAAAAGCTTTCTAATAGCATCATAAGTTTCTTAAAGAAAAGTTTGAACGACTGGTTGGTGAAAAATCACAAACAAATCAATTATGAATCTCTGAAAAATTGTGTTCTGCAGAACACATTGAAACATGCATCGAAATAACGTTCATCTTGTTGATCTACCTAATGAAATAATTATCATTATAGCACAAGAACATCAATAACTAACATTGAGATTTGTTCAATTTCTGATTCAGTACTAGATCGATTTTGTATTGATATATGTTGCTACGAATTCGTTAATAACAATGTCAACTCTCTCATAGTTGTGTTCAAAAATAAGAAAATGAATTATTCCTTTGATAATAGTAATAGATGAGATTTTTATCATCTTTTTTATTTAGACTAAGAATATTGTCTCAATAGTATTATTTCACTTGTAGACTGAAAAAGTATTACAATTTATCATCTTTAATTCAAGTTGACCAAATAATTGTTGTTATTTAATAAAAAAGAAAAGATGATCGAACGAGATGTAACTATTAAATTTTAACCCTGAATTATTTCATCGTTTCAAGATAGATTTTTCCATGATCATCGTTCTTGTTTTTCGATAGTCATTTCTAGACTCACAGATTGGAATAGAATGAATAAAAGTATGGTACTTTCTGTACGTTTGACCATATCCCTTGATCAACAAACATCTAATAATCAAATTCGAATGATATATGTACGATCCATTTACAATATTTCTGTTTTCTATTTGTATTCGTTTCAATTTTGTTTTCCATCAATCGAATAAAAGCTTCTACCTAAACATTTAGGATTTTATAATATCAATTTTATTGTTCTCTTGAAAAGGAATAAAAAAAGAAGTATTTACAAGTGAATCAGAGGTGCACAACAGTGAAACTGACTGAATAATTGATTTTTGTTTTTCTTTCTCTGATACCTCTAAATTCCCTTTCGTATGTAGTGTTGGAGAAGGTAAAAAGGTCGACTATTTCATGCGAGAAGATTTCATTTTGAAAACTATATTAAAAATCCAAATAAATTTCTTCTTTTTCATTACTAGTTCTTTACTGCTGTTTTTAAGTATAGAAACTGAATGTTCATATCAAGATTTAATTGAAACATAAGTCATAAACATTGAGCAATTTTTGTATACATGTAAAACATCNATTAGCGGTCTAGTCAATATTACAAGATTTGGTTTTTTGTCACTCTTAGGAATGCTTGTGATCTTTACGATCGATTGCATAGCAATCAATTAAAACCATCAAAAGACCACTTTATGTAGTGAGCGGGATGTTAAATTTTACAAATAGAAATGAAATTCATTTGATCTCGATTGCTTACCAATTGTCTAATTATTAGGAATAACAAAAATGACTATAAATAGTAATCATTTTTAACGTTAGAAATCATTCCCCATCTTTCTTTCTCTTCTTCTTACTATATTACATGTATATTTTATTTTTTAACTATTTTAGCTTGTATTCGTACCTATTTTACTTTCCTATTTTCTATTTTAGTAATACACAAAAAGTAAGTATACGCTTGTATATTTAATACGTCCTACGGAGGCCTTCCATACATCCGCGTGAAACTGGCCAAGCCTATCTTGGTCCCCATAGCACGTACAGGCCGCATATAGATCTTCCTGTTGTATGTTCTATACACGCTAGATCTATGCCTGTACGTGAAGAGCCTCGGCTCTCTATGGCACCACCAAGGTAGTTCTTGGTCGCGCGAGCAACTATTAGCTGATAAGCAAAAAAAAAAATTCTTTTTTCATTCTAATCAATTCATTTCTTATTTCATTTAACAAATAAATAAATGAAAGAAGAAGAAAAGAAACATATGACGTAATTTTTATATTTTTTTCTTTGAAGCGAAAGAGTAAAAGAAAATTTCTTTTTTTTGTTCATTTATTTCAAAGTATAGAAAAAGAAACGAACGAAGAAAAAACAATTCACAAGTCTTATTCAATAGAAAATTGTTGAACACGATTATTACCCATATCGATGACATAGAGATTGCCATGTCGATCGAAAGACAAACCACGGGGGACGTTGAATTGATTTGCTCCTTTTCCTTGGCCATTTCCTCCCACAACTACAGTGCGCAGAGATATATCTAGTTTCTTGTCTCCTTGAGTCCAACGCATTACACGATGATTCTCCTGGTCTGCTACATAGAGTCTACCCAACGTATCAACGAAGAGTCCATTAGGATGAGACAATTGTGTCAGAGCATTCCCTTCGCCTTGTCCTCCAGCGACAACAATTCCTTGTTTTGCACCTTTGTTCCATTTCATTACACGATGATTGTTGTTGTCTGATACGTAGACAGTCTGTTGTCGATCGACAAAGAGATATGTCGACACGTTGAGTTGATTGAAACCCCCACCTTGTCCATTACCACCAGCTACGAGAGCGCCGTTCTTCTCACCCAATTGATATCGTCTTACTTCGTGTTTTTCTGTGTCAGAGACGTAGAGATATCTCTGTTCATCCATTGCTACTCCCCAACATTGGATGTTATCGATGAGTATTTCACCTTGCGTTGTACCACTACGACGAGACCATCGTACAACTCGTCGATTCCTTTGATCACAAATAATGAGACTATCCGTCTCTTTGTCAATTAATACATCTGTTGGACAATTCAATTGATGCAATCCATCTCCTCTGCCTTTACCACCAGCAACAACTTGTCCATTCGTTGTATCACTGTTCTTCCATTGCATGATACGATGACTCCTGTAGTCAGCAATAACCACTGTTTGATCATCATCAACGAAGACACCACGAGGCCAGTTGAGTTGATTAGTGGCATCCCCACTCCCGTTACCTCCAGCAATAGTCACTCCGTTCTGTGCCCATGTAGCATTAGCAGGAATATTAACTAGGAGAGAAAACATACGAATAAAAGGAGATCTCTCTCTTTCTCTCTCGAGTATAGCTAGTATATGAAATAATTTCGAAAGTATCGAGTAAAATTCTTTGAATAGATCATTCTTTTTTTTGGAAAATCCTCAGAATAAGTTTTTTCTATACTGGAAGATTATTCTATAGAATGAATATAGCATATCGTTCTCTCTAATGCTCTTATTTTTGCAATTATATCATAGTGTCTTGTTATGCTTAAAATGAGATTTTTTGCATCAAAATAGTTCTATAGACATTTATCTTTTGCTTTGTATTTTTGAGATGTTAAATACATGCGAGTCTATATTTTCTATGAACAGACAAACATATAATAATTATATAACGATTTATTTCTTACATGAGCTTATTATACGCGTTTTATTGTTTTCCTATGATCAAAATATATTTTTGCTAGAATCTTTTTCGTTCTCTTAAATAGAGCATTTCTTACTTCTAGAATATGTTTGTGTGCCAAGAAGTACGTCCCTCGTAAAGGACGAGATTAGATAGGGGTTATATGAATCACTGGACGTCCGCTCATAAGTCATAGAACTAATGGACATCCTTGTATATGACGACACATAATCACCCACTGAACAATACGTAATCGTTCCATCCTTTTCTTTCTCTATATCATTTTCTCCCTATATGTATATCTTTTTGTCTCTATGTATCTTCTCTCTCTCTCTCTCTCTCTCTCTAGTATATAAAATCGCGTTATATGTAAAATAGTGAGCAGTATAAGAGTGGCAGTGTTGGATAGTATTAGAGCAGTAGAAAGGCCGTTGAGTCGAGGTCACTTCTAAACAAGTCAAGTTTCAAGAAGAAAGTTGTGCTTTGTAATACGTACGAGTGTATTCGATTGTATTGAAAGACAGCACACAGAACTCATTTTGGACAAGAATAAACTCATCGTGTGGAATTGTTACTAATATTATACACACAGTGGCTAAAATATATAGCTGATACTGATCTACACTTTGTTGTCCACCATCCTATCAGGCTATATACGCAATTCTATATATCTCGATAGTTATTTGAAGAATATTTACGTGACCTAAATATTTTTCCGTTACAGTTTGACTTATAATTAATAGAGCAATAGAAATATATTGGAATGAGAAATAATTCTCATTTAAATAAAGTATAAAATAACTTCATGAAATATTATATGTAATTTATACAAATGATTCAATCGCGAACACGTAGCACAATATAAACTCTGATTCTGAAAATGGTATGCATAAACTCAACCTTCTAGCAACACATTGAAGCAGTTAAAAGAATTTAAAGTTGTCTTATTTTTCTATAGTCAATAAATGGTCCAAAGAACGCGAAATCCTATATCTCTTACCAACAACATTATCATATTGAACTGCTGCATACAATTGGGTTAAGCTGAACAAAGACGTTATATCTATATTATGAATGGTATGATATAAGGATATAGAGTGGCTCCCAAAATTATCCAACAAGCAGTCGCATGTTTTTTTCTCGCTTTATATCTCGGACATAAAAAAAAGATAGAGAGCTCGGGTTTTCATCAACTTATAGCCTGAAGTGTTTAGTGTAAGCATATAAAGTTTCAGTTCAATCGGTCAAGTAGTTCATTTTTTATTGAGAAAAAAAACACGACATACGTTTTTTCGCCTTCCAAAATTATCCAACATGTATCTTCGTGCGGCAGAGAACGAACAAATTTTGATAAGCTATTCTTTCTATTAGTTATAGAACGACTCCTACTGTCATCCACAACATTAAATTAAGTTTGGCTAGATTTAAAAGCATTACAGTCGGTTGCTTGGTTGATTTCATTTACAATAGCACCTAAGAAAAAGGAGTATTCTTTTGATTTACGAGAAACCGTTATTAAACATTTTTTAAATGCTGATTCCGAGCACGATATTGCTACGAAAGTGATTATTCCCCGAAATTCAGTTCATTACATAATAGCGAAATACAAAAATACAAAATGTATAGGAAATATTATAGGTCGAGGTCGAAAATGTAAAACCTCAGTGCACGCTGACCGAATTATTCAGCGAAAAATAAAAGTGGATCGACGAAAATCAGCATCAACTGTGAAAGTTGAAATTGAATCTGAATTGGGAATATTCATTTCTGAACAAACAGTGCGTCGTAGACTACACGAGAGCGGTTTTATGGGGCGTGTAGCTCGCAAAAACCATATGTTGATAAAGTAAATCGTGGCAAACGTATAGAGTATGCTAAAACGTATAGAGAAAAGCCTATCGGCTACTGGAATGACGTTTTATGGTCTGATGAAAGTAAATTTAACTTGTTTGGATCAGACGGAAAAGTAATGGTGTGGCGAACGCCGAAGGAAGAGCTTGATCCTAAATGCACTGTTCCAACCGTTAAATACGGAGGAGGGAATGTAAAGTGTTGGGGCAGATTTTCATCTTCTGGCGTGGGAAATCTTGTCTTCATAGACGAAAACATGACAGGAGAGATTTATCGTGATATTTTACAAAAAAATTTGTTCGAGTCTGTGAAAAAATTAAATTTGGGGAGAAAATGGGTGATGCAACATGATAATGACCCAAAACATCGGGCACATATAGTAACAAATTGGTTGAATGAAAAAGGGGTTGAGCGGCTGAAATGGCCACCATATTCTCCGGATTTAAATCCTATCGAGCATATGTGGGATGAACTTGAACGAAGAATGAAAAAAGAGAAGCCAAAGAACGCAACAGAATTAAAACATACTTTATCTCGTGTTTGGCAAGGTATCGGAACAGATGTTACAAAAAAGTTGGTCGATTCCGTACCCATTCGATTAAATGACGTAATTCGAATGAATGGCTATCCAACCAGATATTGATGCGTAGAAAAAAACGTATTTTTTTATAGTTGAAAAAAACTTTTCTGTACTTGTTGGATAATTTTGGAATGCGAAAAAACGTATGCCGTGTTTTTTTTCTCAATAAAAAATGAACTACTTGACCGATTGAACTGAAACTTTATATGCTTACACTAAACACTTCAGGCTATAAGTTGGTGAAAACCCGAGCTCTCTATCTTTTGTTATGTCCGAGATATAAAGCGAGAAAAAAACATGCGACTGCTTGTTGGATAATTTTGGGAGCCACTGTATATGAAGAAGCACGTGAAAGAAAGACTATTTTCTCTCTTTGAGAGTGTGTTTCTCCTTTATCGTAGGTCCAATGTTTTTAGCATCGATTCCTAAAGTTTGTCTTCAAATTGTCTCCTCTCACAACGTTTCAGTCGTTTGACTCGTTGGTTTTTCTCCAATTGTAACGACCTGAACGCACTATTAGTCTTATTTACATTGAAGGATATCGGAAAAGTTGAGTCCGATGTCGGTAAAAAAAAAGGAAAGAAACTCAAATATCAAGTTTTATGTAATTATTACAAAGTGTTAGAATACTTGAGTATCACAAGTGTATTTACTTGTTATTTGCTTGTTTATCTTACAAAATGACTAGATTTGTCATCGTTATACACCAAATATAAGCATGATATAACTATGAGTACTTTTATTTTTTTCAGTGACCTGTGGCTCATTTAAAAATATTTTTTTCTTTCGCTATCAACAAGTCAACAATACCATACTGCACACTCATTCTTATATACTAGGAAAAAAGGTAATATTTACTTGTACAAAAGCATGCTGAAAACAAAATATGATCGATTTACAACCAATAATATTTGATATTAAACGAAAACTATCACGTGTTGGGCAATATGAGACTGGAAAATAAAAATAATTTCTTTAGCTCACAATTGCAACAGCAATCATGATTCAATTAGTCTGCAATATACTCTTCATGATGTAGTGATATATTGCACGCATCCTTTGGTTTCATTTTGAGTCAGTATCACGGCTGTTATTTTCGTTATGATTACAGACACGAATGAATCACTTGAAGGAAGCAAAACTATATAGCTTATAATACGTAAAAGCACCCTACCGTAACTTGCACAAGAAAACTGCGTACAAATTTATAGCATTTTATTTGAAAATGCAGCCTACTGAATGATGAATAGGATAGAAATACTGCTATTTTTTATATTATCATTGATAATTTCGGTACGCAGTACTACGTACCAATGTGATCCAACTATTCAATGCGGTTGTTCAGCACAATCAACTGTACTTATCTCACGAATTGTTGGTGGAGAAGCAGCAGCTGATTATGCATGGGGTTGGATTGTTTCTCTTCAAAGATCACTTTCACACTCATGTGGTGCAAGTCTTTTGACATCTGAATATGCTGTAACAGCTGCTCACTGTGTATACGACGTAAGTGATATATCAATATTATCCATTCTTGCTGGTACTAATTATCTATATTATCCATCGGTTACAACTATACAACGAAGAGCAGTTACTGGGGTTATTATACACCCTGATTTTAATTCAGTAACTATTACAAATGATATTGCTATTCTACAATTTGATCCACTCAATGTGTCATCAAGCTCGAAACTTGCTTTTATTTGTTTACCAAAACAAAATCAAGATCCATTTCAAACCAATTCGGCCCTTGTAGCAATCGGATGGGGAACTACATCACAATATAGTAAAACTCCATCAAGCTACCTTCAACAAGTAACAGTTCAAGCTTTTTCATCAAGATCCACATGGTGTCAACAATCAGGTATCGCTAATACAGCTGTATCATTTTGTGCGGGTATTATTGATGGCGGTAAAGGTAAGTGAAGGTTTTACAATTTATTTAACAATTTGTTGCTTTTTCTTTTCTAGACACATGTCGAGGTGATAGTGGTGGTCCACTGATGGCTTTTGTTAATAACACTTGGGTGTTAGCAGGGCTAACATCATTCGGCTACGGATGTGCTCAAGCGGGATATCCTGGCGTATATGCACGTGTGTCCGCATTCATTTCGTTTATTAACTCAACCGTTGATTTCTCGGTACTTACCACAGCAACACCACCGTCACAAACAGAAACAACAACAGCAGTTCTAATTACGATAACTTCAGGTATAAAAAATACCAATCACTCGATTCCTAGTGGCAATGATGGAAATGCTATATATAAACCAATGACAGTCATGAGACTTTGGTTCTCAGTATTAAGCTGCTTTCTTTTATGTTATTTACTATAAAACATATACTATGAGTGGATATATTTTTCTTATGTCGACCACCTATGGCATTTTTTCTTGATTACTTGAGTTATTTAATATTTCTATATTGCAAATCTTATTTCATATTCTTCAAATATAAACGAACATTTGGACCTTTACAAAACATATTTTAGCATTCAAATCCAATGACTGGTCTACGCGAAAATATCACTGTAAAAACTAAAGTTTTTGAATTTTTGCAACTACTTTATTTACGTGTTTTTTTCGTTTTTATCGCTTATTTCAAAAATCTTTGCTTTCAAAAATTTTCAATGATATCATTGAATTTAACTTAGATGAGGCATACACAATCGAACGAAATATGTATAACAGTACGTTGTTGACATCTATATAAAACGAATTGCTGCATTCAGCCTACAGCAGGTATCATCATTTTACTTTTATTTTTAACTATTGTATTTGTCTCGTCACCATTAACTCGCACTTGAGATATGAAGAAAAAAATTGAATTTTAATTGTTTTAGAAGTTCACTAACAATGATTCTAAAGGAAAAACAGAAGACTGCACTTTTTTTTAATAACTTTATTGATGCAAGAAATACTCCGACTTCAAAAATTTATCTAAAATATTCTCCCCTTCATCCAGTATTACCACGATTTTCCTTTCAATCTTTCTTTCTTTTTCTTTTTCTTTTTGATAAAATCGACTTTTTTTTTAAGAACATTCGATCGAGCAAACTAAGAATTAGCTTATGTTCACAATTGCATCGAATAGTTTATCAATACAAATTTTCTGATAATAAGTCCAGTGGAAACTCTCTTAATCATCATTCGTCCTGAGAATTTGACACAAATCTTTGATGGAAAATAAAGCAATTGATGTTCTCATGTTCTACAGAAACTATCCACTTTAAGGTATACGTTTTGTTTTTGCTCAAGAAGTTTCGTAAACGACATTCATTCTGCACGTGTAATATTCAATTAAAATCAAACCTATTCTATTCGTTTAAAACCTACGATATCAAATCATTATTTATTTGTTTGATTTCTTTCGAAGTGTTATAATACAAAAATAGTTAAAGATAAGAGTACATAAAAAAAAGACAGTTTTTTTTCCATTGTTCTATTGACTGTTAATCGAAGAATGACACCTTGCTATATACATTGCAATCATATCTTTCAAATAAACAGAACAGAGAGAGTGAGAGAAGGGGGAGTATTTTTCATCATATACGATAGCAATCATTTTCAAAATAAACAATTCTTTCTTTTTTAAACAGATTATATCTTAATCGAAAAACATCAAGACAACGTTGTTGTTATTCTTCTAATGAAAATTTTATTCTAACTATAAATGAAATATAGATCATCATTCTTTACATACCAATGTGCTACGCGGTCGATTTAATTAATAAACTATATACGAAAAGAAATTCTATGCTTTGATATCGATCAACTATTACGAAACTTAAATGATTAGTATATACATACTTGTCTCGAGAAGCGGAAAGACATCTGTTTCAACATTATCAAAAGTCACCAATCAATGTGACATTCTATAGAAACCTAATAAGAGTGAGAGTAACATGAAAATGTGTCAGCAGTTATTCAATGGTTTGTTTTCTATTAGAAGAAGAAAAAAAAATTAGAGCATTTTCTTAATAGCAAAGTTTCTATGATAGAACCTTGAACTGAATTTTTCTTAAAGCCAAACAAAACAAAAAATCTGCGTTTTCTTTCTTTTTTTCTAAAAATCGATGCAACATTGATTTCATTGTTTAGTAACTATGCCGTTTTTTTTCTCTTCATCTTAACATCTATTCGAACACCTGTCATTACTATTGGACATATTTATATTATATGATAGTAGAGGGGGGGGGGGCGTATTGTTCGCGCAATTAAATTTNCCCCCCCCCCCCCCCCCCCCCCCCCCCCCCCCCCCCCCCCCCCCCCCCCCCCCCCCCCCCCCCCCCCCCCCCCCCCCCCCCCCCCCCCCCTATTCTTCGAGCAATTAACTTTGTCAGATTGAGTTGTAATATTATTTGCGCTAACATAAGTTCATTCATGCATGTCTAATCACATCAGTACCAATAAAATCATTTATGAATAAGAAAAAATATATATTCATGTTGCTTTATTTAAACATTCGTCGTCTATCGATATGATTTTCTTATCGTGTATTGATGAAGAAAAGAAATGATCATCAATCGTTGCAGGTGTCAAATTTTCTCTCGTCTAATCTCTCCTTTTCCCATTCGATACATATACATAGTGTTGGTTCACATGCAAACATTGTACAACCAACAAACAAATAGAAGCCTAACTAATGATCGAAAACGAGATGGTGTGTGACAATCATGTATATATGGATTAGAAGAGAGAGAGAGAGAAACAAGGAGGAGTAGAACTTTCTCAACATATTTCAATATATGATTAAGTCACTCTATTTGTATATTTATGACAGATTAGAGAATAAAATGGTAAACATCATTCATATTAATATGAATATGAAGTAGCGACATCGTACGCATATAGGAAAAAGTAAAAAAGAGGAACAAGAACTGAATATTTTATTTCTTTTTAATTTGATGATTATTCGCCCACTTGGCTACTCGTTGGATGTTGTCATTCGTAGTTGCTTAGTGTGTATGTATATACAAATTGTTTATATTTTGCCGCATGGTTCATGTTGACACGAGAGACCAATGTATATAAAATAAAGAAAACGAGAAGTATCAATGTGGTACCCCTTGAGGCTTGAAAAAGAAATAATAATAATCAATCATCTTCATTCATGATTACTAGCAGTCATCATCCTCTATCCGTACTCTTCAAACCAATTACAACAGCCTGGAGCTGTGTGTCCAAACGCAATTTGATTACAGCCATACACACATACATACATATCGTCACGTTCTGTCTCACATCATCTTCCTCATCTATTTCTCTTCTCTCTTTTTTTTTGTTGCAAGATCATCGACTGTTGAATAGGCCCGTAATTGGTGAGACGTTGGCTCACTAGTGTATGGCCAGGCAAACAACACACACACGCGTGTGGGTGCCCGGGTTTTATGATTATTCTATTATTCTTGCTCGTCACTGAATAAGAAGAAGAAGCAAAAAAGAGAGAACTGTAATTTCTTTGTCGACGCTAAATAAGTCGCTTCCGCTGCTAACCGTCTTTCGATGCTTACTTCCGTTCAACTCGTCGTCTTCATCTCTCTTCTTCTTTTTTTGCCACTCGACAACGAATTGTACTTTGCTGCCGATAGTTTTGGTTAGATTAAAAGTGTATATATGCAAGTTCAATCGTCACTTCAATTGAAATATATATATATATATATATATATAAATGTGCCTATCTATCATTGCGCAAGCAAAATAAACTGTTGATCAAAAAGAAAAGAAAAAGAAAAACACATCTAGATCGTTTTAAAAGGATACATTTATAAAAATGTTAACAAGCTAATCAAAATAATAAGAACAACAACGTTTACACAATATTCATCAAACGAAGAAAGAAAAACCGCAATTGTAATTGATGGATGAGAGAGGATTAATAGGATGAGAACTATTCATAGACTTTAAGTTCTTATATACGATGGTGAATATAGATATAAAAAAAAATAATACTGATTGGAAAGAAGCCGCTCTTGATGAGATGCATAAATTGAGAATTTAATTCATTTGGATTCGTTTTCATCATTTCTTTACTCTTTTTTTATTGTCCTATTTTACACATTATATTCAGGTAATCGAAACAAGCCAACGATCAATATATATATATATGTGTGTGTGTATATGTATGTATATATATATGCATTCGATTAACAATATTTCTCTTTACTCTCGTCTTTATTTTTCTTTTTCTTATGTACCATTTGAGAGCACGGTTGATGCAAACCTTCATTGTTACATACAGCTTGAATTGTTCTTTCCCTCTTCTTTTCTTTTCTTTTCTTTTCTTTTCTTTTCTTTTTTCTTCTTTTTATTCAAAGACCAATAGACACATATTGTAATCGCTTTGTTGTTGGGCGCCGCCACTCTTTCTCGCTTCCGAGCGAGCAAGCAACAGAATAGAATAAAAGAAAAGAAAAGAAAAGAAAAGAAAAAAGCGAAAAGAAGTGCAATGAATGGCCAATGACGATTTTTAATTTTCTTGCGCTTTCTCTCTTGTTCGTTTTGTATTCTTTAATTTCCATTGGAGGGAAGAAATAGATGGTAGCTGTTGTTGTTATTATTATTATTATTATTATTATTGCTCTCTCGTTCGCTCTTCCACTTGGCTGTCTCTATTTGAATAACACTTTTTGAGCGGCGACGAGAACGACAAGAAAAGGCCTCCTCCTCTTCTTCTCCTTTTCCTTCTTTTATTAGTGTGCTGTGCACATAGTTCAAGTCATTATGTTTCGCTTTGTATATACATAGAGAGAGAGAGACATAGAGAGAGAGAGAGAGAAAAACTATTTTCATTGCTCTTTTTTCCTCGCTCGTCGAATAATATAATAGGCTTTCATCGAATAGAGAAAGAGAGAACCTGTTCCTTTTATTGTATATGACAAGAAAAAAAGAATCTTGTGTATTTCTTTTACTGTGCTTTTATTTTTATTTCTTAAAAGAAAAACTTCGATTGACTCATTTATTATCATCATTATTCAAGCATGATGTGTAAGCATTAGTTTAAACGATAGAAACCAAAGTTAATATTTTTTCTTCTTTTTCCTTATTATTTAAAGCTCATCTATTCAATGTCCAACATCCTCATATGATGAATAAATCTTCTTCATCATCCTCAAATTCCAATATTCCCCTATCAGAACATATAAAACGGCCAATGAATGCCTTTATGGTATGGTCTCGTGGGCAACGTCGAAAAATGGCTCAAGAAAATCCTAAAATGCATAATTCAGAAATAAGTCGTCGTTTAGGTATTGACTGGAAATTATTAAACGATGATCAAAAACGACCATTTATTGACGAAGCAAAACGCTTACGTGCATTACATATGAAAGAACATCCAGATTATAAATATCGTCCTCGTCGTAAACCGAAATCTTTAATAAAAAAAGACCGTTTTCCATTCCCATTTCCAACCTTTGCTCCTCCACCACATCATCATCATCAACATCATCATTCCCTATCGAATAAAGATTCAATGGATTTATCAACACATTCATCAACCGATGCAATGTCCGTTCAACAACAAATCAATGATTCCTTTGCATTAAATCTTGAAAAGTGCCGTTCATTATTACCACCACCACCTCCAACATCACTTTATCCATATTCAACAGGAAAATTAAGTGATTTCTCTACGGCAGCACTTGCCTATAATCCACTTGCATATGCAGCAGCGTTTTCCTCACATTATCCATATAGTAGTATGTTATCAGCAAGTTTAGCAGCAGCAGCCGCTGCCACATCCTCATCATCACCGCCAAGTGTATCATCGCCATCTTCATCATCATCAAATAATTCAACAAATCATTACCATTTTGGTATGCAAACCGAGAAAATTCATCGACCACAAGCAATTTTACCTGGTAAAATACAATAATTTTTGAACTTTAAATAATTCTGTATCTTCTCTTTTTTTTTCTAAAACAAATATAAAGAAAGTTGTCGGGATTGGTGAATATTTTTTTCTCTCATTTGTTTATACAAATCTAAGAATAACTTAACTACTCGAATTTCGAAAAGAAGAAACCTGATCAGAAGATTGTATGCACATTGAAGCGTTATCGATGCAGACAAATCGATCACTTTTTTTTTCTCTTGCTGTTGTGTTTTGTCATTGCAACAAAGAAAAGAAACAAACTTCAACTGTCTCGCTTCATTTCACGTTCAACAGGGCGCAACATCAATGAGCATTTGGCTGCTAGGCAAAGTTAGACTGAGAAAGAGGGAGAGAGAGAGAGAGAGAAAACGGGAAACAAAAAAAGGAAGAAGACAAAGAAACTAGTAGTCCTGTGGTTTTTTCAAGTGAGATACTTTTATCTTTTGCCGGCCATCGTCTTAAAGAATAAAATAAACTTATGAGCAGCTGTATTAGATATTACATCAGTATAATAACGGTTGATCATTTTCCGACACAGCAGGATAGTGAGATGCTGGTAATTTTAACATTCTCTTCATTTAGTCTGTATTTAATTGACAACACAAAGTTCATTTCCCTCTTTTTCTTCGTCTTTTTTCTTCTAGTCCAGATGACTCGTTTCTCAGCCATTTAACACATGATTTGTGTCAATAGTTTGACGATTGTGACAGATTAGAAACAATGATTTTTACACACTAGACACTCGCTTTTGTCTAGTGTGTAAAGCAAAAAACAAATGATTCGATAAATAATATGATCGATTTATTAAATGGACAAAGAATATTTTGGACAATTGTTTTAAATCATTCTTGAATGACTCGGAAGAAACAAAAAAAAAAGAAATAAACGCCGAGAAGAATAAATTCGATATCTATATCATTTCCGATCGGAATCAAAACAGATTGTGCTCATAAATGATTGTCTAGTTGAAGATTAAAAAAACAAATTGAGATAGATCGTTTAATGTACATGCCGACATGTGCCCTATCGGCAAGATATTAATCGAAGAGAAGAGGTAGATGAGAATTTTTTTTTTCTTTTTCTTGCTTACTCCTGAGGAATGACAACAATATTGCGTTGGCTTATAATAGAAAAAGAAGAGAGACACAACCATTATTTATTCATTTGAACACCTATTATAATAAAGCAGGCGGAATCCGGAATGCTGTGACAGTATGTGATTAGAAACATCTTCTTTTCATTTCTTACATAGAAACAAAATAGTAGACAAACACACTCACGTACATTAAAGAAAATTTCCTACTATGTCTAGCTCTCATCATAATACAACATATTATATTATATATATATATAGAATTCAAAATAGAGATAGACAAATAATAGCGTTTGTGCTCATCGAGCGTGTCTTTTAACATATAAATACAATGAACCTTTTCTTTTGCTCTAATTGGTCTCATTTGTGAATAAAAGTAAAAGTATATGTATGTAAATGAGTGACAAAAAAACAACGCATAAATAAAAGAAAAAGAAATAGTTGTACATAAGTTTAATAGAAGAGGAGACAAATCGAATTCAATTAGAGACTGCTGTGACACACTTGGCCATCTTGTCAGTGAGCCCTCTGGCTAACCGACACACATACACCCCTAAAGATCAACAAACGAATCTGCCGCTCGATTACGCTCACTTGAACACTTGTCTATCACCCTCATTCTTTTACTCTTCTATTCACTCTATTTATCATAAATCCCTATATATATGTGTCATTTACCGAAACGAATTAAGAATACAAAAAAATAAAGAAAGAAAGAAATCGATGAATACGTGATCAAAATTCAATTTGAAAACTAAAAGAAAAATTTCTAAATAAACTTACCCTCTAATTCAAATAAACGAAGCGGAAATAAAGCATAAGTGACCATTATATATATATTTTTTTCTAATATATAAACAATCAATACATTCATTCTATAATTGTTTTATCAAGGTAAGTTATTAAAAATAACAATTCATGACTTTGTTCTCATTAAAATTTATTATATAACAAATAGAATATCAATTATCAAACAATTTTTTTTTGCGATGAAAAAAATACATTTATTCAATAAAGAAAATTAAATCACTCTCATTTATCATTCGAGTAAATTAATCGTTTATATTCTCATGGCAAATTTTCACAATAACTATATTATTGTATTCTCTTATTGTAAATAAAACGCTGTTTTTTCAATCATAATTTCATATTGACAATGCATATACAAAAGTGTCAGTCGATCGAGTGAACCATTACTACGACATAAAGCTAATATATTTAATTCGCAGCGATCCACAACAAAAAAAGCAATCAATAAACTGCCTCATTTCTTGTTCGATCGGTTTTTCTATCATTTATAATTTTTTCTAGTTACATCTAATCCATGCAGTGTTTTCACTTACATAGAAAATCTACTATGTTTACTTACTTATGTTAGACATACTTAACGAGTTTGAATGATGCAATTTTTTTCTTATTAAAGTCAATACGAAGAATATATTTATAAGAGTTGAAATGATTTTATGAGATAAACTCAAACATTCCACATGAGTCTATGATTGATTCATTATGCCATTGTTAAAAAAAAGGTCACTTCGGTCAATTATTTCGCTATCATCATACAATACAATAGACAAACTTACACTATAAGACAGATGTTATTTTCTTTTGATTGTTTATACTAGTAAAATACATATAGTGTACACGTCAAATTTACTTTTAATAAATGTTTCTTTAAAAAAAAAAAACACTACAGTTTCTTGAAGATAAGAAAGAAAAAATGTTAAAATTTTGTATTAGCTTTTTCATCGACTGTGACGATAACTTTGGTTGGCACATCACCGTGATATCGTTTTTTAGCATCTTCAACAACACGACCTATGTTACTGACTACATTATTCATTTTACGTTCGCGTGTTTTCGGAGAATCTTTTCTCGCTGTTAGAAGACGTTCAGGCATTTCAATAGTAATATTTTTTCCAGTCGCTGCACTATTTGTTTCACTGACAATTGTGTTTTGTCGATTCGTACTTCGCAATTGAGTTACTGATCGAGCTGTAAAAGAATTCGAAGATGTTGTCGGATTAGTTTTATGAAGTTCCCGATAATTAGCAGGTGTATAAAAATGCGCGTTCTGATGAGTAGATGCTATGACTGCAAAAGCTCTCCCGCCCGGTTGTGGACCATCGCCATGGTAGGAAAAGTAGCCATCACGAGAGCCAATACATGCAAGTACGCAATATAAGAAACACATCGAAGCAATAGCTAATACACCACCTGCTGCGGCACCAACAATTTTCGGAATAGAGTCTGTCTGAAAATCTTAAATTGAAAGAAATATTATGATATATACTTTTTTTAAATAATGAAATCAGGGAATAGATTGATTCACCAGTGGCAAGAAAATAAGCACTAACACCAGCACCAGCTAAACCAATTACAGCTAGGATAAGACAAATAGTTATAAGTAAACACATGCGTCTTGATAGACAATCCAGACATCGAGATCCTTTATGTGAATTTTCTTTTGATTGTTGAGTCTATAATAATAATGAATAAATAGTTTTGTTTGGTCTTTTCGTTTTCTTAATTTGTTTTGTACATACATTTCCTTGTAGAAATCGATTTTTCTTTGACGATACAGTACCTTGAATAACAGGTGACATTGAATTACCTTTTACATATGAATTTTCTACAACAGCAATAGTTTGATCATCGGGATTTAGAAGTACAATCGATTTCGATGATTTCAGTCGTTGATTTGGTGTTGTTTTTCGTTTACCTTTTCGTTGCTGATTTGAAACGATTTTACCAGGAATTAAATCAACCTGTATGGCTGTACTTTTTGTTCTTAAAAATGGGAAAAAACTTTTGCCTTCATTAGTATCTATGAAAGATTATAATCGATATTTTTATTATGAAAGGAATATTTGGTTACTTTTAGGTTCTTCTTGATCTGTGACAGATGATCGTGATGATGGACGTTGTTTTGAAGATGTACGACGACGACGTCGACGTCGACTTCGTGAGCGAGCTCTTGGATCTTTATTATTTGGATAAACTTCAATTGCTACTACAGATTTCGGTGTTGATTGGTTTTCAATTGTTTCAAAGTTTTTAACTTGTGTAGGTGAAGATATATGAATTTTTGGGGGTTCAGATGAATCAATAACAGGCGAATCTGGTTGACGACTTTCGTTACGTGTAAACGACGAACGACGTTCAGACGCTTTTGGGGATATAAATGATGAATGAACTTGGCTAGGCGAACTCACAACGTCGTCTGCAGGAGAAGATGTATTTATCTGTCGTAGGCTGTTATCATGATCACTACCACCACCACCTTCTCCACGACGTCGACGCCTTCTACCACCCCGACCACCAGTATTTTGTTTTTTCTTAGTTGTTTTAGGTGGTTCATCATCGTCTGGCTGATATAATTTCGTTTCTCGTGGTGGTTCAGGCGGTGGAATAGGTCGGCGAATAACATAAACAGATGTGCGCTAAAAAGTATTTTTTTGGTCAAATATAAAATAATTTATAATTAAAATATTTACTCCATTAGTGTATACGGCTGGTATTTGTACGGATTCCGGTGTCTCGAAGGTTTGCCCTGTTTCTCCTTCGGATTCTTCGTTTTGCGAACGACTCGATGCACGTACTACAACAAGACGTGCCTTTGGTGTAATTTCTGCGCGTGATACAAGTTTCTGTGTCGATGAAAGTGCTGAAGATTTCGAGAGTGATGGCGGTGGTCGTGATTGTGGAGGTGGCGATGGTGATCGTGGTTGTTTATTGGGTGGTGGTGGTGGTGGTGGATTATTAATATAATTTATTGAACGAGCAGTGTTCGTAGACTTTTTAGCTAATTGTCGACGATCAAGACGGTCGCCGTCAGTCGTACGCGTAGTCATTCAAGGCTAAAATCGGCTGTAAATCATCAGAGCGCATAGAATTGTCATTGTGTTTGTTGCCATATACTTCACTATGGCACGTGCATTTGCCATTAATGCCATTTTTTTTCGTTTGAAAAAAGTGGCGCATTAATTGAAATTGAATAAAGAACGATCCGAATCATATAAAGTTTTTCTGCTTTTAAAATACATAAAAAAGAAGAAAATAATTTTATATTTTTCTTTTTTCTTTTGGTTCTAAAAGCTATTAATTAAATAGATATGAAATTGTCAAAAATGTCTACTATCATTTTGGTGATTTTCATTCTATTTTAACATTTATTTCTTCAATGATTTTGTTTTGTCATTCATTAGATAAAAAATTAACAATTCATCCTGCTTTGTGAAACATTGAATGAGGCGTGAGCACAATAAATTTTTAATCCTGTTTTATTTTCTACATAAAATGAGAAGCAAATAAATGCGTTGAGAACGCATTTGTTAGTTTTCAGACTACATGATTTACTCTTTGTCGATATCGTTTAATTGAATTCAAAGAGACGTATATACACTTCTCTTTATTGACAAATTTAGAACAACTTTTTAATTGTACTATTGCAACCAGAGGTTATTTATTCATTTTTCTCGCATTATGTTATCGTAGACTGATAGAAATCATAGTAAAAATGAATGATTAATAGAGTACAATGTTTGAATGGCCTGTAAAAAGAACAGAATTGATGAATTTAAGCTTCCAACATTCTCGTGAGTACTTGTTCTACCCTTTTCTCTTTTACTTCATTCCTCGTGTATCCATACTTCAAGCTTTGTTTGGCTAACTATTAGTTTTGTTTTGTTTGTATTTAAGTCTAAGTTACCAAGTTCGTATTTTTAATGTAAGTAAATGAAAAAATTTCTTTTCTTCTGTTGGAAGTCCATAAAAATATTTTGCTATAGATTTTGTAAAATAATTTTTTTTCATTGCACTCTTTTCGTCGATTGATTTTATCTGCAAATAAACCGAAACCAAAATCGCTCTCTATTGAATACTAATAAACCAATGGAAACTAAATATAGACATCTACATAGATAATGGTTTCTCTTTTTTTTCTTGTCATTAATTATTATTGAACAAATAATATACTCGTTAGAGTCCTTTTTTTTGTATTAGTTAGATAAAATAAAAATCTATTTGCAATTTGTGAAAACGGGCAATAGAAATCTATTCTGTTTTATGATCAGAGTAGACTGGATAAATAAGAGAGAATCAATAAATCTTATGAAAATGAAAAAAAAAGAGTCTAACGGGTAAAATATCACGCCTGTCGATAAACGGGAATGATTAATTTCTAAATAGTGGTTCGACATATGAAATCAGTAACGAACAATAAAAGCTTATATTTAAATTCACTGTGGAATTCTTCGATACATTTTGTAGAGTAGAAAAAAATGAAAGATGAGAATGTGGCACGGTGTCAATCGATGATTGTTTGAGATTATTTTTCATTGACAACCGGAAATGAATGAATAAGAAAGTGTGTATGGTTAACAATACAATCGGAAGCTAGTTATCGTTTTGTATTTTCATTATATTTATGCGATATAGGTTTTTTTTTATTGTACCATCACCAAAAAATAGTATTTGGGCGTTGGTGTGAACTTAATTGTTCTTCCGCTTGTCTAATAATATTTTACCAAGAAAAGAAAATTTCTTTTTCTCTCGTTCAATAGAACAAAATGATCAGTACAAAATCCTATAACAATCGAATCGTTTACATGCAAACTCGATTCCGTATAAGTAGCAGATTATTGAAATATCGCATTTCTTATTTTAATATGAGACTATACGAGACAACAAAGTTACTCAATACAGATTATTCTCAGTGTATTTTTCATTACCATAAAACTCTAAAAAAAAATAGGTGATCTGCATATTTGTAACATTAAGAGAAAGGAAAATTAGGCTGGCTGTAGAAAGGTTGAAAGGGAAAAATGCAAAAACAATCAAAAGAAAGTTCAAATTAAAATATTTTCTGATAATCTTTTATTATATTGTGACACAAAATGACCACAACATTTTTTTATTTAACTAAATAGTATTTCAAGCATCAATGGAAGATTCAACTTAAATTGAGAATTTTAATAACGATAATGTTCGGGTTTATATGGACCCGATTCATTCAAATCTAAATACGATGCTTGTTCAGTACTCATTTTACTTAAACGAACGCCTAAATGATCAAGATGAGCAGCGGCAACTTCTTCGTCAAGCTAGAAATTAAAAGAATATTAGAGATAACAAAAAGAAACATTCTCATCATCTAATTTTACCTTCTTAGGTAATATAAAAACGCCAACGGAATATTGACTTTTTTTAGTATATAATTCAATTTGCGCTAATACTTGATTTGAAAATGAATTACTCATAACAAAACTTGGATGACCATGAGCACAACCTGTCATTCAAAAAAAAAAGCGAAACTGGAATAGATATTAATTATTGTATTCTTAATCTTACCAAGATTAACAAGTCGTCCTTCGGCAAGTAAAATAATTGAACGTCCGTTGGATAGTTTATATCGATCAACCTTTAGATAATTTCAATTATCTGAATGATTCAAATGTTTTTTCTCTTGCTAATCTACCTGTGGTTTGATCACTTCTTTTGAAACGGCATTTTTAGTTAACCAAGCAACATCAATTTCAATATCAAAATGACCTATGTTACAAATAATTGCGTTGTCAGGCATTTGAAGAATATGTTCAGCTAAAATAATATCTCGACATCCAGTCGCTGTTACGAAAATGCGGCCTATTTTGCTTGCTTCTTCCATTGTTGTTACTTCATAACCTGAAATAATTAAAAAATCAAAAACGAAATTTTATTTTATGACGGCATACGACATTTGATTCACATTTTTTTACCTTCCATAGCTGCTTGCAAAGCATTAATAGGGTCGATTTCTGTAACCAAAACACGGGCACCAAAATTTCTTAAAGCTCGTGCGCTACCTTTGCCAACATCTCCATAACCAGCGACAACGGCTACTTTACCAGCAATCATAATATCAGTCGCACGTTTAATACCATCGATCAACGATTCACGACAGCCGTATAGATTATCGAATTTAGATTTCGTTACTGAATCATTAACATTAATAGCAGGTATCTTAAGTTTATCTTGTTTAAGCATTTTATAGAGTGCATGTACGCCTGTTGTGGTTTCTTCACTAATACCACAGATACCAGCAGTTAATTCAGGATATTTATCATGCACAATACCAGTTAGATCACCACCATCATCCAAAATCATATTCAATGGTTTATTATCATCACCGAAAAAGATCGTCTATAATAATTTACATTTTATACCAATGGCATTTTTAGTCTCGAATAAAAAACAGAATCTTTACTTGTTCAATACACCAAATATATTCTTCGTCGGTTTCACCTTTCCAAGCATAAACCGGTATTCCAGCTTTAGCAATAGCAGCTGCTGCATGATCTTGCGTTGAAAAAATATTACAACTACTCCATTGAACCTATTCGCAAAATGAAACAGTACAAAAGAAAATAGGAAAATGAAATTTTAATTGATTTTTACTTCAGCTCCTAATGCAATCAATGTTTCAATCAGTACAGCTGTTTGAACAGTCATATGAAGACAGCCGGCAACACGTGCACCTTTTAATGGTTGTGTTGGACCATAGGATTTACGTAGTTGCATTAGACCAGGCATTTCGTATTCGGCTAATGTAATTTCTCTTCGACCCCATTCAGCTAAACTTAAATCAGCTACTTTGAACGGTTGTTTTTTGCTTGAAACACTCGACATTACTAGATAGGATGCGTTCGTTGATTTTGAAATCTAAAACAAAATGAAAAACGATGCAGGTGCAAAATGTAATACAGCCTTCGTGAATAGAAGAAGAAGAAAAAGAAATGATAAAAGTACATATTCAATACGTGTCTTTTATACCGAGTACTTTGAATCATGCCTGGAGAGATAAATACTCTGTTTTTTTTACATATTAATAACACAGCGGGTTACTTTTTTCTTTTAAAGCGTGCCTCTTACTAATGTGTTGCTTGTGTGTAAGCTATTTATTAAAAAGAAATTTTAGATTGTACTTTATGTGAAAAGAAATCAACGGGAACACAATGTACTGATGAATACTCATTTTGCTTTTTATCTTATATTTGCTAAGTTGCGTATATAATCAATAAAATGATGATAGGTAGATTTACATCGCTGAAATGCGAAAGTTTAAGAGAAGAACTAACTTGAAAAATATTTAGTTTGTAACGCAGTGTCTTGTAAAAAGTTACGATAAGGGCTTGTTTTTTTTAAGCATCGTATTTAGTGATTCCCTGCAAGAACTCATTGAATAATCTTTAAAATATTTATTTTCAAATAAGTTTCTTATACATTTAGATATGCAGCTTTTTGCTTTCTGATAAGTTATGAATATAAAAAAAATCCTGTATCTGTCTGAGTAATTATCATTATTACAGTGCAATCATAAATATTTATAAAGCAAAGATAATATCATTTTGAAATTTCATTTGTTCCTACTTAGAAAAACAGTTCATGCGCTATTAGATTTCGATATGCTACATTTTTTTGCATAGTTATTTTATCACTTCACATTCACGGAAATGTACAAAACTCATCTTTTATCACGTTTTATCCCTGGATCTCTGTCTAGAAATGCAATAGAGAATTCGAATGTGTTTCATCTTTTTGTTGGGGATAAAATAAAAATTTCTACAGCAATTGATTCCCGCTGACTCTCGGACATGTAATGAAAAAATATATTTTGTAGAAAAAAAAATCGTTTTTGTGTCATTGCGCTTGATGGCGCTAGGTGACTGAAATACTATTGGCTGATTTATTTAGCAAACGAATAGTATTCTCGATGACTGATATAAACTACTAATGTTGAAATAAATTTCAATTACAAAATAACTTCAATCATCTTGATTATGCCTGCAAAAAAGACTCGGTTTACGACTCTTGATCTAAAAGCATGTATTGCAGCAGTACGGAAACGGTATTAGGATTTAATTCGACCTTGTGCTAAGTAAACTATTGATTTCTATGTAGATTTGCCGGTGTTCGAGTGGTGAATATTTATGATGTTGATAATAAAACTTATTTAATTAAATTTTCAAAGTAAAAATAATTTCAAATTCTTTTGTGTTAATTTTCCTTTCGATAATCTAGACCGGATGATAAAGGCGTATTACTTATCGAATCAGGTATACGTATACATACGACTGAATTCGACTGGCCTAAAGGATTGATTCCATCTGGCTTTGCTATGAAAGTAAAAAATAAGAATTTTGTTAAACAGAAATGTCTAATAAAAGAAAACTCAATTTAGCTTCGGAAACATCTTAAATCTCGTCGATTAGAATCTATTGAACAGCTAGGTATGGATCGTATTATCGACATACAATTTGGTAGTGGTGAAGCTGCTTATCATCTTATTGTTGAACTTTACGATAAAGTATTTCCTATTACTTTTAAAATTTTCCTTTAAGAATCTACTTTCAAATAGGGAAATATTATTTTAACAGATTTTAATTATGTCATCTTATCGCTGATTCGTAAAAGAACTGATGCAACAACTGATGAAAGATTTGCTGTTAATGAAAAGTATCCTATTGAAGGTGTTAAACAACCAGAAGATCTTCTTTCACTTGAAAAGTTAGTTTTAAATACTAATTATTCGTCTATAAATATTCATCTTGTGTTAATTAACAGATTCATTGAAATATTAAAAAATGCACAACCAAATGAATCTATTAAAAAAATTCTTAATCCTCTTTTACGTATGATTATTTTTTCTGTCTTGAAATTTATTTTTCTATGGTTTGTCTTTTAGCTTTTGGCTCAGCTGTACTTGATGAATGTCTATTAAAAGCTGGATTGAATAATGAGAATTCTACATTGGGAAAAACATTTAATATTGAACAAGGTTTGTTCCGGTAGAAATTATTTAGTATATTGAAGTATTGCAAAATATCCAGCGAATAAATGGTTATTTAAAAAAATGAGATAAGAATTACGCAAAACGATAAAATAAGGATTGCATGAAACTTAAGAGAAATTCGTAGAATTTATCACATCTTGCAAAATTAGGAATTTAAAAAATGTAAGAGGATTTTTTTTGTCATAATAGATGCTCCTAAACTACATGAACAATTAATTCAAGCAATGGATTATTTGAAACAAGCTGATACTGGTGAATGTAAGGTGAGTAGGATATAGAACAAATTTAGTTTAGATTGTTAACTTTAAATTTTAGGGCTATGTAACCTATCGACAAGAAGGTTCAGCGTCGCTTCTTAGGTAGTCAATAAACTTTTGTATGGAAATCAAATAATACTGATTTTGTTTTTTTTAGCTATGAAGAATTTCATCCGTTTTTATTCAAACAATTGGAATCTAAACCCTATATTGAATTGCCAACTTTTGATCGAGTAGGTTTATTTTTCAAGATTTTTATTGATAAGTTTATTTACATTTCTTCATTAGGCTGTTGATGAATTTTTCTCTAAACTTGAAGCACAACGAGTTGATGGACAAATCGTACAAAAAGAACGAGATGCTTTGAAAAAACTTGAAAATGTCAAAAAAGATCATCAAAAGCGTCTTGATGAATTAAAATCTACTCAGGTCAGTTAACAGTGGTATATCGATTTGCGAGGCTAGCGCTCGAAACGATTTCTCTCGTTGATTTATACTTGAATAGAACTCAAATCAAAGTCGGATTTAAATTAATCTGTATAATAACTTCATCGATTGATTTAAAACATTATGTTTATAAAATGTTACCTAGTGTGATGATTGCTCCCATCACTATTCATACATACAATTGTCTGTGTAATGCTCTAATTTTTATTAATTATCACCGTTTGATTACCTCTAGAATATTGTTCAATACTTCATGAATTCTACTTTTTGCTGTAAAATAATAGATGGTATTACTTTTAGAATGAAGATGTACGTAAAGCATATTTAATAGAAATCAATGCCGATCTTGTAAGTGATTGCATTTTTTTCCTATTAATATAATTGATAAATTTTGAATAGGTTACTCGAGCAATGGCAGCAATCAATACAGCAGTAGCTAATCAAATGAGTTGGCCAGAAATTGAGGAACTCGTTGATGATGCTAAACAGTCCGGTGATCCAACAGCACGAGCTATACATTCGATTAAATTTGATATTAATCATTTGACATTACTTCTTAGGTTAACAGTCAATTTTTCTAAGAATATTTTTAATTTTTTAATTATAGAGATCCTTTTGGAGATGGCAGTGATATTGAAAAAAATGCGGGAGCTCCCGCAAAAATTGATGTTGATCTATCATTAACTGCATTCGCAAATGCAAAGAGGTATAGAGAGGTGTATAATTTTAATTCACATTATTGATGATATTCGATTCATTAAAGATACTTCGACCATAAAAAACAATCATCACAAAAACAAATGCGAACATTGGAAGCCGGAGAAAAAGTTTGTTAAGAGCCTGAAGAATGTCTGTTTTACTCGACTTTGTTTTGAATAGGCCATTAAATCTGCATCAAAAAAAACTAATGAACTACTCAAAGAAGTTGAACGTGTGGCAACTGTAACAAAAGCTCGTAAAGTTTTTTGGTAAATTTTATTATTCGAAGAGGAATTTTTATCTAGAGCTGTTGTGAGTCTCATTTGATAGAAAGGCCCATATCTATTTGAAATAGTCAAGGACATCAGACTCTCGCTTTAGACGTCCCAAGTAGTAAACTAGTCTGTTCTAAAACTACTAGAAAAAAACTTATGAATTGATTAAAGAAGAAATTTTAGAATTTTATCATAGCTAACGTTTGTGTGGGCATGAAGCTATATAACATTATGAAAGGATTTGATACAACAGGGCTATTTCCTACGCTGCTAAGTAAAACGATAGTTTTAAACGAAGAAAATAGAAACAGAATAACAAGAAAAAATGTTTTTCGACACTACCGAACACATTTTAACCGTACTCTTTAATTTCCACCAGTGTCGCTACCAACTTGCTTTGTATTAAAATTGCAAGCAAACAAATTCTATTTATTTAGGTTTGAAAAATTCTATTGGTTCATCAGTTCGGATAATTATATTGTATTAGGTGGTCGTGATCAACAACAAAATGACTTGTTAGTCAAACGTCATTTACGTGCTGGTGATTTATATGTTCATGCTGATTTACATGGTGCAACAAGTGTTATTATTAAAAATCCCACTGGCAATGAAGTTCCGCCAAGAACTTTGCAAGAAGCAGGGCTTTTAGCTTGTTGCCATAGTGCTGCATGGGAAGCAAAAGTACCAGCACCAGCCTATTGGGTTAAACATGATCAAGTATCGAAAACAGCACCCACAGGAGAATACATTACAACGGGTGCTTTTATGATACGAGGTTTGTATTCTGTTGTTTTTCTTTTTTTGCGAATTTTGCTTTTCGATTTTCTAGGAAAACGAAATTATTTACCCAGTGCACCGTTAAACTTTGGTTTTGCTCTACTGTTTAAAGTAAAATTTGCAAGGAAAAACTATTGAGATATTAATTTGTATTTTAGTTTGATGAAAGTGATCAGGCAGCTATTGATCGACATGGTGATGAACGAAAACCAAAAACGACGCTAGATGAACAAGTACGAAAACTTTTTTTTATTTATCTTCTGTAGCTATACATTTATATTTTCTAAGAAAAAAAATCATTTGTAATTTTGAAGATTTCTTTGCACCAATCATTTTGTATTGAATCACTTTTCGTTTTCGTTTCTTTCAACATTGAGATGCATCGATCTTACGTACAATAAGCCAATCATTTTAAATTTATATTGATTAAATCAGTAGTAAGAAATAGACTACTATTTCTGGTACCTGTCATCTAATGCTAAATATTAATTTGGATAGACAATCGAATTCTCTACACTGAAAACTTTGAAACAATTCTTTGTTGAACTTTTAGGACTTAAAACAAGCATCAAATATTGAAACTCAAGAATCGATCGCAGAAACTGCATTAGAATTATCAGACGAAGAAGATGATGAAAACGAACCAGATGAACAAGAAAAAGAACAAGAACAGGAAGGTGAGCAAACTGTAGAAGACAATCAAGAATCTGCTTCTAATGCGCCTGCTGCGTCCTCTTCTGATGACAACGAAAATGAAGACGATACATCGGCTTATCCTGACACTCAATTGACGTATGCCGAAGAAAAACCAGTAAAAGTTGATAATAATCAAAAGAAAGCACCGAAAAATCAACAAAAACCACCAGTAGTTAAGCCTACTAGTGCAAATCAACCATTAAAGCGTGGTCAACGAACTCGTCTGAAAAAAATAAAAGAAAAATATAAAGATCAAGATGAAGAAGATCGACTGGTTCGAATGCAACTTTTAGGTTCCGCTGGAAATGAAGCGAAAAAGAAACAACAACAACTACTGCAGCAACAGCAGCAACAAAAATTACAAAATAAAGAAAATAGAAAAAAGAAAGAGCCTGCTCAATCGCGACCACAATCATCAACCACAGCCTCTGCGTTTATCGACGACGACGAAGGTGAACAACAAGAAGATGAAGAAGAAAAAGCGAAACGATTATCAGAAGATGCTCGTTTGCTTTCTACTCTAACTGGACAACCCGTAGCGGATGATCCATTAACAAATGTTATTGGCGTTTGTGCTCCTTGGGTAACATTAAATAATTATAAATATAAAGTTAAAGTTTTACCAGGTGGTCTTGGTAAAAAAGGCAAAAGTAAGAACAATTTTAATTCTATTGATATGATAATATGTTCGATTTAGATGTGCAAGCTGCTTTAAAATTCTTTGCAATGGATCGAACAGCAACACAATTAGAAAAAGATCTCATTAAAATAGTGAAAGATCAAGAAGTATCACGTAATTTGCCTAGTGGCAAAGTTAAATTTGTTTTACCTTCTTATGTTAAACTTAAATAAAACATTGAAATTTTGATCATTATTTTATTTTATTTCCAGTCAAAGAAAAGAAGAAGCGATGTAGTTTGATAGTGACTTAATCCTAGGGATCTGCAAAGTAATTCAAGTCCGCTTTTGTATAAAACAAACTATAGAATATATTTTGATATTATTCAAGGCATTTTATCAGCCATTTGCATTTACAACTGGAATAAAAAATTTAAATGATTTCGATCCTATTTCTAAGAATCGGAATCTTCAAATTGCATAGGCTTTTACATATGTGTGCAAGTAAACAACACTATATACATCAACTTAATTCCTTCGTTTTTAGGCAATTTCTCTATTCATTACCTCAGAAGGTAACAAAATACAACTTTAGACTCAATCATCTCACAAATAACGATTCAGGGGCGTCTAAAAATACCAGTTGCAGTCTTTTTTTACTTTAATTATAATATGATAAATTGATCCTGGAAGTAACAACGATTTAAGAACACCTGTATCGAATTTGCGTGCATTTAAGAGCTACTAGTTTTCAGAAAAAAATTTCGAAGCCATTATCGAGATCAGAAATTGTAGTTTGGAAAAAACCATGTCGCAAATTCATATTTGTTTTGGCAAATGCATATAAAAGAATGCTTGTGATGTTAACGAGTCAAAATCATTCCTGCCAATTTTGTAAGTATTCATAAAGTATACCGATTGTAAAAATGGCCATTTAGTTTTAGAAACAAAGTGAGTTTTCAAGATCGAAATTGGGACTAGAGAAAAACTTGGCTGGGACTGAAAAAACGATTTTGTAAATCCCTTCTTTTATCACAATAGACTTAACTTTTCGCTGATGATACTGTTTGAATAGTAAAAACTCCGGAACAGGTACTAGGATATGCCTCGTCAATAGCGCTCAACAGATTCAAGACGACTGACCTAGACCTCGTAAAAAGATTTTTTGATAAAATTCCTGTCGAACTACAGCTCTTAACTGTTACTAAAATGTTCTGATCGCAATTCGGTAGTCATTTCAAGAATAAAGGTAGCTTCTTCGATGTTGTCCGAAGTGATGACGAGGAGCACATGCACACATTTTAAAGATCATAATTACTGCTAGAGCCAGTGAAATCCAAGAATTTGGATCTGTAAACGTGCTTATTATTCATATAGAGGAATATAATCTTGAGTTCGTTAAGTAGATGTCTGGTGATGCGTTTTTCAATGCTATTGTATCTTAAATCTGAATGCTTATTTCCCCATTCTGCGTTTTCTTCTGTAATCTACATAACCTTCCTCTCTGCCTTTCTCGCTAAAAAAGGAAACCATCGAAGAAATTCACCACTCATGCATTGTTCACACGTTGCCAACGAATAACTACTTATCTAGCCTAAATATAAGTAATGAAAGAGAAATTCAGTATATCCAGACGGTGCTTATACAAATTCGAGTTCGTATTATGATGAATATTAATATTCGTAGTTCTCTATACATTATTAGAAATACTTGCACTCGTGCTAGTTCGTGGTTCATCATTGCATACCCTACTCATTCTATTTTGGTGAATCAACAAATTATAGCATACATCACACAGATTCGGTTATAATCGCTCGTTTTTTTTGGTTATCTTTTCGTTTCTTATGATTATTCTTTATCACTCTCTTTTTTTATTGCTTTTCTTTTTACGTGTACTCGTAAACAACCAATTCTCTTACTCGGTTTCCTATGCGTCGTATCAGGTAAATAAAGCTGTTAGCATTTTTATCCGATTCGTATAAAATTATGGTTTTTTCCAAGGAACTGCGCACTCTCATTATGACGATAGATGTTTCATATAGTAGATAAGAGAGTTAATCAAAATAAAAACTGGAGACGCAGTTATTGGTGCGCCACACACTTCGAGGACGATTATTTTCTATCTTGAAATCAACCTACCAGGTAAGAATGGTGCTGAGACAAATTGCATATCTTATATACGTAATAGAGTATCATGAAAAGTCTGTAGAATGCAAGAAAAAAGTAGTTGATTTCACTAGCCGAAATCAAGTTCAATTCATGCGAAATCAGTTAAATTAATTGAAGCCACGACACCAGTTACTTGTAACTTGGTATATATTTTGATGTGCCGTAGAAAGGTCGAAAGGAAAAATATCGAAAGGGAATAATGTCGAAAAAAATTTTTAGAACGGGGAAAAATGTCGAAAAAAATTTTTAGAACGGGGAAAAATGTCGAAAAAAATATAAAAAGAGAAAAACGTCGAACAATACATTTTACCACAAAAAAATGTCAAAATTCGAAATAAACGAAATAGCGATGTCTACAGTAAATGATGATTCCAAACGCGAATATTTCATGTTTTCTTTTCCCATAATTCTACTAGTCTAGATTTTGCACCTCTTGTAACAGTGATGATTAATATACTTCATATAAATTAAATAAACAACCCCTACATAAGAGTAAATAAATAACTAAAATTCTACCATTATGGCTACAGCTGTCGCATCTTCAGAAGATGAAACTCAATCAAAGTCACCAACGATTTCATTGATTAATTCACAAAAAGGAAAACAATTGCTAATATATTTCGATTATCATATGTTAGTATTAACGTACACAACGAAACATACTTCTCTCAAGTCAGAATTCGAAAACACTCTTTTCGATCATTTTCCACAATAATATATTTTTTTCGACATTTTTCCCCATCGATTTTTCGACGTTTTTCCTTTCGACCTTTGGACGGCCAACCTATATTTTGCCCAGACTGGGTATGAGGAAAACATGCTTCAGACCATTCTCACAGCTGCTTCCTCAAAGATATTATCAATCGATAAATCTTCAAAATCTCCATTAATGAGATCCCACACTACATCTTTTTCTTTGAAAAGTTTTGATAAAATAATTAAATATTCTCTTAATGGGTCCATTTCAGACAACTCTGATTTATTCTCAGTCAAATTTTCATTGCAAAACAAATGATGAAGAATAAAAACACGCACCATTCTTCAATAAACCGTGACCTATCCTGCCTTGGAATCATCCCCATCATTTTTACAGGTCAAAGGTCAAAGTTAAAACTTAGTCAGAGATAGAATCGATCTGGATTTTTCTTAGCAAGTACCGGCTCCACTCACCAACCTACGATCTATCGGCAATAACCGATATATCGAAAATTCATGATTACTGTGAAAGTATCAGTTTCGATATTCAAAGTTCGTTTTATTGTGAGATAAGCTCGAAGTACCAAGTTATATTATGTACGTGGTGAATTCAAATAGCTCTTCGAGACCGTCTGATATAGTTTAACTTGAATGACCAGTGTATCGAGAATGTCCGATCAATCGATAAACCGACTGGTCACTGATACTGTTTCCATCTTTCATTTGAGCCGGCCATCGTTCACTTTTGCGGGATGTCTCAATTTTCGGCGAAGAATTTGCTGAAATTCTGTGAAGTTAATAAAAATAAACATTGTTTCACTTCTGAACTGCGTATGCATACGCATTTTTTGATTCATGAAATAAATAGTTAACCATTGGTAGACAACATACAGAGTTTGATGGGTCCGCGAGAAATTCATTTTATCCTGGTTTACTTTTGTAAATATATGTATGTATGAATGACTTAAGCTCCCTTTACTTTCTACTACGGGTGATGTGTGTTCGAAAGATAGCAAATTATTACATCAGATATAAACACTGTGTGATGTGAACAAGCGAATTCATTGATAAAACGGTTGACCACCCAAATGTCGAAAGGAAAAATGTCGAAAAGACGAATGGAGAAAATGTCAAAAGGGAAAAATGTCAAGAAAAAGAATATTAAGATGAAAATTGACCGAGATATGTTTTTAGAGAATTCTGATAGGTGAAGCACATGTTGTATTCTATGCTGTAATGCTAACATTCTAGAAGAAATAAAATGTAAGTGAAGAGAAAAAAATGGCTAATATGCCATTTTTATTCAATTTGAAAACATATACATCTGCGATTAGTAAAGACTTTCCTTTATGTGAATTTATAAATGAAATAGCTGGAGATTTCGCTTCAGCTAAATCTAATGGAGATGGAACAGCTGCAGCCATGAAAATAGAATTTTAGTGATAAAATAGTTCTTTGTTCAACGCTTACAAGAGTTTATACCAGATACTACTCATCCCCATTACTACTGGTTTAAAACCTAGACTAGTATAATCATTAGAAAAGCAGCAATAATTCGACATTTTCCCAACATACCGTTAAAATATTCCTTGACTATGCTGTATTATTTTTTTCCAGAGAAAGTTGTAAATTTTATTATCTATCTTTATTTCATCATTTTAATTGTAAACGTTCTAATTCTGACCCAGAGTGAACCATTTGAACTTGAAACATGTCAAACATCAACTTTGATTTCTTGTTTCATTATCAGAAGTTATTTTTCTTTAATACCACTGCTACAGAAGTAAAAAGAGAAAAGGGACTAAAGGAAGTACAAAAAGTTTAATTCATATATATATATATATAAAAGTAAACCGAGATAAAATTAATTTTTCGTGGACCTGTGACTGTCAGATGGGCTATTGTTGTGCAGAGGATCTGCCATGAACTATCGCACACCATTAGTAATATGGTCATAATTTGAGATGAAAGTTACAAGGAAATAAACTATTTCGAGCTTTGCCTACCCTATGTAGGCTCGACCTGATGACACAAATTTCATCTCAGTAGCTTTTGATCTCATTAAACAGTCCTCCTAAATATTTTTTAGTCCAGATATTTTAACAAGATTCCACTAAAAAACACTCGTTATAAATTGAATTTCTCGATTATTGTCAATAACACTTTTCCATCATCGAATATTAATCTTTCATAATAGATTATTGAAATATGCCATCACCTCTGATCACTGGAAATGCGCTTCACTCATTTGATATTCAAGAAATGATGGACCATCCCCAGTTTAGCAAGCGTGTAGCCACGTTATCAAGAGACATGTGCACTCTCTGTCTAAATGAACTTCCCAATGACACAGGAGTTTATCAACTGCAATGCCCAGCAGATATTTGCACATACTATCTTTGCCATTCATGTATGAAATGTGTCTTTTCGTTCCAACATATCAAATTTTACCAATGTTTCATTTGCCATACACAATATCAGTTAAAGGACGCTGAGAAGATATTGAGAAACCGGTTGGTCGCGTTAGATGAACCTATTTTACAACGTTCATTTGAAGCGCTTATGCAAGATTTACCCAACCAATTTAAACCAGAGATTATACAAAAGAAAGAACAACAACAGCAGAAAATTCAACCACTAAAAGGATTCCAAAGAGTTATCACGCAGTGTATTATGAATCCCGATATGAATGAAGAACAAGTAGAAGAGGTACGCCAAAGTGTGCCAAATTTATCAGAGTTCCTTGAAGAGCAAATGAGCGAAAGCATTGATGTTGAAGAAACGAGACCGATCTTATCTTCTACATGTACTCCAGCAGTTATTCCTCGCGAAAGCACCAACGAAGGACAAGTAGAAACAGCAACCGTCAATAAAACTATATGGTCTGCCATATGTGAGATTTGCTTTAATATATGGCATAGCATCAAGAGTTTCACTCGATTCGTTGGAAACCTCATCGCCAGTGTATGTATGTCACTCTATCGATACTTACGGTACTGTCCAAATTCTTTACGTACAGTGCTAAAGCAACAGATAGATAAAATCAATCACTATTTTGCGCACTCACACATTCAATAAAGACTTTATTTGGTAAGATTTTATTCAAAGTTATACCTTTAACTACTGTTTATTTTTAGTTGGGTATGACATGCGCGCATTCGTACTGTTCTTAATAGCAAGGTGATCAATAATTTATTTATTCAACACTATCTTTTTCAGGCATGAATTGAAATTGAGTCTTTCTGAAAGAGTCAAATCGATCTATGCCTAATTTTTTTTATTAATAAACAAGAGTTTATGGCATAAATATTATTTCGAGATAGAGAAGATGCGCTGATTTGCAACCATATAATTGAATCCTTTTCTTGTTAATCAACATATTGCGCACATTTTACTAGATGTTTTATTAGTTGGAAGTAGAGAATATACTTTTTATTTTTTCATCTCGATTTCCATTAATAGAGAGAAAATCCCAACCGCGATAGAATGCTTGCAAGAATTCTTATTCAATGTACCAAATCATATACAACATGTCAATAATTGACTCAGGTATTAATAAAAAGCTATTGCCAACTTGGATCGATAATGTCTCAGACTGTTGTATCCTAGATGCGCCTAATTTAACCATGAACTTTAAACTCAATTACTCAGTTCATATATTCGAGTATTGACGAAAACACACATAGAGTATTGCAATTGCTGAAATTAACCTCAATACTTAGCACATACAAAGAGATGCAGAAAGAAGACTGAAGTGTATATCAGAATTATAGTTTTAGTGCATCTTAGTCTCAATCAAGCATATACGAATACGAGTTTTTGTGTACTAGTGTCGTATGATACAATAACATTGAGGTTGTGGTTGTTTTCAATGCAGAATAATTCAAAACATCATACGACGTGCTACGACTGTTTGTCACTGTTGTTATCATATGCAGAATTATTATTTACTATTCGATTGCTGAGTTTTGGTACGTTTACTGCACCTGAATTTTTTCTGTGTTGTGGTTTCAGTGTAAAAATATTTAAAAAGAGAAAATGTCACGCTACTTCTGAGTGCGTTTTCCAGAGATCCGAGACTCACCGAGTTTCCTCGCCTCGCCTCGTCACGAGATGAGACAAGGCGGCATTCTTTGCACCGCGGTGAGTACGAGTTGGTTATCTTAACTCGCCGAGTCGACTCGCCTATACTTAAAATGCCGTTTTTGACGAATAAATGGTAAATCGATATCTAGATCTTAGAACTTCACTGTAGATTTGGTTTTGAAGTATCTATTGATGATGGGACACAACTAATCGAAAGAATGAATGACTACACACACACACATGTACATATGTTTGGGGCAAAATTAAGATTCGACTAGACATAAATTCATACAATGGAAATAAATAAAATAAAAATAGAATAATTAATGTCATTAAATAGTATCTTTTTTATTTTATAAAGATTTTACGAATTAAAATTATTTATAGTCTATTCCAGTCCCAACAGCAGAAGCTGTGGTCGTCGGGTGGATAATTAAAATAATGAGGAACAAAGCAACATCCTAGAGCTCCGGAAATTCGATGTGTTTTTGGAGATCTGAGAGTTGCACTCCAGAGCATCATATAATAAGTCTATTTTTTAGAAATCAAGAGCTCCGATTTCGCCGGAGCTCAGAACTCATGTGACCCGGGCAGGTCTCTATCGATATAATAATTGGCACTTCAGGTTTCATTTTTTCATGTCACTCCGCTTTTGAGTACAACACATGACTATATGAACTTATATCTAGTCGAATCCTAATTTTCTCTCGACAAAATCAGGATTACAATGCTGCTCTAAAGATATATTTATCTATTAGATCTAATCCAGATATTTCATTTTTGTAATTTTGCATGTTGTTTTTTTTCAACTTATGGGATCACTTTTTTCTAGTTTTTGATGCGCTTACACTAGTTTTTTGGCGGAAAGCGTGTTTAATCACACAACAAGAACCAAAGCTGTGCGTTTTTCGCTCACAATCGTGAGCCTCGATTGTGATCCACAAACGTTTACTTTAAACCGATTTGTTATATTTTTCTGTGTGTTTAAACGCATTTTCGAAAACTCTTGTCTGCTTGGGTAGTGAGCTTTTTAAAATAGGAAAAATTTCGGTATCAACAAGTAAAACAGATTCTATGAAGTATTCTATTTCAAACTGAATTCAAAACAGAAAAAAAGGACCTGAATTTTTTACGGAAGCGACGGTTTAGGAAATCCAAGTCAAACATAGATCTCTCTAAGTCCCTAGAAAACTGCCAACAACCTTGAATTATTTTCCCTAACAGTTTTTTTCCTTTCCACATTCCGCAAAAATAACCATCACCATCCTTCATGAAACACAGTGTAACTTCAAGCAAAGAGAAAATCGATTCAATTCTGAATTCACATGTGTGTATCTCCCGATGCGCATGTTTCTTATGGATAGCGGGTCTAGGACATCTTGGTTGAATTCAGAATTCAGATTAAACTATAGAAGTGAATAATTTTAAAGATCCTCTAATCCCTCGCTTCCTAATGAAATGATGGGTTATTTTCATCCGTAATTCAGTTTGAACTGATACACCTCATCGTATGGTAAAGCAAGAAATAAATGACGACTGGCTATGTTTGGATGATAAAATAAAGCAGCATGCTGATATTCGATTTAAATTTTTGAATTTTATCGATGGGAAAACGACTGAGAAACGCATATTTTATCTGAAGTATAGATTTTACGGTTAAACCGTTTTTGAAAATATTCGTATGTATAAATAGCAAAAGTGTAAAAATTTATAATACAAATAAAAATTTAATATGACGACACAAAGTGCTGATATATTTTATGAGTCTTTTTAATAAATGCTCAAATAACGTTCAATCATAGGCCATTGCTAGCTAAATCGACAGCCTTCTCTAAATCACGTTATGAATTTGGATTCTTGCTTTTAATTTTGTGAAACTCGATATAAAAGTAGTATTGAAGTATATAAAGTAGAGAATAATATTCATCCGTCCTTCTCCTATTCCACAGATCATGCTAGGCGTTCTAATTAATCAAATGAATAATTAATTAATTACCGGATAATCAGTACTTAGTTAGTTAAATCATTATTACTTACTTACATAATTAATCAATACTTAACTAATTTCCGTCACAGACGGTGACCAACGGCTCCCAGTGACTTTCGAAGATCATGTGTCAGTAACATCTGGTTGAAATATATATATCAAATATTTCTTTGTTGAAGTTCTAGACTGTAAAATGAAGGATGCCATAGAAGCATAACTCAATATTAAAAAAAAGACTAGCTTTTAAACCATTAGCAACAACAGTAATTACATCGCGTTTCACACTTGTAATCACACTAGACTTGTACTAACAGCTGTTTTTATCATTCTCGAAAGTCGCTTCTGTGCGAAACTTAAAAAAAACAATTTAATCAATTCTTAAACATTTCATGTACAAGAGAAACACGAGAAAGATGTAAAAAGTTTATCCCTAAAGAAATAAAATATAGAAATGAATACAAATTATTATTGGGAATAATTTTATAAGTAAAATCTAAGCCAGTTAAAATTTTTAAAGCGAATCCCCAAAAAAAAAGAAAATATAAACGGTGATATTGAATTGATACGATATGATAGGATATTTTTTCATTTCTTTCAAACGTTTCACCTAGAAAATATAATACAAATACTTGCTTTTCTTCTATTTTTCAGAGCAAATTGTGCAATACGGATACAATATGTTTTCTCGCCATGCTTTGGATTTAAGTGAAAAACATTTTGATCGCAGTTTGTTTTGGTATACTTAGTGAAATTCGTAAAAAATAAAGGCATTAAGATCACTGAATAACACCTAGTAAAAGCATTTTCAATCATCATATTGACGTGATAAATGATACTTTCAAAAAATTGACTTTTCTGAATATTTTTGTGAACTTTGACGAATGAAAACATTTATTTTAAGTTTTCCTATCTGGGAATCTTGATCCAGAACCATGCATCTTCACATACTTCTTAGCAGCTAGATACTTTTGAAAACAATGTGGTATTCTTTTTATTGTCACATGTAACTCTATCACTCAGTAAAGATGGCTAATAACACGGCAAATCAAACATGTATTACGACACATGATTATAGGACCTGTATGCTAAAGTATAAAATTCATCGCTTAATGCAATAAGAATAGCTCTTCAATGATGATGGTACTTATGAAAAGTTAAAATTAAAAAATATGAACAGTGTGGCATGACCACAGTAGACGTAAATGGAGATTTGCTTTCACTTAAATAGTTTATAATATCTTAAATATACTATAAAACATTGTTTACGAGTGCTATAAGGCCATCTATGGCGATGCATGGACAGATATGTGAAAAGTGCGATAAAATCATTTTAAAAATAACCTAAAGAATAAGAGAATTAACCTTAGTAGACGTTTTTATCTGCTTATTATATGTGAATAGTAATCAAAAATAATGACACTATCTCATTAACTAGCCTTCTTCTACTCAACATATCTTATCATTATTATAGGTATTTGTTTAAACGATAAAACAGAAAAATATTTCTGTTTATCGTTAATTTATCTTTTTCTTTACAAAAATAAATAAATATAGTATCACATTTATATCGATTAATTACAAATTAAGAACCTGAGTCGTATATGTAAATAGGATTGCGTATTTTCTCATCACAACATCATAACGACAACAAATGCGAAGAAAACGAAAACAAAAAGAACATTGTAGAAGAACGAAAGAGAGGCGATATGAAGCGCATTTGTGAAATAAAAAAAAAATCCCTGTGCTATGATAATATCACGGTTCATTGACTTATGTAAACAGACGTACCCGTATGCAAACCGAACAATTTCATAGACCACAAATTCGAAGTACATTCGGCTGCACCTACACAAAATAACAGTCGCACATTTCAGTATCGCTTAATAAGTAAGCATATTTGACTTCAAACATGATTCGCTCAAATATAAAATTAAAATTAAAAACTATCAGTGTCTATAACCGAAAGTCACATTTCCCCGCCAATCAGTATACACCAACGAGATCGTCTTGATTAAATTAGTTTTAATTGTATATCAAAGCTAGGCGTTGTTTTTTTTCTAGAGATATCAGCACTAAATTTTTGTTGTCAGTCTCGATAAGCTCCGTCAAAGTCTAACACTCAATCGTTTTAAGATGTAGTTTTTACTCATGAAATTTGTGAAAATCTGTGGTCTTTTTTTAAAAAATGAACGCGCAGCAGTACTTTTTCGTAAGAAATAAACAACATCACAAAGATATTTGGAGCATTGGAAACACCTCTGGAAAAATATTCTTAGACATACGAAATCAAGTTGATTTGAGCTATTTTATAATTTTTTTACTTTTTTCTTGCAGAAATATCTTTTGAAATTATTTTCTATTAGAATATATTTAGGTATCTGGTATTTTAGTTGACAAGATTTTGATACTTCATTATTGTATCCTGAACTATATGTTATTTTAAAACCGATACGTGCAAAACGAGAATATTTAATGAAGAACACATTGCATACGGGAGACAAACAGAATGTTAGTCTCACTATTTTTCCTCAAACTAGTTCAATTTCTTTTTGTCCTTTGAAACCATGCTTTTCCCAAAAGGTCTATCAAGACATTTTCTACGGTACACATATCAAAAGTATTTCTGAAGAGATCTTTACAAAAAAAAACCTTGAGCTTTACCATTAAACATGACAAACAGAGTCAAGATACTAAATTAATTCTCAAATAAACTTTACACAATCTTGTGTAACAATAGAAGCAACGATCATCATTCTTTACTTTGAAATCATTTTATTTCTGTTCGAGTGATTGAAAGTCTACTGTTGCTTCTAACGATTACATCTGTTTGAGTCACGGAAGCATTTATTCTTATTGAAATCCAGTCTAGATATGGCACTTTTATTGACATTAGCTAATATTTTAAGAACTTTTATATTTTCCGATGTTACTATTCTCATGATTTATTCATCATTCTCTTTTATTTTTATTCGTTGAATAGCATTCGTTTGTTCTTACAATCTGGAAGGTTCGAAGTCACATATATTATAGACAACAACATGATGCTGAGAACTAATATTGGTAACAAAACTAAAGACAATACGACGACATCGTCACAGTCAACAAAACAAGTCACCACTACAATAGCTACCCGCACTGCTGCACACTCATCATCTTCCCTTCGATCAGGCGAGATGAAAATTATGCAAAATTTTCTTCTCATCTGGTTTGATGGTAATACCGATAAGAATCATGAATACTTTCAAGATTACTTTACGAAACTACGAAATATTGTCAGTACATTAGAAAAATTTAATAATGTTAACCGTTGCGTCGAATATTTAAGAAGTGTTGAATTTGAAAAGGTCTTTTTAATAGTCTCAGAAACACTCAACAAAGATATTCTACCACTCGTACATGATATGATTCAAATTGATACTATATTTTTTCTCACTAGAGATAAAAAGCGACACAAACAATTGAAAAAGAAATGGTCAAAAGTTCAAATTGTTTCAACGTCCGTTAAATCTATTTGCAAGCGATTAAATAAGGCCGTGCGAGAATGTGACCACAATGTAATGCCTATGAGTTTCGTTCCAAAACGGACATCAATGGAAACAACATTCGATCAATTCGAATTATCTTTCATTTGTTCGATACTCATAAACGAAATCATCTTGGACACCAAAGAAGATGATACGAAGTGTATGAAAGACCTTGTGGCATATTGTCGTCAGCAAAATATCTCTGAATCCCAGCTAAAGCATTTTCAACGTAAATATAATCGAAAATCTCCGATATGGTGGTATACTTATGAATGTTTTCTCTTCAGTATGCTCAATAAGGCTGTATGCTCGATGGATTTAGAATGTATGAGTAAATTAGGCTTTTTCATCCGTAATCTAAATCGACAGCTCGAACAGCTGCACAAAGAACAATCGAACGCATATAAAAAGCCAATTACCGTTTATCGTGGCCAGGAATTGAATAAAGAGGAATTTGAAGATCTAATCAATACGAAAGATGGACTTCTAATGTTCAATAATTTCTTTTCGGCTAGTTCAGAACAACATGTAGCCATGAAATTTGTTCGACGTTCACTACGCAAAAATGAAAATGTAGTGATTGTTCTATTTGTTATGACCATCGATCCGAAGAAAGTATCAACTTCGGTAACACCATTCGCTAATATCGATGACTATAGTGTTATTCTACAAGACGACGAAATACTTTTCGCGATGAATACTATGTTTCTGGTGAAGGAAATAAAAAAATCGGCCAAGAATAACCATCTTTGGGAAGTTGCATTGACACTTATAGATGTTAATGATCCACAACTTGCTGCGCTCACACATCGTATGAGAGAGCATTTAAGTGAGTCGACAGGATGGCAACGATTAGGCGATTGGCTACTAAACGTCGGGCAGTACCAGCAGGCTGAAGAAGTATACATTGGTTTACTCAAAAATTCTTCGTGTGACAAGGAAAACGCATATGTCTATCAACAACTAGGACTGATAAAATATAATCAACAAGAATACACTGAAGCAGTGTCATATTACAAAAAGTCTTTAAAAATCTACCAGGAAACTCTCTGCGAAGACGATCAAAAATTGGGTGCTATCTGCAAGAGTGTTGCGATGGCCTATGAAAAACTTGAGGATCAATCGAACGCACTCAAGTTTTTTGAAAAAGCACATGACATCTACAAGAAAGTTTTACCGGCGAATCATCCAGATTTATCTACTTTGTATAGAAACATCGGTCAACTGTACAACAGCATGGGTAACTACTCAAAAACACTTGAGTTTTATGAAAAAGCAAGCGCAATACAAGAAAAAACTCTCACGTCGGATCATCTCGATTTGGCTGCTTCCTACGATAACATCGCTTCTGTTTATAATAATGCAGGTGATTTCTCGAATGCACTTGAATTCTATGACAAAGCATTAAAAATAAAAGAAAAAACTCTGAATCAGACGGAACCCTCATTGGCTAGCTCGTATAACAACATAGGCTCGATGCATTGTTGCATGGATGATCATAAAAAAGCACTAAAATTTTTCAAAAAAGCACGCAAAATCTTGGAGAAAATTATGCCTGCCAATGATCCTGATTTGGCTAGCTTTTACAGTAATATCGGTAAATTATATGATAATATGGGAAAATACTCGAAAGCAATTAAATTTTATGAAAAAACACTGACAATTGACGAAATAACTCTACCTTTGGATCATCCTTCGTTGGCTACATCCTACAACAGCATGGGTCAAGTATATAGCAATAAAGGTGACTACTCGAAAGCACTTGAATATTACACAAAAGCAATTAAGATAAGAGCAAAGGTTCTGCCTCCGAATCATCCCGATTTAGCATTTTCAAAACATGATATCGGTGTTGTGTGTGAGAATATGGGAGATTATTCTATGGCCAAACAGTTTTATGAATGGGCTTTTAGCATTGGGCAACTATCATTACCTCCGGATCACCCTCATCTACACGTCTACCAACTATCACTTGATAATGTCAAAACGAAAATGTAGATTATTTTTCGAATGGATGTGAAAACGTCGAAGGAAAAAATGTCGAAAAAAAACTATCGAAAAAAAGCGATCCTTGAGAATATTTCGGAAGCATTGTACTTCAAGACCTTCCGGTTCAAATAGATGATTAAGTTGAGCTTTCAAGTTAAAAAAATTATTATTTGAATCAGTATGAACCTTGACTTTGTTATTCTTAGTTTTACAGATCCAATATATCTGTAAAGATGTTGGTTTTGTTGAATTTGTAACAAAAAGACATTCCAAATCAATTGTCAATAACATTCGTTGGAATCAATAAAAGATATAGAACTTGTATTAGTGGACAATTATACAGTCGAAAGAATTAAGTGATGAAACTGCAATATCTAAAAGCAGAGAAATATGTAGAAGACCATATAACAATGCTGTGATTGTGTTCTTTTGTAGTTCCGATCTGTGCTACATTCTAGAATGTTCGCTCAAAAAATTACTTATTGAGGACAAGTATTAGATAATCATCGAAATTCTAATGAAAAATAGAAAATTTAATAAAACAAAATCAATACTGTTTTATAACGATATCTCACAATTTTCGACGTTATATATGTTCGACCTTTTTTTTCGATATTTTTTCCTTCGACATTTTTCTTTTCAATGTCTCGTTTTCGACGATTTCAATACATACCTATTTTTCTTTTCACTTACTTTTTAAATAAACTAATTGCTATACATCTTCTCTCTGCACGCAAGTGTACTGATCTTCTCCTCAGCGCAGCATATCGAACTCATCTAGTAGGACTAAAAAAACGATCTGATGGATACTTTCACATCAAAATATCAAAAATAAAACGTGCAGTAAACATACACATAAGTTGTCTATACGTTCGTATCTTATAATTATCATGTACTTACTTGTGAATCTTCTCTGGCATTGAAACGCCAATACTCTCATTTTACTAAAAGATAATTTAGAATCAAGATAGATATTGGTAATAATTTTAAAAAAAAGAAATCTATTAAATATAATAGTAACACATTAGTAATGCACATCATAGAACATACAGAATTATTATTAACCTCTCCATCCCACCAAATCTCAAGATCATTACTCATGCCAATATTATTTTGTATATTAAAAACTTGTGTATCATAGTTCAATTCATTCTTGTTTACTGTATAATTGATCCAATCACGATAAGCACTTACACGAGTATAAACACCTAAAAAAGAATTTAATAACACGTTACTTATCTGATCTGTTTAACTTACCCGGTTTATGAGCTCGCGCACATCCTTCACCATAACTACTGGTTCCGACTATTGGCCATGTTTGATTATAGGTCAACATCAAAGGTCCGCCACTGGAAGAAAAATATTTTCTATGAAAACAAAACTGTAAAAAAGACCTATTTCCTTGGCAAGTGTCCTTGCCATCTTGAATAAAACCAGCACAAAATTATTTTTCTGGATCATATACTGATCGGCACAATTCAACAGTCGAATATATGGCGATAGGATCGGTAATTCAACTTGTAAAAGTACTTTGCTAGCACGACCAAAGGCGCTTTCCTTGACACGTCCCCATCCAATAGCCACCTTAAGAATTTGGTAAAAGAAAAACTAAAACTAAATCTACTTTTTATATATTACAGCATCTGCTTGATCAGAAGGAAATAATGCTGGATAGCGTAATGTAGCCATTGGTAAACATATAAAACCAATTGTTTTATCAGTTAAATCAACTGATCTATTTAATGCAATAAGAGCAATATCATTTACTTTGGTTTTTATATCATATTCGGGATGTAATATAATTATATTTGCTGATATACGTAAATACCTATTTCAATATTGATTGTTTTCTGTTGCATAGTGAGCACCCACACCCAACGATATATTTTTCTTTGATGTCTATCGTAGTTTTACCTTCGCTTCGCTTTAATTCATCATACAAACAGTAAATAGTCAAAATGAATTTGATTCATCTTATGAATAGAATTATAACTGCAATAGATATATGAGCAGCTGTAAGAACATATCGATCAGTGATAAGTGAACCACCTTAATATAAACATAGAAAAATAAGTATAATATATCCAAATAGATATCACAAAATGGAATGTTGGTTGAAGCTAATCGAATACTTACAATTCATGAGCTGAAATATCGTCACAATATGTGAGGATATTTCACACTAGGATTATTTATCATGAATGTGGGATACTCGCAATACCACCAACAATACGAGCATGCATAATTGATTGATGAAAAGCACAACCGCATTGAATAGGTGACCTAGAGTTATTTAAATATATGTTCTGGTTTATTTATTAGAATTTTATTTTATTGATACCTCACCAGCGACAAACACTACAACCAATTGACCAATGAACTGTAAAAACTGCAAACAATTGTAGTGTAAAGATAAACTTCATGTGAAATGATCACTTTTTCATTAGATAAATGACTCATTGATTACAACGATAATGAAATAATTCGAGCGTGTTTTAAAATCCTTTATTACGCACGATGAAGAATATCTATATTTCTGAAACGCGAAAGATTCTATATCACAATTTGAATTATTGATAAGGTCAAGTGTACATTAAAAATTCAATCAAAAAAGCATTCGTTTTCGATTTCATACGAATAGAGAGCAAGTAACTTGAAATGGTAATAATATCTGCCAAAATAATAATGATATGCAATGTACACATTGATTTAATACGAGTTTCTTAACTCTTACAGTTCATTCAAGGTTACATCATACTGTAATAAACTTAAAATATTAGATGTAACCGTTCATAATCACTACTCAAATGAACCCTAGTTGATTATTAGAATTCGTCAGATCACCAATAAGATTTATTATAATATTATCCAAAGACTAAATTTCAAACCGAATTTTTTTGTTGCACAATAAAAACAAAATTTCTCTCAGATTCATACATTTAGATATTTCACTGTTTTACTATTCGTGCAATCTAGACACAGGATCGTGTTCATACGAACAGCCAATTAAAATGGAAACAGTAGATTTTTGCCACATGTGTAGAAATCGGTCCCTGAAATAAAATCATTGTTGAGTTGATTCTATGCTCATTCTAAACAAAATCAAACTTATTCGATTAAATAGTTCAATTTTTGAATTACAATAAAATATCAATTCTCTATAAAAAAAAAAACCTTTTAGGTTCAATTTATAAAATACGCAATAAGTCAATAGCGTGACATTTGTAATTGAATTCTATGTTGAATGCTTTTTCATTATTTTCAACAGATGTTCTCTATCTTAATATCTTTAACAGAAAGAGTTTGTTGTGCTAGTATTCAAATTCTATCTGATTCAATCAACGAAGGATTGTTTGGACTTCATACAAGAAAGATAAATCAATTTGTTAAAGAATTACATTCAATCTAATTTTATGTGCTTCTTCTAAAGCACGTTTATTTATTTAAAACTCAATAATTCAATGAGCACAATGTCACTGTTCGTAACAAATAGCATGCTATTCGATCAGTACAATGCATATTAGCAAATATCATACTATACGTGATGACAAAAAATCATCCCAAGGCTACCAATCAATCGTTATACATTTCAAAATCAATGCCCTTTTACAGATCGACTTTTATATACAAGATTATTTTTTTATAGAGCATATAATTTTTCGTATCTTATAAACACAATTATGTGTTGCTTCTAAGTTTGAATAATTTTAGAAGAAAGAGTTTTGAATAAGGTTTTCCACACCCTTTATATTATTATCAAAATAATTAAATATTTCCATCTATAAGCACATGCTACAACAAATAAATATGTTAAAAATACAAAAGCAGGGAGTAACATATATAAATATATATATGTATATATATCACGCAAATACATATGGATGCTTCAGAACATATCTAATATTCTCAAATTAATAATAATAAAATAGTTTAAAAAGAAGAAAAGAAAAACTACGCAAACATGCAAGCATTCTTTTAAAAGTCAAAAAGAGAACAAAAAATAATCACCGATTAAGAATACAATTCAATGACGATAAAGAACGAGTAATGCTTTCATTCTCATGTGCAATATTCATTATAGATGATAAACTACATGCACGATTTCGACCTTGCCTATTTGGAGAAGAAGCCGAAATCGATTCAGTTGGGACTGTAATTGGATTATCTGATGGCATCGAAATGGATAATGACCGTTCACGAAGACGATACCGTAATGTTTCATTTTCAAATTTTAATTGACAATTATCTCGTTCAAATTGAACTACTTGTTCTTTTAATTGATCTCGTTCAACTACAGCAGTCCTGCAATTACAATAAACAAAAACACTAAGTTAAAATCTGTCGTTCAATAGAAGCAATAATTTAACGTCAGCTTGCTAATTATATGCTTTTCCATATGGACAATCATCGGTGTGCCGTAGAAAGACCGAAAGGAAAAATGTCGAAAGGGAAAAATATAGAAAATTTGCACTAAGATGTTTTATTCTTGAAATCATAATAGCATCATAGCATAAATCATAGATAAATAAGAGTTATAAAGAAAAATACACATATCCAATATTTACTAGTTGTTGTTGTTTTATTCAGTTTGAAAATATATTTATCTGATACAAGGAAAGGTTTTCCTTTTTACGACTGAATAAATGAAATAACTGGAGTTGGCGGATGATTCTCACCAGATAAAAATGAGCAAGCTGCAGTCCTCATGATAGAATTTTAATCGTTGTATACTATTTTACGCCTATTTTAGCTAGTTTTCATAAGATATTACTTATTCAATAGTATCAAGGGTTATCATTGTCAAACCAATGGAATAATCAGATCAACAACAATGAACAATAAACTATTAGAACCTTCATTTAGTAGACGTCGCTTTTTTCTATCTTTTCTGTTTTCGATATTTTTCTCTTCGACATTTATCCATTCGACATTTTTCCCTTTCGATATTTTTCTTTTGGTGTTTTTCTTTCGGTATTTTTCCTTTCGGCCTTTCTACGGCCAACCCAATCATCCATAAGAAATAAATCAAAGTCAATTTCGAACTTCGATATTTTAGTAGTGAATAATTGTTGATCAAAAAGCTTAATTAAGATGTATTCGGAAAAACAAATTAGAAGCAATATGTACTTAGCAAAGATAAATACATAGATTAGTCTGATGTGTAGATGGCAGATGAACTTTAAAGAAAAATAATTCAGAAATGCTAAAAATAATATTTGAAGTAAGATGAAGATAGATTCTTAATGCGTAGTTAAACTAAAATTTATAAATATTAATTTACTTTTCACTCAATTTCTTCTGTTGAAGAAGATATAAAAGATTTTGATTTTGATTTTCAGCCATATCAATACGTTTTCGTAATGCTTTTTCATCGTTCAACTGGAATGAATAAAAAGAAAATTTGCATTTGACTGCATTCTCTATTATATTTACTTGAATTTCTTGTTCATTGAGTTTTGTTCGTAATTGTGTAATTTCTTTATTTTTAAGTTCAAGAACAGTCTGTAAACTCGTTCGATCTTTTTCTAATGTTTCAACATGACATAATAGAACATCGGCATGTTCACTATTGGCCATTTCAGTTAAGAAACCATCAACTTTTTCTTGTAATACTGAACAACGAGCTTCCAATTGATTGTTTTCATTCTGAAAATATATAATTAGAAAAATAAAAAAATTTGTCTTAGAAAAATATTTACTAATAAATTATCCAATTTTTGTTGATATTCATTTAGCCTCTGTTCGTTTGTTTTATTTAAGTTTTCAATTTGATTTTGATGACGTTTATTTATTTCAGACAATTCATTTTTATGAGATGATCGTAAATATTCTATTGATGTCTATCAATAAAAATCAGTCGTATCATTATTTTTTTATTATTATAACAATATTTATATTTACTTTTAATTGATCTTGTGTTGTTCGAGCTAATAATAAGAAAATACGCATTATTCCATTAAAAAAATAAAACAGCGCAAGAGTTCCGTCAAGTGAAAAATTACTTCTCAGATGATTTACTTCTTATTCAGAGTGAATCGAAAAGGATTCGTACTTATGCGTCTCTTTCTTATTGACCTATGGCCTTTTTTAATGAGATTTTCAACAAGCTGTTATGCTCTTCTACGTAACACATTCGAAATGGATTGACGAATAGAAAAGCAAGTGTTCGATTTTTATAGTTTTTTTCTATTCGCAAAAGATATTCATAATGAAAATTTTCTGATATTTCTAAAGTATATGATCTTGAAGATCATCGCTTTCGCAAAAATACTAATTTTTTATTTGATGAAAATTTCTTATGAAAAAACAAAACTATACCTTTAGATAGTTGATGTTTATACTGTTCTTTACTTTGCTCATTCTAATTATGAAAAATAAATAAATAACAGTTTCTTTGGAAAACTATTTTCTTACTTCGTTCATAAAAAACTGAGTCAAAATATACAGAAGATCGAATCGATTAATTAAATGTTGATAATGCTTTTTCAAACGTTCATTATTAATTTCAAGAGATTCACTATGACTTTTCTGACTAAATAAAATCCAAAGATAAAATTTGTTCGAAGAATAATATTCTAATACTTACATCAATAATTGTTGACCGAGTAGATTTATATGTTCATGAGATTCGTCGAGTTTCTTTTCTAGAAAATAAATAAATTCTGTAATTTAAAGTTAAACTACAAGAAAAATCTCGTACCTGAATTAGTTGGAGAACGATCCACTGATGGAGATTTCTCTAGATTTCTATCTAATGTCGGTTTTATATTTGAATTTTTATTGATCGATGGTAAATCTGACTGACTACTGTTCAATGAATTACATGATGAAAGTGATAAACTAAGTTCTAAATACAAAAATATAAAGAGTAAAAACTACACTTTTCTTAGAAAGCAAAAATGCATTGACTCGATTGCGATGGCAGTGAAACTGCCGAGTGCGCAGCATTGAGTTGAATTCGAGGTGGTGGTAATTTTTTTGGCGGTACAATCGATGAATTTCGAAGCGTTACTGGATTCACTGGACGTTTCGTTGTATTTACTACTGATGCCACAGATCGTTGTTCGGTATCTTAAGAAAAACAAACGGAAACTTAGACTTTTTTGTTTTCTTCATTCAATCGCGTTACTTTTCTTAACAGGTTGACTGATTGGCTTTTTCTTATTAACGTTTGTAGTTTCAACTTTTTTATTGACTCCTAATCTATTAATTGATGCTGTCGAATTCGCTAAAGAGTTTTGTTTGGTGGATGATTCAACTTTCGCAAATGAAATATCATCATTCGAATGAAATGATAAATCCGTTTGAACAAATTTGTCTGAATCAATCGGTGTAAAAACCGATGAAGATGAAGAATGTAAATTTTCGTTGATTCTTTCGTCAACTGTTGATTCAACAATACTTTCGTTGTCTGTTACATCATCATCATCATCTTCTTCTTCAGTATCTTCTTCACTAATTGTAATTGAATTCGAACGTGTTTCTAGATTTTGATCTTGTTGAAGTTGATGTAAAATTAACGAAACACTGTCAGTAAAATCTGCTTCAATCGTTTCTGGTGCTTGATTTATGGAGAGAGAAAAAAAAACGTGAGAAATAATAATTTGAATAAGAAACAACTATTCAAACATACGCTCATCGATTGCTAATGATTGAAATTCAATTTTCGGTTCAACGACATCAATCGTCTCTTCTTTTCGTTGGTGATTCGTTATGGTAATTTCCTAGAATTATTTTTTGTTAATTTATCAAAAGAACTGTTTGTGTAATTCCTATGGGATTAAAATTTATAACATAATGTCGTTACTACCGCTAATCAAGAGGCGTTTGGTTTTTTTCTGTTTATTTCGTAACACGTTTCTTCGCCGTCCTCTTTTTCCGCAATGAACAACTACTAGTTCATCTATTATTGATGTATGATCTTTAAAAAGAATGATGAAGTCTCTAGGGGAATGCAAATTTTTATATTATATACTTCTATGATCATTTGAGATAGTATTTCAGAGGAAAATTCTAATAAAAAAATGTATATATATATATCCATCCGCATGATATTTACGTGATTTTCATTCATTTTGGATTCATTGAGTATCACCGGTTGAAAAGTTGTATTCGCTAAAATATCAGGTAATTCAACAGTTTTTGATTCTTCAATTTTATTAATTGATGATGTCAGCGTTATTGAACGTGTCATTGTTGGCGCTTTTAAACGACTTACGGGTCTTTGTGTGGTCTAAAAATGTTTTTAGTATTTAATTTATTGTTTTCTTTTCTCGAATAACAACTTACTAATGTTCTTGCACGAGGTTCTACAACAACTTTATCACTAGGTACAAATATTCCATGATTCGGTCGACATTGAAAATATCTTTATAAAAACAATAATGCATACTCTAAAATTCAATGGATTTTATTTCTCTTTTTTTACCGAACATCTTTTATTTCTCCATCGTGTTTTCCTTCGGGTTGATCAAGTTCAACACCACAAAATGTTCCCGTTGCAAATTTAACTGTACCGATATAACGAAGAATACCTGTTTTAAGTCCATTGACTAAAACACGATTGCCGACTGATAATGTTGATTTACTAGAAAAATGAATAATTTATAAAAAATATTAAATTAATAAAATTTGTACGAACTTATTATTATCAGAAACTGATGGCATCGGTGTTGTTGGACGACAACCAACACCACCAGGCGCTCGTAATCGTAAAGGTAACAGTGATTTACGTTCAGTTGCAACCTACAAACAAACGAATCGATTACGTAGAGAAAGACATTTCTATGTTCACTGCTACCAAATACATTAACCTATTCTTAAGTAAAACAACGAGAAAGGTGACCAACGATCAATACATATATATATATATATATATTTATTGTTCTCTTTCCCGTTGGCATGAGCATTAAGAACAAAAAGAAAAGAACATCTCCTATTGTTAATCTAATGTACATAGGCATACACATAACATGCAGCTTGTATTTCTTTTTTCTCTCTAATATTTCCGCTGTTAATAATAGCTCACTCGAGATGGTCTTTGATTATTAAATAAATATGTACAAGTCTATCGGTTAATTAAGAATCAAATATGTTGGTTAGAGCGTTATCTGTAGTTAAGAACGGCACACTCAATGAGAAAGACTTGTCTTACTGGTATACTCATGTCTTTTGGTTATGTGTGAAAGCTGGTATGATAGAATAAATGTTTATTCGCAATACATTTTGATCACCGGAAAGAAAGAGACCTTGTGAGGCTTCTCACGACTTGAAGTTTATATGCAGAACACTTATTGTCATTGACATGTCTTCTTGAAATCAGCAGGGTGCCATTGGTGAAATAAATGCCAACCAATAAGGAACTCATTCGACAGAGAGTGCACTTGTGTAGCTGTTGCTGTTTGTTATGCATAAATTATATCCACACGCAATGGATTCATAATCATAGAACACCAAAGAAAAGTGAAAATTATGAAGTAAATTTCAACAGAGACAGAGAAATATTTTGACTTATAAATCTTGTTTTGAATAAAATTTAATTAATATTTAGACAGAAATATGCTGTCAATATTACGTATTTTTTTCGGCGTATTTACTTCGAAAAAAAACACGAACAGTCAGAATACAATTATTATTTAATAAATAAAGACTTTAGATACACATTGCATTTCGTTACAAATAAGACAGATTTTTCAAAAATATTAATTTTCTGATACTTTACGGCTATCATGTAAAAACGTATTTTTCTATAGTTAAACGTATAGCAATATCTGGTTATTATTTAGGGTATTTAAAATTGTGAATTTTTGTAGCTAGTCAACTAACTAACTGATGGAAATATTTTCCCTAGACTGAAAGGATAGGGTCTAGCAGCCGTAATTCACCTGTGTCTGTCTGCCTGTCTGTAACAATGACACAAACGACCAATTCGCATGGTACAAATGATCATTTCTATCGCCCAAACGACCATTTTTATGGCACAAAGGGCATTGTTACGGCCCAAACCATAAATGGGTGCATGACATGACCACGTGAAACAGTCCGCTCTGGAGATGGAGGCAGTGGAGGGGCGAGCTGATCCCCTACGGAACTTTCAGCTAACCATCACGAAATTTCTGAACCATATATTTTTGTGGGTAGGTGAGAGTCAGGCTCTGCTCTCCTTAAGGACCTTTGAGCCCCATTTTGTGAGGGGTGGCAGAATTCTCCCAAGAACAACCAGCAGAATTCTGTAAGAATAATACCTATATGACTTAAAGGCACATTGCACACTACCAACAGAGAATTCTGTTTCCCCAGCAGAATTCTGTGTTACTGTATACACACACTACCTTATGACGAAAGCAGAATTCTAAGCAGAATTCAACTTTTCCCAGCAGAATTTTGTCAGAATTCTGTTTCCCCAGCAGAATTCTGTGTTACTGTATACACACACTACCTTATGACGAAAGCAGAATTCTAAGCAGAATTCAACATTTCCCAGCAGAATTTTGTCAGAATTCTGTTTCCCCAGCAGAATTCTGTTTCTAATAAAAAAAATTTTCAATAGTCTCAGTACATGAAATAAGAAATAAAAAGACATCAATGTAAGTAGTACTTCTTTAAAATAGGAGAACATTGTTTAAATATCAAATTTTTTCACATCGGTTTTTTTTAAAGATAGGAAAATGTAAATATCAAAAATTTGTTTTAGATGGTGTTTTGTATTCTTAGTTAAATAACAGGCATCGAACTACAAGTCATGTGTATTTTATTTTAAAAAAACAATTTTTTCAGTCATTTATAGTTTATTTACATTAGAATAATCCTACGTTGTCTTGTATAGAGATATAATTTTGAATAACCAATAAATCGTCATCGTTTTTCTCTGTGTTACTTATTTATTTGCTTCCTTTTTTTTCTTCTTGTTGTGCATTGATTAGCCGTTCCTTTTCTTTTTCTTTTGTTTATCTCCCTCGCGCTCTCTCTCTCTCTTCATGTTCATTGGTTATATTAACCTGTGTTCTATGTGTAAATGGTGCGATTTATGATATAAAGAAGCTGAATAAATCGTAGTTACATCATTACAAGCATTTATTTTATGAAAACTTGTCACATTGTTTACATGCATAGGGCACGCTTTTATACCCAAAGGAGAGAAAGAGAAAGAGGGAGAGAAGATAGAGTAGAAAGCGAAAGGCTAGTAAGTGGACAATAGAAAGAAAGAAAGAGACAAATATATTGTTATCATCACAATATATAATGATCTTAATAAAACATAAACAAAAACAAAAACATTTAATAAGTATGGCGTGTATATTATTCAGAAGAAATATTTACAGTTACAATTGTTTTGAGAGTTTTTAGATATGACCGATTAAAATTTTTTAATTCTATTTGGTACAAGAGTTTGGTTAGGTCAACTAAACCAATAAAAATATTGTCTTTTATTTTTATTCTTAAATCTAATATCAGTAATAAACCAATAGTTTCATTGAAAATTTTTGTATGAATATATGAAATTGTATTGTTTAAAAGTTTGAATTTGATTAAAGTAGCTAATCTCAAAAATTATGATGTAAAGATTGCGTTTGAGAGAGAGAGGATCAAATATCATATGTACTGAATAACTGTTACATTC